AATGGTCTGGTTGGATCCGTGAATGGTATGCTCTCTGGTGTGTTGGCCTATGCCGGTGCTCAACTCTTCGTCGAATTCATGGCCGAAATGCGACGCCCTCAAGACTTCATCAAGGCAATGTGGAGTGCCCAGTTCTTCATTTACAGTGTCTATCTCACGTACGGCTGTGTCGTTTATCATCTCCAAGGACAATACAGTTTCAACCCTAGCTACCAGGGCGTTAGTATGTACGCCTGGCAAACCTTGGGCAATATGGTTACTCTGATCGCTGCTTTGATTGCTGGTGGACTTTACGGAAATATCGGCATCAAGGTGGTATACAACAATATCCTTGTCGATATTTTCAAAGTTCCCCCGATGGATACCCGACGAGGCAAAATCATTTATGCGCTCCTGGTTCCCTTGTGGTGGATTATTGCTTTCATTATTGGTGCAGCTATCCCCGATTACTTCGGTTTCGTCAGTGTGATGGCCGCTTCGATGCTTCTCAATCTCAGTTACACGTTGCCCCCGCTCTTTGCTTTGGGCTTCGACATACAGAAGAATTCGATTCGAGCAGGGGAGGGAGAAGGGTTCAACCCAATCACCGGACAAGTTATCAAAAATGGCTCGGCTACCCAGCGCTGGGCTCGTGGGTTCATCTCTGGAGGCTGGTTCCAGGTTGCGATTAATATCTGGCATGTTATTTACTTCTTGGCTTCTTTATCCATGTGTGGACTTGGGATGTGGGCGGCAGTCGTTGGTAAGTTGATTGTGGAGCTCACCATTTGCTGTTTTCTGGCTAATTTGAATCGCAGGGATGATCGAGGCATTCAAAATTCCTCAGTTGAACTCGTTTTCTTGCACTTCTCCTCTCAATCTGAACGCGTGATTCAACTGGCTTCTTCGGGAGACAAATGTTTTTCAGTGGGCCATCAACTATACTGTTCAAGCTCACTTCGGTCTGCAAATGTGCTTTTGTAAACTAGTAATTGAACAATTGAAATGACGTTAAAATCTTTCAGAAAACTTAAAGGGCCAACAACTTGAAGACTACTTTTCCAACTGAGAGCCTGGTCAGCTTGATATTACACATGAGCCGAGTAGAAAAAGAATTAGAAGAAACAATCAAAAAAAAGCATTTGGATGCAAATGGCATCGAACGCCACTCCTGGTACAAGAAACACAATTCAATTCGCTCTACCGCCGCAGTTTCAAGTCCTATACAATTCCAACAAACATGAAAAAGGCTTTAATGTGTGCTTTGGACTAGGAGAGTTTGGGTTCAAAAGATGTAACATGGAGGAAAGTACATGTGATAAAAGGAAGATGTGTGAGTCGGGGAGATCAAACTCGCACTGGACGCCGTTGTCATGACTTCATCAGGGAATATTATGACTAAAGCTGAGATCCAGATCCAGGAGCTGGGGATGGAACTGCGCCTAGGGCAGGGCTTGCGCTGGCCGAGGTTACGCCGCCGGGAGCCGGGCTTGCGCTAGCGCTGTGGGCACTGTCAGTTCTGATGGGGACACCGCCGCCAGATCGCACACGCTCCTCCACGCGCTCTTTGTGTTGTCGATTGCGAAGGTGAACCTCGAAGTTGTCGACGGTCGTCATGGGTCCGGGGGTATACAACTTTCCAGGGCAATCCAAGCAGCGGATTCGGGGAAGATACTGATATTTGACTTTTTGGCCGGCTGGAAGGTTGTTAGGGTTGGCCACGGGGGCTAGAGTTTCCACGTCTACGGCGGAGTAGCGCATAACTCCCTCAAACGAGTCGTTGGGGTGAGCTTGCTTAAGCTTTTGTAGGCCTTCTTGGAGCCAACCGGGTGGTGGAGGCTGAACATATCCGGGGTCAGCCAGGAAACAATATCTTAGAGATCTGATATCTACTCACAGCGGGAACCCCAGGTTGGGGTGGATTCGGGGCGTCGACAGCTCCACTTTGCGGTTGACGTTGTTGTGGTGATGGTGCGTTCTGGTTGTGGAGTCGTTGCTTTTCGGATGGAGGTGCCATCCTTCCAGGTGTGTGGACCGTGGGGATTTGGGGGGTGTTGACAATGCTCTTGCCGTTTCGAAGGTCGATAAGCTTGTTACGGGGAATCTTCAGTCTCACAATCAATTTCTCGGGCTCTTCCACGCTCTCTTCGCGGTACTGCTGTCGCCGAGAAGACATCCGGGTAGGCTCCTGCAAAACAGGTTCTGGTGTTGCTGATTGTCCTAGGCTGGCACGAAGGGCCGCATGAGCTGCTGTTGCGGCACCTCTCATGCCTCGTGTGCGGGCGGTTCCTTGAGCGAGGTTGGGACCAATTGCTGGAGACCCGACAGATGAGTCGTCACTATCGAAGTCATCTGATTCATCCTCTCCGCGCTGACTGGCTATTCCACGACGACGGCTAGAAACAGAACGTTTGATGACATTGCTTTCTTCAAACGTCTGTGCCGAATTGGGGATGACCGACGACACGATCAGCGTACGAATCGTTCGTTGACGATCCTTCAGATCAGGGAGAGCAGGGCCACCACGACGATTGATGGATCGCTTCTGGCGGCGTTGTTCACGGGATATAGAGATCTCGGTACGTTCGAGATCGGTCTCGTTTAATTCGTAGAGATAGGGGGTGTGCTCCTTGGCAGCTTGGAAAGGTCGGAAGGCGGATGAAACAGGAGTCGGGAGGAAAGAGGTACTAAGATCGGGATCTTCGATGGGGCGACCATCGAACGGGTGGGCGACAATATAGAGGGACTTGGTGAACAGCTGAGATTGCTCGCGAATAGAGTGGGCGATGGCGGTCGTGAATTCTCCTGACAGAGAAAGGTCATTCGTCATGCGCATGGCAAATTCTTCCGGTGAGTTTTGAGGATCATTGATATCCCATTCAAACTGGTCGATTAGAGTATGTTGCCCGATAGTGATGTTCAGCTTGATCAATATGCGCATCTCATCGTTCCGGTACGCTGAATATGGGAGACTGGGGTCGAGCGGTTCGTCGTGCATGAACATTTGCGGATAGTAATCCATCAGCTGCTCCTGGATGGTCTGCGAAATCATACGCGTGAGAGGTGTAGAGCTCTCCAATGCAAGTCCCAGGTCCTCCACCAACTTTTCAGCAAAAAGATTGGGTGAAACGACGCGGTCGTGTAGGTTCCACGTGAAAGTATCTCGAATCTTAATTTTCTCCCAGTCGATATCGAGTCGAATGGGAACAAGATCTCTGTCTGTTCATTTTGAATCTTCATATCCCGACGCGAGACCCGCAGTTCTGGTGTCTTTCGGTTCCCAGGGCGCCGTCGGCTGGCTGGATAGAGTAGTTGTGGATGTTGATTGCGCAAATCGGTGCGTAGGTTGCCAAATCCTTCATAGCCTAGCCCATATAGTGCGGCCGGGTTTCCCTGTGTCTCCCGGCGGATTTGCAGATAGAAATCCCGCTCTTCTCGCTTCTGTTGTTGCAATTCTTGGCTCGGGTTTTGCCACGCAGTAGCTGCCGAATATTCAAACTCGCGATTGACATACTGCTCCAGCAAGATCTTCTCCACAGGCGTCTCGCGTGTTCGGACAGCCAACGTCCCTGATGTGTCGGTTGATTGAATCACGGAACCATCGCGCGACCGTTTCCTACTTTGCGCGGAACCGTTTGTTCCATTGGATTGTGGGGTGCCATTGGTATCATTATTGGCGTCTCCAGATGCACCGAGCTTGGATTTCGCAGTCTGTTTTCCCTCGCTAATGACATCTGGGGTTTGACCATTGGCAGGCAGGCTGGTCACAGTGTCGAAGGAGTCTAAGCCTCCGGCCCCCGTATCGGATGTGCCAGAGCCAATCTGAGCGCCAGTCAGAGAGTCGGAGGGGGACTTCTCCTGTGGCGGCGAGCCATTTTGGAAGTCGGGGGAGGGCATGATCGATAAAGAGTTGGGAAGGAGTGATCCGGGGTCGCTTGGAAGGATGGTTGATGTGAGTCGCACACGACGCGATTAAGGTAGCAACGGGGCACTTATGGCAGCATCATTGAGCGAGCCTGTATTAATGTTTGATTCAGTTAGCCAGTGGCCATATCGAAAGCGATTGGTACTGGGTGGTATTGATATCGCGATCGCGATCGCGCGATCAAAGCTGTCGGGATGCGGAGTCGATCCACGACCGTGTCGCAACCCACGCAATGTCGCGGGCATACCACAGCATGAGAGTGCCCAGACCAAGTGTTTCCACGGGCATTGCGAGGGAAGCTTCTTGGGTAAGGTGATCATGATGAAGGTCTGGGGGCAAAGTAACATACCGGAGCCGAAGGGGGGTGGAGGCCAATTGCGCTTTAAGGGACCCAGGGCTGGATGCTATAGGTCTCGCGCGAGAATATCAAGTGATTCACGGGGTTCTCTTCCAAATGAAAGAGATCAGATAAATGCTTTGTCCTAGCTGTCTGGAGCTGGAGCTTTGGTGGCGGGTGGTGAAGGCGCGCCGCCGGTGGATGCGTGGGAGAAGTTCAAAGGAGAGAATGGATTACGAGATGTCCGCTCCCGGTCAGAAACAAGACTGTACAGAGCATCAACGCGCTCTCCACGCACACAGAACTACCAGTGGCTATGAGACAGATAACCTAGATCTACAGGGGAAGATTAATTGTAGCTCTGGATTTTCTTCACCGTTTCTGCTGCCCACTGCGCCGGCAACAGGACCGGTCGAATCGGTATGCTGGTATCATGTGACACGAGGCTGGTGTTGCCGCCTTAAATATAAGGTGTTGACTTTCATTTTCGGGTGACTCAAGTACCCATGAGGTGGTAGTGCTAGTAGTATTTCAGTACTGGCAATGTATGCATCTACAGATATCAACTACTTAGCTTCTTAGAATAACTACTTCAGGTATCTAGGTATACCTACAGTTGGGCTACAGCTTGAAACATTATTGGTGCTCTTGGTATGTATAAAAAGCTACAATCACTATACTAGTAGTGTCATAAACAACTAGTAGCAATGATACTCGTATCATCATATTGACTCCACCTGGGTGCTCGCCTCCATTGATTCATCCCAATAGCGTCACATCAGCAACCACAGCACGATGATCCGAGTTGAATACCCCGTCATCGAACCGGTTGGTCAATACAGAATACCCATCTACCCGCCATTCCTGGTTCCCACCAGAGGCCAGGAGCACATAGTCGATTCGCTTCGCTGGCTCTGCATCATATCCAAATCCAGTAAAAGTATTGATATTTCCATAGTGTTGCAAAGGTTCGACCGATTTGAAGGTATCGAGCAGGTCCCCTGACCCCGTCAAATCCTGATACGCTTCTTGATCCTCCTCGCTATTTAGATCCCCAGACAAGAAACTACCGGAGATCAATCCCCTATAATCTCCAGTCCTATACTCATGGATCTTGGAACGAATGATACGCGCTGCTTCAAGCCGGGAGCGAGAGCCCTGGTCATCCAGGTGCGTGTTCATCGCGAGGACTGTATTCCCGCTTTTTCGATGAGTAAAGACACCAATGGTGACAATGCGAGTGGAGGCCGCGTCCCAGCTTTTAGATGGTTTGTTAGGAGTCTCGGAGAGCCAAACCGTCTCCCACGACTGAAGATTCCAGACGGATGGTTGGTAGAAGATGGGTGCGTATTCTCCGGCCTGTTGGCCATCATCCCGGCCAACTCCGATAAAGGCCCATTCTAGAGATTTTGATTTCGATTTCGAATTCAAGCCCGTGTGAATATACACAAGTTGATTGTGGAGAACTTCCTGAAGACAGATGAAGGCATCGCTGCCGAAGCGAGTGTTGTAGTGGAGCTCGTTCAAAAGGAGTTGCTTCCGCTCGTTCCACGGCCGCTCGCCCTTGAAAGGGGATGGGGTAGCATATCGGATATTATGGGTTAGTATACGGAAAGAGAAGGATGGAGTTGACCTCATTATGTTTGGTTGGAAAGGGAAAGGAAAAGGAAAGGCAAAAGCCAAAGACGAGAGGGGAAGTCCGAGTCCGAGAGCGAGGGCAAGAGGGGGGGAAGCTGGAGCTGGGAACTGCAGCTCACGCGACCTTGGATTCCGAGATTTGGCAAAGACAATACACTGCCCCAGAATGCAAGTCACTTAAAGCGGGGTCTTTGGATGCTGGAGTAACGAGTGACAATCGTCAGTAATGACGTCTGTTCCACCTACCCACCCTTGTAACTAAGTAACTAGTTACATAGTTAACCCTACGGAACCTGAATTCTCAGGCCACCAAAATGGGACGAACCCCACCAACGAGAGCGTTTTGCCCGCACAGGACTTGCTCTTGCTCTTGACTTCCTTTCAAGCTCTTGTGGATTTCACTATCTACTTATTAACAACCCCCCCTTCTTACCTTAACTCATTCCCCCCCCTTTTGCATCCTCGTGATACCCACTCACACAATGGCGGAAGACAAAGCGCCCGAGGTTCAACCTGTTGGTATGTCTTGTTACTGTTCCCGCGAAAGCTCTGACGTTGTGTGGGTTGTCATTGTCGCCCAAACCTCAAGAGCTTCATTGTTTCTTTTGGGTATGCTAATTGTTCTCATTTGAATTCAGACTACACCCTCAACAACCCTGATACTCTGACCAAGTACAAGACTGCTGCTCAGATTTCTCACAAGGTTCTCGAGGCCGTCGCCCGTATGTTGCGCTTCGCTACCCTATGATGGCCCTCCGAGGCTCCCGGCTAACCTTGATTCTTTAGCCCTCTGCATTGAGGGTGAGAAGATTGTCGAGATCTGCCAGAAGGGTGACAAGCTCCTTGATGAGGAGATCAACAAGGTCTACAAGGGCAAGAAGATCGCCAAGGGTAGGTTCCCCATTTCCCCTCCCCCGCCAGCTCCGATCATCTTGAATTCTAAATCTCATGGAAACACGAAAAAGGTATCGCTAGCCCTACCACCATCTCTCCCAGCTCATATGTGACTCCCTACACCCCTCTGGTCTCCGATGTCGCCGAGGCCGAGACCGTCCTGAAGGCCGGTGAGGTCGTCAAGATCCAGCTTGGTGCTCAGATTGATGGTTTCGGTACCATTGTCTGCGACATGGTCGTTGTTCCCAAGAAGGACGCCGCCAAGGAGCCCATCACTGGCCCCGAGGCCGACCTGGTCGTTGCTACCCACTACGCCAATGAGCTTCTGCTCCGCCTCATGGTTCCCCCCGGCCTGCTTGCCCAGGGTACCGAAGAGGAGAAGAAGAAGGCCGCTGCCCAGCGCGCTCCCACCCAGGCCCAGATGTCCTCTCTCCTGGAGAAGGTCGCCAAGGCCTACGGCTGCAACGTCATTGAGAACACTACCTCCTGGGTGTTCGACCGCAACGAGATCGAGGGCGCCAAGAAGATTATCCTGTCCCCCGGCGACGGTGTCCGTGGTGACGGTACCCCCGAGGTCGGTGAGGTTTGGGGTGTTGAGGTTGGCCTCACTCTGGGCAACGGTAAGGTCAAGAACCTGGACCACCGTGCTACCCTGCACCGCCGTACCACTACCACCTACGGCCTGAAGCGTCCCAGCTCTCGCCAGGTCCTCTCTGAGATCGTCAAGAAGTTCGGTACCTTCCCCTTCAGCTTGCGCCAGCTTGAGGATGAGAAGACCGCCAAGGTCGGTGTTGTTGAGTGTGTTCGTAGTGGTGTCGTCCGCCAGTACGAGCCCGCCGGTTCTGCTGACAACACCCCCGTGTCTCGCCTGCTGACCACCGTTGGTAAGAAAGAACCATATCTAAATCGATTGGAAGACAATCCGCTAATCATTTCTCTGTAGCCATCACCAAGAACGGTCTCACCAAGCTTGCCACCCCCAACGCCGTCGACCTGGAGCTGTACAAGAGCGACAAGAAGATCGAGGATGAGGAGATCCTCAAGATCCTCGAGCAGCCCCTTGCCCGTTCTACCGGTAACAAGAAGAACAAGAGCAAGAAGAAGAAGACCACCGGTGGTGAAGAGTAAATGCATTGACCTGAGCGTCTCTTGTATGCCATATGCAATATGCAATATACATTGATATGGTGTTGGAAAACTCCGAATCCAAAACTGTCTAAAAAAAAGATATCCAATGACGAAAATTCCCACTGGGTTATACGAATCTCCCGGCAATTCCAATCAAGAAAATACTATTTAACCGATGACTGATCATGTATGAGGTTGGCGGCGACGTCCTCTTTCCCTTTATTGTGGATTTCGGTATATGTCCCACCGAGCTCCGAGTACGAGTGGATGTATCGGTCGGAATATTTGAGGATCTACGTGCTATGGCACTTTTGGGTCATCATGTAATTATCTGCAGGAAAAGCCTTAGAGATAAGCCTACGGAAATAAAGACGCTGCCAGTGCAGATTCTGATTACTTCCTAGATTGTAGTCGGGAATCTACATCTCATAGACTAGTAGTACTAGGCGGAGGGTTGTTGCCAGAAACCTTGGAACGTATTTCAAGTCCTTCCAAGGTTTATCTGTACTATTTCTGGGACTTAAGGACCTACAAGTAGTAATCTAGAGAACACTACTATGTCATGTTGGAACTATAGGTGGCCCGGAACCCTCGACCATCATTATCCATCTACATCCACCAAGCGGGCCAACAATCTTCGGTATTGTCTTCGAAGTATTGCCTTCCCATGATTTGAATTCATCAAAATCGATTATGCTGATATTTTAACTGCAGTCTCCAATGGTTTAAACCTAACCAGACGTTCTGCGTGATCGTGCAATATTAGATGTTTGCTTCCACCTCGCCTGGCTGCCTGCTTCTTGCCAAATTCGACTTATTTCCTGGCTTTGATCATTCGTATTCGCGTTCATCTGATAATATTCGAGACAATCCCAAAATCCGTGAGAGCCTCGGATTACATTGAACATTCTTCGTTGATTGAGAGCTTATTCTTTCAGCTGTACCCCATTTTTCGTCGAAGGTATATCCAGACAGTACACTGGCACCATTTCCAGAAGCGAGTGAATACAGCCGGCAGCTCAGTCGACTACAGGATTCGAAAACACCAAATCGAAATCAAATTATATGAATATGAATATCAACATCGACTACTTGGAACCATTTCTCTGAATTCTCTGAAACAGCTCTAACACAGGGAGTATAGTTACGAAGTACGGGGGAGTGCCAGGTGGGCGCTAACCCTAGCAGGGCGGTGTTCCGCCTACCGCGATGGGCAGCTTGACTCGGTCCGCTCGCCGGGCTAATAATTCCTATCCCATTGAACCCGCGATCCCTCGCACGCTCCAGAGAAATCCGCGTCAGAAACGCGTCGAATCGACTTCGCTAGGCAATGCGACCGTGATCCTGCCAGCGCACAAGGTCTCTGCATGGGAAGAGCCTGCCTGTGCCCTCGCGCGCCCATCTTGGGCGAATGCCGACGACGACTTTGATCGCACCCCGAACGAACACCTCAGAACCATGAAGCCGATCGGACAGTACCCGTCCCTTGCGGAATATAAGAGCGTTGGTCTGAAGCCTCGCCCAAAGACCCCGAAGTCTGGTTTGAAACGCGTGTCGAAATTATATTCACGAACCGACGACGATGAGGATCTCACGACCGATACGCCGATCACGCCCGTCGCAGAAGAGGAAGCTATCGCGGCTGAAATATTGCGCGCCGACGACGACGACGATGATGATACTATGAATGGGGCCGAAACTACGGCCGGGGTCAAGACCGCGGTTGAGGGTGTGGTCATGGAGGTGGAAGACACGGACGCCGAGCCAGAGGACATGAATGAAACCAATTTCGCGACACCAGTGTCGGAAGCAGTCGACCTCTCTTCTGTCTTTCCTTCCATTCACCAGTCGATTAATCCCTCTACTCAACCTTCCGTTCACTCTTCCATTCATTCAACTCTCAACTCGCCTCTTGACACACCCCTAGAGGAAATCAATTCTCCCGTCCTCACATTGACCGCTCCCACCACTCACCTCACCGTTCCTAGTTCTCAGATCCCACCTTCTCATCGCAACTTACCGCAGACTCAGTCACCTCCTGCTACTGCTATTGCTACCATGGCCGACACTATGGTGTCCAAGGATCAGTCAGTCGTCAAACCTGACTACCTCACCGTCCTGAACTCTCTTCCAGTCCCCAGATCTGAGAAGTACGATGTGAGCCAACTCAAGCACGTTCTGGAAGTTGCCGTCACTCGTGCTGTGAACATAAGTGAAGATGATGTTGCTTTAAGCTTAGTGCACTACTGGTCTGAGATCTCAGGTGACGACTTCAAATTGTCACTGGTTCACAACATCGGTAACGATGAAAGAGATCACAATCTGGAACTCGCCCTTCAAACTATGCTACGCCATTCTACGGATGAAGCAAGCAAGTGGTATCAAACGTATGCCGCTGAAAATCCTCGCCTCCTGGCTGGTCCTGGTTCCCCCACCGATTCCAGTTTGTCATCTGCCAAGTCCCTTGAGCCAGAGTCTGCCAACTTCAGTCGGGCGGATATCTACCGGGACACAAGTGGCCCAAAGCTTGAGGAGGCATTCCTGAGCGGCAAAACAAATACCGCGCCGCTAAAGCGGGCGAAAAAGCCTTGCCGGGTGAATGAGAATTCCTTCAAGCGCAGGCGAGAGTGGGAAGCAGATTCTACCCTTGAAGGGAGCCTAAGGGATAAGCGCGCCCGCCTAGCCCAAGGAGCCAAATCCGACCAGACTCTAGCCGACAGCAGCTCCGTTCGTCCCCAGCGCGGACAGCCGGACGATATTCAGCATCCTTACTCCTCTGGTGGTGAACAGCAGGACGAAAGCATGATGTCTACTGCAACGGCTGCTACGCCTGAAACTACTATCACTTCGGGCGTAGGCCAGCCACGACGGCAGCGCATTGTCAAAGAGCGTTCGAAGGTGAAAGGAAAGGAGGCGGAGAAAGAAAGAGAGAAGGAGAGCGAAAAGCAACTACCCCATGGGGCTCGTTCGCTGTCCCTCGATACTACCGTTTCTGGTGCCGAGTCTGATGTCTCAAATTCTTGCTACTCGGACAATGAGAATTCGTGGGTTAGCGATTTCAAGTGCCGACAAATGCCGAATGCCATGTATGTGCTACATTTTTTCTCTTTCATTCGCCCGGATGATGGGGAAAGCAGAAGGAAAAGAAACTACTTTTTACTGACATGAATCATATAGTAACGTACCGGAGAACACGGATTATTGCACTATCTGCGACGATGAGGGTGATTTGCTTTGCTGCGATACATGCGAGAATGCCTTCCATTTTGGTTGCCTACGACCCCGGGTGGACAAGAAGAATCCACCGAAGGGCGACTGGTTCTGTGAGACTTGCGTCGTGCGCAACAGCCTCACCACCACCATTGCCTGGGGCAAGCACAAGCGAAGGAAAACTTCATACTCCCCACCTCAGGGTATCAAGGACTATTTTGAGGGCGTCGGCGAAGAGATCCGCAGCAATACGCACTATCCACCGGAGGAGAAAAGGACGTATTCCTTCTACAGATCCGTCCCCACCATGCCGAGGCTGACTAAGCCTCCCAAGACCGACAAGGACCACAGCAACAGGACGCCTCTTTACGATGACCCCAACCTAACCAAGTTGATGGAGAACGGGCATGTCATTCTCTGTAACAAGTGCTGCCTTTCTTCTGAGGGTTCGCGTCCGATTATCCGTTGTGACTACTGTGAATCCCGCTTCCACCTAGACTGCCTCGACCCGCCCATGGCCAAGCCCCCCTAACCCTTACGAAGGCTGGCTTTGTCCCAACCATGTTACTTCCGATGATCTGGTGATCAGAAAAACTGTTAATGGCCAGGTGCAAGAGCGGCGTCCTCGTCGACCAAAGAAGGCGACAACCCTCTCCCACAGATGGGATCCCGAACAAACATGGGATGAGGATTTTAACGCTCAGGACGATGACGTCGGCTCTCGCGAGATTGTCCTCGACTTCATTTCCACTGCCAAGTTCAACAAGAAACGTGAAGATGAACAGAAACAGAAGCAACTCGAGAGCACCATGCTGGATCTAACCAGGCAATTGACGATGGAGCATTTTACCAAGAACGGAGTCTCCCTTGCTGACATCTCCAACCCAAACCCCCAACTTCGGGCTGGTATCAAGAGTCTCCTTCATAACTATGACTCCGGAAGATACAACCTTGCCACCTACGATGCAGCATCTTCTCTGCTCGGCCTTTCCAATGGCGAGTCAGTTACAATAGATGATGAACCCGTCACTGCCAACACATCGGCTGAAAATGTTGCCCCCGTCTCCCCCCAACAGGAAGAACCGGTCGACTTGGAAACACCCCAGAAAGCCGCCTCCCCCATCCCCAATGAAAAGGACAATTCAGCCCCATCGCCTGCACCTACACCAGGAACTGCATCCCGCCCGATGGCACGGTCTGCTCCAGCTTCGCGTCGTCAATCTCGGTCTCGTCGCACCACCAACTCCCCCAGAGTATCCACTCGGGCAACGCGGAAGTCTACCGGTCCCAATCTCGATCTGGGCGCCATCACGGAGACCCCTTCTAGAGAAACTCGGAATAAAAAGCGATCATACGCTGAATCCGAGCCCTCTCTCAGCACAGACGAGCCAGCACTCAAGCGCCAGCACGCGGACTCCGATTAAACCTCCTTGCATGAAAACGGAGGCTTTCTCGTATCTTTGCCGTGGTACGCTATGGCAAGCCAGGTTACTCGCTCTGCTATGAAAACCTAATCTCTGGCGGCGGGGTGTGCAAATTCTGCCCCCAGCCGCATGCACAACACATTCGACACATCATCTCATCCTTTTTTTCTCTCTTCCTTCCTTTCCTGTTTCTATGGCGAACATCTTTGCCTATTTGACAAAATCCCCATCCCTCGATTTCCCATTCAGCACACACATTCGGAACTGGCGCATTTTTCAAAGAATATATTTGCACGTGGCTACGGATAAGGGCGTTTTCTGTGAAAGCATTTGTTGAGGTTCCGTCCATCGCCGCGCTTGACCGGTGATGAACTTTGCATTGAGTTTTTCTTATCATTTGCCGCCTTCTCCGGGGTTTTCCGTTTTTTTTCTTCTTCTCCGGGTTGTTGGTATGAAACGTTTCCATTCATCATTTCGGACACCGGTTCGTTTGCATTTATGTAGTATGTTTTCTTCTCAGCTCTTTTATCTTTTTTTCTTTCCAACTGTTCGAGTTGGGGGAATAACGAGCATGGATATGGCGCATTGTTTGAAGAATCCACATGTATTATTAGCATTGGCCCAGGGGAATCAATAATTGTGTTTCGTTCATTCGCAAAACTACTACTTTTTGTCTCCTACCTAGGTAGGTTCTCGGTGATAATCTACGGCGCTCCATATCCGCAATCGACTCGGTTAGTCACTGTGTTTCTGCCAGGACAGCAGTCCCAGAAGTGCTCTCGTGATCATGTTCCCTATAAGGCTCTGCGAAGACCGGCTGAACCCCGCGAGCGAGTCTGCCCTCAGTGGAGCTATTCTGCCTATACAAATTGCTTGATCCTAATAATCAAAGTCATTACTCAATATACTACTACCTAGGTAGGGCTGGGTAGGATACCAAGTAGTAGGATAATTACACCTGGGCAGGCTATGCACCTCGGGCTTACTGCTGTTATACTAACTAGGTATGTAGTGCCGGATGGTAATGGAAACAGAGATGACACTTATGAATTCGTTACTCTACATAAAAGATCCGGAATAGCATACATAACGAAGCGCCTTGAACATACATGAAGCTAATAAAAGACACGCAAGAACAAAATCACCCACTTCCCAGGTACGAAGATGGGTGAGCAAGGCAAGGTCAGGACTAAAACCTATCCCGACGATGGTTGGACAATGCCCACCAAAAAAAATGTAGGTGCGATTATCCACGTCTCCAATATCTAGAGGAACTTCTTGGGCATGTTTGCGCGGCGGCGCTTATAAACGACGTAGGAAACGGCGAGAACAATCTGGAAGGCGATAACCATGAAGATGAAGAAGCCCATGCGAGGAGTGGACGCGGTGATGGCTATTGATGAGATGTCAGTAAAATACTTGGTTGATTCGCACGGGTCGTATTTTGACATACCGCTCAGCAGGCTTCCCTGAAGAGTCTCGCTAAGGCTGAGATGGGAGGTCCGGAGAGTGTCATGAAGCTGGTTAAAGCGACCGCTGTAGTCCTTCCCTTCAAGATCACGCTGGACGCTCTGAAGAAGCTGCTCGATGCGCTGGAGTCGGGAATCCAGGGCAGCAACTTGTTCCTTAGAGGCAAGCTTTTGCAATAGCTCCGCTTGCCGGGCATCGTTGTTGGATGCTTGGCTTCTCAAGTCTTGGAGGATGTTGGTAGTCGCTTTATTGGTAAGCTGGAGACGACCACCGAGGTCGACGAATTGGGCGGCAATTCCGTTATCAAGGACAGTGTTGCCAGTGGATGGGTTGGGGATTGTGTTTTGCTGCTGTTCCTGGCTCCTGATGGCCTGCTGTTGGGGAGTGCCCACCTTGGGGGGAACGGCCTGGCCCTGACCGGCGGCAGACTCCAGAACGAATTTGAAGACTTCAAAGGAATCGGGGTTCTCGGGGGTGGCAGCTGTGATGCCAAATGTGTTTCCAGCGGGGAGAGCGACCTAATGTACTTTAGCATGAGGCGACTTTATTCGACAATTATTAGAAACTTACCTTGCTTGTGGAGAAGCAGACTTTGTCGTCCACAGTAACCTCGAAAATCGAGTTTGTGTGCTTCAGTTTTACGACCGATGGGCGACCGAGGTTTCGATAAGCGTAGTCGCAGTGTCCGAAGGCGAGGCTGTCGACACTACGGTGGCTCTTGTAATCAGTCGTTCCATCGTTCAAGAATCCGCGAATACTTCCACCCTAGAGGTGAATTAGCCCAGTCCTTGTTTCATAGCCAGCACACCAAGCTTACCCTGCCGCCATGAGTATCAATGACCAGCGCAAAGCCATCAAATTGCCCCACGGTATAGATACTCGAGGTGCCAACTCGGGCTTGTCCGTCCTTTGTGTACCACAGTTGGAGGTTGCCTCCTGACCGTTCCTGGCCACTACCGCGGAATTGGAACTCGGCGCTCCATTCCGATTGTGTGATACTATTTTGCTTGTTCAGAATATGCCCATCAATTTGAACCGAGGTATTTCAACGTACGGGTTCTGTGCCCAGGCCGATCCGCGGACGTTTCCAGGGTAGGGAGGAGTCAGGATGAGTTTGTTCGACAGCTGTTATGAATTAGCGCCGGATTATGGTAATGAAACAAGCAATTCACTTACAATTTGAGGATCACTGCCTTCTCCACCAATGGTCCATCCTGGAATAGAGTCTCGCGTGGGCGATATCCTAACAATGAATGTTAGCGGCTGAATGATCCAATCATGCAGTGGGACAAATTGCGCACGTCTTATCGTATCCAAAGCTAGCACTTTGAATGACCTGGGCCGTAGCACCAGCAGCAAATAGAGCAAAAGAAGCGAATGTCTTCATTATGGCGGGGCGATCAAAGCGCGAAGAGGTAGCGAGCAGACAGGTCCAAAGGAAGCTTCGTCAGGGCAGTATAAACAGACTTGTAGGGTCTCGAGTTATTCAATTCAATTCCAATTATCTCTCCGGGTCTTTTTTCGAACGAGACGAGTCGCAATCGCAGGATTTCCGGGGAAGTTCACAAAGGCTCGAGACGACGCGAGTGGTGATCCACCCAACCACGATAGCAATCACGCAAAGCCGAGCTTCCTTAGCGATGGCAGCGGCCGAAGGTGAGATGTCGATGAAGTGATGAAGCTGGACACTGTTGAGAATGGTGTGTCGCACGCCGACGTCCGAGAAGTCCATGCGGAGGGATTAGCTAGTGTTGATACCTGGCCTTCTCTCCTGATTTGTTCTCCGCATGGGTCCACCTGCGGAAGAACTGCAAGGGTGTTTGTATTTGTTTGCATACCCCAGAGGTCACATGAAACAGTCACGTGAGGGTTCCAAAATGCTTTGCCGGGATAACGAATCACGGGACCTAGCACCAATCAGAGGCGAGCCAAATTGAATTAGCCCGATAGTCACGTGTCTGGGGCATGATTCCGGCCGGCATCGCGAACGCTCGGGAAGTGCCAGCCTACCCGAGGTTTCTCTTCTTTCCTAGCGAGAAGCAACCTTGAACCTCCATCACACACCATGTTCTCTCAAAAGGTTGCCCAGCAGTCGCTGCGACGCCGTATGTCATGTCTAGTCCTTTTCACTCGATTCTAAAGCCAATCACACTAACAATGCCCCCCCCCTCGATTCACAGTCGCCGTCCAGCAGCCACTCTCCATGCAGTGGTCGATGATGCGCGCCTCCCCGGCCGCCATGGCCCTCGGAAAGGCTGTCCAGTCGAGGTCAGTCACTCTTTGCGACAGATAAACCTGTTGAACTTCTCCATATTCTCTCCTGGAATTGTCACTCCCCGCGGTCGACAGCCGACGTCATCCGCAATCACCATAAAAACTAACATCGCCTTTAGACCCGTCACCACCTCCCCTAACAACGAGGACCCGGCCTCCCTTCTCGCCAAGCAGCGTCTCAACCGCCCTGTCTCCCCCCATCTGACTATCTACAAGCCCCAGATCGGCTGGATCGGCTCCTCCCTGCACCGTATCTCCGGCGTCGTCATGTCCGGTCCTCTCTACCTGTGGGCTACCGCATACCTGCTCTCGCCCGCCGTCGGCTGGCACCTGGAGTCTGCCTCTATGGTCGCTGCCATGGGTGCTCTCCCCGTTGCCGCCAAGGTTGCCCTCAAGGCTACCCTGGCCCTGCCTTTCACCTACCACGGCATGAACGGTCTCCGCCATCTGACCTGGGATCTGGGCCGTGGTCTCACCAACAACGCCATCATCAAGTCCGGCTGGACTGTTGTCGGTCTGAGCGTCTCCGCCGCTCTTGCCCTTGCCATTATCTGATTTCCACATACCTCCCGAGTTTCCTTGTGTTATTAAAGGGATTGACTATTTATTCCTTCCCTCTTTTTTTGTCAAGCAAATCATATGAACGTCAAAGTCCGGTTGCGCTGCGCGAACTCAAAAGGCGTAGATTTTCTTTCTATGTATTTTTTATGGTCTGATCTGGGGCAAACATGTTTGATAATGGGTTGAATTTATTTGGCCTTGGATTATCACTACGTTTAGGGGCAAAAATCCATCACATCAGCATTACAAGCTCCTTACGGACTAGCTATCTTTCATAAAATATTTTATTGATTTTTGTCATGAATCCATTGCATTTATTGGTATTCCTCCATAGGCCAGATGCTTCGGTTGCCCTTAGCCGGGTATACCCATTGAAACTTGTAGATCAAAAGAAGTAGAGCTATCTATCTCGTTTTACCCAGCTTCGTATGCCAATTTGGTCTCAGTCGCGTTGTATTTTCGATAATTCTCCCAAACCTCTGTGGAACTTGAAGTGGCATAGTTCATGGAGAAAGTTCGCGTCGGTCGTCACTCATGATAAAATGCTCTGGTTCTAGGCCTAGGGGTGCATTCAAAGTTGGATCATTATGGTCTACCTAAGTATTCAGATATTGAGTCGTCAGCTGGTGTTGTCTCGCCACAGATCGGTACTGAGCCGTGACATACCTATAACCTACGTCCCCCCGAAACGCCATATCAAATGATTTCTCGACAATTTCCATTTAGGCGGGACTGGGTGGTGGGTTGGGAGGGAATGGACGGGGTGAAGGTGGATCCTGCACTGAATGGTTGCTTGTCGGCAATCCTTCCGTCATGATATTGGCGTTTTGGGCACAAGATGAAGATATGAGAGTAGTATGCATGCTTGTTTGTTATAGAGATATTCCGCGTTATCTTGCGAGGCAATATTGGAGAACAGTAGTATAGGTATTTGAGCCAAACTTGAAGTTCGTTCAAAGGGTGAACCTGAAGTATAAAATCGATGAGAGCGCGGGAGAGAACTTCGAAGCCAAAAACCAACTTCAAGTTGGAAAGAAAGTTTAAGTTTGATGAAGAAAAAGAATGAAAACTAAAATCTTCCGGCAGGTAGATCTCTCCATTTAATAACCCGACGAACTTGAAAGTCGAGCAATCGAGAAGCCAGCACCCATGTAGGTGGTACACCGCCATCCCATCGGCCATCCCAATCAAGGAACTTGAATCAAACAAGGAAAAAAAACCAACCCTGAGAAAACAAAGCAAGAGCTAAGCTGTTTGGACAAGAATTGTACTATGGAGGTAGCTATCCAGGTGCTCAGATCCCACAATGTTCTGGATTTCAGCCTGCAAGGGCCCGACGGAAAGAACTTGATGTATAAACCATTGGCGGCGCGCCGTCACACCCGCGATCTCTGACCACTTTTATAAGAGGCTGGCCAAACCCGGATACAAGCTTAAACTTCCTAAATGAAAGGTCAAAGCTCCGTCAGGTGTAGAGAGGGTGAACCTGTCCGGTCTTCTAGGTTCGCAGGCTACGAGTTATACGAGCAGAATGATTTTACTCGTCAGACGGTGGCTGCCTTTTTGCGACGTAGATGGCTTTCCCCAGACCTGGCAGAGAGTAGAAGATTTCTGTGGAGTAACACCAGCGGTCTGGGCTGTGAGTTTGCGGCTTCTTGCAGCGATCATCTTCGTGATGGTGGGCAAATCGTTGGGGAATTGCCTTTTTCCCCGATACGATCCTAGTGGACCGTGGCGGCTGCTAACCGCTGATCAGCTTGATCGGCGGAACTGAAGGGAAGGAAATCTACCTGAGCATGCTAATGTGGCGAGTAGTATACCTAGGTATATGTACTCTATTATACTTAGGTTGCTTATCTTTTAAGTTGGCTGTTGAGAGTGGCAACTCGGGAGAACCCTAAGAGAACACAGAGTGCTTCTGTTGCCACTATCTCCTCTACGCGGTTTTTTTTACAATGGAATTATAACTGATGCAGGGGAGCTGTTTCGTCCGGCTGTTAGCTGTCAGTCCTGCAGGATATCTCGAGCTTTCCCGTGTCTCCAAGCACCGAAACATCCATATAGAATTCCGGAAACGCAAACACAGCCGGAGATCAGCACACGTGGATCACCTTGCGCTTCCCGTTGTGCCAAACCCCTTCTTAAACGATACTTCTAGATGGAGCTTTCCCCTCAGGGGGGAAGAGGTGGTTGCCAGGTGTAGCCTCGCACCGCAGGCCGTTTCTGCAGCCCGTCCAACGGCGGGAAACAAGGGCCTTGGAACCAACCACCGTCGCCTCGACCAGCTCCCCAGCTGTCAATATCCGCTGGCGACATCAAGCAGTCGTAGAATCGGCCGTGCATTCGCGGGAGCAAATCTTGTTCAACCTTCCAGCTCGGCCGAAGGGCCGGGGGACTTCTCCTCTGCAGATAATCCCTATGAGTACCGGGTGCTGTCCCGCAAAAGTCCACTGAATATTCTCCTAGACTTGCACCCGCCCGATCAACTATAATTTTGCTTTCTTGGGGTCTTGTGTCATTTCTCGGCGGCGGCTGGACACCTGGGTGCTGAGTCGTTGGGCCGCGCCTTAAGGCTTGGGTGTGCTGCCTGCTCGAAGTATTGCTTGAGTATCCAGTCATGGAGCTACAGCAGGTTACATAGCAGTTATTCCCAAGCCATTAACATGAGAAGTAGGAGTGTACAGAGCTGCTGGCTAGAACCGGTCAATGCTCAGGTAGCAATGCTATCCAGAGAAGGATATTGCCGGACACATGACTACTCGGAGCTGTTGGTAGTAAGCCACATGCTCCATAGGCTTGTGGAGGAGGGCATTGGACCATTAATTCCGGCCTGGTGCACGCGCACAGCGTCGGGTCCAAGAGCGGTGCCATACCTCCGAGAAACTCACACAAGACCACCGCAGCAGTACGCCTGTGAGGAAGACTTTGCGGGTGCAACGCCATCTTCAGTTGCTCAGTATCTAGGCCCGGGTTCGGGCCCTTCAAGGAGCGGTATGAATCGAATCGAATCGAATCGATGAAGTAGAAATCCCCCACTTGACCGCCACAGCTGCCTGCAAACTACATCCGATGATGTGAGTCATTATGCTAGCTCATTCATACGTGCATCGAGGCATGGCGGAGCCGGATTTCGAGTATAAGATCCCCGTGGCCAATGGTGACTTTCGGGGATGCGAATCCTGGTAGGTTGTCAGTACCCAAGAGCTGCATGAGTTGGCCGTTTCGGTTCGATGTGATCCAGCAGATTGAGAAGTGGTATAACAGCGGTGTGAAGGAGCCCCATATGCACTGCCAGCCGCTGTCTGTGTGGCAAACAGAGCAATCAAAATGTATAGGGATCTTTGCATTGGGATTGAAGCAAATGTTCCGAGGATGTAAACCGTAAACAATGGGGGGTGGCAGTATCACACCGCCGAAAACTTTCCACCCGCCTGGAAGGCGGCCATCCACACTCTCATCGTTCAAGCAGATAACCAAACAACCCTGCCACGCCATGGCTTCGAATCTGTCTATTCGAGCGGTCAGGACCGCCAATGTTGCGCGGTCTGCATCTCGCCCCCTCGCAACCCTCATCCCCCGCCGCACTTATGCCACCAGCCCGGAGGTTCCAACTGCCGAGTCAAAGGAGCCCCGATGGTCGTACACTCCGCCGCGCACCAAGGCGCCTTTCAGTCTTCACAATCACTCGAAGCCAGTCAAGTTCCATGTGAACTCTGACCCGGCTCTCCTGGATGCGTTCTATACCCGTATGTTGGGACAGGATGGCGAGAAAGTCCTCTCCGATGAGGTGAAGTGGTTGGCCGTCACACACAAGAGTTTCGATCAAGGACGCCGAGGATTCAACGACCGATTGGCTTTCCTAGGTACGTAACAGATTCAATCGCAGAGTAATGGCATGGATTGCGCATCAAGCTTACACGGACGCGTAGGAAAACAAGTGGTGCAGGTTCAGGCATCTCTCGCCCTAGTCCAGAGCCCCATTGCGACGGCGTCCTCTTCACCTGACCCTCATGGTCGCGAGCCCTTCTCCCACCAGGCTCTGGAGGGTCTACAGAACCTCTCCTCCCGCACTAAGAACGCCCTGACCGACCGGACGAAGCTGGCCGAGCTGGCAAGAACCTATGGGACCGAGAAGATTATCCGTTGGAACCCCCGGATGGTATGAAAACCCGCCCGAATAGCTCCGACCCAACCTTACAGCTACTGGAACTTGAACTAACACATTTTGGTTATAGCCGGAGAACTTGATTGAGTCTGGGATTGAATTGGTCCTGGCACAGACTCTGTACTCTATTATTGGCGCCATTGCGCTGGAGAAGGGAGGTCACATTGCGAACAAGGTGGCTCAAGAGCGGATACTCGAGCCTCTGGGGTTCAAGACAGTCTCGTCATGAAGAGGAGACTGATTAGCTGGAAAAGCCCTTCTGCAGCATTTCCATGGCGTTCTTGATTTGATTTTGGGACTATTTTACCCGCCGGACAGGGTAGGATGGACCAGACCAGGCTGTCCTTGGGATGGGCACAGTCACAGTCACAATTACTTGTACATGTACTATTAGAAAGAGAGAGGATGTATTATTGACTTCTTACTGGTGATTTTATATTTTTGCGAAATACCAATGCCAAATGCCAGATATACCAAATGCATTGTCAGATTTACTAATCCAAGTTCAAGTGCAAGTTCAGAAAAATATAATCATATTCATGTTGAAATAAAATTAAAAAAAAAAACTTCAATTTTATAGCAAGGAATGTATGGCTCCTCTGACACCGCCCGCGCAACAGTAAAAAATGCGCGGCCAGCTCTTATGGATCCTATCGAATAAACGATGCTAGTCTCCGCTACCTCGGTATCGCAAGTCAAGTAACTGAATAACTGACGGCCAGACTAGCAGAATGCTAGAGGCTGCAGAATACTGACTTGTACTGTCTAAAAAAGGGCGTTGGAGAAGAAAGAAAGGAAGAAGATTTCGCGGCGAAAAAAATTGGCATTTGTAGTAGACACGCTAACCCGATTGGGACTTTGGGCCAGAATGCTCCACTGCGGGCGACTCTCTGCTTGTTTCTCGTACACACCCACTCCAGACCTCCTCTCCTCCCTCGACATGCTGCTATAGGGTCTCGGTGTCTCGTTCATTTCTCTCTCTCTAGCGCTGTCACCCCATTACACTGCTCCGCATTCACTATTCACCATTTACCGTCACCGCCACCGCCTACAATCCCACCTTCCGCGCATATTTGACACCTTTCACCAATATACCTTCACAGACACGTCATGGCGTCGGCTCTCTTCTTCCTTGACCTGAAGGGCAAGGTAAGCTGCTCTACTGGATACCGGGGAATAATTATGATCACCTAATTGATCTTGGAATCAATCCCCGCCAATGTGGCCTGTATGGCTAACTCACATAGACTCTTTTGGCCCGCAATTACCGCGGTGACATTCCCATGTCTGCTGTTGAGAAATTCCCTCAACTCCTCAGCGATGCCGAAGAAGAAAGCTCCGCGGTACCTCCCTGCTTCTCACATGAAGGAATTAACGTGCGTTCCCCCCTAAATACTCGCCCCTCGCCCCTCCACACTCCACATAACCCCTTCCCGCACACGACACTTCTCCGACCTCCTATTCTCCATAATGCGGCGCGCACGACTCCACTAACCTATCTGCAATTCGCTTCTTAGTATCTATACATCCGCCACAGTAACCTTTACATCCTCGCTCTAACAAAGAGAAACACAAATGCCACCGAGATTCTCCTGTTTCTCCACAAGCTTGTGGAGGTGTTCACCGAATATTTCAAGGTGCTGGAAGAGGAGAGTATCCGCGACAATTTTGTCGTCATCTACGAATTGCTGGACGAAATGATGGATTTCGGATACCCTCAGACCACAGAAAGCAAGATCTTACAAGAGTAAGACGCGACCAATCCAACCATGCCCTGACTGTTGATCCGGGATCACGGTGCTGACCATTCCGCTCTACAGATACATTACCCAAGAATCACACAAACTCGAGGTGCAAGCGCGGCCACCCATTGCCGTCACTAATGCCGTTTCTTGGCGAAGCGAAGGTATCCGTTATCGCAAGAACGAGGTCTTCTTGGATGTGGTCGAGTCTCTCAACCTGCTGGTGTCGGCAAATGGAAATGTGCTGCGATCCGAGATTCTAGGCGCGGTCAAGATGAAGTGTTATCTAAGTGGTATGCCCGAACTGCGATTGGGACTGAACGACAAAGCGATGTTCGAGACGACAGGTCGTGCGACACGCGGCAAGGCTGTCGAAATGGAGGATGTTAAATTCCACCAGTGTGTGCGACTCTCACGATTCGAGAATGACCGGACAATCAGCTTTATTCCGCCAGATGGTGAATTCGAGCTTATGAGCTACCGATTGAACACTCAAGTAAAGCCGCTGATCTGGGTCGAGTGCTTGGTGGAATCGCATTCCGGGTCACGAATTGAGTATATGCTCAAGGTGGGTTTCTTTCCCCAATGAATGTCAAATTATAGCCATGCTAACCTGTTTCCGCGGCACAGGCCAAAGCACAGTTCAAACGTCGCAGCACTGCCAATAACGTCGAGATCCTTGTTCCCGTACCCGAAGACGCAGATTCTCCCAGGTTCCGCACCAACATCGGTACTGTGCATTATGCCCCCGAAAAGTCGGCGATCATCTGGAAGATCAAGCAGTTTGGCGGTGGCAAGGAGTTCCTCATGCGGGCGGAGCTGGGTCTTCCGTCCGTGAAGGGCGACGATGAACACGGTGGTGGTATGACTGGTGGATTTGGAGGTAGCATGGGTGGAGCTGGTGCAGGAAAATCGAAGCGACCCATAAACGTTAAGTTTGAAATTCCCTACTTCACCACCAGTGGTATTCAAGTGCGGTACCTGAAGATCACCGAACCCAAGGTATGTTACTTTTTGCCATATTTACAGCCTTTCAGCAGGCCATATACTAACTAATGAACCAGCTGCAATACCCCTCCCTCCCCTGGGTCCGCTATATCACACAGTCAGGCGACATTGCCGTCCGAATGCCAGACGTGCAATAAGGAGTTTCCGATATACCTGAGTGATTTGTACAGCCGTTTTTCGTTCGACATCTTCCCAGCCCTCTATTTCCTCCTTCCCCAGACATTATGTGCACCCTTTTGTGGACGGCCGGTCCGATAGATAATACAATTCCGATGTGCTTGTCCGTCCTGTTCATCTTTGTATCTGTTACTTGAATTGGATGTGACTTAAAATAGATAATGTGGTTTGCTTTACATTCAAGTTGATGAATCTTCTGCACTATATGGTGGATAAACTGGGGTATGCAAAAGGATTATCATTATAATTCAGTTTCTTCCAATTGCAGTGGAACTAGTCGCCAAGCTAATCCCCATTGTTTTTCCTTATGTTCCATCGTCTCCACCATACTCCACTGGCTTGGGAAATGAGACATGATTTTGTTTGCACTCAACTGGGCACGCCCCAGTGCAGTAATTCGCGGTATCGAGGGTTTTCATGTGTAGAAGAACTAATAGAATCCCTGCCACCGCACGCCGATACGGTAGAGGAAGTCCAATGGAAGCAAAAGCACGATCAAAATCCGATCTATCTCAAGTTGGCCTTGGAGCAACCGAGGGGGAATTATTTATGACCTTCGGTTTACCGCCGAGCTATAATTACATCAGTGTTGTTGTAACATCTCTCCTCAGTAATAAAGCCCGAAGCAACCTATCAACTTGAATAGGTGAATTTGATTTATCCATATCGAAACTGGAGCTGTTGGTTCATCAGTTAATCTCCGAAGACCGAGAACAATTCACGGAGAAGCTTCAGGCTTGGGCATGTGCCTCACCTCTAGTCATCATTAGGACTGGCTTCGCACATATTCTGCCCAATCAATTCACTCCTGGCCTTCGACTACTTTAAGCCTTGGTATCACTTTGGGGTGTTCAGTAGGTAACACAGATAGCCTTCCCTCCGCTATTTCTAGGAATGCGTTTAGGTAGGTGATACGTTGCACAAGAACGATAATTTGTAGGGTTCTCCCTCTATCATTTGGACTGAGAATGCTTGGGAGCCCGGATTTGATTTTCACTGTTCATTGGGTATTGCAGATTTACGTGCAAGGTTTAGGAGAATATTGAATAGAGGTCATCCTGTTCGTAGGAATCTAGATCTCATTCCATTTATTCAAGAGTATACATAGTTCTACAATCTACAAAATGTTACCATCCGTAGGTATTGGAACCTTGGCATCGAGAAAGAAGAATACAATCCTGAAATGAACAGAAAACCACTAGAAGTAAAAGGCAAGGTAGGGCAGCATTGCGAACCGGTCAGTACAACTCGACGGCATAGAACGGTACGAACTGATATCTACGCAAACATTCGGTTAAAGCTCTTCAAAGATACCCTATCTCCCTGAATATGGTATTTTGAAACTGTCTCATCCAGCCAAAGCAAATTATAGAACGTCTCCTCCCCGTCTCCATCCCCATATTCCTCCAATCTCCGCTCTGTCCAGTATCCGAGTTTATGCTGCTTCCACGCAAGCACCGGAGGTACACAGGAACTGGATGCAATGATCCGCTCCCATCGGAACAGAAGAAGCACAGACACAGAAAGAATGGATACAGGTATAAATAAACTCGGACTGTTCGCGGCGGCAGATGAGACATGCATGTGATTGGGTAAAATCCGTTCGTTCCCTCCTCTTGAAGCCTATCTTCGCAACATGAACCTCTCCACGCATCCTGATCCCTGCTTTTTTTCTTTCTTGCGTCGGATCTCTCCGGAGAAATACTGCGCCTCTGTAACTCATATGACTTTCCGAGGAACTATATTGAGCTGATCTTATCATTTGTAATAACTATTTTGCTAAATTATCTTACCGATATCGTTCAATCAAGTTGACTCTACGTTTGCTTAAATCATTGAGTTGGTTCTTAGCAGCCTCCCTTTCTGTCTGACACAAGAAATATCTCCAAAGCAAACGGAAGATCATCTATGCTGAGTTAAGAATGGATCTGACAGGATTCCACCTGTCAAGGCCTTTGGTCATTTTATACCACCTATTATGGCTAGCATGCCATGTGTCAGCAAAAGCAGCTTTTGCCCATTTTATGGTAATGATTCTTTCTACTCCTGTTATTCACCATACAAATCCAAATCCATCTGACAGATATTTGCCTCCAACAGACAGCAAATACAGGACTCTATGAATTATCCGACTGGAAACACGAAATATCTCTCGCCCAAGATGCCCACATCGATGCCTTCGCCCTCAACATGGCCAACGGCGTTGAATCCAACGAAAGATCAGTAAAGAATGCCTTTGAAGCAGCAGAGAGTCTAAACTTCCACCTATTTTTCTCATTTGATTACGCTGGTAACGGATCCTGGCCCCAGGCTCAAGTAACCGCCCTCCTGCAAAATTTCTCTTCCAGCAAGGCATACTACCGTTACAACGGCCAACCATTAGCGTCGACATTCGAAGGCTCCGAGAGCGCAAAGGACTGGATCGAAATCAAGAGTCAAACGCATTGCTTCTTCGTCCCGGACTGGTCGTCCGTCGGGGCTAAGGCAGCCCTAGAACTCGGTGACGGTGTTGCGGATGGGTTATTTTCATGGGAGGCTTGGCCGTCAGACGGCCGGATGGATACCTTTGGCGATGCTTCTTATCTTAATCCTCTACAAGCGGCCAAGAAACCTTATATGATGCCCGTCTCGCCGTGGTTCTATACGAACATGCCTCACTATGATAAGAACTGGGCCTTCCATGGGGACGATCTGTGGTATGATCGGTGGGTGGAGGTTACATTTCTCGAGCCGGAGTGGGTGGAGATTATCTCGTGGAATGACTATGGAGAGTCGCATTATATTGGTCCGCTCAATGAGAAGGGATATGGGGTGTTCACTGCTGGCAATGCACCGTATAATTATGCGCGCAATATACCACACGATGGGTGGAGACTGCAGCTGCCATTCGTGATTGACTTATACAAAAATGGTACGGCGTCAATTACAGAGGAGAGTCTGGTCGTGTGGTATCGTGTTCAACCTAGAGATGCTTGTTCAGGAGGCAACACAACAGGCTCTGCGATCAAAGAGCGAGCAAACCAGGAGAAAGAAAAAGAAAAAGAAAAAGAAAAAGAAACAGATACTGATATCTACCTGGAAGACAAGATATTCTTCTCCGCCTTACTTGCCTCCAACGCCTCGATTAAAGTGACCATGGACGATTTGGAAAAGAACGCCCACTGGGAAGACGAACCCGATGGCGGGGTGGGCATCTACCACGGAAGTTTTGCCTACGACCCCAAACATCTCGGAGAACCCACCATCACCGTCTCGCGCGATAAGAAAGAAGTAGTCCAGGTGAAAGGCCGAGCCCTGACTACAAGTTGCCCCAGCGGGTTTGCCAATTACAATGCATGGGTTGGCAGCGAGACATCGGGCAAGACTATACCCGCCGTGTCACCAGAGCTCCCTCTCTCCAAGCAAGTCTGCATCAAAGGGTCAGGCAGGTCAAACTTTACAGAACTATGCGAATTTACCTGCAAATATGGCTACTGCCCAGTCGATAATTGCTACTGCACGGCCATGGGAAGCGCCCAGGACAAACCAAAAGCAACTAAGGATAAAGGGTCCCCAAGAAACGGCGATGACAGTTATGAAGGACTGTGCTCTTTCAGTTGCTACTATGGGTTCTGCCCTGAGAAATTCTGCAAATTTCCGGGGATGACACATACTACTACTAAGTCTAGCTCCCCTTCGCCCACTGGTACTTGTAACCCACGGAGTTCCGGCTGTGCACACACGAATGAGGGAAGTAGGACGGATCTATATTTTGGGTTTTTGAGCGTTCAAGTTCTTTTTGGGGCTTTTCTCGGGATTCATATGTGGGTCTGATAAGGTGGTCTTCTAATATAGAAAAAGCCATGACCATGACCATCTGCAGTCACTCTATGTCGATTCAAGTTTCTTTTTGGTACCATAGCGAGGTTGTTGGCGTCGGCATTTTTAGGGCACTCGTGGACGATATGAATAGTTCCGGCAGGTCCGTGTGTAGCCTATGAAGCTGTGACTACTCATAGACTTGCGGTACCACCTGGGCAGTCACTAATTAAGAAGGATTTCCAAGGAACAGATCGTTGACAATATTGTAATTTGGTCTGCTGACTGAAGGATTTCACCACTGGCAGTTTGGAGTAGAGAGACCTGCTGTGTATCCGTTAACCATCCGTTCGACAGCAGGAAATGTGACACAAATAATAACCTTCATTTGATATTGTAGTCAACGGGATTCATATACGAACGTATAAAAGAACGAGATTAGAAAAATGCCAGAAGGGTATCTCGATTCTCACTAAGCACAGGATCCAAAGACAAACAACTTGAAAGAAAACAAAGTAGCAAAAGTGAAATTGAGATAGAGAAAAGAATGCACAAATCTTAAATTCATACCGCAACGCCCTGCACAGCGCCCGTGGAACTTTTCTTGCCAGAACGGTTTTAGTTGGACCAAGCCTCTGCAGAATGCCGGCTATACACGATAAAACGCTAAAAACGAGACATCACAAAAATAGAACCCTTCCCATAATCCAGTATATACCCATGAGAAAGGAAATTGACTGGAGGGTACATCGGGTTATGCGGACCCATTGGTCGCATGGTCGTCCGGTGTTTCAGGTGGCGGCAACGGGAATCCATCTGTTCGTCCGGCGGCGGCGGCCTTGGAGAAGCCCTCACGGGCAAGCATGGTGTTTAGGACGGCGCAGTTGTAAGCTGCTTCACCGGGTGGCACCACAAGGAATATATATGTGTTGTCTGTGAATCTACCAAGGAAGATGTTGAATTGGGGGGTTTTGGTGTGCATAACGACGAAACCGGCTGAGGCGGGAGTGGTGCTGGTATTGCGGGCGGCGCAATGCTTGAAGGCCTTCATGATATTGGATAGACGTTCGTGGCGGTCGAATATCGGGTTCAAGTCGCCAATCTCAGATGACACGGAGGTCACTGTAAGGAAGGTGGATCGCTCGAAGAGAATGACTTCCTCGGCGTCGATTTTCTTTGCAAATGCCGAGAGGAACCGTTCAATCACAGTTAGATTTGGAATGAGCTTGTGTACGATGCCAGCCCATGCCTTGTACAAAGATTGATCCCAGATGCTACTGCCAAAGGTATCGACGCGGAAGCCCTCCGAGCGGGAGCGGATCAGGGCTGAGCGTTCTTCATAAATGCGTTGGCGGTGCTCGCCTTGGATAAGATCCATCTTATGTACCAGGCAGAAGACGTAGGCATTCGGGCTGAATTCACGTAGTGCATCGATTATTGCATTGTAAGTGTCCATGTCCCGATCGACTTCACGGGATTCAATGTCGAAGACATAGATAAGGACGGCGACGTCGGAGAAGATGTTGCCGCGCTGAGAGGCAAGATAGGTTTCCATAAATGCATCTTGTCTATAGTTGCGAGAGACAACTGGTTAATTTTCATAGTCTCCAAGCTAAAATCCCGCAGCTCAGACGAAAAACTTACCCTCCGCAATCCCAAAGATTGAGAGTGAGGTTCCCCATGAACTTCACATGGCTATGCTCCACATCAATGGTGGCGCCGAGACGTCGGACATCCTTGGCGACATAGTTGCTGAAAATGATGGAGCGCATAGAAGACTTTCCCGAGCCGCTCTTGCCCATCAATAGGACCTTTCTCTTCTTCTTGCGGGCGTCCATTGTGTCGATCCTCTAACGGTTGCTGCTGAGCTCGGATGCCCCGCAAGAAGCGGGGGCCACTCGGGTAGTTCTGGGAAGCGGCTGAAGAAGCTTGCTGGTTTATATGGAATGCAGGAAGACCCCAGATGTCGATTTGGAGAAGTGAGCTTGTAGGAAGGGGATTTCCTTGAGGAATTGAAGACACCAAGAGCGGGGGAGGAGAAGAGGGTAGCTCCAGCCTTCGGCGCGGAGTGCGGAGTGAGTTCTGGGACGGATCAACCTTACCCCGGCCACATGCGGTCATGTGATCTGTGATTGTGGAGGTTGGAATGGGGAGATGATTGTGATGATTGTACCTACCAGGGTTTCTAGGCAACCTATATACTCTAATGATTTGGAATATTCACAATTAAGCTTAAACCATACACAGGTTTTCTTGAATAAATAATGACGTGAATTCGTGGACATCCATGGTTGAACCCGCAAACCGAACACGCCTTGAACCGAGGCAACGAGTGTTACGACATCGAGTGCAATGCATTGGGATATTGATGTTTAGTAAACATAGCCATGAAAAAATTCACAGGAGAAGTGAAGTAAAAAAAAGATGGAGAAAACAGAGTGAGGTAAAAATCTGGCTGTCACCTATATGGGTAGAAAGTGGTATCCGGAAAGAAACGCAGACGTGTGCAGTGTAGCACACCATGCAAAAGGCCTCAGTCGGAAGAAGTGAACCGAGAGTTAGAGCGTAAGGAAGAAGAAGAGAAACAAGCAAAGAAACGAAGAGGCCAATGATGAGAAGTGAGAAGTTCAGGGTCGTCAACAATTCATAAGGACCGGCACCAATCGAAAGAAAAAAACAGGTGCGATCGGTGCCGGCTAGGTATCCAATCATCCATTAAACTCATGCATATTAGGGCATTAGAAGACAGTGCCGTCAGAAAGGATCATAATAGGAGGCTCTTTTGTGTTCGGCCTGGAGACTTCGGCGATTTCACGACCGCCCTGGGAGATGTTAAAAAATGAATACCCAAAGAAAGGAGAAGATGTTTGACAAACCTTCCAAGAACCAGCCTCAAGCATCTGAGCCAGTGAGAGCTGCTCCTCCGACCCAGTAAGTCCGAGCTGTTTATTTACTTCTTCAAGCAGCTCGTCCAAGAAGCCCACCGTGGCAGCCCGCCACTCCACGATGACATCGTCATCAGTCGAGAACAGGGGTACGACCTCCATGTTCGGCTGACCCTTGATCTGGGCATTTTGCTTAAAAGCCTGGATGCCGCGTTCCATATCTGCTTGCTTTAAACTCAACAGTCCCATGTCGATGAGCAAGCCGCCATTGCGGTACTCCGGCAGGCCGGTCAAGAGCTCACTGCCATGGAAGTAGATGTGCATCAATTTGGACATGGGGACCATGATGGAGTAGCAGAGCCATTGAGTCAACTTGTGGAACGGGACAATGCTTTCCCACGTCTGTGCAGGTGGGGATTTCGGTAAGTCGGAGCATTCCCAGGCGTCACCAATCGATACACCATCGATCTGAGTGCGGGATGCAGGCCAAATAGAAGATAGTCCGTCCATGAGGACCGTCCATAGAGTGGTGATCGGGACAATAGGGACGGAAGAAGCGAGAGTCGAGGTGTGGCCGAGCAGGTAGTCTATTTAATGGATGGATGTTAATTGACTGGTCAAATCGCTTCCCTTGCTATATTGATATGTGTGAGCACTCACCGAGCATGTTTCCAGGTCGAGCATCTACGCCGAAGAAATCCTGGTTGTTGAGCGCATCTGCTAGACGCACCAAGAGACCTGCACGACCTTCAATTCCGGCCAGCGAGTTCTGATCCGAGTGCTGCATCCCCTTGGCCAACTTCTCAACAGTGACTTTCTTTAATCCGGCGCCATCAACCTGACACGGCTCGGTCGGGTCACTGCTGAAGAGACCAGATTTGAACATCTCCAGACTGGCCACAGCCAATCCTTCACTCCGGGAGTAGATTTTGCCGGACTCCTTGGACTTGTAAGACCACTTGGTACCTGCGCCCGCGTCAAGCAGCACGGAGACCACAAATAGATCAATCAATCGACGAGTTCGTTCTTGAGCATCAATCGAGCTCGGCCAGGATTGAAGTAACTGGTTAATACGAGGACGACCCCCGACATCAAAATGCTGCCATCGGCCATGTGGAGGAATGTTTTCATATTCTGGAGCATAGTCGCGCTGTCTGGGGGTTAGCATGTGGCCTAATCCGAAGTGATCACATGGGGGAGTGGTCCCCAGAGGTTAAGGGGTGTTTATTTTGTTTGTTTACCTTGATGATGGAGACGATGTAAGAAGCGGTCGCTTGGAACTTGGAGATGTCGACATCAAAATGGTTGAGCTGATTGTTCTTTGCTTTTTCCAGGACAATGGTGGCACGATCACGTACGGCGTGAATGCTGCGCAGATAGGCGGCGGGGTCCAGGGCAGGGTCCGGGGGTCTAGCGATGGGCATTTCGGGAATTGAAGCGGGCAGGCCACTGCCTTTGTACCCGGGGGATCTGAGGGAAGTGTTGGAGTTGCGGGCAGAATTGACGGAGACAAAGGAATCCTGCTCGTCCTTGTCACTTTGGACAGAGGCCTTCGAATTGCGCTTAAAGAGGCCCATTGCGCAGGTTGATCCCGGGAGGTCAAGTGGAGAAACGGTGATAGGTGGAAGAGGGGGATGCAGTTGCTCCCATCCAAGTTGACCAAGACCTTTTCCCACTCAAATATTTGTTTGGCGTATGTATGTCTTTGTTATTATTTTTTGGTGTTATTTTTGGGGGGGAATTGTTCTGGTGCCAGTGGTTTGGCGATTTTTTATCCCCTAGCAGTCATGGGCGGGGCGGTCGGGCTGTTGGAATCTAGGTCGGTGTTCAAGTGGGGTGGGGAAGAATTAATAATTTGATCGAGGTTGCAGAGGCGTCTGAGAGGCGTATGAGAGGGGGAGGTAGAGGTAAAGGAGAGGAAGGAGAGGAGAGAGAGAGAGAAAGGTTGGAAGTAGGAGAGAGAATGAGAATCCCCTGAAAGGAAAAAGGTAGAGCGGGAGGTGGGGGAGAAGGTTGGAAAAGAACTCTCAGAACTCTCAAAACTCTCGATCTGCAAAGAATTGAGGGAACCAGGGCCAGGGCCAGAACTTAGACTAAAAGACTAGTGTTGGCCAGAACTATGGAACGCTGGATCTGTACTCCGTAAAGATATCTTGGGTACTCTGGATACTAGAGCACTAGTATAGATCGTACCAGTCAAGACGAAGACATACAAGGATCGTCGCGGTACAGAGTATGGTACCCTAATTATTGACTAGTACTAGTGGTGAGTACATACTCGTCACAGTGTTCAACTATGGCTATAGCTATAGCTATAGCTGTAGCTATAACTACTAGTATAGCTAGCTATTACTATCACTGTCACTTGTGGAATTCACATGTTCCTGTCTCCCCCGATCCTCCACGGCCGTATTCCCCAGTCAGCACTAGCATCGGGATGCAAGGGGCGGGGATCGCTTAATATAATTATGATTCTTATAGGTAGTAATTAATATGAATATTTGTACTCCGTATTTGTATTTGTATTTGCATTAGTACTAATATTCCCCATGCTACACCTGATCCCATCTCAATATAATTCCATGCAACCAGGATTTCCCCTGGATTATCGGAACCAACATTCCGACTTGTTATACCCTCTCCCTATACAGCGTAATCAACTACCTAGGTACCTTGTACAGTGTACTCCGTAGTAGTAGAGTAGTAGAGTACTTCTTAGTACCCCTCTACTCCGTACTCCGTACACTCCCACCACTCGGTATACTCCGGGCTAATGCGTGAAGCACGGACCGGCCAACCTGTCGGGTCGTTTCAGATGGTCGAACGGTCATTTCGGAGATTTCTGTTCCTGGCCTGTGCTGGCGAATCCTGTGGTGGCGACAGTACTAGTATTAGTGCCTGGGTACTTTTGTTTCGGTGGTGACTGTTCCGGAGACTTCTAGATTCGAAGTTGCGAAGAAAGCTGCTAGCTCGAAAGGGATGACAGCTGCGAGCACGAGCATCCCCGTTCGTGTCAGGGGTCCACCGAATATCTCCCTCCAATTCGTTACCGCGCGGCTCCTCTACCCGAGGGGATCCGTCTAGCGGAGTTCAAACTTTTCCGTTTCCCGTCTGGCCCCAGTGAGATCGGGGCTATTACGGTATTTATCATGGGCAATGAGGAGGGGGAGAGGGAGAGGAAGAGGGAGCTGGATACTAGTATAAATACAGTATCACGTTACCATGGATCTATCTATTCAAGTCACTTGAGTACTTATGACCTACATTGATATCTACTACTCGTTCATGCCTAGGTATCATACACACTGGCAGTCTTGTAGCCCCCGTATTAACCGTCTCGCTAAAATCGACCCATCTAGGCCGCCGTTAAGGCTCGGGACGGGAAATGAAAATCCAATTTCCCAATCCCTTGTCGGTGGGAATGCACGGTTCGGTGGGAGGCCCTCATCTCTTGAGGGAACCGCATGCAGAGCTCCACCTGGATTACCCTGCCTGTCATTTGCTATTAAATCCTACTAGTACTAGTATAACCAGAAGAATCTGAATCAATCTAAAATAAAGAATAAAAATTCTTCTCTTTTTTTGGGTCTTGTTTATGTTTATGTTATTCCCCCCCTAGGCTATCGGTATTGTCGTCGACGTCAATGGCTTACAGTTCCCACTACCCGCGCGCTCTCGGACAGTGGGGATCTCGTCTTTCAGACTACTAGTACCCTATGGTAGGTACTCCGTACAGAACTTGAACTTGAACACGGACTCGGACTCGGACGCTTAGATTCCATCCCAACTTTAATGGTCCAGCCGTCGGAACTTGCGCGAGTACGACCTTGTTACGGAGTACCGGAAATGGCGGGCTTGAGGATCCTGCTACTCCGTACTTGGCTGAACAAAAGGACGGTGTGTCCTGGACAGAGTACCCGAGTACACAATGCCATTGTTGACAATCTGTGAAGCTGTGACGGATTAGGAAGGTCGACTCTATATGAGGGTTTTGACTAGTCTAGACCGAGGCGGATTCCTACCCATGCACGGATGTACAGAACTCGATTCATGATGTCAGAACTACCAGCTGAACTGTTCCCTTTGAATTTCTTTAATTTATTATTTCCAACTGCCAATTGGAGGTGGATCGTATGTAGTAGTCTAGTACTAGTACCCCTCGTATCTCGGGCTTAGGCTAACCCTGTCCAAATCATAATCATGCATACGCTTGATGCTTGGTGTGAGCAACGACCAGTCAGAGTGGTCATACCTAGAGAACTAGTCAATCGATCCAAATAACCTTCTGCAGTCATAATGTCAATTTCAATTCCAAGGTCAATGCCAATGTCTATTTCCATGTCAATGCTAACGTCAACGAACCTGTCACCATCCAGCTCCGCAGTCACATGACCAAACGCGCCCGCGCGACTGTCAACGCCTCCTGACTACGACAGGACAATCCCAGAAGCACCAACATCAAAGACGACCACTCCTTCACCTTTCCACTTAATTCAAACCTCCAAAATGAACACTTTCGCTTCCATCCGTCCTTCCTTCCGCCTGGCGGCCTCCGCCCCAACTATGGCCGGCCGCACCTTCAGCTCCTCCGCCGCCCGCTCCGTGGCCCGCATGATCATCACCGGTCGTCTGGGCTCTGAGCCCGAGCTGTCCGCCACCTCCACCGGCCAAGATATCATCCGATACTCCGTCGGTACATCAACCGGAAGCCGTGACAAGCCGCACACCAGCTGGTTCCGCGTCGCGTCTTTCCTGCCCGAGGGCGCGCAGCGGGATTTCATTCTTGGCCTGCCAAAGGGGTATGATTGATGCCCGTCCACTCCCAGCTTGACATCCCAAGAAGGAGGGGAAACAATGCAATGCTATGATAATACAATGGCGTCAAGAACTACGCTAATCATTCATTCTCATCTACTATAGAACCCTCGTTTACGTCGAGGGTGATGCCAGCATGCGCAGCTACGAAGATGCCGAGGGCCGCAAGCAGACCAGCTTCAACATTGTCCAGCGTACGTCTTTATACTATTACCACCCGCTACGATCCTAGCTATATGCGCCCAACAACTGTGCGAAGAGAAATAGTCACTGACTGACCTGATTCCATAGGCCACCTAGATGTCCTGAAGCGCGGCGCCAACAGCGAGGAGGAGTCTCACTAAACGTTCCAATGGATAATTACTTACAACAACACACTTGGTGGGCTCTGATCTGATTGTTTTCTTTTGTTTTGGTGGAGTTCGCTGGGTGGTTGGACTTGAAGATCTATCTGCTTTATTTACTTTGTCATGTATGAGTATACCCTAAATACACCCCTTTCTATCATGATTGTTACGTATGACCAAGACGGGTTGGAATAATTCTGCTTCCAAGGAGGTGGTGGTCATGTAAATCTTTCGTTGTGGAGATATTTGGATTCTTCGAGCTGGTGGGTATGGATATTGACATGATAGTTGATAGCCGGTATGATAATTGCCGAATTTCTCCAGAGGCTCGATTCATATGATTAAACAGATAAAACGCCACGGCGCTCCTCACGCAGATACAGAAAGACAGATAATGTAAAACCTAGCATAAAGCTTCGCCGTGTTGATACAAGACATATCTAAACATGGAGTTCGCTCTGCTGGCTGATTACTTGCTTGACATGAATGAAGTCCTTCTTTTGCGGAGATGGGCTGGGCGTGATATCATCGCTAGCACGACTTTGACTGACGCTCGCCCAAGCATTAGTGTAGACCGTATTTCCCGCTGCGGGCAGATCATTCAGGAGGGTTTCGTCGTTGTGGCGATTGAAGACCATGCGGCGATTGAACGGTAGCCAGCGACGGAACCACGAGCGGGGTGGGCTCTCGTTGCGGGCACGAGGGGGTGAGTATTGAGATTTGTCGATGCTGCCGAGTGTGCTGTCCAGTGTGCTTGCCTGCGACTGCTGGGAGTTGCTTACATCCGATCCATTACTACCAAACCATTAGCCATTGGTGGAATCAGGATATTTGGGGGAAAGGGAGATATTGGCATACCGAACAACAGGGTTTGCCTTCCAGAACAATAGCTTAGATCGCTCACGAATAGTGCCAATGAGAGTGGTCGAGTTTGAGACGCCTGCAGGAGTATCGCTGTTCTGGGTGTCGAGAGGGCGAGCCACGCCAGGGAAACAGCGCCCAAAACCAAGACACCAAAGCATCGTGCGGTAGATCTTGGTGGCATCGCGGCCAAAGCCGAAAAAACCAAAGATCACAAATCCCGCGGCGATCGGAGACCACCGATCAACATACACTTGACCTTGAGTTGGGACTTTGACGATAGTGAACCACGAGGGGCCATGGATTCGACTCCACGAATATGGGTGCCAAGGCAGTGAGTATTCCAGGCTGTAGTAGAAAGTATAGAGCTCTACCGGAAGGATACAGATGAGCAGAGTGAGTCCTAGGAACAAGAGGCGCAGGAATCTGGACTTGTTCAGGTTGCTTTGTGACGAGCGTAGAATCATCCCAAACTCACTTCGGTATCGATGAAGGCGGATAAGAACGAGAACTGTGATCTAGTTAGTTGAATTTCGAATATGCTCAGGGTCGAGATGTGACGAACAGCAGTAGAAAGCTGCAACGAAGCAGATCACCGGCGGCCAGACAAAGCACAAGGCAAAGCTGACCCAGCTCTCATCCAGATCAACAACGCAGCCCGAGATGGCGTAGAGCAGATAGCGGTCCTTCTGCCATATGATATGAAGAGCCATCGATATCGCGGGAAGCAGACAGCAGAAAAGGATGTCCATGATCCGGTTCCGCCAGCGCTGCTTCCTGCTTGGGACCATGGTAGCGCGGCTGGTGTCTAACACAATGGCTAATCCGCGGAAGATGCCAACTAGAGCTCCTGGAACGGCGAAGTAACCTCCTACCATCATCTTGACCTCGATATCACACAGACCGGTACCATCCCATGCCGACTCAAGGTCATCGTTCGGCCAAACCAAGGAGTTGATGATGTTGAAAATGTTCAACAGGATATACCAGGAGACCAGGCTCGTCATTGAAATATTGCGATTCTTCGCATGGAGAATCAGTGGCGTGATTGTCACTGCAATCGAGAGGAAAGATAGAACTGGCAAGAGCACCGCAAGAGGGTATCGAGGGAATTCGGTGGTCATGATGGGGGAATCCATGATCCCAGACCGGTTGGTAGTAGAGTCTTAGTAGAAAAAGAACAGCAAGCCGTCAAGATCGAGCAAGAGCTTGGAGGAGAGAATTGATCTGGGAAGGAGGAGGGGAGCATACCAGCATCCGGCCCTATATCAGGCCGCTGGTCAATGGGACGAGCTCGTTTTGGATCATCAGAGACAGGAGCAAGATGATTCACAGATTTCATGTTGGAGAATCCTAGATCCAAACATCATAGGCAAGACATCACAGCACTGATGGGACGGGATTCCATTGACCGTCTATAGGAAGGCGTAGTGTGTCTCGCCGGGAGAGCATGGTGAAGCAGACCCATGGTACATGGAGGAAGAACCTAGCCATTGAAGTAGACGCAATAGAGGAATTGATCAAAGAGCAATCGAATCCTCAAAGAAAGTCAGGGTTATTGATGTCTGGAAGGGGTCGTTGAGGCCATGCCTAGTTTGGGGCTCAATAAGGTTATTGAGCCCTCAAAGCGGCAATTAACGGGATGATGGTGGAGTTGACTTGGATTGGAGGGCGATGATCGGGAGAAGTGCATTTCCAGGAGATGGATATGGAGATGGCAATGCGAGATACGAGCTGTTTCAAATTGTTTGAGGGGTGGTACTCCAGATGAACAGAGGCAGAGAAGTGATGAAGTGATGAAGTGACGAGATGGCAGCCATTCAGGCAGCACCGCAGCTGCAGATCGACCTCGGCTGCGCAACGAACCCCTCCACTCCTCGCCGTGAACTCTTTTCCACTCCGGCGCCTTCGGCTTTCGCTTATACCATCTCTATGATACAGGTACTTCGTACTTCGTACATGCTTAATCATGGCCGATCCCCCTTCGCCTTCTGCTTCCCGTCCGGCTTTGATGCGCCGCCGTGTCCAAGCGCGTGCAGCCACATTCGTCGAGGGAATGCCCATCCCCGACTGGCCCCAACGTCGTAACTCAACTCTATCCGATTCCATCTCAGAGGCTCGTAATTCTATCCGATCTTCAACTGATGATCTGTTTTTACCCCGTGTCGTCAAAGGCAAAGACCCCGTCGCTACGGAGGAGTCGCATTGGCACTCCACACCACTCGGTCTGGCCCTGCTCCCAGCCATCGCTGGCATTTTCTTTCAAGAAGGAAGTGCATTCGTGACCGATGTGACACTATTGGTCTTGGCTGCCATATTCCTGAACTGGTCCGTTCGGCTACCTTGGTACGTTCTCTCCCTGCTTATCAGCATTGAACTATAGTATGGCTATAGATAGGCTATTCCCATCCATACCAGTACTATACCCCACTGGTAGTTATCCAGACGCTAACGTCAGTACTAGGGACTGGTATCGCTCAGCCCAAACTCTCCATAGAGAGCAGGTTGCATTGAATACAGTACCAGGGTCTCTCGACGCACAATTGAAAGAAGAAAACGGAGACGAAGAAGAAGAAGATGATGATGATGATGATGATGATGATGACGCAGTGGAATCCCCGGGCGATACGCAGCGTCCAAAAGACCACCCTCACCATCACCGCGCATCGGCTCAGGCAGAGGCCACAAAGGAACTCCAGATACATGAACTAGCCGCCCTAGCTGCATGCTTCATATTTCCAGTTGTCGGCACCTGGCTCCTTCACGCCATCCGATCCAGTCTTTCGAGACCTTCAGAGGGCCTAGTCTCGAACTATAACCTCACCATATTTCTACTGGCCTCAGAAGTGCGCCCGTTCTCTCATCTTCTTAAACTTGTGCAAGCCCGTACCCTCCACCTCCAGCGCATCGTAGCATCCACCTCGGCTGAGGACGCAATCGACCACGAAAAGTTCCAAGATCTCACGAAACGTCTTGAAGAGCTCGAAGCGCACATCGCCGAAGCCGCGGCCGCACGGCTCTCCTCATCCCATACCCACACCCAATCCAAATCAGAGTATGGGGAGTCAAGCGACGCGCCGTCTCTTCTTACACAAGCGATAGTCGAAACCCGCCGGGCAATTCAACCCGACATAGAAGCATTAAACCGCGCTGTCCGCCGCTATGAGAAACGCACTGCCTTATCCACCTTAAACACAGACACCCGCTTCCAGCAACTCGAAGCAAGCACCCGAGATGCCATCGCTTTAGCAGCGGCAGCCCAGCGATCTAGCGCAGCGCGTAAACCAAGCTATGCATTCATCCTGGCCGACTGGGTCTGCGCCTGCATCGTCGTCCCTGCTCAACTAGCCATGTCTATCCTCAATCTCCCCGGTCGCGCTGCCTCCTGTTGTGTCACGGCTGTTCGCCGTATACTTGGCCGCCCTGTGCCTATTTCCAGGTCCAGACCCCGGGGCGGAAAGGGCAATAAAAGTTTGAAAGCTGGCAACGGGTCTAGGTTTCGGTCGAAGTCACCTCCTCCACCTCGTACGCCGATTGTGTCCCCACTAGCACAATACATCGCGGGGGCTAAGGAGGCAATTCACTAGGCAGGCCCTGTGAGAGACAAGCAGGTCTTCGCTCGTTTACCAGGTATTTTTCGGGCTATCATTAATTGGGGGCATCGTTGGTGTTGAATATGCGATTCAAATTCTTCATTTCCTTGCACACTCCGCACTGAACCAAATGCGCACTATATGGCAGGTGCATATGTATACATAACTTCATTCTTTCGGTTAAATCAAATGTGAATTTCCTATTCTATGCCCTCGCGTTCACTATTGGGGAAATGAAAATATGAGCATTTGCTATCGCAAGGTGAAAGGTTTAGCCACAACTGACCTAGTGCAGGTTAGTATTAGTGCAGATTACCGATATTGGGGATATTCAGAAACATTACACCACTCGGTATCCTACTAGGTACCCGAAGTTGTTAGGATCAATTTATTCTAGCTAGGTTTGGCTATGGAGTGTAGAAAGGGTAAAGTTGAAGGCGGAGAGAAGAGCTCCCAATGCGATGACGATATGCGGCACTCCGCTCGCCTGACTTTAACAACCTCCAGGCCCACCAACTCCCACCTCCACCACCTCATTTCATCCCATCTTCTACTCTCTGTCAAGATGAGCACCCGCAAAGGTCGAAGGAATAATAACAATCCCCACGGCCATCCCCAACACAATAATCAAATTCAACACCCCAACCCACAACTGACCGACTATGAATCCGACGCCTACTTCTCCGACATGCAACACCAACAAGCCCAAGCCGCTGCTGTTGCTGCAGCCGCAGCAGTAACAGCCGCAGCAGCACCCTCCCGCTCCAACGAGGAAATCAATCTCGCCGTAATCCGCCGCCATAACCCCTCCGTTACCGCTATCCTCTCCCTCGCACCCTACGCCGTCGTCTACATCTTCAGCCCAACGACAAAACAATGGGAGAAGAACGGCGTGGAAGGAACACTCTTCGTCTGCCAACAAACACAAGGGAAACTCGGCGAAGAGCGCTACACAGCTTTCGTCCTGAACCGCCGCGGCCTTACCAACTTCGACCTGCCCTTAACAGACAGCGACAACGTCGAGATAACCGAGGAATACGTGATTCTCAAAGCAGACGAAGGCCTCGAAGGCGAAGCAGGTGCCAACGGGATCGCAGACCCTCTGAACCCTCAACCTCAACCCAACCAAGCAAACGGGTCCAGCCCAGCCGACGTCCGCATCTACGGCCTGTGGATCTACTCCGAGCCCCCGCCAAACTCGACCGCCGAAACACGCACCATCAATGCCCAATTGATCCGCGAATGCGCCGCACACGCCGGAAATAGCCTGAAGATCGCGCAGGATCGGCTCGACGCGATGCGCCAGAACGGCCTCCAAGTTGCCGCGGCTGCAGCTGAAAACCAGACTCCCCCGCTGGAAGAAATCCAGGCTAGTGTGCCGATGGGTCGACAAATATCGCTGAAGGATCTGTTTGGGCAGCAGCGGGCGCATGATGATGGGTGGAGTGTACGCGCGCATCATATGAGCCCGGCGGAGATGCAGATGCAGATGCAAATGCAAATGCAACAGCAACAACAACCCCAGCTAGGTATGATGCCGCCGCCGCCGCTACATTATCCGCAGCAGCATTATCAGCAGCAACAACCATCTCAACCACCACCGCAGCCTCAGGGCGATGTCCTTGGAGACCTGTTCCGCCGAGCGGGTCTAGCGTACCAGGGGTAATGGGAAGGGATGGTCACTACTAGAAGGTTCAAGGTGTTGGTGTTTGGGCTTCCTTTGCATTCGATTCGTAATTTGGATTGGCGCTATTGCACAGCATATCGACACGAAGGCGCGGGAATTGATCTGGATTATTCTTTACAACGCATCGATTACCACTTGCCAATCATTCACGTCGCGCCAACGTACGTTTGAGATACCCCACCGTTGTCGTGGTTAGTCAAGTAGCTAGCTTAAAAAAAACGGCATTCATCCCTGTCGAAATTTCGGGGCTTGACGAGTCCTGGTCTAACGTCTAACTTGATACAATCTCTCCAATCATCCCAGTAACTTTCCGAGTCATGATCTCGTTATGCTCTGTGTGGAATTAGTATCCGAACTCCACCGAGTGTTAGATGGGAATACCATCAAGGCGAAACTTACTCAAACAAAAGGCATGCGGCAGCCCCTCTTCACAAACGAACATCTTCGGCCCAAGTCCATCCTTACTAGTACACCCCTTTAAAGCGATGATCTCATCCCGGGTCTTCTCCGCAACCCAATGGTCATTCCGCCCAAAGTAGAAGAATAACCTAGCAACAGGGTCGCGAGTGGAAGAAACTCCCCAAATATCATCCGACCATTTATCGGTCGTAATAGTGTACATCTCGTCGGCAGCCATGTGTCTAATAGGATCAGTAGGATGAATTTTGCAGGAAGGCAATAAATTGATGATTAAGGGACTTACAAAGCCTGTCGTACACCACCAGGACTCTTTAAGAAAGTAAATGTCGTCTCAAGAGCGTGCGGTGGTGGGTTTTTCATCACGGTCCGAATGGCGCTTTTCAAGATCGATTCCGGGAGAACGAAGGTGAGGAGTCTAGCGAAGAAACTCACAACCAGTGCAAACTGCGGGATTATCGAAAGAAGGGCCTGCGAATCAGATCATATTAGCCATTGTTCAGTAATGGGTTGGTCGTGGTAGAAGCCATACCGTCAACTTTTGTCCCGAGGGAGAAGCAGAGATATCCATCACCGTCGGGAATAACATGATACCGCCAATAATGTCGAAGTCAGGGGAGTTGTCTGCTCCGTCAGACTGAGGCTCCGTCGTGTTTTCACGGTGCCGTCTCAGAATTTCCATGGCCATGTACGTCCCGACAGAATGTCCGATCAAGATTACCTTCTGCTTTTTTCCGGAGGAAATAGTTCGCATCAATTTATTTAACTTCCCCTGAACAAAACAGATCTGTTCTTCTAGGTCGTAGAGCCTCGGACCTGACTCGTCACTCTCATTCTTCCCCTGGGGGCCATTTGCATTGGAAGATGAGGAAGAGAATGATTGCTCGGATGGAGGATCGTTTTGACTCTGTTCAGCCACTTCGAACCCACCAAGACTGCACCCGTAGATACGAAACGAGGTTTCTGATCCGGATTCTGGGAGGGTGCTCTCGTTCTTCGCTTCTTCGCCCTGGTCTGCTGCTAGGTGCTTCGCCAGCAAAGACAGGAAGGGGTGGTAGTAGCTGATCAAGCCGGGGTTGCCCGAGATGAAGAAAATAGTCGTATCAGCTTCGCTTTCATCCCCTGTATATGTGCAGAAGACATTTTTGGTAATCCGGGATTCCATCGCAGTGGGATATTCTGCTATAAATTGGCTATCACAAGATTGGCAGCCTCGTCTTTGTCGTCTATGATCAAGTGGAACACGGCGAGGGGGTATGTATGTTCTGTAGTTGAATTTTAGCAAGTCCCATAATGTCTCTAGCTTCAGTTGCCGGTACCCAGTCAATTGGATGCCCACCTATTCTATTATGCTAAAAGCGAGCTGCGCCGAGGTGTAGTTGGAGAAGGTGAGGTTGCGGAGCCGAGTGGATCCTAGCCCATGTGAGCCGAGTTTGATTTGATGGTCCTACCGGACGCAAGGTCCAACCACGATCTACAACGGCGAACATGCCGACGGATCTTAACTTTGAGATTCCCCTGAACCAGTGGGGCAGCTTCCAATGTTCATGCTCGGATATAAGCCGGTTGGTCTTTTTCCGGGTCTCGGTCTGGGATACTCTGTACACATACGATATAGGACTGAACTGTGACCTATGGCCTATACCCTATAGCCCAACTACAAGACGAATTGTGAGATGCAAGATAGATTGCAATTGGTCCCAACTCCATTCCCATACCCAAAGCTCACTCCCCTGGAACCACCAGGTTTCTAACCCCAGAGAAATAATAAAAAAAGATAAAACAGAGAGAAGAAAAGGCACGAAGCCAATTCCAATGCATTGCCCGGACGCCAGCAGAGCGCAATGTACATCATTCGTCCCACAATTCTCACCATCAGAGACCGCAGGTTTGAGAGAGAAAAAAGCAATGAAAACTTCGCGCTCAAAAGATGAGAAGTAGATGGGGCGCAAAAAAAGCCCGTTATGGGTCGAAGGTGAGTTGGAAACGGAAATGGTGACCGCCAGAGAATGGCAGCAAAATGGCAATGGCAACGGCAGTGGGGTTGAAGGGGGGTTCAAAAGCACAAGCTGGAAATCCCCGCGCTATGTCTGGTATCGAGCTCGAATCAAAACAAGATAGGAAGAAACGCTGCTGAACGTGCGAAAATCAACTCAATGCGCCACTGCGCAGAATTGGAATGAAAAGAATTAACCGTCCTCATCGCCTTGACTGTCGTCTCTGTTCTCTTTCTCGTTGCCGTCGGTCGACACATCTGTGCACAATTTGTCGGCTTCGGAGGCGGTCGTCTTGGCCGGTCCTAAATTGATGGCAATCCTCTTGGGGCCGGCACTGGCAATACCACTCAAGCTACCAACGCCTTTCTCCGAGCCTATTGACCCGATTGACAGGTTCTTCTTGCGGTTGAGAGCCCCGGCACTAGAATTGCTGCTGGTAGAGCTGCGACGCTTTGGTCCCGCCGCGAGTTTGACTAGTTCATCTTCGTCTTCATCATCACGTCGACGTTTCTCTGCAAGTCGTTCTGGAGCCGGGGGTGTCTGGGCTGGCGATGGAGGATTTGAACCTGCTTCCTCGTCGACATCAGCAACCTCGCTCTGGGAAGCGTTTGCAACGTCATCAGGTTTTGTGGTATCCATGGTATCCTCATCGTCATCTTCATCATCATCAGGATAATCCACCAATGGCTTGACCATAAGGGGGGTTGATCCGTTTGGTATTCCAACAGCCAGAGAGCCCCGATCATCTTGAGTTGTCCATTCATCTTCATCATCGTCGTCGCCCGTCTCAAAGTATCGCTCCTCGTCAGCATCCAATCCCTTGACGCCTTGCCAGCGTTGGCCATTCAAGGGAATCCTGCGCGCTGCACCTCCTTCTTCCTGACTGAACAAGGTGGAATCGGCCTCGGCCTCGGCACTGTAGCCTTGGAGCTGCTCAAAGCGGATGCACAAGCTTTGGAATGTGTCCACGTAGGTAATTTGCTCGAGCTTCTCACGGTACTTCTCCACCACGTGCAGTATGAACGGTTTGATGTTTTCCCGCTTGATGAATTCAAATAGCTCAAGACAAGCGGAGTTGAGCAAATTGTCACGCGGCATGGTCTCCAGAACAATGTCCAGAATCAAGCCAAAGGTGTTATTGCGTGTCATTAAAGCCTGGTAGAAGGTATCTTGGAGGCTGATCAAGGTACGAAAGAATTTAAGAGCAACTGCCATGCAAGGTTAGCCTGAATTCCCTGGGGTCATATTTATTATTAACCATGTCTTACCTAGCTTCAGGTGTTTTTGAGGAGCTGTGAGAAGCTGAGCGACTCGAGGAGCAAGTGATTCACTTTGGATGGAATTCCGCGTCCGAAAAAGATGTTGACGAACAAAGAAAGTGAGAATATCGACAAGATGCGCGTATAGCGTAACTTCTTGGAACGTCAAATCATCAACTGGAGATAGGTTAGTGTCAAGGTTCACCGGGCAGGAAAATGGATGCAGGAGATCTCACGGGAGTCACGGCCAGCAAGCTGTTTAAGAGGCTGGAAAATTCGTTTGGAAGACTCGTCGAAGTGTTGTTGAACAAATGCGTCGGAGAGGATATTGGAAGAACGGAGTTTGAAGTAATCGGGACCAGCCCGACCAAGAGGGTCCTGCAGGGGTATCTGGGGGTCAAGCAGGATTTTAATGGCATCGGCTAGTTGGTTTTTGACGCCGAGATCGGTCTCAGCATGCAGCAGGTCTATGAGGGTATCGGTAAGGGGGGGTCTTCTTCTCGTTGACAGCTTTCAACATGTATCCGCGCATCATCACCGGATCATGATCTAGTAGCGCCACCAAGATATCGATTCCGGTTGTGCGCATAGCTGGGTTTGGGTGCTTCACGGCGAATGCGATAACGGCGAAAAGGCCGTGACTGATAAAGTTGGCGAACAGCTGAGCGCGCGAGGGAGCTTGCAGATTCTTCGCAATCGCAGCGCATTGGTGAAGGAATTGCACAGCATCATCCTTCCGCTTGGCGTCGGCATTTCTGGGATCAAAGACGGAAAAGAGTTCTCGGAGGAAAGGAGCGTTCGCTTGAATGTGATTGACGATTTCCATTTGGTTGAAGAAGATCAAGGAATTCAGGACTGAGAATGTCGGATCGTCTAGAATCCGGGCAAGAACCACATCCTTGAGGTATTGTAATCGCCAAGTGCTTCGAATCTTTCTGCGGATCAACGCGTCTCTGATGGGAACGACTTCTTTGTAACGCGACTGGTCCGCTAGATACTGTCGATGATTTGCTTTCAGCGCCGGGAATTCGGGATCATCTGTGTGTATAAGTTTAGCTTTCGCGGTTTCTTCACAGCGATTTGACGAGGGCGAGTCACATACATTCCAGAGCCCCGACAACTCCCAAGATAATTTGGTCTGCAACCACGGTCTCAATAATGGTGTTATCATTCAAGAGGATGAGGGATTTCATAATGTTGCATAGTCGGTGTAAGTCCATCAAGCTTTCAAGATCTTCAGCCATTGTGACCAATGGAACTAGCTTGCCAATGTACTCGTCGCGGATGATGAACTTGGATAGCGCGTCGCGACCGGGTTGCGTCATACTGGCGGCCCGTACAATCTGCTCGATTTCGGCGAGGTTGCCCAATTCTGGGGCTGGTAATATGATCGTTTGGTAGCTTTCGAGGTCATCGGAGAGTGCATCATCTATCGCAGGTGGATCCCCTTCTAGTTAGACACGTCGCGTGATTCAACTTCGGACGATTCTCTTACCGGCAGTTGCTAAACTAAGAAGCTGTTGCTGAACGGTATGCACGAAATCCCTGCGATTCCAATGATGGTCAGTCGGTGTCTCGATGTGGGCGCGCGCGCGCACACACGCACACGGCGGAGAAGTGTTGGAAGTGCCTTACCAGATCACCGCGCATCCTTCGGCCTCTTGGAAACTCAGCGCCATATCCGTGCCATTCTGCTCCGTCCAGACAATCAAGGTCTCTGATCGCGTGATACAAGTCAGTCAAAAGATACTTTATCGTCGGTGATACGAGTTGGGCGGATGCAGTGGGACAGAAACCTTGCTGTTTTTGATAGCCATCCTCCTTAAGGATCTTGGTTTCCAACAAGACACGATTGGGTTCATCTTCGGATTCGACGAATATTCGGGGGATTTCCTAGAATGGGAGCGCGCACGGGGTCAGTTTGAGTCGGGAAGCGAGTGAGTGTGCAGAGGGTAGGGGGGGAGGGGAAGAGGATGGGTGGTGCGATGATGCGATGATCTCATGCGCCCGAGGGGGAGAGGAGTCGCGCGAGGGCGGGCGCGAAGGCGCCAGGCCGCGGAGAGGAGTCGGAGAGGAAGGGAAAGTGGCGGAGAAAAGGCAGAGAGGAATTGACGGGCGAGAGAGAGTCGAGAGAGAGTCGAGAGAGGCGTGAAATGGAGATGGGGTCTTACATCGAGGACCTGGCCGGTGCAGAAACCAGTGCCGCGGTCAAACCAGTCATTATCCCTCAGTTCGTAGACCTTGACACGTTTGCGACCGTCGGGCGGCTGAAGCTCCATGGCCATGATCCGGGGAGTATTGACCGTGGCCTCTCCAGAATGGGCACGCGATGGGGAGGTTGAAGATGTGATGGAAGAGTCTGCGGAGGGGATGACGGAAGGAAAGGTCAAATCAATCTGGAGGATCCGAAGGCTCCACCGGATAGGAGTATCACATACTACTAGTATGGGCAGTCTAGTACCTTAAGATAGGTATAGATATCTAGGTAAATACGAGGTATAATTAATTACTGTTAATTATAATGTATAATTATAATTTATATAATTATATAATAAATATGATCTATACTCATTACCCTACGAGGTAAATATTGTAACTACCTAGGTACTAATAACTCTGGCAGTGGCAGTACCGAGGTGGAGGTACCCTTAACTATATACCTAGGTCACGGTACTTAGGTACTTACCTAAGTACCTTAAGTACCACTACGGAATGCCCAAATAACCTTCCGCCGAACCTTCCATCTACCTTCTGGAGTACATGAAATATGGACACCTGAGGATACTCCTGATTATATACCTGATATTTCAGGTGTTAATTTACTACTGTACCTAGGTACATAGTTAACTATGGTTAACTGTAGTATACCTCCACTCACACCACACTAAACTAGCATGGCAGATTCTGCTACCCGATCGGGAAAGGTTCCAGACCGCGCGCCTTGTTCGTTTTTCTTCCTTCTTTTTTTTTCATTTTTCTCTCTCCTCCCCTCTATTCACCCCTCACCCGATAACGAGCGACTTCTGGGAGTTTTGCGCTCGTCCATTCGGTTAGAAAGCTCCCTCTTCAACCCTTCAACTTCATCCCCCGCAAGCGGCCTGATCTGATCTGCGCTGCGCCGCATATACATCGGATTTATCTCCTCCAACTTGGGACCCCGCTTTTGCTTCCACCCCAGCATCATGTCCAACTCCGACTTCAAAGATCAGGTCACCGTGCAGGCCGCGACTGCCGAGGCCACAGAGGTCATCTCGCAGTCTTCGCTGCCCAAAGATCCTTCCGTGGCGATCGTGAAGAACCCAACTGCCGAAGATGCCTCCTCTGTGGACCCGGCAGACCAGATCGAGAATGAGAAGCAGGGTTTCTGGGCCTTCTTCAAGACCAAGGAGTTTTACATCATCTTGGCTCTAGGGTAAATTCCCCCACTTACTACTTGACCTTGCTGCATTGGTGCCCGCTGAGGCGCCAATCCATGCAACTTCCCACCTCCCCCCCAAAAAACGAGAGAAGATGTATCTGACCATTTGCGATATAGACAACTTCTCGCAATTGCCAACACTTCGACTAGCACTTTCACCACGCTTCTCGGCGAAGAGGGTTGGGCCATCCCCACTTTCCAAACCCTTCTGAACTACTTGCTGCTCAATGCTATCTTCACTCCTTACACGATGTACCGTTACGGCCTCAAGGGCTGGTTCCAACTGTGTTGGCGTGACGGCTGGAAATGTATGTCTACCTTACTCCGCACCCCACTATATTGTAACAAATCATCGGACAGACTAGCTAACTTGAACCTTCTCCTATCAGACATCATTCTTGCTTTCTGTGACGTAGAAGGAAACTACTTTATCGTGCTGGCATACCAATACACCACCATGCTGAGCGCGCAACTAATCAACTTCTGGGCAATTGTCGTTGTCGTCTTCATTTCATTCCTCTTCCTGCGCGTGCGCTACCACATCTCCCAAATCGCCGGTATCGTCATCTGTATCGGTGGAATGGGCGTACTGATCGCCTCCGACCACATCACCGGCACAAACGGCGGAGACGTTTCCAGCGGCCACCAGCTCAAGGGCGACCTATTTGCTCTCCTCGGCGCATCCTTCTACGGTCTCACCAACACCGCCGAGGAATACTTCGTCAGCAAGCGTCCTGTGTACGAGGTCCTGGGCCAACTGTCGTTCTACGCCTGTATTATCGACGGCGTCCAGTCCGCCATCTTCGACCGCGGCAATTACCACACTTCTACCTGGGACGGCAAGGTCGGGGGCTACCTCGTCGGTTTCACCCTGTGCCTGACGCTGTTCTACTGCTTGGCGCCGCTACTCTTCCGCCTGTCCTCCGCGGCCTTTTTCAACGTCTCCATGCTCACCATGAACTTCTGGGGCGTCTGCATTGGCGTCAAGGTCTTCCACTACAGCATACACTGGATGTACCCCATCGCCTTTGTCCTGATTATCGTCGGCCAACTGATCTACTACCTCGGTCAACGGGCCATGGCCGAGGCGCGGAAGCCGTGGCTGGGTAAAAACCAGGAACGTGGCGTGGCAGGTCTTTTTACTGCGAAGCAGCGTATCGAGCATGTCGCGCCCACCGGCTCGGATCCCGAGCGTCGGCGTTCTGCAAATGATAGCACTGTCTAAGAGATCAATATCTTAACGAGTGCTATTATAACTCTGGCCCGGTGTTTGTATTCCGTTTTTCGGCTTTCTAGTTCTCGATTTGGGCATCAAGGAAGAGTAGGATACATCATAAAACGCAAGTATACTGAACTAGTCAACCGGTTTATACATAGACGGTGATTGGTTAGAGATATTCGGGATACACGATGACTTGATTTTCCTCGAGGGTCAGAGGTTGTTTTGCTCATGATGGTGTTAATATCTAATTCTTTAATGATTTCAACCTACTTATTTTCTTGCTTGGCTCCAGGTTTCTGCTCTCTCATGATAGATCTGACGGTAGAATGAATCTAGATTTATGGCATACTTTGAATAGCAAAGTGATCTACTACTAGTAAATTTTGTCTTTGATGTTCTAGAACTCACCTGATAGTTCCACGCAAGGTATGAAGTGAGCTCGAACTCACTAGTACTGTAAATGCCCCATCCCATCTAGTCGGGGTGGATCTACTTGTCACATTGCGGCCCGGTCTCTTGCAGCAAGGTCTCGGACTCTGTACAATGGCTCCAGGGCTTTCAATTAGCTACCGCCGTGACTAGATATCATCCGTGCCGCAGGGTGACAGATGCGATGCAAAGATCCGGTCAAGTCATACAACATACGGAGTAGTTGTTACCATATCCCGGAGTTGCAGCAAATGGAAGTAAGATCTATTGCTGGCCAAGGTCTCCTACTACCTAGACTAGTGGATAGGGTGGAAATTATTGTCACTAATAGAGTACTTTAAGTATAAGGATGAACGCTGGACGACTGGAGGCTTTGCATAGGAAAGTATTATTGTGTTTATCGTTGGGCGACCTCGCAAGGATTGCTATTCCAAGATCAAGATTTTTTCTCCTGTACCACCCACAGCAGTATCTGGTTTGGAAAAATTACGAAGACCCTTAACCTGATATGCACTATGAGGAATGCGATGTGAAGAGAGAATATTAAGCTCCAAGCCAACGCAAAGCGACAGTGAGGCAGAATCATAGCCAAGGGTAACCAACGAGCGTGAAGGGAACTTTCGAGACGGAGAAAGAAGAAATGAAAGAGTTGGAGATAGTGTAGACTGAAAGGAGTGGACAGTAATAATGAACACCATATCCCAAGAAAAGAAGAGGATCCCCAGTCGGAAATTACTCCAGTGAACTCTTTTACGTCCGCGTAGCCCCAGACTCGGCATATAGATAGTAAGGTCACCCATCGCCAACCGAATCCGCAAAGAAATGAATAAGAGAGGTAGCTAGAACACCAAAAGTATGAGGAAACTCCACTCCCAATTTGAGCCTCGATTTGCGCCCCGCATTCCCCGTTTCCCAACCCCATCCCCTTTCTCTCCGTTTCCCCGGAATTGTAGATAGTAAGACAGAACCGTGGCCGATTTTTAAGTGTGCAGAAAAGAGTTTTCCAAACCCCTTTCCCCCAACCAACCCTTTCCTTGCCTGCCAGTAGGTAGATAGACACCAAAAGAAGAGACATTTGCAAAGACAAAGAACAAGACAAGACCGTTGGACATGAGAACACCGAGAAATGAGAAACTCGTGAGCTTCAGAATATAAGCGCCAGAATATCCCATCCGACCATCCGAGATAGCATAGGCACCAGATGAAGGCAAAAAACGAAATCAAAAAAACGAAATCAAAAACCGGAAGTCAAAGGCCAAAAAGGAAAAACAAGACTCGCTCGTTTGCGAGTTCAGATATGTGTGAGTGTGGATGTTTTGTCCCAAATCAAAATTGACACCAATAACAAGAAGACTCCCAGAACCATAACCGGTGGCGACACAACACCTCTTCCATCCGTCCAAGCCAAGCCAGCTTGGTATTTAATCCCAAACCGAAGTAATCCAAAATGACAAGAAACAAAATGACAAAAATAGGGCTGAGAATAACAGAGCTGAAGAACAAACCAAGACCGAGCGTTAAGAAGGGATGTATGCAGAACAGAACCTTGAGCATAAAGCATCCCTCTGCCATCATTATATAAACCGAGCATGCTCCAAGATCCGATTTCACTCCCCACAAAAAGAAAGAAAAAAAAGTGAAAAGCCTCGGTTTCGTCGAGGAAACGCCTGCAGAAAAGGGTGAACGGCGTGAACTCCCCATGTCCAGAATGCCCAAATGCATGCCAACAACGCGATATTTCAAGCCAATCAATGGGGTGCATGAAATACTTCATTCCAGATTAACCCCATACGGACGCCTGGACACCAAGACCACCCTTGGAGCCCCAGACACCGCTGCCGTTGCTCCAGCCCAGGCCAACACCACCCGCAGACGGGTCCTTGGGACCAGCAGCAGCAGGGGCGGCGACGGTGGGGTTAGAGCTTGCCGAGGTGCCTGCTGCATGAGCAGCAGCCTCACTCGGGGTGTAGCCAAATCCCAGGGGAGACGGGAGAGGGGTGGTTGAACGTTTGTTCAGAGCCGGGTTAGATGGGGGAGCAGCGGGTTGACCAGCGACTGGGCGAGAGCCGATGGGACCGACGCCGACGGATCCAATGGGGCCTGCGCCGGGCTTGGAGGGAGCCTGGCGGGAGGAAGGCGAGTCGGCACCGCCTGGAGACGAGGTCGTAGTACCGGGCTGATCGGGGAAACCAGCATTGATGGCGGAGCTCGGCGACGAGGTGCTATTGGCACGGGATGGGGATTGCAGGCTCGAGGTCGACTCGGCGACGGGAGTCTGAGTTAGACCGAAGGCATCGACTGCGCGCGGGGAGGATCCGCGGACACCGGCTGAGGAAGGAGTGGCCGCTTGGCTGTCAGACCGAGGGTTATCATCAGAAAGAGGACCGGTATTGAGGAAGGCTGGGCTTTCGTTGCCATACAGGGCGCGGTGCTGACGGTGCAAGAGGCCGCGGTGATTTTCTTCACTCATGGCAGCCGGGCTGAGGGAGCGATCGGATTTGCTTGCAGACATTTCGGCGAGGAGGCCTTTGGAAAGAGAAGACGAATTAAAATCCCGCGTTTTCAAGACAAAATGCCAAACAGAAAGAATGTAATATTATACACAAAAAAAATGTGGCCCGACGGATACATATAGATGCAGCGAGAAGAAGCATGACAGAAAAGTTTGGGACAAATGACGGGGGAATATAGCGTCAAGAGAGATGGAGAGAGACAAGGGAAGAATGAGGGCATGAAAATAAGAAAAAGAACACACGCTACCACGTACTTCGGTTGTACTGCTGCTCCTGGTGATAGTTGCGGAGCTCCCGCTCTCGCTGTGCTGCCATCCGACGTTTCGCCTGCATCATTTGATCCACCTCATTCGTCCGACCCTGGTACCGCTGGGAAGCGTAGAAGCCCTGGGCGTTACCGGAAGGGTGCGCTCGGTTGTTGGTATTGTTGTTCTCAAACTCGCTGACGGAATGGTGGCGCTGGGGGCCGCCCATGCGCGGGTCTGTCACGGAATTTCGAATCAGAAGGTCGAACACCTCGTCGGATCGGATCCAATTGCCACATACCGTACTCAGGGTAGGGCCGGCCCATCATCATGGGCATCGAGTCCCGGCGAGGAGCATTCCACAGCTTGCCGCTCTTGACGAGGTTATCGATCGCGCGGTCGACCTCTTCATAGAAATAATTATATTAGTATTTGTTCATTGTCCAATTGATGTTTTCTCTCCTTCTCTCGAGATTTCCCAATTGGTCCCGAGTCCGTTCGATTGAAGATGATGGTGGATTATCGTTATGCGAAAGTTTGTGTGTGCCACGGGTAATTTCCCATGGATCATCTTGGTCGTGCGACAAACGAACGGGACTCGGGGAGATGAGAAAAGAGGAAATGCGAAAGGATGGTGCATACCGTCGAATTGAGAGGAGAATGCCGGACTATCCTCACGCTGGGAGACCGAGCTGGAGCCTGGAAAGAAGACCATGTGTCAATTTTTCTCCAATTCTTCTTCTGATATATATTTTTTCCGTCCACGTTTTTTTGATCGGCAGAAAATCGGGGGTTGGCGAAGAGCATACCTGACCGGGAGGGAGGCACGGGTTGCTCCCACGACGCCTGGCGTGGTGTAGCAGAGGGAGCCTGCCAGCCCTGGGGTTCGTAGTACGAAGACATGGTCGTTGGGAGGAATCTTCGCGGAACGACGGCGGTTCAGGGGGAGAGCGGAAGGCGGAGGAGAGGATCCGAGTAATCAGAGGCGATCTGTGGAGACGAGAAATGTGAGTGACCGCCGTAGAGAAATTCAGGCCAAAAATAGAGGGATAAGATTAGAGAAGAAAAGACGGATCAAGTTCCAATCATCTCAAATGCAAATGCAAATCGTGAGATTGCCTGAGAAAACTGGCCGTGGGTCCTCCGTGCCGCACTCCGGCGGAATCGGGGGCATTTGGGTTGGGGAGATTTTTTTTGTTGGCACGAGGGGGGACGATCGGGGAAGATCCGAGGAAACAAAAATACGTACAAGGAGAAGCCTCTGAAGATGGAGTCCCAACAAGTCAAGGTCGAAGGAAAGAGAGGGAGAGGGAGTAATAAAGAGGGGGTAAGAGGGAAAAGAAAAAGGAGGGTGGCTATTTTGGGGGGGGTCGTGTTGGTGTGGGTGGATTCAAAGGAGGGGCGCACCCGAGATTACAAGCAGTTAGTTACAGTAGGACGAGTTAATAATCTTTGCATACCGAGTACACTTGGCTAAGTAGTGAGGTATATTCATATTGGTCATGCTATGACTGTTGCTATGACTGTCGCTATTACTGCCATGACTTGTGTAGTAGACCTTACTTTACCTATACCGAAGTATACTTTGGAACTGTATACAATCTAGTAGTACTAGTCATTGTAATGATTGTAGTATTCAGTAGTTACCCAACTACAGAGTACAGTCTACAGAGTACAGTCTACAGAGTACAGTCTACTGAGTGCCAGTAATAACATTATAATCTCCACGCGGCAATTCCCGGCCTTGAGAACGGGCCATGCGCCTAGTCGCCCCCATTCTCGTATACCTTACTAGTATTAGTATGTATGTACTCCGTACACTAACTAGTTAGTTACCTAGTCACTGACTAGGAGTACTTCATCTCTCGCCAGGTCACTACTTACAGTGGCGTTCCAAAGGTTTGAAACACCCTGAGCGACCGCCTTCCCCTACCGCCCACTATATTAGTACACCGCCCCCTATTCTACTACGCGACGTGCGTTGTATATAGCATATTATACACATTCCACGCGTTATATTGAGCTATTTGGGCCTTTAGAATGCCACCAATTCGTCATACTGCTCTGCAATTGGTGCAAAACCAATATGATACACCGTCACAGCATCCAAATGTAACACAACGCTCACGCCGGTGTCAATTAGCACCACATGAACGTGTTCGACTTGTTGAATTGAAAGCTATTGGATGGTCATATACTGAGATCCATGAACGCTATCCTTATATTCCAATTGGAACAATCAAAACTACAGTTGCTCGGGCGGAAAAACGAGGCCCAACTCAGGCTGCATTACCTCGTTCTGGTACACCAAAAAAGTTGGATGAAACAGATCGATTGAGGATACTTGAAGCAATATCAGAGAACCCACGAATTAAGTATGATGCTCTACTAGCTTTAGTCAACTTCAAATGCGGTCGAGCGACTATTTGGCGACTTCTCCAAGGTGAAAATAAACGGAAATGGCTTCAACTTCAACGACCTGAGTTAACCGACCAACAGGCTCGCCAGAGACTGGCTTGGGCACATCGAGTCCAAGATTATGACTCTGAAAAATGGAAAAAGATCTTCTGGTCAGATGAAACAACTATCGAAAGAGGAAAAGGAGGACGGCGAGAGTGGACTTTTACACCACGAAACCGCCAAATTGCGGAACGAGATGTTCAACAGGTCCCATGTCACAAAAGTGTTAAGCAAATGTTTTGGGCTGCCTTTTCAGGGACCGGTCGTCGATCCGGACTTATTCCACTCTTTGGAGATCCAGATTCTCCTAATGGAGGGGTGAACCGATTTGTTATCTTGGAATTATATCAGCGTGTGCTTCCAACTTTGCTAAGCGGAGTTGAAGGTGCTGTGTTTCAACAAGACAATGCTTCAGTTCATACTGCACATATTGTTCGTGATTGGATTGCTGATCAGGACTATGAGATTATGAAATGGCCTCCATATTCGCCTGATCTAAGTCCAATTGAGAATTTATGGTCGTTACTCAAGGCAAAGATATATGAATTGCACCCTGAGATTAGGGGCATGCCAAATAACGACGATACTCTACAGTTTATTATTGGGGTAGCACAGATAGCGTGGTCTATGATTGATATAGCGATACTAGAAAATTTGGCTATTACTATGCCACACCGTGTACAGCAAGTTATTGAAAATGATGGCTGGTATACTAGTTATTAGCAATTGTCAATACATGAGGTTTTTATTTTGTGCCGGTCGCGAGGTTTTAGTGCGGCAGAAAAAGCGGCAGAAAAATAGGGGGTGTTTCAAACTTTTGGAACGCCACTGTAGTAACTACTAGTATTTATACATATGTGTCCTCCATCTATCAAGGTTCCTCCAATGTACACTAACCGTCAAGTACTTCAACCCTACTCCGGAGGACTGCCGCCAGATCCGCTTTCCATCATTTCCCTCTTCATCTCTCCCCCCTCCCCGCGCCTTACTCGGCCCGGCTTTGTCGCAGAGCTGTATGATGATGGCAATCCTGCAATACTGCAATGCGCCCTGCACTCGCATGCAGTCTGCCAAGGCTCGTTTCGCCGCCTTGTGACTGCTGAGCTGATCTGTGAACGAGAGGGCCTATCAATGCCAAACTCTCGTCTGGGGTGGGGAAAGGAAGAGGACTTTTTTTGGTTTCCATCCTGCATTATATTGATGATTATATATCCACTGTTCAAGGTTCCTTCAGAGAACAAGGCACAAGAGTTCAAGTTCGTTTCGGAATGCACCCCGAGGACGTTAGCTGCTTAGGATTATTTCCGCCGCCCCGTTCATCTTGGTCCGTGCTATGACCAACGCATCGGTCAATTCAGGAGTCTCATGTGGGGCAATCCTCGACAGTATGAAGTACGGAGTACCCAAGGTACCTACTAGTATTTACTAACTAGTCTCGCACACACATGTACAGAGTACGGAGCACAATGCATTGTAGTATACTCTCCAAGGTCGCCCCCTCATTCAGACCGGAGTTCATCTTCAGCCCAGTCAGCGCGAGTCCGGCCTCATGCCCCCGCAGCAGGTCTGCAACGCCTGTAACGCCTAGGCGGGGCTGTGTCTTTCGGAGTGAATTGCTGAATTGCCCGGTTAAAGCCACTGGCACTCATACTAGTATACTCCCATGCCTGGAGTGCAACACTGATTCGGATCTGGCCTGATCTTGAGGCACTCTCGACCCAACTTTCCCCAGAAACTCTAGTATTCCTCGCGATCATCCGCCGAGAGTAACTCTCTTCCAGTTCTAATTCTTCTCGCGTGCTCTCCGTGTATTAGTGTATTGGGGTATCACCAGAAAAGTTATTCCCGGGGGATGTGTCTGCGTCACCCGGGAGGCCTCGAACCAAGCCAAAAAAAAAAAAGAAAACCAAAATAACCAACAAAATATTGCAAAAGAAAAAAAGAAACAAACAAAAAAAAAGAATGGTGGCGAAAGGGTCGAATCCATAATAGCTTCAAGTTTCGCATACAAACCTGGGCAGTAGAGCTTAATGAAAACCCCACTCGACTATAATACCGGAGATGAATGGAACTTGAAGGTCTTACAGGGCACCGTGGACCTAGGTATCTAACTTGGAATCCGAGTCCAGCTTTAGATTGAAGAGTTCGACAAAAGTTGGTCCGTTGCGTGACATAAACCAGCCTATAAAAAAAGAAAAGAAAAAGGAAAAGACTACCTGGGCCACTTTCATATCTAGATGTGCCCTCCGAGTGAGCGTTGGGAATTTTGGAATCTGGCTCTTCGCCTTTTTGCTTCTGCTTCTGCTTTCCTTTTGTTTTCTTTTTTCTTTTCACCCCCCATGGAGACCTCGGGATCGGCTCGTCCCACGGATGAGCTATTACACAAAAGGGCTTTGTCCGCATGTCACCGGAGGGAGTCGAGACCACGGAGATAGAAAGCGATTTGCGGAATACCCCCATTGTACTCTGTACTCCGTGCCTCGAAGGATGGCCTTGAGCAATCATTGGATGTAGCCCGATCGGAGAGATAAAGGGGGTTTCGTCACCAGCCACGGTCTCGCGCAGTTAGGAGAAATGATCCAGCCACCATGTTCTTTCATCGGGGCAGCAGGGGAATGGGAATGTCGGCGGGTCCAATGATCAGTGATCATTGATCACAGAGCGGGCCCCCTCAGGGTTGCGTCAAAGAAAGGGTGAGAAGTGCCAGAGAAAATGGGAAGTTCAAGGCTTACTCATCTCTTCCAGCTCGAAAAGGCTCACTGCATTGCTATACTATAATTAACGGCAGCTGATGGGGGCCTGGATATCTCTAATTAGGACAAATACCTAGGTGGTATATAGTCAAGTCAAGGCCCGGCACGTGCGAGGATGCGCAGAATCGCGGGGAGGAAGAGTGTCGATCAGAAAGGGGGCCCTTTCGATACCATTTGATACACACTATCGGATCTCTTGGTACCTGCAGCATAAAGGTTTGGGTTGGGTTTGCATGGGTAGAAAGGGAAGTGAGTTGATATTGAAAAGGGGGGAAAAGATTGGAATAAAACAAAGAAATTAAAGTGCCCAGGGCATGACCTGGTATCTTTATTTATGTAAAGTAGCCTTCCAAGCGATCGTAACTGAATATACTGAGTAACTGAGTAACTATGTACATACGTAGTTCACCAAGTCCATGGGAAATCATGCATGTCGCAGGTAGAGAAACACTTAGGCGCCCTTCGTATTCTAGCTGAGTCGACAGGTTTCAGCAGGCCTCTCCGTATTTAGTATTTAGTATTATAGATCATGGCACCGATTTCAATTTCAATTACAATGAGAGGTGGACCCAGGCTAAAAATGTGACGATGTTGTCTTGTCTTGACTTGACTTTTACTCCGTACACCTTTGGGGACTTACCTTTACCGCCAGGGGGCTTTACTCGCATCGACAACCACTTCTTCTTTCTCCCCTCCTCCCATCCTCCTCTTCAATCGGAACCCCGGCTGGTTCCTCCCGATCTCATACGTGCTCGCTTTACTCGTCCTCCCTCCCCTCCCCTCCTCCTCCCTGTTGTTCCCCGAGCGCCACGTTCCCCTTTAACCGTTGAAGTGCTTCCCCGATCGGTCCTCGACATTTGCTTTCTTTCTTTCGTCTTTCTTCTCCTCTTCTACGCCCTCCTCCTCCCTGACTCCTGGTCGAGACTATTCCTTTCTTCTTTCGGTAGTGGTTTCTCTCCAATTTCGAGAACCGTGTGTGAGGGCGATTGATTCACCTCTCCACCTCCCGTTTCGCAACCAAATTCCACCATCTCCCCTCCTCCACTCTTGGAGAAAAAAAAAACCTCCTTCCCCAAAAAAAACATTCCCTTTCTTTTCCGACGAAAGAAATCGCGAGCCTTGCTACTTGTTCGAATACCCTACTTTCTTGACCAGCAGGAGACAATCTCTTTTGCTGGACTTTCGTTGGCCGCTTGTACCATTGAGTGGACCCGGAGGGGCTGTCTTGAGTGAGTGTGGTGGGTGTGGATTCACAACCGAGTCGCCGAGTCCGACACAAAGACTGGGACACTGTTGGAAACTGCTATATGGTCCCCTTCATCGATGGGAATGAAAACTGTTCCCTGCACAGTGGTGACATCCCACCGATAGCGTCGGAGCAGCCTCCCACCATGGCTTGGATGCCGCAGCCCGACGCGACCGACCTCCCACATCGGCCTCCATTAACATCGCAGCAATCAAATTCCCTTCCCTCCACCCCATACCAACATGCGCGCAACCTCTCCTTCCACTCTCGATCGCCCTCGCCCGCTCGCGGAAGCACCTCTCCTCGATCGACACATTCCGAATCAATACATTTGCCCCCTTCCGCTCGAAAACCGCTCGGGGGTTGTAAATATGAAACCGCCATGGCATATTTCCGAAGACGAATACCATATAGCCTTGGTGCGGATCCCTTACCGGAGGAGAAGGAGGAGCTGAAGGAAAAGCTGGACCCGGAGGAAGAGAAGAAAATGACAGCGGACATCATGGACCTATACGATCGGTTATTACCTTCTGCGGAGAGCGACGATCGACGACATCAGCTCGTTCGCAAATTGGAGAAGTTGTTCAATGATCAGTGGCCCGGTCATGAAATCAAGGCCAACGTCTTTGGCTCGTCCGGGAACAAACTCTGCTCTAGTGATTCGGATGGTACGTTGTTCTCAGTCCAGAAAAGGATCGCCAGGCAGAATTCGGAAGGATTTCTGCAGACAAATCAGGGAACTTGGAAGGCTGACCTCAACCAGTGGATATTTGTATCACGACAAACTTCAAGGATTTGGAACATGTGTGTCTTCTGGCGAAGGTTTTGGCAGAACGTAAGAATTTCGCTTTTCTGAGATATTGGAGATCTTCATCTTTCTCTTTGGCCGTCGACTGACTCTTTGACTAGACGGGATGGAACGAGTTGTCTGTGTTTCACATGCAAAGGTTCCCATCGTGAAGATCTGGGATCCCGAGTTGAAGCTGGCTTGCGACATGAACGTGAACAATACTCTAGCGTTGGAAAATACTCGGATGATCCGCACCTATGTCGATGTCGATGAACGGGTACGACCGTTAGCGATGAGTGTAAAGCACTGGACGAAACGACGCATCCTGAACGACGCGGCCCTTGGAGGGACACTCAGCTCGTACACCTGGATTTGCCTCATCGTCAACTTCTTGCAGACGAGAAATCCCCCAATTCTCCCTAGCCTCCAGGCTAGGCCGCACCAGAAAAAGGCAACCCCCGAGGGCGTGGTATATTCGTTTGACGACAATCTTAAGGCATTATTGGATTTTGGTCAGAGGAACAAGCAATCTGTCGGTGAGCTTTTCTTTGAGTTCTTTCGATACTACGGCCACGAACTTGACTACGAGGAGACCGTCATCTCTGTACGCGAGGGCAAATTGGTATCCAAGGAGGGCAAGGGATGGCACTTGATGGTGAATAACCGACTTTGTGTAGAGGAACCATTCAACACCTCAAGGAACCTGGGAAACACTGCCGACGATACTTCGTTTCGAGGATTGCATATGGAGTTGCGTCGAGCATTCAAGTGTGCTTCTGCGGCAGACTTAGCTGATTGCTGTGCGCAATTCGAGTATCCACCGGAGGAGGAACGGACCTGGGAGCGACCACCGCCACAACCGCGTCCTATCATCACTCCATCATTGCCCAATCGTGGAGGTCGGGGTGGTGGTCGTGGTGGGCGGTATAACAACCAAACCCCCCCGAGGTGGGTTTGCAGGTGGTCGTCGGGCGTCCAACACTGGAGGAAAGGCCAACAACAATACATTCCGACAACCGAGTGCCACAAACGCATCCGACCTGTCCATGCAAGCGCAGCAGCAGGCTCAGTATCTTCTTCATGATCAACTCTACCAGCAGATCCAACTTCTTCAAGCTCAAGAACAAGAGTTACGGATGCAGTTGCAAAACCAAGCCCTCATCACCGGTCGCCCCCCGCCATACTTCCTTCGCCAGCCTTTCATCCAATTCCCAATGCCCCAACAACAGGAGTTTTCTGGCGAGGAAAACTCTCGCTCAAGGTCAGGCACTGTAAACCAGCCGCCACTCACCCCGTCACAGCGGCAAGCACCCCTCCTTAACCCTACCTATGCCTCTGTCAGTGCCTCTGGCACGCAAGCTAGCGTGACAAACCCGCCGTCTCCATCTGCCACCAACACACTCCCCGACCTCCGTCGAAATTCCCGGCGGTCATCAGTTGTAAATGGTTCACCCAAAGCATCGCTAAGGGCCCAGTCACAGCCCGCACGACCCCAAAATTCACCCTCGTTTCCGACCTTCACGCCCCTGTATACGATTCCACAGCCTCTTGATACGTCTTATGCCTCGAAGCAACTCCCAATCCCTGAGTCCTTGGAAGGTGGAGATGAGATCAATATGCCCTCAAACAGCCTCCCCAGCAATGGCTCTCGCTCCGATTCTGTCGACGAGAATCGCTCACAAGACCTGCTAGGTTATTATATTACCCCTCAGCAGCTGCAATTATACCAGCAGAACAATATGCTACCAACGTTGGCTTCCCATGTGGGTATGCTGCAGAATGGTTATTCATCCTTCCTCCCCGTGCAACAAGAATACCGATCCTCTGGAGGAGTCTTTTCGTCCGAGGGCTCAAGTTCACGGTCCGACCAGACCCCGACACCAGCACCAAAGGCTTCAACGTCACAACTGCCGCAGCGCTCAGCATCCACGCGCCCCGCTGACCGTGGAGGACCACTGATCGTGGATGGCTCTGTTCGGCCGAATGAACCTCGTCCGGCATATGGATCTGACTTTGTCGATTCGTACACCGTGGGTACCGCTTATACGTCGACGTCCGAGGATCACAACATCAACACCCCTGCCAGCTATTCCGATTCCCTGTCTCAGGATCTTCAAGAACCCGTCCCCTTTGAGATGGAACAAGCGCCTGTGTTCACAAGGTCACCATTCGAAGGACAAAAACAGAGCAACGGGAATACGGAAACTCAGCAGGAAAAGACAAATGGCCAACCCGAGCTGCTTGCCAGTCGACTGCAGAACTACCATTTATCAAACGCTGAGAAGCTCGCCCAGTCCCATTCGGCGAACAAGTCGAACAAAAATGGTTCCTCGCATCATGGTACTGGCAAGGACACCAGCCAAGCAAAGAGTCACAATTCTGGGAATGATAAATTAACCTCCTCTGCAAGTGCCAACGAGGGTCGACAGACACACTCAACTTCGAAGCGCCGGACAAATGGGGTGGATGCCTCGGAGAAGACGAATGGGGTGAGCCACAGCCACAGCCATAAGTCGAAATCCAGGGGCCGACAGGATAATTCCCATCCTTCATCTGCGAGCGGAGACGGAAAGGAGAACCCATCGAAAAAGTCTGGCGTGGCGACAAACGGGACTACCGATCATGGTCATGGTTGGCAAACGACCAAGAAAAAGCACCGCCGCAACGCGAAGTCCTCTGCCGAGCCACGCAATGGAATTAACGGTGGCCCTGAGCCCCTCCCCGCAGATGAGTCGATGCGCAAAGGCGGATGAAAGTGTGCGATTTCCAGCATGGCACCATTCGAATCTTTTCACAGCAAGAGAAAAAGGCGCCAACGCCGCGCCCCAAAAAACAAAACAAAACATACTCGGCATATGGGATGACATCAATCTCCCCAACAACAATCATCCAGCCTTGCTTTCACGGAGTATCATCGTTAGCTTTTCCCCGCCAGGAATCTCGCTTTATTGTCTTGATATTTCCATTTTCATCTCGGTGTCTGGAGAGAGACGAGGCATATGCGTCAATGCCCATCACATTCAACAGAGTCCCACGAAAGCGAAATCAAGAGACGACAAGAACATGAAAGGAAAAAACGCCGACAGCAAGCAATGACAATAACAATAACAAATAACAACCTAAGAATGAAGAATGAAAACTTGGGGACCGGTTTCATCATGTTTATGTTCATCATCAGCATCATCATCATCATCTTTCAGGAATTCCACGCACCAACGCACGGCGAACGAAATCTGTTTCCGCACCTGCTTCCTTTTTGTGCATCCTTTCTTCCTCGCAAGCTGTCTGGAGTTTTCTTGTGTTAAATGGGCTAGATCCCCTTCACACTGGGTGTTTTTCTTTTCTCTTTCTTCCTCTCGTGCTGTGCCCTTTTTTCTTCTTCTGCTTCTCTCCCTCTGTTCTTCTTTCTTCCGAGTGTCTTGATTCTTATGGTGCCATTTTTTCCTTTTCGGTTCTGTATAAAAAGAGAATTAACAATCCTGCTGTCAATGAGAAACTAAAAAAAAATCGAAAAAAGGCTTATTGCAATTCTTCTTGTGTGATGATGTAGTGGGAATGTAGTGGGGTTTTTTCTTGTCTTTGTCCTTGTCCTTGTCCTTGGCTATGCTGCTGTTGCTGAACTGGCGATTTGTCGATTTCTGGGCATTATTTGGTTGTATTTTGTTGAATAGATTCGGGACCATGGTTGTACATAACACAGGTAGCATTGCATCAGATAGAATTCACACTTCTCAACAACTTGAAGCAAGTATCCAGCTCACTTCCGCAGTGAGTGAGACTAGACCGTAGGTTGTTAAAGAAAATCCAACAAAGGCAAGCTAAGCCGGCCAGGCACGACAGTCACTCGTTAGAGGATCATTGGAGTTTGAAGGTGTCTCTCCTTAGCCTGGGAAGCAAAAGAAGTGAAAAAGCGTCAGTCACTCTTCGAATTTTACTGGAGGTGAATGAGAAAAGAAAAAAGTTGAGAGCGAGAGTAATGCACCTAGGCACTCTACCAGTACATATGGACGCATGCTATACGAACCCTTGCTGGGATGTCATTGCGCCATCCATATCACGCCTGCCGTCATGGGCTGGTGTAGCTCTGGAGGTAGGACAAGAATGTTGAGAAGTACTAATTAACTGCTAGTTCAACCTGCATGACCAAATCAAATTGCTGGGGGTTTATCACGCAATTGTTCCAATGATTTACCTGGAACTATCTTCATTCATCGGAGCGGATGAGCGATCTTTGCTGATTGCGAGTGCTACTACCAGTATTACTGTGCATGGTGCTAACGACTCGGAACTATATACGAGTAGATCTTGGCATTTGTGAGACATGTACGCATTATTTCTATGCTTGATTTTGTCATGATGGAAGTTGCATTTCGATTGTCATATTTTAATAATCAAGTTGAGTGCATAGTCCGCCCAGATAAGTTGTATGTTAGTAGGTGATATATTGAATAATGAACAGTTTTCAAGAGCACCAGCGAAAGAACGAATAAAGAAGAAAAACGGAGCTCGAAAATTCGAAGAAGTGTTGGTACAGTCGATCGCTTTTGTTTCTCTTGGAACAGCAATGGGGGGATAAATTAAATCACATAAAAGAGCTGAAGTGTGGCCGATCGAAGGCCGAAGAAGTGGGAGATTATGGTAATGGGGCCCCGTCGCTGAAACACGTTAGGTTCATCAGAAGGCATATAATATAAAAGTCGTCACCGGATGGTCTGATCAGGACCGGAGCTCGGCGAAGATGTATGGGAAAATCACAACGCAGGCGGTCCAGAAGACCATGATGGACCGGTAGGGGAATAGGATGAGGTGCGTCAGAGGAGTGTCGCGGAAGAGGACCCAGATGGAGAGGAAAGCGACAGTGAAGAAGTGGGAGAAAAGGACGAGGGGTTGTTTGATGAGGCCGGCGAGTAGACCGACGGGTCCATCCACGGCGCCGATCTGGAAGTAGCGGAAGCAGCCTCGCTGAAGGGCACGGAGGTTGACATCTGCGGAGAGTTAGAGAGGGGACTTGTGTAATAACCGAAAGAGGGAGGATCATACCGTCAGCGGCGAACAGGGAATAGAGGGCCTGCGCGAGGATGTTGATGACAGAGGACGAGTTCTTTCTAGCCCAGTGGAAACGGGCGAGTTGCTTCAAGACCAAGGTGGTGTCGCCCAAGTCAGGCACAGCCTCGGGGCTAAGCAGCTCACGAATAACGCATACATCGTTCAGTGCGACTGTCATTCCGCCACCGGTGAGAGGGTGACGCATATTCAGGGCATCGCCCAAGATCATCATGCCTGGCGTCTTATTGGTTGAGGGCGGGAGGAAGGAGTTTGGCATCGACCGCAAGTTGCCTTTTTCGAGGGCAGCCGCGAAAGCGGGCTGAGCACCCTGAGGAAGAGAAGGGAGCACAGTGTTTTTCATATAGCCTTTAACGCCGCCATTCTTTACGGAAGCAGCGGGCAAGTTATCGGGGATATCGATCAGGATGCGAGTCTCGTGGGTGCCAATCTGGTACATGAGGACAGGTGGGCAGTCGCTGAGAAGGACGTGGCCGTAGCAGGGGGAAGGGAGTTGCGCGTCGATCATTTCGAGGCCCCAGAACTTTGAACGGCGCTTAGGGGTGTATCGGTGATGCGCTTTGCGGAATTTGGAGGCGTAGCCGTCGGCGACCACGGTGAGTTGGGCAAAGTAGCAGTCCTTGAGATCATTGGTGATGCACTCTACACCAAGAACTTGCGAGGGGTTTGTAGAAGAGGTCACGAGAGCAGTTGCTGTGGTCTCAACGACCGTGACGTTGGGGCAGTCGAGCGCCGCCTCCCTCAATTTCATCACGAAGCGGCCATGGTGGAACGCTTTCCCAAGGGGAGCGGGCGACGAGGGAGTGGCCTTTGGATATTCGAGTTGGACAGGATCTCCATGATAACTAACATAATAACCCTTAACTTCAATCGCGTCGATCTCGTCGAGGCAATCGCGCAGGCCAAGTTGTTCCAAGGCTTGCACGCCACCGGGTTGTAGCAGTTCACCAACAATGCGATCGGGCTCCTTCATGGAACTCTCCAAGAGTAGAACACTTCTTCCTTGTCTTCCAAGGGCAACGGCCAGAGCGCAACCCAGAATACCAGCGCCGACGATCACAATGTCGGCCTCATGGTATTCGATGCGGCGTTGTGTCGCCTGCTGAGATTTTGAGACATGGCCGTTTGAGGTAGTCATGGTGGAGGGAATCGTGTGGAAGGGATGAGGGGAGACGAGATCAACAGGGCGGCCGGGAGCCGCAGGGGCATTCTCTCAAATTTAAGCGGAGGAGAGTATGGGCTGATGCGCAAAAAAGTCGCGGAGGTGTAAATCGTTGGGGAGAAAGAGGAAAGGGGTCCGTGGCGTGACATGTGAAGGCGGTCTTGGCATCAACTCTATTCCTCCTCCATTTGCCATCTTCCACAACTACCTGGTTTAATACTGAAAAAATGGATGAAAAATATACTTCACTCTAGTCAATTGACCTAGGTGGTATCATAGATTTGAACTTTCTTGTTTTTCATTATTAGGGGACCCAGAAAAATACTATAATATCCTTCCAATTCTCCAATATCAGGGCAAAATGATACCAAGAACCTTGGAATTCATTGAATTCAAAATGGACTCCAGTGAGAAATCAATTCTCTATGCTCCATTTAGTGGCTGCTTATATACAACTCCATTCACAATAGTAGTCAATGTCCCATTAGCCTCGAAGATATTTTCTAGGGCATTTATTGTGAGATGGAAGCCATCGGGGCTAGTCTTCTTCGAAGCGTTAGTAGCACCAGTTTGCAAAATGTCAGAATACCAATCAATATGGTTTAACCAGGGATCAGAAGCCGAAAGCTCCAAGGTCACAGCTTCGTGACCGTGGAGATAGTGCTTTCCATCATCTGAAAAGTTGCTATACTCGACCGAGACCATTTTGATCATGTCAAGCAAAAGATCCTTGACTATCCTCGTTTTTGCAATTCCACTATGTTTCCCAAGGAGAGTGTAGCTCCCAGGGGGCAAAGAGTAAACGCTGGGAAGTCTGGCTCCCGGCAGGAATTGTGTAGCCCATGGAATCGTATCTGGAGCGTCGAAAACGGGGACCGGGGCGATGGGCTTGCGAGTCGCTAAATGAGCTAGCATGACTCGATAAGTCCGACCCCCTTGGGCAGTAGAGACTGGACACCGCAATGGGTTGCTTCCTCCACATGCAGGTGGAATAACCAAGCTCTGCCAGTAGACAATATGGGTGCCATCTGGAGAAAATGCTGGATCGGCCTTTCCATTCCAGTTGGGATCGTTGGCACTACCGCCTGTTCCATTGCCCGCATAGTTGACATGTTGACCAAAATAGTCACCGCGATCACCATATCTGTCGATGAGGATCGGTTGAAAGAATCGACGTGCCCCGTTATTGCGAGTAGACGCAGCAGCTGTGACTGTGACAAGATCCACAAGAGGAGGAATATGTCGCATTCCCGACATCCACATTTGACGATTTGATCCTCGAGTATCCATTGTCACAAACCACTGATTGTCGCGAGAAAAGGCGATTGGATCAGCATATTCGGGGTGGCTGGTGAGACGGCGGACTACACCAGTAATGATATGAACAGCAAAAAGGTCGATGTTGTTTGCTTCACGGGTTGGCCCGATGTAAAGAATCTCATCTCCAGCGCCACTGAATCCTCGTAGCTCACCAACATGTACAGCCTGCTCGTATATCTTCAGCTCCGATCCCTGAGCCATGATGGGTGCTGTGCCATTGGGTTTAGCGAGAAGATTTACGCCAACTAAGTCGTATCGTGGAACCCGAAGTGTGCCATTTTCTGGGCTTTGATTGAATTTTAGTTGGCCATAGTATGCATTTTGGCCCCCACTCGTAAATGCACTCCATCCCATATGTTTATCGTCAGGGTGCATGCGCATCTCTCGTGGAATCCCGGAGCTGTTGGCGCCAGTTGGCCAATATATGGGGTATATGTGCACTTTATCCGGTGTACATCGCTCACTGACGAGTGGTATATCTCCACAATCCAAGATATTGTGTCCCCAAAGAGCCTGTTGGCCATTTCTGGCAATGTGTGGATAATCCCTGGCGTTGTCGAGGGAGCGTGCATTTCTCGATGGTACACCGCAGCTCAAGCATTTCCAGGGGTCGCCCGTGCTAAACCTATCCCCGTTTGTTTTGATCAAAATGAGTTGTTTCCCAGTAAATATGCTAGCCGGGTGTGGTGCGACGGGAGCACCGATGAATTCCACAGTGGCAGCAATATGATTTCCATCAGGTGCGAAATCACCTGCTTGAAAGAAGTCTGATGTTCTCCCAATACATCCAGTATGTCGAGGATTTATGGAAGTATCGCATGCACCTGTATCATTTGTTGGTACCACGGGAGGCAAAGGTAGTTCGATTACCTCAATTGATTCTGGCTTGGGTGGTGCCGGTACCCCCGCTGCTAAATGGAGGGTTGATGCGCTTACAACGGCTTGAAATAGCCAGTGCATAGTGTTTTGTTGGTGGTGGAGAAGGCTGATTGCAAAAAGTCAATGTGAGAAAGTGATCTCACTTTATACATAATTTCTGCCTAGCCTTGAAATTCAATCCAAATGATCATGGGAAGATCGAAGAGAATGAACAATGTCGAGTTTCTGGTAAAGTATACGAGTACGAGCTATACGAGTACGGGGATGTGAGATCTGCAATTTCTCCAAACCCTAGTTCCTGTCAGTGCGACATTCTAGTGGGTCATGAAAACTCATGAAATATGAAAATGAGTCCTAGCCTACATTTAGTAAGAGCAGCGGGGTTTCATGATGACTGAGATGGACTCACAGTCATATACCGAGGTATCCTCTTCTGACGCCTTCGACCTTGCAGAGTCACTGGAGACACGGGTTGGAGTTTATCACTTGAGAACTTGCTTTCTTTTGATTTGGGGGCTTATACCGATGTCAGGATCAGATTAGAATGCACAAACTAGTGGGAGAAATCCCTCGAGGTTGGAATATTTGGAAGTGAAGCGGAAGTGTGATTCTTCTAAAATGAAGACTTTGTCATGTGCATCAAGATATTCGTCTTCCACCTCCCTACTGTGGTCTGTATGAAGTTATCGAGTCATTATTTCGCTATTCGTTTTCAAGATGTTCAGCCATCGACATCGATGGGTCATTTCAGGGTGCGAGCCGCTACTTGATCCGCGAGCGTATTACCCAGTACACCGCTATGCCCAGGAACCCAGTGTAGTTCAGGATCCACCCCGATTCTCCTTAGAGATTCCCCATAAGCCATCACTGATCGAATAAGATCACTCTGTCCGAATTTTTTATGATTTCGTGGTGACCCATGCGGTTTGAATTTCTTGATTGCCTGGAGCGCGCCTTGAGAATCCGAGAATATCAGCACCTTCCGGGTCCTCTGGCGTTGTGCCTTCAAGTCCAAGCTCCCGATTTCGAATATTTCTTTTGTTGCCATTTCCAGTGCGTAATCTATGGCATACAGCTCCATGAAGGTGCTGCAAAAGATTGGATGGTCGAAAAGCTTTCCTTTCTCTCCCCAGTTCGATGGTCCAGGCTCTCTCCACACGATCCCAACAGCCCTTCTGCCACGCCGAACGGACCCGTCAGTGAAATAAACATGATTCCTTGTCTTGATAGTTTTTTAGAATCAGGTTGATCATCAGAGAGTCATATTCGTTGGCTCTGAGTCTATCACCAGTGAGGAGGAAAATCCTTCCTTGGAAATTACCCTCGGGCATTTGACTGTCAGCAGATATTGTATTTCGCAGCTCTTTCTTCAAGCTCTTCGGTATGAACGCATTCCGCAGCTTTCTTTTCTTGAGAATATCATCTAACAGGGTTATCATATTCTTCCTCCTGATCTATTGCCTTTTTGCAGTGTCGTGCACTGGGGCTTTTTCGCAGCTTTTCAGCCACCAACCTACGCGACATCGAGAAGTTCCACTTGACCGGACGGCTGTTTTTTTCTCTCCCTAGTGAGGCACGAATCTGAAGGAAAACTTTTCCTCGCTGTCGGTATCATCCGACATAGTGTTGACTACTCGTATGTTCATGTTGCATGGAGTGGGAGAGGACGGATGTAGGTGAGGTGAAGAAGATCGCAGCGGAAGTACCTAGATAGTCAACACGAAGTTAGGCTCCAAATCCAAATCAGGCCATGTTCCAGTTTAGGTTTTACCAATAGAACCTTGGAATCAAGTGAAATTTGCTTTGTTCGTCATTATGAACTGTTTAGGACGATTGTGTACTAGTACCTGTTTCCAGTTCCAAATTGTCGGGAAGCCCATCCATGGACCTCCGTGACCTGTGGATGAGACTTGGAACGAACAAATAAACCCTCAATCGGGCGACATAGTATACGAAACTCGGAATGACACAAAAAATGGCTTTCAAGTGAATATATACATATTGTACACTGTAGTATTGTAGATACATGGATGTGCGATGGCTACACCCGCAAATTCTTTGTCCCTAGAGCTTTCTTCCGAGGGTATTTAGGGTCCTCAGGAAGCCAGAACTCTTGGTTCACAAGGCGACTCTCCTTCCATATCCGCATCACTTCATCCTCGGTGGGTATATTGTTATTCATCAGGAGATCTAGTTCCATCTCTTCATCAAAATAGTAGACCATATCTTCGGTAGAGCCTCGTGGCAGAACCTTTTGCTCTTCGGCTGAGCGAGAAACCACCTCCATACGCCCGTTAGTCTTGCTTCCGGGGTGAGGAGACTTGTTCACCCAGCCGGCTTCTCCTTGCATGCTGCACAGCAGTGATTCTGCGAGGCGATGCAAAACGGTAATGTTGTGGGTGACCTTGGAGTCATCATTTCTTCCTTGGCGAGTACAAATTTGCTCCAGGGTAGGCATCAGCCGTCGCACTTCGACATAGAAATCCTGAATAGCGGGTTCTGTTCGGGAAAGAACCGCCACCAAGCACCACCAAACACCCCTCAGGTTCTCTGTCGAAGCAAAGGCACGAAGCAACATCTTGAATAGCACCTGGTCAAAGCCATGTGATTTTCGCCATGTGGACTTGTATACCGCCGTGAGAACATCGATGGCTTTGGGTCCCTGTTTCGAAGAAATCAATTTTTTGCTGAGCGAGGCAAGTGCGTGGTGCTTGACGATGAGGTGTGGCGTATCCTGGCAAAGATTGTAGTATTCGAAAATTGCCATTTTGAGAAGAGCTGTATCACTGACACCCTTGTCCAGCTGCAATAATTGTTGGAAGAAGATGGGGGGTACGAGAGGGAACGCCGGGTTGGCTCCTGCAGTTCGCCCTTTGAGCCAGTTTGGGTATTCGCTCTTGATAATGATCTGGGCATCCGCTAAGCCCAGCCAGCCATGGCCAAGGATCGTTGCTATGACAGCAAGATGGATGTGGGTAGGCCGAAGCACAAAGCCTGAAGAGCTCGCAGTTCGGAAGACACCCAGGGCTTCCTGAAATCTACCCGCGTTTATGTGATCCTCCATTTGCTTGCGGAGAGGTATGTGGTTGTCAATAAGCTTGGTATGCACCAGATCGTCCAAACTTCTCGAGAATGTCTCGTTTGCTGGCTTATGGATTGGGTACAGAACACCTCGGTCCAAAGAATAAGATGCGGATCCAGTGCCTAGAAGGCGTCGAGTGGTGGCAACCTGACCATACTGCTTCTTAGCAGCTTGGATCATTCGCCAGAATCCAACAGGGGAATCTTGCATTGAGACTCGACGCGCGATCAAAATACTCAAAAATTCGTCTTGGTTGAGCCCCGTACTCCATTGACGCTCCTCGGCTAAACGACTGATCTGCCCAATGAGGTTTGAGTCGCCTTTTTCGACCAAAGCCTCCAGAATGTGTCGATGAAGAATCTTGTCCGGAACAAGCCCAAATTGATGGATGCAGCTAGTAAGGAAGTCGAAAATCTCGCGACCGGAGTGAGTAGGATAATATTCCAAGAAGACACGATCAAATGCATATGCAAAATCTCGCTTATTGCGAGTAAAATCAAGTCGATGCATTTCATGCATCCCAGCAAAGACGCCTTCCCAGTCACAAGTCAAAGCCTTGGCATATATAAGTAGACCAAGGGTTCGAGATCCAGGTTGCACATTGTATTTGGTTGGCATGTCTGCGACCAAGTCTTCGGCATCTTCGTGCTGGCCGCTTTCAATGAAGGCCTTGACGAGTGGGTTGAAAAGCTTCTCGTTTGGAGAGCGATCAAGGTTGGCCAGGGTTGCCAAAATATTTCGGAATTCCGCGATTATCAAATCGAGACTCCTTGTCTTCCTCCAAAGACCATCCAGAAATGCACCACACAGGCCACCGTTCTTGTCATTTTTGATGCGCGAGTAGAAGAGATTCTTGGCTGGGTTCACTCTCCTCGATTCAAGTAAAGATCGAAGTACAACCTCGAGCAGATAAGAGGGTACGCGTAGCTTCTTGTGGTGCCTTTCATAGATAGAACCAACAGAATCGATATGACCTCCCTTTGCAAGCAGATGCATCATTGTGGCCCACATCTGGGTATCTATCACACTCACTTTCTCCATCCGCTCAAAGAGAGTCCGAGCGAGGAATGTGTTTCCTTTCATGCAATTCACGGTAAAAAGCTTACGCGCGACTTCCCGTGTCTCGAAGGATATTGTCACATCGGCGGCTTCATAAAAGTTTTCCAGAAAGACATTAGTGGCCTCGATTTCCCGATCCTCCGAGATCAATTGAGTTATCCGCTTTTCAGCCGATACATCACTGTCCTCATAAGCGTCCTCCGCCGGTTCAGCATGTCGAGCAAGGGCCACCCGAGCCTCTGCCGACTCTTTCATCTTTATGCTCCGCGATTGGCTAAACGGACCGTATTGGTCCAGATCAGACGACCGGACCGCCGCAGGTTGCTGCTGAGAAGAGTCCTCATGGGTATCTAGCAGACCTTGCGTCTGATCATCGCCCTTGGCCCGTCGCAATGACGGTTTGTCCTTCAAGGAATCCAGTCCCATGAATTCGCCTGCTTCAGCAGCGTCCATCATCATGGCGAGGCGCTTGGCGGAAGCTGTCGCATCATAGTTCGGTGCAGAGGTTCGGAGGGTTCGCTTGTTCTCGATGATCTGCTCGGCAATGCGGACTCGGCGATGGACATCGTAAGTGAGGACTCCGACGGTGCAAAACCCCCCCCACGGTAGAGCCTGCAAAGGCCAATTGGCGAAGTACTCGTAGAGCATTTCGTGAGGGAACGGCAGGGGTCGAGTTTGCGGTATTGGCGAACATTGTCAGGGCGATCCCGCTGGACGCGCGCTTGGCTCACCAGTCGTGCATCAGCGGACTCGTAGGCTGGGTTCAGTGTAATTCAATCTTATGCATATGCTTCCCTGATTGTCTGGCCTAGACAGGCTAAAATAATGGAGTTGACGACCGGTCAATTGAGATCAGGAGAGGTGGATAAACTCGGGCTGGCAACATTTGCGGAATTGACGAAAACGCGGATGGTCTGTGCGCATATCGGCCCATCTACAAATCACCTGATCCGCTTCCATTCGAGTATACTATTTGATGCTGGCAACTCTACTGACTGGTTGAATTGACACTTGGCAGATATTATCTATTATTGAAGAATCATACTGAAGCTCTTACTGCCTTGCCAGTAGCCCATCCCGCTCGCTCTCTCCCTCCTCGTTAGCCTCGACCGTCACGTCCGCTTCAGGCTCGGCTTCCAATGTGACTGGTATGCAGTTAGTGGACGTAATTTAATCAGTTCTGGAGATATGAACATACCATGTGGCCTGATCAATAGGCTCATGAGGAATGCCACACCGAACACAGCGGCAAGAGAAACGAAGACTGTTTGGGGGTACGTTGCAACAGTCAGGCTGTAAATTAGGTTAAAGATGGTGGGAGCAACAACTCGAGCCAGTGCATGAAGTAGACCAGTTGCACCGAGAAGCTGCCCGACGCGCTCATGAGGTACATGCTTGGTGAGAGACGATTGCAATGTCGGCGATCCCATTCCCCCCAGTGAGGCAACAGCACCAGAGAGAACCATCATTGCTGGATGCTTGGACATCGCATATCCAACGTATCCCAGGATATCGAATACCACCGACAACCTGATAAGAACGATGTCAAGCATGTCAGATCCGAGGATGGACCCATCATTAGGAGATGGGGTTCGGAAGAAATATGCAACAACTGGGAGAACGATGAACAGATTGATCACTCGAACAACGTTGATGATTGACACAAAGAGACTGGATTCCACGTTGCCCCAGTTGAACATGTACCCGGCATAGATGATGATTACTTGCATGGTACCCATGGCTACTCCAAAAACGGCCGTGTCCATCGCTGCCAGCAGAATGATATTCCGACGGAGTGCTGGACTGGCACCCCGGCGATTGGGGAATAAAACACTTGGGCGACCAACGGCAGGGAATAGTATCGACAGTGGCGTGACCAGGTTCACCGGGTTGAGCGATCTCCAAGGGAACCCACTGGAGGTTTCCGAGCTCGCTTTCTTGGCACGGTGCTTCTCTCGGGCAGCCAACTGACGCTTCTTGGAGAGAGACTCGGGAACGATAAGAAGAATTGAAAGAACAAAGGTGATGTGGAACGAGAGTCCGATGAGGAAAACAATCAAAGTGTCACCGGTTTGCTTGATTAAGAATGCAGCGCCGGTAGGTCCAACTGCAATGCCCAAGAATAAGGCGCCGTGAAATAAACCAAAGGCTACGCTGCGCCGATCGGGGGGCGTACAGTCTGAAGCATATGAATGAATCAGAGCTTGAGCGCCTGTGAATGAGCCTCCCAGGCCATCAAATACAGCGCCGATGAAGAGTAACTTGACCGACATGTACTCGGGCCATTTGGCTAGAATAACGGTGATAGCTTCGTTTAGTACAGCGCCTGTCGCACCCAGCGCGATCAGTTTGGTGCGGCCATAGCGATCAGACAAGTGCCCAAGACGAGGACTGGCCAGTGCTGAGATTATTCCAGTGATGAGGTTCAGATACAACTGGAATCGAGCCACTAAGGACTGTACCTCTGGGATTCGACATTGGGAGTTGTCTTCTCCAAATAGGACAGGGAGATAGGTGAATCTGGAATCCTTCGAGGATTTCTCTGAGAAGTAGTCGCGGCAAATCAAGGTCATAATCAAGTTGATTCTAGGGACTGCAAGACCTCCGAAGCCGAGTGTAAAAAGCAGGCCAAATGGCAAAAGCCACCAGATCTACAATCGCGATCAGAAAAAGGATCTTGACCTTGGTGCTCGTGGCAGCGGTAATCATCACTCACATGTGCTCTTCTCCATCGAGGCCTCGTATCTATGTCGCTAGACTGGTCGTCGTCTCGAGGACATTCTCCATCCTGGGCATCATCATCACCGGCCAGAAGAGGCTCGGTGTGTACATGCAAGGGAGCGTTTTTGGTCAGAGTGCGCGTGCGCCGAGCTTGTTGCTGTGCGTCAACGGCCGGCTCGCCCGCAAATAGTTCTTCGTTCTCCATAACAGGGGTGAGAAATATTGCAGAATCCCGATCACCTACTAGAGCATGATATGAGTTAAGAGTAGGGAGCACGCAATGGTTTGGTCAGGATGACCGATCCATATATGAGCAAGTTTGTAGACCTCGGGAGGTGGGGAGAGGAGAAATGCGCCGAAATGCCATCCAACCAGTCCTCGAGGTCTCCTCTTATCAAGCAGGTTTGGGTTCCACTTAGTACTTGATCCCGCCATTTTAACCCCGAAATCTCCGAGGCCTCAACGTTTCAGGCCTGCAACCTTTAGGAAGTCTAGATTGTCGGCAATCATAATCACTTGTCAAAAGGTGCGATCGTATATTGCTTCCAAGGTTGATACTAGTTACAGAAGTCTGTATAATATGTAGCTTAAAATGCGAAGTGTAGCCCAGCGCCCGAAACCTGTTCCCAATTTTATAATTACATGTTCGAGTCCACCCGAAAATTATAGCTCAATGATGGAGATCCCCTTTACATTACTAGGGATCCATGCTTCTCACCAGCAAAGAACTTCTTCTGCTCTAGGCAACGCTCGCTGCGGCATCCTTGACAGCGCAGGGTCATCTGAGCCGAGCAGGGCTCTCCCTTCTGCAGATGTTCGTGGGCAAGATCCGCGAGACCCTGGATGAAAATAGGGTTACCGTTCAGACTCTCTGCCCGCTTGACACCTGGGCTGTTGGCCTCCTCCATGACTTCCAAGTCCAGCTCGTACAATGTCTCAATATGGTCGCTAGTGAAAGCGATTGGCACAAGGACAAGATCTGTCTGACCACGCTTCACATACTCCATCACAGTATCCTGAGTCTGAGCACCCAGCCAGGCCTTGGGGCCGACCTGGGATTGCCAGCACAAGCGGTACGGGTTGCTGAACTTCAGGCGTTGCATAACGGCGTGAACGGTAGCAGCTACTTCGGCAGGGTAGGGGTCGCCTGGAAGAAAGCTGTCAGCATCATAATTTCTCTGACTCTGGGGAGACGGAACAACTTACCTCGATTGACGACATCCATAGGCAGACTGTGGGCAGAGAATAACAATACAACCTGGTCCCGCTTCTCCTCGGGGTAGGTCTTCAACTGAGCCTCGATATTCTGGGCGAAGGCCTCAACCAGGCCGGGGTGCGTCGGCCAGCGGTCGATGACGCTCCACTGAATCGCGCCAGCCGGGTCCACCTCGCCATTCGCCCGCTTTCCCTCCAGGCGGTTGCGCCATTTCCAAAGTTCGTTCAGAGAGCTACCGGTTGTGGAACAAGAATATTGCGGATATTGTGTGAAAGCAACGGCACGACCACCCTTACCATTGCCGAACCCATCAGCGAGTAGTTGGTTGTACATGGTCTCAGTCAAGGGCGCGGCGTATCGAAATGCAACGTAAGGCTTGTGCGGCGCGGTCTCCGGGGAAATCTTATCCAAGATCTTACACATCTCAGTGCATTGGTATTCGGACCACTTTCGGATAGGAGATCCTCCACCGATATCTGCGTACTGCTTTTGGATCTTTGGGGTTCGTCGACGAGCGATTATTGGTCCGATATATGATTGGAACCGCCCGAGGGGAATCAGATCACCATCGGCCTATAATGGGCAAAAGAAGGGAAGAGATTAGCCAATGCCAGTAGAATATTTTGGCAGCTATCAAGAAGCAGCAATTAATTCCAAATGAACATACAAAAAGACGACTCAAGAAGTCTTCCACCTCGTTTGTCGTCGATGGACCTCCCATGTTCATAAAAACCATAGCGGTCGGACCCTTTGAACCTGTGGCATCTTGAGTAACAGGTGGTACTACGGTTGCAAGGGTAGATCGCTGAGTTTTGTTATAAGCGGCGCAGCTCCATGCCAGTGGCCGAGCACTGGGGGTGGCGCCGCTCAACAACCGCCGAGAGATCGCGAAGGGACTGCGAAAGGCCATCGCGAAGGAAGGTGTGTCGGGGACAGGATGGGACGGGATAGAATTAATCTGGATATAGCCAAAAAGAGATGATCGGGTATGTTAGACAATGGAATGAGTGTGAGAAGTCGACAGGCGGGAGGAATCCAAGAGTGATTGATTGCCGGTTTGACTGTGTCGCAGCTTTCTAGCTTCCGCGGTCCGGCGAGTCCATTTCCCGATGACCAATCAGCGTGTATTTGGTGTCAGCAGCCCAAAGGCGGTGTATCACATGACCTTCGCGTCACCCCCGCGGTTGAGCGCGTCGATTTGCCAGCGAAGGCTAACCTTAGGCGGCAGCCGCTTATCGCGCAGCTGCCTAGGGTATTGTTTGGCGGGCCACTTTCTAAAGGAAGTTACCTTAGTTAGACCTGGAAAGTTGCTCTTTCACTTCTCTTCAACCACTTCAACACGCACTGCGACACCATGGCAGACGACAATTACGCACGGGACGAGGAGGATTTTGATGAGGAGGAAGTTGATGAGACCGTGAGTAACAATGAACGGATTGGTGATTCCGCGGTATACATGCGAAACCTCCCAACTGACCCTCGATTCGACAATAGAGCTACCGATCAGTCAAAGATGCCATTCTATTTGCAATCGATATTAGCAGCTCAATGCTGACCCCCCGCCCGTCCAATGATGCTAAGAAACCCACCGAGGTATCGCCGGCCTCCGCTGCTATCAGATGCGCATACCATTTGATGCAACAGCGCATCATTTCGAACCCTCATGACATGATCGGTGTCTTGCTCTACGGGACCGAGTCATCTAAGTTCTACGATGAGGATGGAAAAAGCCGTGACGACTTATCTTACCCACATTGCCACCTGTTTACCGATCTCGATGTTCCATCCGCCGATGAGGTAAAGGCGCTCCGAGCGCTTGCAGATGATGAGGAGGAGGCCCGAAAAATACTCAAGCCATCTGAAGAGCGGGTGTCTATGGCCAATGTGCTGTTCTGCGCAAACCAAATATTCACCTCCAAAGCTCCGAACTTCCTCTCACGAAGACTGTTCATCGTCACAGACGAAGATAACCCCCCACGCTGAGAGCAAGTCCCTACGCTCAGCTTCGTGTGTTCGAGCGAAAGATCTCTATGATCTTGGTGTGACAATAAACTTGTTTCCCATTTCACGCCCGGATCACGAGTTCGACACCTCTAGGTTCTACGACGTAAGTACAGGCTTGGAGTATCTACAGAGGTGAGTTCAGTGGTACTAGGTCCTGACTTTCTCATAGGATATCATCTACAAAACAGCGCCCAGTGACGGTGAAGCGCCTGCCTATCTCCAACCAGATACAAACACCGCGACTGCCAAAGGTGACGGCATTTCATTGCTGAATTCCCTCTTGTCAAGTATCAATTCACGATCTGTACCTCGACGTTCGCTCTTCACAAACGTGCCATTGGAGCTTGGTCCTGACTTCAGGATTTCCGTGAACGGTTATCTTCTGCTCAAGAAACAAGAGCCGGCGCGCAGTTGCTATGTTTGGCTCGGTGGAGAGACCCCACAAATTGCGAAGGGTATCACGACCCAAAGCGCAGATGATACAGGACATGTTGTGGAGAAGTCGGACATCCGCAAAGCATACAAATTCGGAGGCGAACAAGTCACATTCACGACTGAGGAGCAACAAGCGCTCAGGAACTTTGGTGATCCCATCATCCGAATCATCGGATTCAAGCCCCTCTCTGCTCTGCCTATCTGGGCCAATGTCAAGCACCCTTCTTTTATCTACCCTTTCGGAAGAAGACTACATCGGCTCGGCTCGCGTTTTCTCAGCACTCCATCAAAAGCTTCTTAAGGATCAAAAGCTGGCTCTTGTCTGGTTTATCCCTCGCAAGAATGCTACCCCATGCTTGGCTGCCATGGTTGCTGGCGAAGAAAGAGTGGATGAAAATGGTGTACAAAAAGTGCCACCAGGCATGTGGGTGATACCTCTCCCGTTTGCCGATGACTTGCGACAGAATCCAGAATATGCCCGACATGCTCCCGCGGATGAGCTAGTTGACGCGATGCGCAACGTCATTGGACAGCTTGAGCTTCCAAAGAAAGTCTACGATGCTCAAAAATATCCAAATCCTTGTATGGTACCTCGTTTTCGGAAAATTCTGGCCAAAATATACTAACAATAATAACTCGACAGCTCTTCAATGGCATTATCGCATCTTACAGGCTCTGGCTTTGGACGAAGATGTTCCCGAAACTCCAGAAGACAAAACTATCCCCAAGTTCCGACAAATCGACAAGGTAAGCTACTCGTACTCGAACAATGAATTTAAGTAGTACTGATGCTGGCTTTGAAGCGTGCCGGCGACTATGTTATGACGTGGTCCGAACTGGTCGATGAGAATGCGAAAAGGATGTTTGGTGGAACTGCGGCGACAAAGTCAACCCTGGTCAAGCGAGGACCAAAGGATCAAGCAGGAGATTCTGGGGATCCTCCAAGCAAGCGAGTGAAGCTCGAGAGTGGGACCGCCAACCTCGATGACGATGTCAAAAGGAGTTTTGAAAGGGGTGCGGTCGCTAAGGTAAGCTATCACTTTCTAATAAAGAAGGATCGCAATTTCAAGATACTAACGATGATCAAATTAGCTCACTATGCCCATTCTGAAGGAGTTCCTGACCGCTCATGGCCGTGCCACAGCTGGTAAGAAGGCCGATCTCGTTGACCGGGTGGAACAATTTTTCGAGGAGAAGATCTGAGGCCGCACTTAAGTAATATGCGAGTCTAGCCTCCAGCAAACAAGTGAATCAACGAATTATGACAGACATCATTCCATAATTTCTGCCACGTCGCGGATGAGCCCAATCCTTCGGATTTACTATCCTTTCAACCTTGTAGAAGGTACCGAGTCGTATGACATCCTCGTGATTTGTATCTCCTAGGTACGCTCCTTCATAGATGTATATTCCCTATGTCAATAAATACTAGTAGTGCTCTCAAGTTTAAACTTATGAAAACACTCCCCGCACAAGCCCAGGTGGTCGCTTAGGCGGCTTAGGATTTCTTGACTCTGGCTAGGCGAATTTTGGCTCCTACTTTTGTGCCAGTGACTAAAGAAGCGGCTTGGCATGTGGGGGATGTGGGGGACCCACCGGCAGAAAAGGCGGTTTCTTTTTTTCGCCATCACTTCATTCAATGGGAAGGGCAATTTCTTGGATCTGTAGTTTCAACTCTGTATTCATCTCTCTATGACATTGAATATTCCTCGCCTCTGGACTGATGGTCCCCGCGCTCACAGACTTTCTGTTCTGTGTTCTTGAAGCTTCACGACAACCGAGATACCCGCCGGTTATAGCACTGTCTAGATCATTCCGGAATGAATCGAGTTCGTGCACGGGAGGACCGCAAATGTTACACTTGTAACAAGGTGTTTTCTAAAAAGGAACATCTTACGAGGCACATCAGAGCACATAGTAAAGAGAAGCCTTTCGCTTGCTCCATATGTGGCAAGTTATACTCTCGCAGGTAGGTACTAGTAAACCCGGATGAAGACATCCATCTAGATCCGATTCTGATTACAAGACAGTGACGTACTCCGACGACATGAGCGGAGCCACAATGATCGGAATAATCAATCACCTAATGGTTCATCCCCGGGATTCATGAGTGTTCCTACGGTGCTGGCGCCTGTTTCTGGGACAGACTCGTCGAAGAATCTATCTGGAATCCGGCCCGAGCCTGAACCCAGGATTGCTCCCTCAACTGTCGGCTCTGAAACTCCGGTTTCAACTCAAACTAACATGATCGAACTCGCACATTCAATGCCATTTCCTACCAATAATGCTGCTGGTATAGATACATGTTCTATCCCGGAATCTGGAACTTGGTTCCTTGAAGAGGACTTCGACGTCGGAGCCCTAGATTTCTCACTTACATCTACAATTTCAGAGTGGGCACATATTCCAAATGTCTTCCCTACAAATGAGCTGTCGGTTGGGGAACAAGACATGTATACACCCTTGCAAACTTCAGCTCCCAGTGTGGACTCGGCGAATCCGAGTCCCGACGAGGAAATAGTGCGAAGAAAATGGTTCACTCGCATGTCTCCCCCAAGAGAACATCATTCAAGTCGAGACTTCCCTGTATCAGGCCCAACGTGTACAGGCCATACAAATAGTACAACTGAGTCGTATAGAGCCGGCCTATCCCAGAAGCTTCGACCACGGATGGAAGATGAAGCGTTGCCAACGTCAGAGCAGCTTAATCTCTTCGCTAAGCTCTATTTTCATCGCTTCCATCCTCTGTTGCCAGTTATTCATACTCCGTCGTTTAGACCAACCACTGAAAACGCACTATTATTCTTGTCGATATGCTCCATTGGCAGCTTGTTTGTTGGGTCATCGCGTGCCTTGGCTCAAGGTGCTAAAATATTTGAACGACTCAACAAGGCCATATTGGCTTCTTGGGAATCTTTCATATCGCGAAGTCACCCAGATGCGTTCTCCATGGTTCAAGCCGCGATTTTAGGCCAGACTTACGCCATCTTAGCAGGAGAGCCGAAGTATCTTGTTTTAGCAGATGTGCTCCACGGAACGGTAGTTTCGTGGGCACGTGAAGCAAATAGATTGGGGGGCTCTTCGCTATCGCACGGGCAATCTTCTGGATGAGAATGATATGTATAGCAGTTGGCATCGATGGATTGAGAGTGAACAACGAGCTCGAGTGCAAGTAGCACTGCACATTCATGACGCTGAGCTTGCAACTTTATTGCACCACCAACCGATCCGCAACCACCGATTCCGTCAATTTCCTCAACTAGCATCAGATGCTTTATTCTCAGCCCCTACGGCTTCAAAATGGGCGACACTCTATCGTCAATCTCTACAGTCCCAGCTAAATGACCCCGTATACCCCCGGTAGAGCAGTCTCTGGACTCCTTTCCTATTACTGGTCGACATTCTCGCTTTGCAGCATACGGTATTCTTGAAAGTATCAACGCACGTCTCGTCGATGCCAAACAATCTGACGAATTTGATCATTTAGTCTGCCAAGAAATCTCGGGCCTGCTGATCAATTGGTGGAAGACTTACTACGTACCGACCCAAGATCCCTTTTGCCTACCAGTTCTCTGGCACTCAATCTTCATATCCCTATATGCCGATCTAGATCTTCTAGAGCAGTCAATCGGCCGAGATGGCCATCATCCAGTCCTCGAAGCCATAGCACCGGTACGAGAATGGGCCAGCTCCTTGAATGCAAGTCGCTGCCTGGTTCACGCATCCCTGATTACCCACTATCTCGAGCGCATGAGCATCTCCTCCGAGCCTGCAATTCATGTTCCGCGAGCGTTATTTTCCGCGGCGCTCACCTATCTGTGTGTTTCCCAACACGCACCCAAGCACATTATTTGTGTCCAGGCATTTGCCTCGCCAGAGATTGAGCTCTTAGGTGACCTGAATGTTTCTCGGGCATATTGCTTTCCTGGATATACGTATAACTCAGAGGGATCTGTTGTTGCAGACTTGGACCATTTATATAGGTTAATAGATTTGCTTCAGCGGGGTGGACGTTGGGGGATCTCACAGGCTTTTGCTGGTGTGCTTTCTGCGGCATTGGAGGAGAAGGGGAGAAATTTGGGATGATGTGATATTTTGAATTTCTTTTCGAGTGGAATCGTGATCTCACGTTGGTAATCTGAGTAAAAATCAGAAGTTTCTCATCAGGCCAAGTACTATCGACAACTACTTCAAGCTGAGTTTTGGCGATTATACGTCACCAGTGCCTAACAACTCCCTTGCAAATTAGTGGTCTATTCCACAGTCTATGGATATCACTATTGATAATCCCCAGCGGAACAATTTTGCCCCAGTGGTTCCTAGAAGGGAAATTAACATAATTCTACCTACACATTATACTGATGGAAGGGGCAAATTCAGGGGAATCATCTCGACTAAAAAAGACCACAAAAGGAAGAATAATAAGAAAGATTTCTGAAGAATTTCTTTGCAGACTTCGACTCATCACCGAGAAAATCGCTGAATTAGGATTCGGAGGTCTTGACTTCATTATTTTCGGCGTGATATGGCCTTCAAGAACACTTAATTATTTTTTTGACCAAATATATTATCATATACTAAATGAGTGGGTTTTCACAACTTCCACTGCGGACATGACTGCTGGTAAGCCATGTACTACATACATAGTCACCCCGCAGTTTCATGGGGGATGTTGCGGGGTGAAGCTCCACTCATGTGGGACTCGACAATTCGAAGAAAATCATTGATGGTCGTTTGAATGTATCTTCTATTTGACATTCGCACCCACTCATTATTTTAAAATTGGCTTGCTTGTAATAGTTCATCAGAACTGTTAGAGCTTACATCGACATTGATTTCGAAACCTACCAGTATGGTAAAAGCTTTAGCCTTGGTATTGTCTTCATAAATCTTTCTCTTCTCGTTGTATCATTCAAAGAAACGCTAGTAATATTCCACATTTCAAATAATGCAGCTATAGGCTCTAGAGACTTCTCATTGAATCCATCTTTCGCTACCTGCATAACAAATGTGGCGTCACCTGATTAGCTCCCCGCAAACGAAGCATCCTCCCCCCGCGGTGAGAGGTTTGTGGGGGATGAACCACCTCTGAGTTAGGCTATCAGACCAGCAGAAGCGGAATTTAAGATAGGTAGCTGAAGTGGTATAAATAAGATACGCATAACTTTCTTTTGAAAATTATTGTCAATATCCCGTTCATCGCCCAAGCTAAACCCTACGACCTGAATACGGAATGCCTGTCTTTACAGAATATTCCTCTTCCTCTCGAGACCTGAGAGTCTTACCCTCTTTTGCCCCACCGTTACCCAGGCAGTCTCCCTTTTTCTCTTCGAAGGACAATGACGGAGAGAAGTATGAAGTGATTATCGTCGGAGTAGGTAGCTCCGCCCCAAGCCAACCAAACATAGCTAAACGAAGCATTCCACTTTATTAGGCAGGACCAGCAGGTTTGATGCTCGACTTACTTCTCGCCCGTTATGGCCTCAGTGACGAGTCTCTCCTCTGTATTGACACAAAACCAAGTACATTGAAATCAGGCCAAGCAGATGGCATCCAACCTCGAACACTGGAAGTCTTCAAAACGCTGGGTATCTCCGATGAGATCGAAAACGAGGCTTGTCAAATGTGGCAATTCGCATTTTGGAATCCATCTCCCGACAAGGAAAAGATCATTGAGCGCACGGCTGTTATGCCGGAGGTTATTCCTCCTGCGCGCTTCGGCTACGAAGCTACCATTCACCAGGGGCGTATCGAAAGGATCATGGAAACGGATCTACTGCGATATTCGAAAAGAGGTGTTCTGCGTAACACGCGGTTAGTCGATGTGGTTATTGATGAGAATGGCGATGCCGAGTTCCCGGTTGTGGTGACTATGAACACCAATGGCACTGAGAGAACTGTGCGGACGAAATATCTAGTGGGTGCAGATGGTGCACACTCGGTTGTTCGTCAATCATTGGGACTAAAGCTAGAGGGAGAGTCGCTCGACCACATCTGGGGCGTTGTTGATCTCGTTGCCGACACCAATTTCCCTGATATTCGTCGTCGCTGTGGTATTCATTCTCCTGCGGGCTCGGTAATGGTTATCCCGCGCGAGAGGATTGCTACGGGTGAATATCTTACTCGCTTATATGTCCATGTCCCTGAAATAGTGTCTCCTGGCGATGATCAACTACCAGCCAAGACAACTGAGTCAAAGTCAGAGGATGCGCGGCAGCGCAGGACCAAAATCACTTTGGGGGGTATTCTAAAGCAAGCTGCGGATGCCATGCAGCCATACTACATCCGGCCTAAGGATGGGGCCATTGATTGGTGGGCTGCTTATCAGATCGGCCAGCGAGTCTTGCCTGAATTCATTGTCAAAGACTCGAAAAATGCTGCTCGTGTGTTTATCGTTGGTGATGGTACGTTCTGCTCATCCTATGAACTATGCAGAGAACAAGAATTGACTTGTCATCACAGCTTGTCACACCCACAGCCCTAAGGTACCTATCAAACCCAATGAAGCCGCTCAAACTAGTCTCGCTGATCAATTCTCTAGGCTGGCCAAGGAATGAACGTCTCAATGATGGATTCATACAATCTAGCTTGGAAACTTATCTATCAAATCAACGGGCTTGCACCAACATCGACCCCCGATAACCCAACGCCATTGCTTAACACATACCAAACAGAACGACACGAAATAGCCCAGCAACTCATTGAATTCGACAGAAAATTCTCTACAATGTTCTCCGGGCAAATGGGCGCAACAGAAGGTCTCACCCAGGAAGAATTCCAACAGGCCTTCAAATTGAACAACGGCTTCACCAGTGGCTGCGGAGTAGAGTATCCAGAGAACATACTCGTCGTTCGGGATAGTAACCCCTCGTTAAATCCCGTCCAGGGCACGGACTACCTCTCGGGAATCCTCCGGCCAGGACGACGCCTACTAAACATTAAACTACTACGTCATGCGGATGGGGGCCAGCGGGATCTGCACGATGGTAAGATCCAAGTCGTCATCTGGTTGATTCGTTTTCGGGCATTTCAATTAACAAATGATACAGACACGCCCTCTACAGGACGCTTCCGAATTCTATGTCTTACTTCGCAAGACCTGCTTGATCGGGAGGGTGTCTCGGCAAAGGCTCTCGAAAGGATGGCTATACTAATTGCCAATTTCCCCGCATCCACCATAGAACAAATCGTGCTACATCCCCGACTCCATCGATTCTTTGAGTGGGGCGACATTCCTGATTGTGTGAAGCAAACTTCGGAAATGCGTTTCTATGATGGGTCTGCGTTGGTTGACGCGTATAGCATCTATGGCGTTGACCCCGCGCACGGCGCACTAGCCGTGATCAGACCGGATGGGTATGTGGGGGTCGTTGCGCAACTTGGTGATGTGAAGCAGGTGGAGGAATATCTACGGGCGTGTATTAGAACGATTCTCTAGGCGTTTCCATGAGCCCATGGTAGGTTGTTGTGAACTGCTGTCAAATTGATCTATCTTTGAACTAAACTGCGTGTGCAGTGTATTCTATGTAAACTTGACCAAAATGTGTATATGTACCGTACCATTCAATAATCGTACAAAATATAAACCAAACGAATGTGGGAGATTCCTTCTCCTGGCGCTTGAACGCAATGGAATGAAAGCATCCATAATAAACCGTATAAACTCCGTAGTCCTTCTAATGAGGAGATGCCCGAGCCGAATGACGAATAGGCCTTGGGTCATGGGTATTGAAAATATCGACAGATGTAAAGTCGCGGTAAAATCAAAAGCACGAAGACGAGCAGCAAGACTTTTGACTGAGAAGCTAGCAAGAAGAGAAATAGACAGCGACATGTCTAAGCTCAGCATTTGCCATAAACCTGGCAGTAGCAAAGTTGCTCATCGGGACAACTAAAGATGAAAAAAAAGGGACGTTAGCCTTCGCTATATCCAGCAAGTCCAGATCGAGGCAAACACTTACTAGATCGAGTTCATTCCAAAGATGACGTGCCACATGAACTCCATCACTCGCCCGGAAGAAGCATCATTTAACTCGGTATCAATAAGCCACTGCCGGAATATGATATAATCCTCTCGCGGTCGCAAATGCACCTGGTTTCGCGAAACCGCAAATTGCGCACAGCACGCGGCACCGATCTGGGTGGGTTTTCGCATATATTTCCCGTCAAGCGATTCGGTCTCATACGGGGAAGACATGTTCAACGGTGGAGTACTCGTCCCCTCAAAGATATCCCACCAGATCTGGTCGGTGACGTGTTGGTTGAAGCGATGGCCTTCCTTGCAGCCTGGGTTCCAATTACAGCGAAGGTTGACATATCCATTTTGTTGGACAAAGTCCATCTTCAAACTCCGCATCGCTAGGACATTATCATGCAGAGGGGCGTCGACGTGCCAGGCCATTAGGAATCCGGCGCGGTGGGCGTGGAGGAAGGCGATTGTGGAGGGAAGTTTATCGTAGTAATCAATGACATAGGTGAGGTAGGCCATGGCTTCATGGCCTTTATTGATAGGGGTCGTTAGGGTTTCGTTATTGGATCGCATGTCTTGGGTGGGATTGACTATGTAAAGGGCCCGTTGCCAACTATCACAGAAAATGACATTAGTATTGATCCGTGATTCGATTTGCGCGAAAAAAGAAAGAGCGCAGGTTTACACACTCTGGGAGCTCCTCCTGGACCCAATCTGTATGTTCCTCTGCCAATTTGGCCATCACAATGACCTTGTCTCCCGGGTTGTCATGAATCGGTACGGGTGTTTCAGTGACATCGTTGCGGTTCAACCACTCGGCCAGATATGCGCCAGCGCGATACTGGTTATAGATATCTTGGAGATGTGCTTCCAAGAGATACAGTGAGAATATCAACATAAGCGAAATACATATCGCGAATCGTAGGCCACCCTTCATGGTGACCACGAAGAGGGTATTCGATCCCTTTTTCCTGGGCTTCAAGCAAAGTCCCGTATGCAAGCGTGGTTCACCTTAACAGAGACAAATAATCCATTGATTGATTAGATAGATCAAGGCGCAGAAGGGTGTTTGAAAGCGAGTAAAAGATCTAAGAAATGGCGTGGATGAGAAGGTGAAGATTGAGACTGCGAAACGCAGTTAGGGGGACGACAGAAGAGAGTCAAGAGAGTCAGGGCTTAACCGCCACAGGTTCCATGCGAGACAAGAAGACAAACAACTTAGGTTGGAAGAAGAAAATGGATTATAGGAGAGGGAAAAGTGGAATTGGAATATCGACCCGTGCGATCTGGGAGTACGGAGTAGCCTAAACTGTAAAAAAGCGAGACAGGAAGGGGGGGCGAGTCCCATAAACTCCCGGGGCCTTTCGCCATTCTGGAGTCTAAACCACGTTTAACTTAAAAGTCACGGCCACAACACACGTCATTGGCCACAAGAGAGGCGGTTCAGGGGACTTGGGAGGGGCTAGGACTGCAGTCAGGCCGGGGGGGAAGTGTTGAGCGTTTGCTCTGGCCCTTAGCAGAAAGCTTGGCCCTGGTTGCGTAGCGCCGCCCCTCTTGAACCGACGGCGGATCCGACAAGTTGATTGGAACAATTCAACTTAAGAATGGGGAATAAATGCGCAGCTCCCGCTGGTTGCGCAAGGTTTATAGCCAATCTGCAGCCAAGTGGCAGCTTGGGCCCCCGTCTAAATGGTATCAAGGATGGGCTTCCCGCCTGTGAAATGTTCCATGGTTTGCACGTGGCGAGCAGCCATTCTTGGGAAGAATTCAGAGGGAGACAAAGCCAACTCTGGAAAAAAGTGCTGCCGTGCTGAAGGTCGTCGTGAAGGAGGAGGGTACGTACTTCCCCCACCGCGCTATTGGTTAGGGAGGCATGCCGTGTGGGGCCTTCGGGTAACCCCTAAGACTTCATCGGATATCTGGACATTGTTCATGTTTGCTACAGCCTAGATACCCTTTTTACAGAGGCTGTATTACTCCTTAGATTGAAACCGAACTCATAGAGCTAGAAACCCAGGGGCGCATACGCAGATGCACGAAAGGGGATTCCTGGAGGCCAGTTGATTTGGGTTCTGACACATGGACGGCAGAGTGTGGCGATGACAGAATGGGCCCACCACACCCCCAATGGCCAATGCTCGATCAGCATTGTAATGAATGGCACGGCCGCTTTTGGCTTTTCGGTGTTGCTCCGCTATTATCAGGGAACTGGAGAAACAAGCGAGCGAGGGGACCCTTTTCCGTGGGCGCATGGGAACACTGCCCCAGAGAATGGAGAGGATGGGTCGGGGTCGGCAGGATCAGGAAGGGGCCAGGACATTGGAATCGGATTTCTGTAACGATGATTCAGGAGCATTGCTTAAGTTTCTTGAGACCCTTGCTGGATGCGGCATTTTGCTTGGCCGACAGCGGGTTTCCCAAAGGTTCTAGTGATTCCTGCGTCGATAAAGCTATCTCTGCGCTGCAGGGCCACCTTGAGGCATCAGGGCATGCGTATCGGAGCACAGACCGGGCCAAGGACGCCTCATTGGTGGCGGGGCACATCTGAATCCCGTCGGTTGAAATTACCGCGTGTCCAAACTTGGAAAGGGTCTCGATTAATGGGTGACGGAGCATGAATTGACGTCCGAGTCTCACCTGGGCACTAGACTGGGGCCGTACGATGGGGTCAGGTTGGGGAGAAGTTCAAGTTGGCAAGCAGTTTTGGGGGGCTGCGGGGAAGGAGTAGTCACCTACCCGTGGGCAACTACTAACTAATTAACTACTATCTACGTACTAGTACTGCCTACTATAACTACTCAAAGGTGCTCCAGGGCTGGTATTCAGGGAGAAGAATTCGAGTTTACCAGAAGAAGAAAACAAAAGAAACTTGAATGAGTGCCTTTGCGATATATCGAGAGGCAACTTCTATTTATCCGATCTCTCAATGGATTCGGAGGTTTTAAGTTTTGTTACATACACGGCGTACTAGATTACTCAGGTCTCTCAGCATTATATTGATATTATGCAGTCCAGCTGCACAGTCTCAAGCGCAATTTTTCAATCGTCCCCTCCTCCTCGTCGCTGACCTCCTCCCCCTCGGCTATTGCCTTCTCGCGTGCCTTGCGCGCCCGTTCGCGCTTCTTATCCAGGAGCGCATTAAGCTTCTTCGCGACATTGAAAACTCCTCCGGTACCTGCCCCGCAAGCTGCACAGTTTGGATTTTTGCGATACCGCTGCAAAGCGCAAGACTCGCAGAAATAGTGACCGCATTTCGTGATGATGGGGGTGTCGTAGGACTTTTTGCAGATTATGCAGGCAAAAGGAATACTCTCAAGCAATTCGTCATCGTCATCATCTTCCTCGTCTTCAGCTGCTTTTCCGGCGCCCTTCCTTTGCGACACCACTCTTCCGTTTAACTTTTTCCCATTGGTCCCGACTTCCCAATCACGATCCAGCTCCCAGCCTTGTTTGTAGTCTTCGCGTGCATGGAGGAATTTACAACTGGAACATATCGTTAGCATCTCCAGATAACTTTTGGGGGTATATCAGTTGAAAGGACTTACGAATCTCCGAAACCACAGAATCTGAACAAAAAAAGAATCAGCAGTTAGTGTATGTCCGTCAATATGAATCGGTTCTGCTCAAGGCAGTAGTGGAGGAAGACCTACCCAGTCTGCTTGTAATCCTTGCACACATCCGGGGCAAAATCCATCACAGTGACCGTTCGCACATTTGTAGACGCCTTTATTGGACCAAACTTCTTGTTTGGCGCATCCGGGTTCTTTTGAATGAAGGATTGGTAGTTGGCCGATCCCTTGTATGTTCCGTCTTGGGTCGCATCATCACCAGCGTCTGCATTCCCCGGGCGAGCTCTGGTAGACCCCAAGGAGGTTCTTTGCGCTCAGATCTTCATCGTACCAGTTGGAGGACTTGGTCGCATCGTTACTGGAGGTCAAGGGAACTGGAGCGGCACTGGCTGGTTGTTCGACACCCTTGTCTTTCCTAACATTGGCAGCGGAGGAAGCAGTCACGGCGACATTTTTGCGGCGTCTCTTAATGCGACGGCCTTCTTCGTCATCGGAGGAGGTAAAGCCAGAGTCTGAATCGGAGGCGGGCGGCGGAGTGGCGGGCTTCTTGCGCATATTGGCCTTTGGTTTGGAACGCTTCTTGAAGCCAAATTGGGGGACGGGTTCGGAAGTTTCGTCTGCCATGTCGATAGTTATGAAGATCAGAGTCTTGCAAAAGAAAGAAAAAAAAAGCACATGAACTGAAAGGATTCCCTGATATCAAATCAACTCCAATGCGGTATCTCCGACGGAAGAGTCTCGAAGGGTGAGTCAGCAGTGCAAACAGGTCAAACACGGAACGCGTAGAAAGAAAACAACAACACAAACATCTCCCAACATCCAATGGGATTAAGCCCTGGAGGGTACTTCAACTTAGAATTTGGGTGTGCGGGTGGTGTAAACATAGATAATCGGAGTACCTAGGTACATTTACATATATATAGTTTATGTATATATACATAGTATACTATACATATGCTCCGTAGTATATGTATCACAGGCATTCAACACACCATCTGTTACTAGTAGCTGCACCCTCGCCTGCGGACAGCGGCTGTGTACCTTTTGGGCCAGAATCTCCTCTTCTCTTCCCTTCTGCTTCTCCCCGCCCAAGTCGCCCACCACCCAACCCTCGACACTCCCTTTCACCCTTTTTCTTTCCTTCGTTTACTAATTGACTGCCTTCCTTTGTTTTTGTTTTCTTTTTCCTATTCCATTCCCTTTCCCTCTTCACTCGACGACCCGATCGAGATCCCGCGGGCGATCTCTCCTGCAGATCGCGCAGTGTTGTGCTTGACTGCATCGCACATCTACGCGCCTGTACCTGGACCTGGACCTGAACCTGAACTGATTCCGCCCGGGGTTCCTCACGGATCCGTCAAGTGTTGATTATCTCGATCTTCCAATTTCACCTTTCGCCATCTCATTTCTCTCATTTCCTTCCTTCCCCGTCACACCCGCATCTTCGCACGTGGTGCCATTTGACGATCCGCGGTCGCTGGTCGGCTCGATTATCTTGACTTGGTGAGAGGCCTTCTCTCTGCGACACCATCTCGAAGCGCGCGATTTCGAACGATGCTCGCGTGAATCATACCACTCCACTCCCACCACGAAAAACCGCGCCCCCCTCCGTACGTCTCTCCTGGCGAACGACATCCCCTCGTACAGCAGGGGATTCGGCCGCCGCGTGAGATACGGCACCGCTATCTCGGATTATGACCACTTCCAACCCTGGAGCGAACAGCTCCCTCGCCTCCATGATGGAGGACCCGTTCGTTTCAAATGCGGGACAACATGCCGCCCCTCGTGAATCCCACCGCTATTCGTCCTTCGATACACAGCTTTTCAGCCTCAATGCTTCCTCTCCCGCCCAGGCCAAGCGAGCCCTCGAGGCTCATCTCGCAGAAACCGAACGTCGACTAGAAGAAGCATCCAAATTAGGCACGGCCCTCATCGACCAACAGCGAGAACTATCAGAGCAGCTGAAGGAGGTCGAACAACAGCAGGACGACAGCGAGATGGGCCCGGAGCTGCGAAAGAGACTTGCTGATCTGGAGCATGAGTATAACGAAATCGGCCGGGAATCGGCGCGCGCATTTTTAGGCCCAAAACGGCTGGCAGGAGGCTCCGAGGATGCCCATCCAGGTACTCCGTCGTTTGACCAAAAGGTCAGTAGCTGGTGACCACAATACGCTCATAATAGCCACCGAATCTAACACGCATCCATAGTCACCTATCAGCCCCGCTCTTTTCGCAGGACATGCGACAAACTCTCCCAGCAAAGTCAGTGTTCCATCTCGCAAGCAGCGCAATCAGCCCGCAAACCGTGTCCACGATATCGAGTTCGCGACCGAGATATCCACCTCTTTACTCGCCCAGGTCCGTCAATTGCAGGCGCTCTTGGCCGAGCGCGAGGAGTCCCTTAAATCTGTCAACCTAGAGAAGTCCCGTTTGGAGCTTGAGGCGGAAGGCTATTCCCAACGCATACGGGCCCTTGACGACAGCGAGCAGCGCTACAAAGATGAAAATTGGGCACTGGAGACTCAAACCCATGAGCTGATGGCAGCTGTTCGTGATGCAATGGAACGTGAGCAGAAGCTTAATAGCAGCCTTGACACCTCAAGCTCAGAAAAGAATGCCGTTGAACGTGAATTGGAGGAGCTCCGACAGACCAATGCGAAGCTGTTGGAGGACCAGGCAATCACTCAGAAATCGAATGATACCGAAGTCCACCTCTTGCGTCGGAATCTGAATGCTGGTGATCTGGAGAAATCTGCCCTTCAGAAGAAGCTGGAAGAACTCACCTCGCAGAACCAAGAGTTGGCCAAGGCAGTTGCGATGCGTATTCGTCAACATGAATCACAAGAAGGTCGAGACCTTCCGGATGACATGAATGGTGACGAACCCGAGCAAAACACCCCGGACAATTCCCCCCTCCGTCGCCAAACAAGTTTACCCCACGACACGGTCATCTGGAGTCTGAAACCCTCAAGAGCTCCCTCGGGCACGCTCACCGGATGATTCAGAATCTTAAGAGCACCATTCACCGAGAGAAGACCGAGAAGATCGAGCTCAAGCGCATGTTGCAAGATGCCCGAGATGAGGTTGAGCAGCGTCGCCGTGAAAGCGTCGCGCCTAACGGAACCAAGAAACCTCTGAAGAAGAAGGATGACTCTTTCAGGAAACCTGCACGGCCCGATCTTTTGGGCGCAGGTCGCAAGGAAACGTCCATGGTTGAACTTCACGACACTGACTGGGAGGATAACGCTGGCCAGATTAGTCCATCTCGCCCAGTGGCAATGAATGGCGCCTCTAGCAGCCGCTCTGGCGCGCATTCTCCCGACGAACCCAGTGATGTTTACCAGACTGCTACTGAAGCTGAAGATGGATTCGAGACCGCAAATGAGCGTGCGACCGCAACCGAGAGCGAGGCCTTCCAAACCGGCGTGGAAAGCATGGCAGACGATAGTAGCGACTCTGCGGACCTAACTGAAACCGAGAACAATGTGCAAACTACCCCCCGTAACCGCGTTGCATCATCTTTGGTGATGGCTAAAGCCCGTGATCGAAGCTCCTACCATAGCTCGGCCTCTACATCAGATGACGATGAGACTGACAGCGGATTCCCATCCCCCAGCCAAACACATATCTCTCGGCGTGTTAGGTCTCAAGCGAAGTGTACTTAGACGAATTCGCCCATCTGGGGAAGCTCCTATGGCTTCCAGCAGCCGTCCATCGAGTGCCCGCAACTCTCCTGCGCCCAGCTTTGAGCAACAACCAATGGCTGGAGAGGGTCAGAGCCTGTTTGCAGAGCTTGCAGAGCTTGAAGGCGGCGAGGAGGAGGAGGATGAAGGAGCCGTATCGCAGGCCTCGACACCACGCATGCAAGCTGCCACCCTCGGCTCCCGCAGACCTTCTGAAATTACCCTTAACGACCTGCCCAAGCCCATCATGGTAGACAGCGGTATGATGACTGAGCCCTGGGAGCCACAGACTCCCACGGCTTCCCATGTTCCTGTGCCCATCCCTGTCACCGAAGAGGTCATTCCCAAGGCTTCTCCGGCTACTCCGCAGAGAAACCAGACCTTGGATCGTGAAATCGAATCCGAAGCAGAGGAGACCCCTAAGCTGGTCAGCTCAGGCACCCAGTGGACACCGCTGAAAGGACCTGCCATCGATAGTGACCACCTTTCTAATGTTCCCACACCACCTAAGATGGCCTGGGATGAGAATTCTGAGTCACAGCGAGTCGAGGCTGGCACCCAGGCGAGCCTACCAGAGCTTGATGTCGCAGTGATTCCTTCGCAGGAGACAGTGCCTGTTCTTCCTAGCTGGCCCAAGTTGGAAGTTTCTTATCTTCCCGGAGACGAGACTGTACCCGTGAAACATGAGGTTTCCGAGCCCGAGGTTCTAGAATTCAGAGTCTCCTCGATTTCCTCGCAAGCCACCGAGCCTGTCTTGGCTACTGTGCCTGAGCCTGAGCCAGTGATTGTGGAACCAGTGAAAGAGTTGCCGGAGATCTCTTTGTCCTCTCTCTTCACCTACTCCACCGAGCCTATTCAGGCACGCCTCCCGGAGCCTGAACCAGTGTTGGAAGTTCCTGAGGTTGTTCTGCCTGAGTTGGGACTTGCCACTCTCTCCACTCAACACACTGAACCCGTGGAGCCTCAACACCCCGAGCCAGCTCCCGTGCCAGAGCCCATCATCATTCCCGCACCTTTGCCCGAGCCAGTCATCCTAGACCTGGGCATCTCGATGCTAAATTCCGCATCTACGGAGCCGATTGCCCCGAGGCTGGTCGAGATCCCTGTCCCAGAGCCCGTACCCGAGCCGGTCATTCCAGAATTGACCATCTCTTGGCTGGACCCTGCCTCAACAGAGCCCATTGCCCCGAGGTTGATCGAGGTTCCTGTCCCAGAGCCTGTGCCCGAGCCAGTCATCCCAGACCTGAGCATCTCGACGCTTAATTCCGCATCTACGGAGCCGATTGCCCCGAGGCTAGTCGAGATCCCTGTCCCAGAGCCCGTACCCGAGCCGGTCATTCCAGAATTGACCATCTCTTGGCTGGATCCAGCCTCAACGGAGCCAGTGGTACCTTCCCCAATTTCGATTCTCGCACCCCCACCTCCATCGATCTCTACCTTGAGCTCGGTCGAAACCCAGCCCGTCAAATCTGTGCTCCCAGTCGCTCCCCTAATGGCAGAATTGGGTATCCAAACAGAACCCATGGAGGAGCCAAAGGCGGCGGCGGTGGCTCTGCCTGTTCCTGTGACGACTAATGAAGCTTCTACTGAGTCTACCCGCGAACGTAATAGCACCGGTGCAAACGATCGACCCACAAGCATTGGCCTGGCTCTGAGCGACATATCCGGAAATGCTTTGCCCCAGTCTGCTATAGAAACACCGGGCTCTGTGAGCATGGATCAAGGCTCACAGACCATTCTGTCTTCGCAGCAGATCGATCAGATCCTCATTGACCGAGAGGCCGCACGTCCAATTTCCTCCGCCAGCAAGTCAAGAGATATGGCTGTTGTGGGGGCAGCTGCAGCTGCAGCAGCGGCTGCTACTGCAACATCCCCTTTCGCCACTCCCAAGTTCCGACCTCGTCCTCAAGGGCAGCCATCAGCTAGATCGTTGACCCCCGGGCAGCAACGACCTGACAGCGCTACCAGCCAGGCATCGAATCTCAGCGTTCACCCACCACTGCCTGCCGACCACCGCGAGGCCATCTTGGCTGCCGAGAAGAAGTCGGTCGATATACCCCCTCCCCCATCTCCAGGCGCGATGGGTCCTCCCTTGGCACCGGCTTCCGCCTACCGCATGAATGTGCAAGGGCCCCGGACTCCGGGAGACCAAGTGCCCCGGCCAGGCTCAACGAGGACTGTCTCTACCCAAGCGCGGGTGAGGAGAAGCAGCCAAAGTGGAGTGTCAAGGAGGTCTTCCGTTTCCTCATTTGCATCAGAGCTGGAGGAGCGGTTTAACATTAACAACCCTCACGCTGGTCCTATGCCCCATGGATATGGTCCCAACACAGATCCCCGCATGATCCAAGCAATCACGCAGACCATGATTGGTGAATTTTTGTGGAAGTACACCCGGAAGACCGGATCAGGAAACATGTCGTCAACCCGTCATCGACGCTACTTCTGGGTTCACCCTTACACGCGTACTTTGTACTGGAGTGAGCAGGATCCTCAATCGGCTGGAAAGAGCGAACTTCGAACAAAGAGCGTTCCTATTGAGGCTGTGAAGGTTCTTGCGGACGACAACCCATACCCCCCCTGGTCTACACTGTAGAAGTTTGGAGGTTGTCAGCCCCGGCCGTCGTGTGCGATTCACCGCTACCACGAGCCAAAGACACGAGACTTGGTTCAATGCGCTGTCATATCTCCTTTTGCGAGAGTCGAACGATAATTGCGACGACAGTGAGAACAATGTGACTTTGGATGATATTGATGAATTCAACCCCGGCTTCCGCTCAGCTTCGCGTCAGACAGGTCGGATGTCTCTTGCGTCCCACAACAGCCGTCGCCCAGCACCGAAACAGCGGGCGGCCTCTGCGATGTCCACGCGGTCTACTGGAACCCACGGGCGCGCATCTCCCGCATTCAGTTCCCCGGGCGTCAACTCCTCATTGCAGGTTCCCGAGGAAGGACAACAACGATCCTCATCTCGCCTCAGCACAATCCTTACTGGCTCGATTCGTGGCTCGATTGCTAGCCTGAAGGGACGCCATGGTCAAGCCGACAGCGTTCATAATGGAAGCCTTCGCGGCCAGGATAGTGTGGAAAACTTTGGTCACGAGGCTGAAGATGATGACCGACTCGAAAACGTCCGCGCATGCTGTGATGGAAAACACGATGTTGGCTCCCTTTCTCGCACCAGTCGATTCAGTCCAAGGGTGGATCGCCAACACTCCCATCATTGAAACTGAAATGAAAACATTGCATCAAAATTGGCTTGGCTCAGTTTGTGGGCTGGTCCTCAAACCACGATGACGGCTTGCGTCAGTCATTATAATTGCCATGGGACTCTCTCTCTCTCTTCCTCCTTCCCTCCCTCTTCCTATCTCTTTTTTTTCGGTTTACTCGCTCGATAAGCAGTTCTCTAACCATCGCTGTGCCGTCTTGCGTACATCTTGTCATGATAGAAAACACAGTGATGGCCTTTCTTTTACACCTTCTGAATGATTTGGGTTGCGGACACCGCCCCCCTTATCCACCACCTACTAGTACTACTCATTTGAAAATTCTACCTTCCCTTTCCTGCATGTCTCAAACTACGCATCATCTCCTATCGTCGTCCTTCATTGATTCATTCTCACTTCTGTGTATCCGTTCAGCCACGTTTCAGTCTGTTCAGACGACTTGACTATATCTCTTTTTGTTGATAATTCCGACCCGATTACTGTTCCACTCTTTTCCCTGTGATCGTGTTCTCTTCATTGTTGTGCCATCTGCACCAGAGCGTGAGCAAACTCAAACTAGCCCGTGTACCAGTGCTTGTGATGATTATTTGTGTTTTTCTCTTTCTACTATGGTAGCAACGTAAAATCTCGTAAGTTGATCTCCATTCCATCCTTGCGCTGTCTGGTTCTCGGACCAAATTAATGTCACGTGATGATGATCTCCCCGGCCCTAATTTTGGTTTTCGGCGGGTCCATCTTCTACTTCTCTATTTCTCCCTCACTTGATCAATCAACTTGAATAATCAACCATTATGACGACTCCCCCGCCATTAGGAGATAGGCTCAAGGGTATGCTTGAGCCTGCCCAGATCATGAAGTGGGCCATGTCTCGTGAGTTCCATTTTGATTGCCTATCTATCATAACTCCAAAGATATTCTTCTCTTCCTCTTGCGTCCTCCGGCGTTTGTTATTACATTCGGTGTTTGAAAAAAGAATGCCTTCCATTACTTGTATTCCATCTATTCAATATCCTATACATTCAGAAAGACGCCAACGAGAGTTTGTATCATATTTGTCGAAGAATTCGCACTACATATCTTCATGCTTTCCACTACGCCACACTACTCTATACCGGACAAGAATCCCGCTAACATCATCAACAGACTACATCCGCGTATGCGCAGAGGCTGTTTTCAAAAAAGGCGAGATCTTTGCGCCTATCCTCCAAATTGATCGACTGCGCGATGAAGCGTTTGGTCGATTCTGGGTCGAATTCTCTAGTACGTACCCCCGCGCATGACTCAAAAGCCGAATATAGAACCCGCCCTTGGTCATTCATCTCCATGATGAAACGAAACCTTGCCCCCTGCCAGAGGAAATCCTCACCCATAATGCCCGAATCCTCTTACCAAATCCATATTTCGATTATGTTTTTCATAATCACAATTACTCACCAAATATCATCTATCCAGCCCCAGCTCCAAACGCCACTCCAGCCCCAGCAGAACCAGAACCAGTGCTGGAAACAGACCCAGAAACAGAAACAGAAACCTTCCAACCAGGCCAAAACACCAACGGCTCATCGGATCTGATCCCACCCCTCCTCCGCACAGCAAACGGAATAGTCCTGAGACATCGGCCCAGGAACAGGCACCCAAATGCCCCTCCTCCGCTCGCCCTCAATAAGCACAATCTACGGCCCAGAGCCCTGCACCGGCCTGCACGAGAAACTGCGCGCCCGGGCCGTCGCCGAGGGAATCTCATCAAAGTACCACATTCTCGCCTCCGGCGCCGCAGCATCTCAACTCCTCCCCGCTCTCCGCGACTCCGGCACCGGTGTGACGGAGGCATATGACTCTGATCCGCGGAGCGGGATATTCGACACGATCATCTGTGTGCGCGTTCTGTGCTCTGTGCCCGAGATGGAGAGGACTGTGGATGAATTGTACGGGCTTTTGAAGCCGGGCGGGAAATTGTTGGTCACGGAGCATGTTGTCAATGCGTGGCGGACGGCGAAGGGGTCTTTTCTGGCGAGGGTTGTGCAGGGTGTTTATCAGGTTTTTGGGTGGAGTTTTTTTATTGGCGATTGTGCTTTGGATCGGGATACGGAGGGGGTGCTTTTGAGGGCTGCGCGGAGTGATGGTGGGTGGGAGGTTGTGGATTTGGAGAGGAGCTTTGCTTGGTCGGTTATGCCTTATCTTTCTGGGACGCTGGTTAAGAAGAGTTCGATTTAGTTCTTGCTGGGTGGGTAACTAGTATTGTGTGTCTATCATTATCCGGTGCTCTTTTGAATGTCAGCTGAGGGTGTTGTGATGTATTGTTTCGGTCTTGTGAATCATATATTAGATCGAAATGCCAGAACATCATGGGTGTCTAAAGGTTTCTTCTTATTGATATGAATATCAATTTGGCACGCCCGAATTGGGCAGTGTAAATTATCTCGGTATAAGTTTGATTCAATTGTCTAAATGGGTATCATAATGGTAGAAATGAGCAAAGCCTCAGCCCTGCATGGGATGAAGTTGGGCGTAAATGGTAAAGTGGGGAATCAGAAAGGTCCGAAGCGGTCCGTTAGTCGCTTCAGCATGGCTTTGGTCGGCCTGGAGGCCAGAAATCAAAGAGATCCAATGCCTCGGACGTCCAGGGCCCCTGTTCAATCTCCTCCAACTGCTCGGGAACCTGACTGAGTGCATTTCGCATAAGAGTGGGTCGAGCTTGAAGGCCGGATCTACTCAATGCTGTTGGGTCGGATAGTGATTTGCGGAAGGGTGCGTCAAGAGGCCTCTTGATGGTAAGGTTCCGAGCGGGTTCAGATTGGTTTCCTTTCAATGATGCTACATGAGATTTTCGGTTTTGATTGTTGTCAATTCCAGCACTGACTACCATCTCCTCAAGGATAGATTGAGTTGAGACCGATGGTAGAAATTCCATGTTAGTAGACGCAGGGCCTTGAGATGGGGCACTAGCGGGTCTGCGAGGCTATTAGTACAGCAGGACTCTCATATTCTGTGAGCACATACTGACTGCGACTCCTTGGGTTTTGGCGTATGTTGGCTTCGTTTCGCTGGAGGGCCCATTGCTGAAGATGGGGAAGATTTTTGAGACGTATCGCTAGGCAATAGGGCACTGTACATCAATTTTGGGCGCGGCTTCTCGGTAGACATGCGTAAGGTTTTGATTGGCTGGGCTGAGTGTTCTGTGTCGGGGGTTGGTCGTGAAGTTCGTGGGTTTCGTGGGACGTCATTATGTGGCGGTTCGTAGGAGTTCAGCGGTTTGGGGCGCGCCGCTCGAGATTCGACAGGCGGTTCCACTGGTGGAACAGGAATCGATTTCGGCCGAGCAATCGTTTCTGTCGGCGGATGTAGGGATGGTCTCGTAAAGGTCGGAGGATCTTGTTTGGGGTGTTCATTTCTTGCGGGTTCTTGTCTTGAGGGGTTGGGTATTGGAGGTGCTTCCTTAGGTCTCGATCGCGATTTCGGCTGTGGTTCCTCGACGGGCATTGATAGGTTCGGTCTCGCATCCTTCAAGGGTGCCGTCTTCTCCCGAGGTGCAGGAAGAACCGGTGGCCGCGTAGGTTGCTGCGGTTCCGACTCTGTCAGGTCCACCACCTCGGACTGTACATTCCTGCTTTGGACCGAGGTGGTTCCTGTTGAGACTTTCGGCCGTTTGGGTGCTCGTTCAGAGGGATCGGGGAGGCTTGGCGTTGGTGGTTGAGGATTACGTTCCTCGTAGGGAGACGGACGATATCCAATTGGGGTTCGTTTGATACCAAGAAGGTCATTGAGTGAGCGAAACGTCTGCGAACCGGAGGTTCGAGCGATTGTGGAGGTGGAGGGGGTAGAGACAGGTAAAGGCGCAGGCGTGGACGTGGGTGTAGGACGCGCTTGGGAGTGATTGGAGGGAGGAGAGGTCTGGCTGGATTTCCTCTTTTCGAATAGGTTGGTAAGATCCTGCTGAGTTGTGCCCATGCGCTCGCCGACTTCAATCAAAACACCTTTATCAAGTTCCAACTCATCACCATCTTGAACCTCATCTGTCGAACGCCAATGATGATCCCCGATGTAGTTACCAGATTCATCGTAGACCATTACTCGTTTGTTGAAGGCATGGTAGCGAAGGTAGCCATCCTGCCATCGTTTGGACTTGCGGCGCACATCGTGGGTGTATAAACAACGAAACTTGACGACGTCGGCGGTGATGGGCGATTGGGAGGAGATTGGAGCTGAGCCACGGGGCGTCGAGTACGGGGCAGGCATGAGGGGTTTTCATGACATAACGGAGCGATATATGGTGTGGTCGACGTGGAGGTGGAGGAGGGGAGGAGTGACGAGGGGAAAGTCAAGCGCGGAGAGAAAGAGAGGAACTTCCTAATCTCCACTTTACTTCCTTACTTCCACTCATCGCGAATGATCACATCCCATCTCATCTCATCAAATCAGATCAACTATCCATTTCCACTAATCCACACCCTGATCAACTATTTTATTACCTTTTTTTTCCCTGTTTGACTCACACATAATGTGGCCCCCACGGGAAACCCCAGCAGATGCAGCCAACGGACATCAGTCAATCATTCTGATTTGCGATGACCCCAGTCTAAGTGGAGCTAGATGCATTCCGGCCAAATTAGACCAAAAGTAACCAGTAGAATGACCTGTAAGGCAGGGCAGGCAAAGCAAAGCGCATGAGGGGCTTGGCCCCCTCATGAGAGCCGCAGGGAGGCTTGAAACGTTTCGAATTTCCCTTTGCAACTCCCAGTTTCACTCTCACTTTCTCTTTCTCTTTTGACTTCCACTCTGATCCTTATTCTTATCCTCTTCCATCCCAGAATTGACTTGACTGCTGGTTCAGTTGAATGTTCATCTGCTGGTCTTAATACTATTGTCAATATCTGTTGTTACTCTGCTTCAGCTTCAGCTTCTGCCTGCCCTTTACTCCCAACCTCCCCTCATCCACTCCTTCACCATGCAGACCATGCAGAAACGATTTGGTCGAATGACCTCCAAGCGAACTGCCGATGACAGCCAGGTCGCTGTTCTTTTAAAGGATTTCGAAGACGCAGATTCCTTGTTGACTAAAGTAGGCAACACCTTTCTTCCCGGGTAAATTCATTGACACGCGTTCCTTTACTGACTTTCTCTTTTTTTTTTTTTTTTTTACAGATCGCAGAATCTACCAGAGCCTGGCGTGATGCCTGGGTATCAATTGCGACCTTCCAAAGTCGCATGGCTGATGAATTTGATGGATTCTATGCGCCCATCATCGGCTCTTCTGAAACAGACTCCCCGCATCGACCCGTGGAAACCGATCCCGCCCTGCTCGGTCGAACCAACCGGCTGAGAAAGGAATTCGATGAGCTTCGTGAAGAGATGATCCAGGAGCTTAATGTCGTCGAGGATCGTATGGCCCGACCAGCAGACGATGCAAAAGGCTCCTTGGCCCCCCATGAAGAAAACAATCAAGAAACGCAACGATAAGAAGGTATGTGCCAGGGTGGGGCTGGTGTCTGTACGGGGTACAACAGGGCCATTTACTTATCACTTTACTCTTCAGACCGAATTCGAAATCTACCAGGGTAAGGTCGATAGCCTTATCCATAAACCGAAGCGCAGCGACCGCGAAAATGCCAATCTTGCCAAGGCGCAGGTTGATCTCGCCAGTGCTAAAGAGGTATGTCAAGCACAGTGCATCAAAAAGAAAAATAATACACATATACTAATTCTACCAAAGGTATATCAAGCCGCGGATCAAGACCTACGCCAACGCTTGCCACATCTGATATCCCTCCTCTTCTCACTCGTACCCTTCATTCTCACGGCACAAATCGAGATTCAGAACCACATGCTGGGCACATACTACACAGTGATTCTCGCCTTCTGCGAAGAAACCGGACTACCATCACCACCAGCCCCCTTCGACCAGATAGTATCGGACTACCAACATGTCCATGATCCCGTGCAAAGCGAAATCGAGAGCATGAACTGCCTCATCCACGGAAAGGCCCTCCGAGAAGCGCAAGCCAAGGAACTACAAAACAAACGGCCCTCCCTCGGCAGTCGCACAGCAAGCGTAGCAACCAATGCCTCACGCCCATCCCTCTCCTCTCGACCATCCATCTCATCAATCTCATCCAGCATTCGCAGCAAACCAGCCGCGCAACCCCCAATGCTCGGCCCAAAGCCCACCACCTGCGCAGAGGAAATCCGCGCCACGTCCCCATCCTCTTCATACATGGCATCCCGCAGCTCCGTCTCCGCCTCCATCGCTAGTACGTCAGGTACATCTCCACTTCCATCGGCGCATGGATCCTGGATGCCCCCTCCAGACAGCATGCCTTCTCCGCAAACGACGACCCCCGTACCCAGCGGTGTCTCCTTTTACCCGGCTGCCCGGCCGACGGACCATTTCCAGCAGAGTCGTAGCCAGCAGGGCTCGCTTCTTTCTGGACCATCCATCCCCTTCACCAATGCCGAGCCTTTTGCCATGGCCGCGTTGAAGAAGAAGAAACCTCCTCCTCCCCACCCCGGCCGACCTTCGTCACGGCCTTGTACGACTTTGATGGACAGGGCGATGATGATCTGAAAATTCGAGAGGGGGATCGGATTCGCATTGTGAAGAAAACTAATAGCACGGATGACTGGTGGGAGGGTGAGCTTGGTGGTGTGCAGGGGTATTTCCCGGCAAATTATGTCGAGTAGATGGTTCCAAGCTGGCGACTCGGATTTGATTTGATTTTGTGTGCAATTTCATTTTTGTTTTCCTTTAGTTATTGCCAATGATACCTCGAGTGTTCTTTTTCTCAAAAATCCGACTCAACTTCCAACTTGAACTTGAAGGCTGATCCTACTACCTATTAGTAGTAGTCCTAGTATATATCCGGGATCGGAGATTCAACCTCCATCTGGGCACTGGCAAGGCTTAATGTCGAAATGGGATTCTGAACTTGAATACTACTAGTAGGTATTCTAATTAATAATTATAAACATTATTCAAGTATCAGTATCCATACTATCTACTAAATTTCCAAGGTTCTGGGGTACCTAAAATAAGAACCTGGGTTTCGTACATGAGAGTGCCATGGCCAAAGAAGCGGGTAGCCCTGGTACGTACCGGAGTAACTTGAGCATGGGCTAGATATTATTTTGTGGCCACTCTGACATCAACCACCCCCAAGTGGTCGAGCTGTAACTCGACTATTTCATCTTCCTTGGTCTAGTGGTCATGATTTCCGCTTGTCATTAACACCGATAAGCGCGGGAGACCGGGGTTCGATTCCCCGAGGGAGAGTTTCTTTTTGCTTCTTGCCAATACTTGACACTCAGGACTTAGGCTTGTTTTTTTACTGATGGGGAGACTGTATTCTCCGGTAATGAATCGGGCACTGCTAAGTGGACTGACACCCCAATTCGGCTATCTGAAAATACTATCTGTCTATTTAGAAAAGGTGCTGTATGTATATTACCACGAATTACAGCAGGAGGCCGGAAGTCTACTTTCTCACCTTCGGGTAGGTAACTGAGTCGGTGCCTAGGTATCTACCAGTGCTAACTATCTCAGTAACTAATAGTATACCTAGGAATCTGATCGGGGTCAATTATAACTAAAGATATTGTTGATTATACGTTGCTACCTACAACTCGAATGTATACATTGTCGGCTTGCAGACATGATACAAGTGAGTGGATAGTGGAAAAATACTACACCCAAATAAATAAATCAAAAAACAATGTCAAACACCTCCAGGTACCAAAACTTCAGATGAAAGCCTCACCGGGAGCATTGCCATCCATCACGTTTTCCGCCGGGCGACGCCGACTGTTCAAAAACATCTCCACCATGTGTTTGCTGGACACAGTAGAATGACCACCTTGATTCTTGTGATACTCATCCATCATGTTTTCGTGATCCTCCTTCTGCCACTGATTTTCCTTGTTCAACGCATTAAAGTCGCGGTAGGTACGCTTCGATCGGAAGGAATTTGGCTTTCCATTGCTTATCGGCCGGCGAGCGGAATATCGTCGGTACTGCTCTTGTGTCAAATTCCGCGTTGGTATATCGGATGCCACTCTCTGAGGAGTTGGTGAATCTGGTATGCTTGGTGAATTCGCAGTTCTCGTGCGCATTGGCGATAGAGTCCGATCGGAGGGCACCTGAGCCGGTGGAGATGGAACATCGGCGATAGAATCTACTACTGAAAGCTTCGATGCAGTCTTGACTATGCTACCAGGCCCAACGGGTTGAGATGGCAGAATGGTTTGCACACTGGATGATCGACTGAATGGACGAGAGAAATTATTCCGAGGGGTAACTCTGAGCTCCTCAATGGGCTGCGAGTCGTCGTGCTTCGGCTCACCAGCAATATACGGTATGGCAGTCGACTCCTGGCCGGGGCCAGGTGCTCGCCGCATTATGCCCATGAAGATCTCATCATCATCTTCCTGAATCTGTGCACCCTCTCTCACATGCTCTCGTGTCGGACTGGTCGATTCGATTCTCTCAATCTGGGAGCTCATCCACTGTTGCCAGTCCAAACTCGGTACTTGAGTTTTTAAGGGCGATGAGCTGGACGAACGTCTAGGTGACCTGTACACTGCTCTCTGGGGAGCAAATATGGTCGCTGTTCCCGGCTCGTCCGCCACACAACTAGGTTCAACCTCATCATGATCCCGCGTGGGCGTGCCCCCGTTTGTCGTTCGAGAATATAAACTTGGAGAGTAACGAAAGACAATCACGCTCCCTGTTTCGTCATCTGAATCTCCACAGCGTGTATATGGTGACCGAGGCGAACTTGTATCGACTCTGTGACCCGAAGTGTGATAATCTTGCCCTGGAATCTTTCGAGGTGTCACCGACGAAGGAATATATTGAAGAGGACGAATCATATACTTTCGCGGGGACACAGAGTCTCCGGCTCTTGCTGTCGTGAATGATCTAGGCGTCGAAGGATCTCCACTCGGAACACGGCGGATTGTGTATTTGCTGCGACGTGATACTGCCGAGGAAGTGCGTTCCTGGACAACACGGTGCTCTGGGACAGTACCGAAAACTATTTCCTCCTCGGCATTTTGCACATTTTGCCGACCAATCTGCTGCATCAAAGCCGAGTACAAGTCATGACTATCAACCCAATCGTTGAACCTGCGGGCGGGAGACTTTCTGGGCGTAGGTGAAGCTTGGTTGACTGCGCCGGAAGGATGCTGCGGTAATTGCTTGTTCAGGTCCCCGTGCTCTTCGATCAGAGATAGCGATTGCAGATGCCCAGGCTTGCGAGTAGTGATGGTGTTGGCCACCGTCGAATCTGCCCAGCTTGTAACTCGTGATTTGGATGTGCAGAGACTGGCACGACTGGGGGAGATCCGTGGAACACGCAATGGGCTGGAATGAGCATCATCAATTACATCCACAGCTTTGCTGACCATATCATGATCTTCCACATATTCATGGACAGAATTGTTGACAGGGACCCTGTTGCAGGTCGTGGGCAGCGGAGGAAGAGGCGGATCTGTTTCGTCTGAGATTTTGGAATGTTGCTCGACAGGCTTGGATAAACCAAAAACCCGTTTCAGACCGTTCTTGAAAGATGCCGAGAAGGTCCGTCGTCTACCATGCCTCTCAATGGGCTTTGTACCAATGCTACTCGCACTTGTCACACGGAAGGTCTTCCGGAACGGTTTGTTTTCCCGCCTGCGTCGATGTACGAAGAGCGAAGAACGCCTCAACTGGGCTTCATCCTCGTCAATTTCTCCGAGGAATTGATCGCGAGCAATTTCGATGGCCGTGTCTTGACTTTTGGCGTGTCTAATTGAATGGGAACCTTGAAAGGGACTTGCGCGAATGAAGGATGCTGTATGTCTCATGGTTCGTGGCAGCGCAAATTGGGGACTTCGCTCGAGATCCATGGCATCTCGACGAGGGAGAGGTGGCGCACTGTATGCAATGTGTGAGAACCGTTGTCTAGTTGAAAACATTGATTTGGCCTTGCGCAGTCGCCGATATGAGGAAGGCACAGAGCTATCTCGACCATCTAACCCATTCGGTTCAGCGGGTGGTGGGAGGACGGCGGAGAATTCACGATCATTGACTGTGAATATATTCTCGGTCCTCGCAAATGGAAGTGGAGTGGATGGGGGCACGGTGGGGGCTCCATAGGTCGAGGTGCTGTCGTCGGTATATTGAACGCTGGATTTCGGGCGCCGTCTTGGAATGGCGACTTGGGCAGGCCCACCCAGTCGATTATAAGAAGATTTCAATTCCGCTGATGATTGATGAGAATGTTGATGATTTGAGTGCATAGCTCGGGAAGCGGCCGCAGCAGCATGATGTTTGGCGACATCGGGATCGATGATCTCTGCTGGCGGACGGCGGGGTCTCCGAATTGATCGAGAAGACATGGACCTGTGAAGCCGACCTCGAGTGCTGAATGCGGAAAACATATTGCAAAAGTCTGTAGTATATGAGGTATACCAAGGAAGATGCTGGGTAGAAAAGGAGGAGAAGAAGAAAAAGAAGAAGAGAAGAAGAACGACATATTGAAGTTGTCTGTTATTGACTTTCGGTAGAGGAAGGAGCAGATTGAAGAAGTGAAAGCAGATGTGGAAGGAGCTATCGACTATACAGACACGTGATGGCAGGACTTCGCTATCTTGGGGTATCGTGTTCAGCTACCTTAAGGTATCAGTATGCAATGGTAATCATGCATGCATCCCTGCCCATCTGCATGTTTACCATTTTACGATCTGATCTAGCCCTAATTGGACGGTGAGTCACCCTTAGTCCCTGACTCAACTGAGACTTAGGGCAGTGCAGCAGAAACTGAATTGAAAGGAACTGACATATTAGACCAGTGCGATCCGCTATGAATGCGCTCCTACGAAGGAATATTTCAATCCAATATAATATCCTTCGCAGGCCATTCATTCATTCCATGACAGCCCAAGATTCTAGTGCCGGTGGGGCAGCTCCCCCACAGCGATCGCCCCGCCACATCACGCTCGATGGACGAACCCTTGAGGGAGGCGGGCAACTAGTCCGCAATGCACTAGCTCTGGCTGCCCTTACCGGTCGCCCAGTCACAATTGATCATGTGCGCGGAAACCGTGGGGGAAAAACTGGGCTGAAAGCATCACATGCGGCAGCCGTCAAATTATTGGGAGATATCAGCGGGAGCAAAGTTACGGGGGGACAAGTGGGATCGCAGATTGTGACCTTTGAGCCCCCAGTGTTTGAAAAAGAGCAGTCAGCTACAGACGTACCCGCAGTTCCAAACCCAATTCTGGTTCCATTATCCAGCGTCTCACCGAAGCCCGAATACAACATCATTCTATCAACACCTGGCTCAGTCTTTCTCATATTCCAGGCTATTTATCCATATCTGCTATGGGTCGGATCGCAACCTGGCATTGAGAAGATCCGAGTTAATATCACGGGCGGCACCAATGGGACCAATTCCCCAACCTACGACTATGCCACGCAGGTGATGCTGCCGAACTTCAAGAAATTGGGACTCCCATCTGCAGAAGTCATTTTACATAAACGTGGGTGGTCAAATGGTGTCGTCGATATGGGATCTGTCAGTTTCCACATAAGCCCATTAGATCCTTCAGCGAAATTGCCTTCGTTCCCTCCCATCAACCTCATGGTATATGATCGCGGGAAGATCACGAGGGTCGATATCACTATCCTAGCACCCGACGTCCCTATGTCAGAAGTGGACAGGAAAGGGCAGCGACAAGGCATTCGCCATTACTGCGAGAGAGAAATTCGCCGTACCCTACGGAAGAGTCTTAAGAAGCTTGACCCATCTTTATTCGACCAAGAACTCCTTGATAACGACGATTATGGTGACCATGTTCCTATCACTTTGGCTCAATCCGAACCCACATCTCATGCTTCCAGATTCTATATACTGCTGGTGGCAGATACCAGGGAGGGGTTCAAGATTGGGTACGATGCTCTTGGAACCACTCGAGCGAAGCCCAACGCAAAGCTGCCAGGAAGAAGCAAACACAAGAAGGACAAGAAGGGCTCAAGTCAAAACAACCGTACAGATATGGAGCATATCGATGATTTCATCGAAGGCTGTGTTCAGGGGTTCATTGATGAGATTTCAGGGCTCGGAGCCAGCGAGAGCCACAAGAAGCGGTCGCCGCTTGATCAATACATGAGAGACCAGATTGTGGTCTTTGAAGAACTTGGAAGGCTTTCCAGCGAGCCGGAGAAAAATAAAACACCAGATGAGGATGCGCGATATTGGACACTGCATACTAAAACATCACAGTGGGTATGCCGGGAGATGCTACCTGGATAGGAGATCGATGGTAGACGACGAGACGAATTCGATAAATACTCACTTTGATGGATAAGTGTTAATCATGCCATTTACCTAGTCGGTCTGGTTAAATTAATGTTGTTGACTTGAGCGTATTAGTAGTAGTATTTGTCTTTCTTAAAGACAGCCACGGGCGTAGATCCTTGTCTAGTATCGACTCGAAGAGTGACCATAGATTCACCCAAAACACACCATGGCATAGAATTCCCTATATTATTGTCCAGAAGTCAGTCGAATTGGCACATAATAGTACTACTTACTACCTAGTAGTAGTTAGTATACGCCTCGCTGCACTTGCTGTAAATAGATAGTTAAGTTCACCTAGTAAAACTATGGGGTCCGTTTAGTTGAACTAACCCATGCACGAAGGAATTGCCGAGATCCACCAAAGAAATCAACATGAAATTCCCAGGATCATTGTTGCCAGATGGCCAGTTTATGTACAGTACTCTGTATGGAGGAGTAGTAACCGATTTGATAACAAGAGGGGCCCAATTCACGAGACAGACGGCAGAAAAGCCGAAAAGAATTCTCCGAATGGCCCCTTGGCCCACTTAGGCATACATATGTGACAGGCAGGGCCAGGGGCCTCGCATCTTTTTCTCAGACCGAGATTACAGGATGGGCTCATCGCCAGCCGAAAGGCAGGGTCGTTTCGCGGCCCAACCCCAGGGTTGCGGCCACCAGTGGGAGATCAGGGGATTGTGCGGACCATTGGCGACTCCACCCGGTGCGAGCGAAAGCCCAAGCACATTGGCCTGTTTACTGGAGGTGATGTGAATGGATACACAAAATTTCTACTGTATCTGGATGAGACGGCCCCAGGCGAGGACGTCACGAACAGGGATGTTTAGTCCCATCTGCATGACACAATGCAATAGTGGATGCAGAGCAATCCGCATCTACGTCTCGAAGGTTCGATTCGAAAATTCAAAATTGACCACCGGGGAAGGTTTCGCAAATCCCAATCGAAATCGAAATCGAAATCGTAAACTACACTCCCAAAAAATACAATAGTTCATGTAATGGCATGACCGTTGAACCCCGTAATTCCATACAAGCTTGGAGATCCGCGAGGTCCCAAGCCACACACCGACAAACCCAGCGCCAACGATCCAAACGATCACCATGACATCTTACCAATTATGGTGCCCTGAAGAAGGATGTGGAGACGTATTTCCATCCCCACAGTCCATCCTGAAACAGCGAACTGATCGGACTGTGGCTGAGCGGGGCAGCCACTTGTCGCAAGGCCAGCGAGGGAAAAAAAGGGGGCGGAAGCGAATACTCGGAAAAAAAAAAGCACAGGAAGGAAAAGAGTGACGGGGGAGCCCCACGGTCTAGTGTTTTAGATCATAATGAATTGGGGATCAGCAATCCACTGCTCTCACTGTTTCGCTCTCTGAACCACGTACGGAGTAGAGTAGAATAGAGTAGAACAGAGCAGAACAGAGCAGAGCCAAGCATCCCAAGTTGGACGGTGTGGGGATGGTCACCTGGTCCAGGAACGAGAAGTACTTGTGTCATATCCATAGGAACCAGGCAGCCACAGTGGGATCTAAGTGGGATATGTCTTGGAATAAGAACTTGAACCCGTCAGGATGGAGGGAACCGACGGCCGGACCAACAATGAGAGACAAAAGTCTCTTCAAGTTAGCACGCAACCCAAATCTGAATCAAAACTCGGCAAACTGAATCAAAATGCAATCAGACTCATCTCGGGAGGACCGACGAGTTGAATGGCGTAAATTAAAGACCTACCTATGACTTAATGAACTTTCTCTCCAACTTTGATGAAAAATACGGAAAAAAGAAATCCCCACACCCACTCTACCCTGCACATTGAATGATTGCAATTTCAAGCATCGACCCTCAAATGCAAGGGCGTTTGACACTTTGTCCCGGGACTGTAGCATTGGGCGAAGATCAAACACCACGTGAATGCACGCAATACTCCGTACAGAGCGTGCCAATGGGTGGGGGGTGTTTCAAAGGTGATCGGGATCGGGGTGGTTCGCAGCAATCCTCAAACCCTCAAGCCTATTCTAGTAAGGGGCTGGGCTCTGATGTTTTGTGCGGCCCAAGGAAGATTCTAAGGAATTCTGAAGCAAAATGAGGGCGTGTGGCGGACAGAAGAATGTGAGCTCAGACTGCGATGAGAGGAAATTATCAACGGCCCTAATTAATTAACCTGCCAATACGAAGAAATAATCAAATCATATGGCTAATTAGATCTGCTTCTCTCCCATCACTTCAAATTTGGATAACTTCCGAATGCATGTTTGATTGGATTGATTAGATTGTGGGTTCTAGGGTAGATGTCAGATAGATTAAAGTCGCTAGTCGCGTCCAGAAGCGCTTCAGGGCTGAAGGCTGAAACGCGCCTCGGTTGTTCCAATCTTCTAGAATGCGCGGTACGAGACTAAAGTATAATCCGATTTATGACTTTCTTTTTACTCTTCTTTTTCTTAAATATAGTCTATCTACTTCGTATCCGGTTTTGTGTCAGCCTTGAAAGTGTCCCGTGGTTGTTTTAGCCCCAATGTTGGCCCCTTCTACAGCACTACTCCATAAGGAGTAATTACCAGCCAGAACACTGCCTGCTGCATAAGGTAGTCAATTCGGGGTACTACGTAAAGATACCGAGATATCCGGACAAATCAATGTCCACCCAAAAACGGTCGTAAGCTGAGAAAGATCCTACGGCCGTTGCCTAGTGCCCAGCCTCAAAAGCAAACTAAAAAGCTTCCAAGGCTGATTTGAATCGTCTTTCCCTTTTGAGTATATTTTATTCTTTTTCGCCCTACCCTTTTTTTTCAGCTCGAGGCTCCACTCAAAGACTCGTGGCAGCTGAGGGCGACGGCGTGCGGCGATGGCGATGGGGGCCGTTAGAATCCGAGCCCCGATGCCCGATCCCCGGCCCCCAACTCCCGACCCCGACATGGATCAGGCGCATCCTTGTATTGGCTGCACGATGACGAATATGGAACGTGGGGGGGGGGGGTTGGTCTCTTGGCCGCTTGGCCGCTTGTATGAAACCTTTCAGTGTCTGAGAAGGAAGATGCGTGTTCCAAAGTTCCACATGCTAGGTGATAGCCGAAGGATCTAAGTTTGCGGCTGCTTGGATAAATTTAGTTCTTGGGGGCTGGGATCGACTGATAGGTCGTTCTAGATGTGCAGTCACCGAAACGTCTGACATGGATGCCATGGATCCTGTGATCTTTCCAGGCTGTGAAGTCCACCTGAGCCGTGACGACATGGTTTACAACGGTCAAATTAGAGTGCGGAGTAAAAGAGAGGCGGAGCGAAGGACAGAAGTAGAGTCATGTTTAGAGACAGTGCATTCATGCATGTATGATGCAGGTATCTAAACTAGTGGAAGACTATCCTAGGGAAAAGGATCATGGGTGATCATGGGGAACCGGTAAAGCATTAAATCGCAGAATGGGGGGTATGGCATCGCGGAAGCAAAGAAGTGAGCATAGAAAAGACACACAGAGAAAGTTAAAGATAATAAAAAAGAAGCCCGGTGAGATATGAACGAACTCATGCGCAAGGGGAAAAAAAAGGAAACGGAAGGAAAAAGAAGATCGATCACCGATCGATCACCATTCGCGCCACTGCCCGCCAGTGGCAGATTTCCATGGTAGCCATGCATAAAAAGAGACCCGGGAGAAAACAGATAGATCTATCCTCCATGCAGATAAGAGATCAGAATCAGAACGACCGTCATTGCTTCAGTTGCCCGTCAACTCGGAAGCGAGTGGAAAGGAAGGAAGTACATCTCGCGTTGATGTAGGGGATTTCTTTCCTTCGTGTAGTTGTGTTTGTGTGAGAGAGATTGGGTTTGCGCCGGGGGACATGCATTTAGTCCCGATGTAGCGAGAGACGTGAAAAATGAGAACGCAGGAAGATGAGAGCCGCTGTGTGGGTAAAGTCGACAAACGCCCGGTAGATGCATTATGAGAAGACGAAATGTAGATGGGATGGGATGAGCGGAAATTCCGCGGAAACCAGTCCGGAAAGGTCCTTAGCCCAGTAGTCACCCTTTTGTATCCGGAGGAGCATGGCGAGTGAAGCAAGCCGTGGTTCCAGAGAGGGGTGAGTTGACCCTCTACAGCTCGAGGTCCTCAGCCTTGAAGACTGCACTGAGGCGGTCTGAAGGCAGCACGCGCTTGTAGTCGCGAGGTTGGGCAAAGGGGGAGGCGGACGCTGGACGTCGAAGGTTGAGAGTCTGGAAGTAGTTAGGATACATTTGCCATTTGCCTCATTATTTGCGCCCCAGAATGCTTGGTTGCAAGGGTGCCCGTGGGCGTCGCGCATAGATTGTTAACACGTACCACACAGTCCGAGCACTTGCTTCCTTGACGGTTGACGCGGCCTCGGCAGCCGCGGGGCTGGTTTGCGCAGGAGTACATAGTGATGGTTGTGGTTGAGGTGAATGGGTATGGAGTAAAATTGGAGTCGTAGAATAGACCGAGGTTGTTGTAGCGTGGTTGCGAAGAAACTTCAGTGGCGTGTTGAGCAGAAGAGAAGAGAAGAAAGATCGCGGGAGACGTGCGGAGGTGAAGAAAGTCGCGGTTGCGGATGAGGGGATGGGAACCTCTTTGATCTTTAAAAGAAATATCCGAAAGGGGAAGGAAATTCGAAGCTAAGCAGGCTTGGAACTTTAAAAATTGGGAGAGATGACGTCGTGGAGAGAAAAGGTGGAAAGTTCTCTGAAGTACTAGTAATATTCACGAGTAGTACCAGTAGGGTAGGTATAGTAGTGAAGTTGAAGTGAAGGTTCTAGTGAATAGTATGGTGTAGGGGAAAATAGAACGGAGTCGTGGAAGGTGGGTAATAGGGGGGGGTTTATATCTCAAGAGGCTCAAGCTGCCATTTTCTAACAAAAAAGGAGGAAATTTTAAAAAATGAAAATGGAAAAAGGAAATGGACTAGAATTTTTAGGGTTCCATTGTTACGGGTTTACGGTCTGAAGCCGTTTGTAGACTGGGGTTGTTAGCTCCAGTTTTTTTTTTTTTGGGATTATTATTATTATTTTTTCTATCCTCCCCCCCCCCTGTTTCTCTCCTTCGGATATTTCTTATTATTTTCCCATTTGTTTTTTTCTCTCCTCTCTGATTGATTCGTTTTCTGATTACTATTTCCCAATCTGTCTAGCTTGGATATTTCTTCGACTATGGAGTACCAATAAGTACTGGTACTGTTACTGATACTGGTGCTGGCTACTGCTAGTTATAGAGTACTGAATTAAGTATTGCTTATAGTCCTTTGTCCTCTGCAACTGCACATCCTCCGTATTTCTGTCATCTCCGCGCTGTCAGTGACACGTCCCGTACTTTGGCCAGGTGGGCTCCGTTCGCACACCAGGGCAGATCGGTCGATCCCCTCCTTTCGACCCGGCAATGCGGGTTTCTGATCGGCTTAGATGCTGGTCGTTGATGCATGACGCCCTGTCGAATAGAAGGGGTGGACCAATGGCAGCAAAGACTGGCAAGAAAAGAATGCGCGCGCTGGTCCGGATCGTACTGGACTCACAGCCCGTCGTGATGGTTGATTGCAGGGACCCGGTGGAGCTCTGAACAGCTGACTGAATTCCATACACCGAGGGGGGGGGTCTCCTAGCTCCAAATCTCCAACTGTCCAACGTTGCCCGTGCCTCAGATTGAGTGCCGGAGTGAACGAGCGGTCCAAAGTGCCGACGTGGCAGTTCAATCCTTGGTGGGAGAGGACTGTCGAGGATCCTGTGTTAAGTGTACTCCGTAGAGTGTAGAGTAAAGGTGAGTCGAGTCGAGAGCCCCCCCCCTAAAAAGGGGCACAGAGGGGGGGCTCTTCCCGCGTTCAATTCCCGTCATTTCCAACTGTTTCGAGTTGATGCCCTAACACGAGAGCGTGTCCGTATTCTGTAACTTGCGCGATCCTGCCAGGATTCGAGTCTGAATCCGAGTCTGAGCCTAAGCCTAATCCTTAGCCCAAGCCTGAGTTTGGACATGCGCATCGGGCAGTGTTCTGGAAAACTGGGAATCCCCACCGCGCGCATTAGTCTGCTTAGCTCTGGTGGATTAACCCGTTCGGGTCTGTTTGCCAATGGTTTGCACGCCTGTCTTGGTCACGTCCAGGGCTGCACCTTTCCGAGCCCTGCGCATTGGTATTAATTGGTATTCGCATTTGCTGCATTTGCATTAGCATTGGCATGACCAGCAGACTTGCCTTGGGTTGGTCAGCCCTGCCAGTGCCAGCTTCTCTGCTCGGCGTAGATCAATTAGCTCGTCACTTCTGTTATTTGTGATTGGAGGTGGAGCCATCCGGGAAAAAAAAATGCAGAGGAAAAAGAAAGAAAAAAAGGGAACGGAAACCAAGGTACGGAGTACACCTCTGGAGATCGGTCTTCCGTCCTTTTAGCCCAAGGCCTAGGCAATGCCATCTTCTGACAGCTCCGGCACTCGATAAAGCTTGACGGCGATTTTGCCACCTGATAGCTTTAGGGTATAATTGCCGCTAAAACCTGTATTGTGCACTGTACGGAGTATAGAGTACTGACTGATAGCTGAAACTCTCGGATGACTGTCCCCTTTCTTTCTAAACATCCTTCTTTCTCTCTACTTTCTTTGTTGCTTAATGCCCCGCCTGCCCAGCCATGGCAAATTACGGTTTCGTCAGCACCGCGTGTCGCACAGCTTGGAAACGGCAATCGGGAGGGAACGTAGACTATCCAATGTACTCCCAAGGCATTAAGCTCAGTCTAGGTCACTTGACTAGCTCAGGTAGCTTACGGCTCTGCGCTTGGAAATCTTACGGTAGCGACGGCACTCCGTGGAGTTCGGTCTGCATTGGCCCTCTCCTTCAACGCCACCTCACCTCCGAGATGCATGTCAAAAATGACTGAACTGATGATTTTAGTATGTCTGCATACTGCACACTCATTCATATGACAATATTCAGTGTTTATCCAGCAGAGACCCGTAAATCGGATGTCGCGGACCGCAAAAGAACGTGTCGACGAAGCGGGTCAGGCACCAAAAGAGCCGTACCAGCCCAAGAATGGAGACGACGGATAACAGCGGAGAGCGCAGAAGAGGTATAGACCGAGGCAGAATTGAGAGATATGGAGAGTCTAGAAGACGATCGAAGGCGCAGAAGGCGGGTGGTGGAACACGAGCCTCTGAATCTGGACCGCCGCAGCCTGGGCGTCTGGACAGTCACACTCCTCCCGTGTGACCGGGGCCTGTAAACCTTACTACGACAGCAGAAATCAGGCCGACACTGCAGCCAGGCTGATGACAAGCGCGCAATTCTGAGCTCCGGACCACTTGGGGGCCTGGGTGGTATGGTATGTAGCCGGCAGCGAATACCGGTGACCTCATGCCTCCGCAACCCCAGCCACCAAACAGCCGGCGATGCGGCCAGACCATTTGGGACCGCCTCATGTGACCATTTTGAGGCGAGGGAAATCTTGGAAAATCGGCCACTAGTGAACCCTGCACTACCTCTCCCTTCCTTCGGCCCGTCGCTGGATGTGGAAAGATGTGGACTGATGCGGACTGGCGTGGAAATGTGGTGGAAAGAGAGGGTTATCTGATGGACGTCATTTGACCCGCGGCTGGAGGCTTGAAGGGCTTTTGGAGGCTGCTGACGCTTTGTACCTCTTGCCCTTCGGCCGGTACCGAGGCCTGCAAGATCGTTTACAATGTCACACCCTTGTCGAAAAAAAAGAAAGGAGTCATATTATTGTGATCTTCTCTAAAAGAGCCAGAGTCCCGAAATGCCATACAGCTGCGTCGCATCGTTCGCTCACACATCCCACAACGAACGAAGCACTACCCATGCACCGATGATTCCGATTGTCGATGCAAGAAGCAGTCCGTTCCCTTCCCAGGTCAAGCCCAGGTAGGCCAGCAATCCCACCGCCACCTCCTTCCGCCGGGCAGTATCCCGCCGAGACCTCCAGTGAGGGTCGATTGAGAATGGAGCCACCCTTCGGGGGGAGGGGCTCATGTGATTTGATTCGGACGAGGGTGTGTGCCGCAAAGATGGAGGGAGAGGCACAGACACGGCCAGCGCGACAGGGCGATGGTCTGACTGGGGAAACAGAGGGAGCGCGTCGTACGTGTGAGGTTTGACCCGTCGATCACAGGAATCTTGGCCAGCCCAAGACGGCGTGTCCAGAAAGAGAATACGGTCGCACCAACTGGGCCAACGGTGGCTCGACCACTCCCATTCGGCATCTCCACTGTCGACTCCAAGCCGAGCCGCTTGGCGGGCCGCATCGGAGTATTTGTATGTTGGGGGGAAGTCAATGGGCGCTTCTGAGAGCCCATGGAAACTCTTGCCCTGGCGCATCTCCCGCATCAGTTGGTCCTCCTTGAGGAGGTGGGAATAGTGCGTGGTATCCTCGCGATTGACCAGCCGGCGAGGAAACCGGAGTACATCAGTCTTGGACGGTCCGACATCTGACGTGCGGTAGTTCAGGTCTCCTGCCAGAAAAAGGTAGGAATTTGGCGCATACAGATCCCTGCGGTTGCTCTCCGATTGATCTGGTGATCGGTGCTCCCCGAGTAGCGCGGCGTTCTCATCTGTTCCCTCATCGGGCCCACCATGTTTGATCTCACTGCTCGAAGAGGGCTGCTGTGAGAAGACAAGGCGTTCGACGATACTCTGCCAGTCCATATTTCTCTGCTCCAGTGCATCCTCCATGGGAGCCAGATGCGCCGCCACAAAGGTCAAGTCCACCGTTTTGGCCGAATGGTCGTCCACCACATACCCTAGACGAGCCCCAACGGCGCCCTTATTGCCCATCTCTTGAAATCCGAACCCAACGTGCGCAGTGTCAATACTGGATATCCTGTCTGTGACATCGGCGCGGGCGAAAACCATCAAACCGGTCATACCCGTATGGTCCTTCACCACACTTTCGTAGGACTCATTAAATTGCTTCGCAGTAGCTTGTTTGACGGCCTGAACAAAGGCATCGAAGTAGGGAATCAGATATGACCCCCCCTAGAAAAGAATAGGCGATGGGGGCTATTTCTTGAAGAGAGAGCACGATCAGCTCTGGAGCGCTAGTACCCCGCCCTACCTTCGTGAGGGGATCGAAAAAGTGATTTGCGAATAGATCCACATCGATACGATCCCTCGCACAGTTCGCTGTCAGAATGTAGAGATTCAAGTCTTCCATGCCTGCTATGGGTTGGGGTTGGAGAGTCGATTGGGCCAAGAGAAGTAAAGTAATGAGCGGTGACGTCGATCGAAAACCACGTGCCTCACCAAAGCAAGGCAATAGAGTTTACGTTATGGCAAAAAGGTCAAGCACGATCATGCAGCTAAAAAGTGGAGAGCAAAATGATGAGTACCCAGCCTCTAGGTGGTAAAGAATAGATTGATTGTGAATCAAAAAGAATGCATCATCCGTGAATCGAACACGGGCCTCGTCGATGGCAACGACGAATTCTACCACTAGACCAATGATGCTAGTTGATATAGGAAGCAGAGATTTATGACAATATCAATCCTTGACAATATCGGAGACGTATGTGCTTATATTACCTGATCTGCTTCTATCATAGCTTCCCTCGCATGTGCTTCTCCTGTGGTTCATCTAATTCCACAAGGAGCATTCCCTCGGCCACATCTTCTTCCTTATCCTCCATTTCATGAACCCATTCCACCCTTCCCTCCCTGGGACTTCGCACCTCCAGTTCCATCTTCATTTGTTTGACAAAGGCCAGCACTTGATTCTCGACCACATTCTCCCCATCGGAAACAAGAATTTCAATGAGCTTTCCAGAAAGAGGTAGCACAATATGTCTGGGATTCTGAGGGTCTCCTCGTCGGTGCGTGGACGATACAAGAGCCGATGCCGCAGTCGAGGTGGTCTCTAGTTGCATTCGATACGGAATCGCAATCTGAGATGTAGGGGTTGTGTACTCAATCTCAGCCGCCAAGGAAGTGGGAAAGTCATTTCGAAGCACACGGGAGAGACGGAGGTGGTGGGCTACTCTAGCGGATTCTTGAGAGGTACCATTTTCCAGTGGCTCCAATGTGATGGACCACGCGTCTCCCTTCCGGAACAAGAGATTTGTAGTAGGCAGTCCAGCCTGAGACACTGATTGTTGAGAGACAGACCTGAGTGTTTCACCACTGTGCAGGGTATTTGCGGTGCGTTTACCCAACTGATGGACTTCGTCGAGCTTGAGTCCTAACCACTGCGTGTCAACCTGGCCGGCGACGAAGTCCGGATGGGAGACGATGCCACGGAGAAGATCAATGTTAGTCTTCACGCCAGAGATTCTCGAATCTGACAAAACTCGCTGAGCTTTTCGGACCACAGCATCCCAGTTAGATGCCGTAAGAATGATTTTGGCCAGAAGGTTATCGAAGTTTGATCCCACTACTGACGCACTCCCATTGGAAGTGTTAACATTGGTGTCAACGCGGATCCCATTCCCACTAGGAACGACAAACTCGGTCACCTTCCCAATACTCAGAGCAAAATTATTGCTTGGATCCTCAGCACATAATCGAACCTGGATTGAAAAGCTGTTTGGCGGAGGCGTCTTCGAATTGACCCCCGCGCCTAGGCCAAGATCCTCGAACGTTGCTCCCTGTGCTAGCAGAAGCTGCATCTGCACCAGATCTAAGCCGCTGATAGACTCTGTGATAGTATGCTCTACTTGAAGTCGTGGATTGACCTCCAAAAAGTAGAATTCTCCCTTCTGCTCATTAACAAGGAACTCAAATGTTCCCAGCGAGCGATACCGAATCTCAGTAGCCATCTTCAAAGCCGAGTCAATGATTTCGGCAACCAATTCCCTATCTTTCATCAAGGCAGGTGCGCATTCCACGACTTTTTGAAAGCGTCGCTGCACACTGCAATCTCTTTCCCAGAGATGTCGCACCTGTCCCGTGCCATCGCCGATAACTTGGATCTCAACATGGTGGAATCCATCCACAGCGGCTTTCTCCACAAATACCGACCGAGAAGGCGATTCACCAATTGCACGCTGGATACTACTATCCAACTCCGAGTCCTCATGAACCAGACGAATTCCCCGCCCACCACCACCGTCCACGGCCTTGATCATGACAGGAAACCCGACCCGATGGGCAAAAGCCCGCGCCTCATCAACATTGGCTGTTGGCTGGTCCATAGCTTCAAGCACAGGGACTTGACACTTTTGGGCCAAAAGCTTTGCTTGAAGCTTATCGCCGGTACGTGCAAGATTCTCAGGCCCGGGGCCGATCACGATAGCCCCCGCCTCTGCGAACATGCGGTGCGCAAACTCGGCGCTTTCGCTGAGGAAGCCATACCCCGGGTGAACTGCGTCAATTGAGTGTTTCTGTACTAGATTAACGAGCAGTGAGATATCCAGATATGATGATGCGGTTGGGATCTGAATTGCATGGTGTGGGCGTCCGATGTCGCAGTGCGACTGATCATCAGACGTGTACAGAGCGAAGATCTCGACTGGCTCGGGCAGTTCCCGTGCGGCGTGCAATATGCGAACAGCAATTTCACCTCTATCGAATGAGATCAATAAATGCTAATGAGTATAGAATGTGGCTAGTGGTGACGCACCTGTTTGCGACCAGCAATCGCTTGATGGTTCGTGAATGCGGGGATGACGACATGGCGTCACAAAATCCGGGGTAGCAACAATCGCAGACAAGCCTCTCAGCTAGTATAAATTAGTATATATGAAGACTCTCGATAAAAAGGAAAGCTATATGAGGTACAAAAGGCAGGTATGTGGCGCGACAAGACCTGTTGGGACAGTTCAGAGTTACTTTTCTTTATAACACTACAGCAAAAACGCGCCGAGGTCCTCGGATAGCCCCGATTTCAATTTCCCCTCACGCATCTTAACCAGCCCCGTCCGAGCCCAATCTCCAATCACTACCCCGGTACTCGCCCTTCTAACGAAAATATACTATGCGATAGCGTCCTATTTTAAAAGAAATCGCAATCATGACCAAAGACAGTGACTTGTCGCAGTCATCTCCAAATGGCAACGATCAAGCTACCCAGCGTCTCAATCAAGTCACCTCGCATCTCTCCGCAGAACCACCAAAGAAACATACAAAGGAGAAAGACCCAGCATCTCGTCTTCCAGCAGACCATTCCGATGTCTTAGGTCAAATTGCTGCTCTTCGCAAGATTGCCGCAACGCCAGATCCCAGCCACAGAGGCTATGTGAGGCAAAAACAAGCAGGAAAGCTATGGGTCCGCGAACGTATCGAGCAACTTCTTGATCCCGGTTCATTCACCGAGATAGGCTCTGTATCCGGAACTGTGACATGGAAGAAGACCGCACCGATGCGCGAGGAGCCCGTGTCTTTTATTCCGAGCAATAATGTTCAAGGGGCGGGTATGCTCCGCGGAAGAAAGATTCTGCTTACGGCGGACGATTTTAGTATTCGTTCTGGACATGCTGATGGTGCAAGTTCCGGGAAGACGGTCTACGTCGAGAAATTGGCGATTGCGCTCCGGATCCCTGTCGTCAAGCTTGTTGATGGGAGCTCTGGGGGTGGTAGCGTCACAACTATCAAGAAGGAAGGGTGGAGTTATCTACCCCATGTGGCTCCGTTCAAGCCAGTCATTCAACAGTTGAATATGGGAATTCCTAATTTGGGTGCTGTTGTTGGACCAGCTGTATGTCACACTGATGAGGGCTAAGCTTTATTTTACTGCAAGGAACTAACGGTTGGTATAGATCGGCCTTGGAGCCGCCAGAGTGGTCTCTTGTCATTTCTCAGTTATGGCAGCAGACATTGGAGCTCTTTTTAATGCCGGACCAAAGGTTGTCGAGGGCGCGACATTTGAAGAGGGGTTGGATTTCCAGGATTTAGGTGGCCCCATGGTTCATTGTATGAATGGAACGATCGATAACTTAGCTGCGAACGAGGCCGAATGTTACGAACAGCTACGCACAGTGTTGGGATATCTCCCAAATTCCGGGAGTGAGGCTCCACCAATTATTCCATGCGATGATCCTGTGGATCGAGAGGATGTCGCTCTACGAAGTATCATTCCGCGCCGACAAGCTCGCATGTATAACCCTCGAACAATCATCACTTCGGTTGTTGACCAGGGCTCTTGGTTTGAGATTGGGGCCCTATGGGGCCGGACTGCTATCGGTGGACTTGCGCGCTTGGGAGGACACCCTGTGGGCGTGATCTCACTGAATTGCGAAGTAAACGGCGGTGCACTTGACGCAGCCGGGAGCCAGAAATTGACCCGGCTGCTCAAAATGTGCGATGTCATGAACCTACCGATTCTGCAATTCCTTGACGTTCGTAAGTTTTGCGATCTCTTCCTCACTGTTTTTTCCAAGATAAGTCTGACATTGGCTAGCCGGCTACGCCATCGGTACCGTCGCTGAACGCACCGCAACTATGCGCTGGGGAGTGGAGTTAGCGAAGACGTACTACACTACCACCATGCCGATTTTCAATGTGGTGACACGCCGTGTATTTGGTGTTGCAGGAGGTGTGATGCTTGGGTCTCGCGACCCCGTCATGCAGGTTGCCTGGCCTTCCGGTCAATGGGGCTCCCTGCCACTGGACGGTGGAATTGAGGTCGGGCACCGACATGAGCTGCGCGAGGCGGAGAAGATTGGAAAGAAAGAGGAGAGATATAAGGAGCTCGAAGAGGAGTATCTGCGTCTGATGAATCCTGTTCGAACCGCGAATGCGTTTGGCGTCGAGGAGATTATTGATCCCAAGGACACCAGACAAGTTTGTTGTTCATGGGCAGCGCATGTTTATGAGGCTCTCATGAAGGAGAGAATTTCCGATCGAGCTTGCGGTAAGATCCATCCCTCTTTTGCTTAGTAGATGAGAAGGATCGGCTTCATCTGTATTCGATATGCATTCGAAGTATTCCAGTTTAATGCTATAGAACTTTGAAGATTTGAAATTTTCTGTAGACGAGCGATTGATATTGGGAGAAGTAAACTGGGCATCTCAAAAGGCTCAAGAAGTATACTAGTATTATTATTGGTTGGCAATGAGTCTAACAGTCTAGTAGGGCTGTTGATTAAGCCTTCCAATGTTGGAGGTTTGATTTTCAGTCCTTCGTGACTAGTCCCCCTCTTTGTACTATTACTACCTACATCAGGCCTTTCGATCAACTTCAATCCGAGCCCCCAAAATTCCTACAACCTGTATGATGAAGCGCTATAATACCCCAAGAAATCTGCAAATATCCTTTTCCTGATTGAAAGAAACTAATGTCATTTTCTCCGTTTTGACGGGCGACTTGGAGTGGTGAAAGGATTATGTAACGGGATCTCCCACACTATCAAAAAGAGCAACACCCCGCCTTCCAACTACAACCACCTTTCCAACCCAAAACTCATACATAAAATTGCGCAATGGCCTCGGTACAAATCCTTGACGGTGGTCTAGGGACATCACTGCAGGACAAATACGATGTGAGCTTCTCCAGCACAGACACACCTCTCTGGGCCTCGCACCTCCTGGTCTCAGACCCCGAAACGCTGAAAGCCTGTCAATCCGACTTCGGTGAAGCAGGCGTGGATATTCTCCTAACCGCGACGTATCAAATATACACTGGCGGCTTTAAAAGCACAAAGACAGCCGAATTCCCACAAGGTATCCCGGCCTCTGAAGTCGGTCGATTCCTGCGGACAGCGGTGGAGGTCGCGGAAATTTCGAAAGTGCGCGATTCTGCAAAGATCGCTCTGAGCCTTGGTCCTTACGGTGCTTGTATGATTCCCGGACAGGAGTACGGGGGTGTTTATGATGCAGAGCACGATGACGAGGAAAAGCTTTATCAGTGGCATCTGGAGAGGTTGCGGCTGTTTCAGAATGTCGAGGGCGAGGACTTGACCTCGCGGATTCAATACGTTGCTTTTGAGACATTGCCGCGGTTGGATGAAGTGCGTGCGGTGCGGAGGGCAATTCATGACTCGGGAATCACGGCGCCCTTTTGGATCGCCTGTGTGTTTCCTCGGGAAGATGAGTGTCTTCCCGATGGGAGCAACGTGGAACAGGTTGTTGAGGCGTCGATTGCTCCGATAAAAGGCGCACTTGTGCCGTTTGGAATCGGTATGAACTGCACAAAGGTTCATAAGCTTTCGGGGTTGATCAACAAATTCGGGGCTAGTGTGAAGGACGCAATTGCTACAGGTCGTGCCTCGACAGTTCCGAGTCTCATCCTGTACCCCGATGGAACGAATGGAGAGGTTTATAATACTACGACGCAAACTTGGGAGAGGCCAGAGGGACAAGGTGGCAATCAGGATGTTGTAAGTGCGCTCTTGAATAGGCGGTTCGATGACTTTATTTTTAGAGGGTTTACTAACTCGTGAATAGCGCCCCTGGGAAGTCCAACTTGCGCAGCTCGTCAACGATGCAAATGCAAAGGGACCCTTCCAGAATTTCATCGTAGGCGGCTGCTGCAAAGCCTCGCACAAGGATATCAAGAAGCTCCAGGAGCAGTTCACCGCTGTATAAATAGAAGATTTAGATAGAGGATCGGCTACGAAACTGCCAGGTGGTTGAAAATTAAATGTATCAATGTGTTGAAATTGAAAAAATCGCTGTGCCTTATTGACATGGTATCGTGGTATCTATATACAAAAATGCGAAAAAAAACTAAACAAGCCAGTCGAAGAAACGTCCCCAGAAAGTGGTGCTGGGAGGTTTGCGAGGCGATATCTCGCCTTCCTGTAGACGGCCGGACCAAAGGTCAATAGCAGAGGCCCGCACAAACTTGGTTCGATGCCAAAGCTTCCAGGCGATGATCGGCACAATAAAGATTGGGATACCGATGTAGGAAGCAACAAAGCTGGAGGTATCCCAGTTGCCCTTCAGGAAGACGGGAAATCCTGCGACCAGGGTGATAATAGTTGAGCCAATGAAGCCAAACCACGCCGTGTATGGTTGAAATGGCGCGGCCCAGGGCAAGGTATCGCGAGAAACGCCCTGCGCTTTCATACCAGCATAGAAGCGGATGTAGCAGTAGCAGAGCGTTGCCCAAGCGATAAGCCCAGCAACTGTGCTGAGATTGAGTAGCCAGTTGAATGCTTGCGCGGCACCACCTGATCCAAGACTTAGATAGGCCAAGGGGCCGAAAAGCCAGGATACGATGACAGCAACGTAGGGGACACCCTTCTTATTGCAGCGACCGAAATATTGAGGGAGTTGGTGATCAGTGGTCATAGCCACAATCATGCGCGAACCAACCCAGCAGTATGAATTACCCGCGGACCAGGCAGCGACCAGAATGCAAGCATTGACAATGGACGGTAGAACACTGATACCGGCTTCGGTAATTGCAATGACGAACGGGGAGGCTTTCGCGTTGGATGCGGCATTGGTAAGAGCAGAGGTTCGAGGATCAACGATGATTCCAATAAGGAGAGCACCGAGGATGTAGAAGAAAGCAATGCGATAGGTCACGCGGCGAGCAGCCTTTGGGATAGCACGGTGAGGATCGACCGACTCGGCCGCGGAAATGACGACGGTCTCAACACCGATGAAACTGAATGAGGCGTTGACGAAAGACGATAGAAATCCGAGAAAGTGGCCCGCTGGCCCGGTAATACCGTTGTAGTTTGTCCACGGACCAGGGTCGTTCCAAAAGCGGAATCCGATGGTTTCGTGATTTGGTCCACCACCACAAGTGATGACAAGAGACACAATCACCAATCCCAAGAAGCAGAGGACCTTGATGGCTCCTCCGATAACCTCTGATTCTCCATAAAACCGGACACTTCCCAAGTTGATTGCTAAAATTAGCACCAAGCCAACTGTAATCACCACAGCCGGCGATATGTCGCTCCAATAGGAGACGATGACTGCTGCTGCGCTCACTTCTGATGCAATTGCAATTGTGTAACAATATCCGTATGAGATAGCGAGAGAGAAACCGACAGCGGGGTCGATGAAGCGTGTGGCCCAGTGAGGGAATGAACCGGCGGTTGGAAAGAGGGTAGCTAGCTCGGCGATACTCTGCATGACAGCCCACAGTACCATTCCGACAACGATATACGCGAGCAACAGACCAGCAGGACCAGCCTTGGCATAGGCAGATCCAGTACCGACGAATAAACCAGTACCGATACCACTGCAGAAGCCGATCATGGTAACATGGTAGTTGCGTAGACGTCGCTGGGTGGCACCGCGACCACCAACATTGATCTGGAGCTCATCCTTGGGGTTGGCATCGAAATTATCGAATTTGGCGGGATCAGCCTGGATGGTGTCCTCGGCGAGAGTGGACTTTTCCATCTTGCTAGATGGTGGTCGGTCGATTTGAAGAGGGGAGAGGGGGGGGGGGTTAGGGTATGCTCAGAGCTTCCCCACGCAACAATTGAGAATCGCCAAAAAAAAAAAAGAAAAGATGTCAGAAGGCAAAGACCATGTGGGAGACAGCTCTTTTTGTCTCTTGGCCCGAAACCTTGAGCCGGCGCAGATCACGACATCGGAGTCTTTTTTCGCATCGTTGGAGCTCGTCTCCACCGTACTTGAAGCCATTGGGCGAGTCGCGCCGAACGCTCCACTTTTTATTCTTTTTGCGGAGGCCAAACGGGGATTTTTTTTTGCCCGATGGCCGCAGGTGGCAAGATTTGGATTTTTCTGGGGCTGCATTCATGGCGCGTTATTTTGTTGATTGATTTGGAAAAAAAAGGTGGAAGTGGTGCCCGGTCACGACAGTCAATAAAAATGTAGCCTATACTCGGTCATGGGTAGTAGGGCTATGGGAAATCTGCCAGAGTAGATCTCTGGCCCCGATCCTCGACCAACCGCTCTCTAACCACGGAGCTCTTTGTTGTGGTAAAATAAGCATTGGCCCGTTTGAAGATCTCGGAGGACCAAGCGAGGCGGCCAAAGGCGCTAGCTAGGACATGGGGTTGGTCCCAGCTATGTCGATGCCTAAGGACGGGTTTTGAAACTCCGCTGTGATTACTGACAACTGTAATCAGAGGGATGAACTATTTTGGCACTGTGCCAAACGCGATTCCTGGGCATTCCCTAAGAGATGGGAAAATGTTCCTTAATCACATTAGAACACCATTTCACAGCGACCGCCCAATTGGCTGGCGATTGTACCATGGGAGGGTAGATTGTCGGACCATTGCCTTGGGGGGAATACTAGGCGAATTGCTAGAATGTGAGCTCCCTCTACGTTCAAAGATTGAACCCATTGCAAATAAACATGTTCACATTTGTATCGTACTGAACCATGGGTTCGATTTCGTGCCATCAAGTGAGGACAAACCGTTGCTTACCAGCCACACTTCCCTGGTACTCTGGGTCGGGAGTCTGCTTCTTCTTATCAGAATGGTTGATGTGTTCCTTCAGTCCTTTCCCAAAGTTGACCATGCAGAATACCATGTTAACAATGGTGATACCGAGTAAAAGTACCGCCAGTCCAGAAAATAAGGTTAGAGAGACTTTAAAGTAAGCTAAGTTATTACTTTTCGAAGAGGAGTAGGTTTGTCGAATCACTAATACGAAGCTCGCCGCAATGACAAGCTTAAAAATCTGGAATGAGGGTTAGCATAAGTTGACACACAACCACCAGATTGAGTCCCTACCATAACGACAATAAGCGACTTCTTCTTCTCCAATCGACAGAAGCGGGCTCCCAGGATCAGAATCACAATCGATACCGGAATCATGGCGACTTGCAATATGAAATCGCTGTCCTTGAAATCGTTCATCGCAAGTATAACTTGGAGTTGTGTGCCGAATATGAAAAAGAAATCGAATTTGAGTAGAGCAATATAGACCTATGAGTAGGTTAGCTAGTGGTCGAACATTTCTCGAGAAGACGCTTCCGACCTGATATGTAAAATAGCGGCGGTTCATTTGCAGATCGGCGCTCATACTCTGGTAGATGATCCACGAGTTCTCGGCTCGCAACCTCCACGTCACGAAGATCATCAGAATTGTACAGACCCCAATAAAAACGGGGATCAATATGAGCTCTATTCGGTAATGTTTCCAAAGTAGCTCCCCGGCCGCTTCGCTTATTGAAAGACCGCTGATGGTTTCTCTTATCTCTCTCATCTGGACAATTCCGTAGACGAAGAGCCCAAAATTGCAGAGGCAAAGTCCGACCAATTGAAATGTATTCCTGCGCTTCAGCGCATCGTATGAAAGGGCGAGTTCGTAGAGAAGAGCGAAGATGTAGAGGCCAAGGAAAGACCGAAGCCGTAATGTACCGACATTGTTGTCATCTTCGTCGAATCGCCTCGAAACGCTGATGAACACCCAACTGTACAAAAAGGTCATGTTAGAATTGGCGTGTCTCAAGATAGGGAAAAAGAGGGCATGGTGCTTTACGTTTCAATCCCGACAGTAAAAAGTGTCTCGAAAATTCCAATAAGAGCAAAAAAGCGAGACCAGAGGGTATTAGGGAAGTAGAATTTGTTGCGAGAAGGTTTGGAAGCGGCGGATCGACCTTGAGGCGTAATTGGATCGGCTGGCGCATTGAAATCGTCGAGCTCAACATATCGACCATTTATGTGGAGCGCCGACTTCGAGTAGGCCACACTTGATCGTGCCTTATTCGAGACAGACTGAAAAGGGGCGGCCATCGCTTTAGCCACTCCATCGCCTTCATGTCGCATGGTGTCGACAGAGTTGTCGAACAGAAAAGTCGTGACAACACAACAACAACAACAATCACAACAAATTCAGGGGATCCTCATCAATATTGACAGTAATTTATTGCCTGCGACGTGTACGCACTGCCATGGCCTGGGCATGCCGAAACGGGCACTGTGGAGACAGTAGTGCCGAATACGAAATTAGTTGCCTGGAACAGCTTGGCCAGGCTCCCTTTGAACTTCATGCATATTAGGGTAAGGGGCTTGCATGCTTGTGGCTAGAATGGCTATATCTGAGTAGTCGCCCCACAGAAATTCTCAGACAATTTAAGTAAACATTATTTTTAGCCACGATCTTAATGTGTTGCTTTCGAATCATGTGACCCCTTTACCGTGCTATTCTTTCGGCCTGAAGCGCAAGGCCGTGGGACCAGTGTCAAAGACTGAATGTCCATTATAGTGCATCGTGGGCAACCTGTTCAGTAAACGCATTACAGTCATTTGTACCTAGGTATTGGCTCAAGTGAAATATAGAGGGACCGGTCAACTTACAAGCCCTGGCCTGACCCAGCGCTCGCGAACCGTGTTCATGGAAGTCCCTGCCATGCACCTCTGAACCTTGGAAGTTCTCCAGCTCTTGGCACATGCATATGCCATCACGCAAGAAAATAAAAGGTACTCCGTACTGTGCTCTGGTTTCTTTTATAATTTTATCAATACTTATATCCAAATTGACTGGATATCTTTTTTACCTACTAGCCCTACTAGTAGGTGTAGGAAGAAGAAAGAAGGAGGAAGGAAGGAAGGAAGGAAGGAAGGAAGGAAGGAAGAAGGTGAAAGTAAGACAGAAGTAGGCGAGGTAAACAAACCATCACGGACAATTGGCAGGTACGCGGAGATCAGGAAGGCACTAGTGAATGGCACCGTCGAGCTCGGAGTACGCGGGATACAGTACAACAATATTTGTAGGCACCTGGGCGAGTCACTGGCTAGGTATACATGCCTTCAAGTTGGGAATATCTTACATTGTACTACTAGTACTAGTAGGTATACAAATGCAAATGTCGAGCGAATGTATAGACTACCTACCTAGGTACTTAGGGCTAGGTGCTAGTAGTGCGCGTGAAAAGTGCCCAAGTGTTACTATGTTCTGTTTATTCCGTACCTACCTAGGTAGATACATCAATGCAGCAGAGCTGTCAGCCCCAAGGCATCACTGGCACTCGTCAACCTTGGAATGAAACGCCCAAGGGAACGATCTTCGCGTGAAGATGCATGAGACGCGAGGATAACGTGTAAGGACCTGAATCCCCTTCCTGTTTGTGCCCCATTTGAAGTCGATTCAAAATGTTGGCTCTTCCCGAGCCAAGCTAATTCTCATTGTATTTTTCGGTTACTTGATGCAGTTGGTGATCCTCTTGATAGCGCACCAGAGCCTCTACTCTCCAGGTAACCCAATCAAAATCTTCAGTGCCCCCTATGGCGGCGAGGAGACCGCCAAATAGCCCGAGAAATACTTTCCAATCACTAAGATCGTAGCCACAACAAAATCGGAACTTGTGGATGATTCTACCATTCCTGACTATCATGGCAAGATGCGGATGCCCATTGGCTTCAAAACATTTAGCGAAAAACTCTTCGTCCTCGCCAATAGAATTTTCGCACGCATAAAAATCAGCAACCGGTAGTAGAACAATCGGCGAATTGAATGCCCCTGACTTTGAATCGGTGTGTGCCCACTCCCAGTCAATGATTCCTGTAATGTTGAATTCATTATCAACAAGTATTTGTTCTCCTTTCTCGTCCGCATGTTTCAAGTAAAACTTCTCGTCGTCAGTATGACTTAGAGAGCAGGCCTTCGGGGCTATTTTGAGGAGAAAATGATGAACCAAGAATGCATCAACCGCCCGATCAGCGTACAACTTCTGTCTGTATATCAGATCCAGGATCAATTGAATATATGCGGTGAAGTATTCCTTTCCTTTGTGGAGGAATAAGGACCGAGCGCTTTCATCTTGGAACCACAATAGTCTGTCAGAGACTCAGGAGCGAATGGCCCAACATCATGGATCCCAGGATCGTACATAGAGCCAGTCATAGCGAAAGGATGAGTCTTCAATCCCATGTTAATATTTGAAAGCTGAGTAGTTACCTTCTTTCTTTGCTCAGGAGTGGCAAGCGACCAACGCAAAGAGTTTCCAGGCAACCTTTCCATGAGAATGTACCCAACGCCAACAGGGTTGTTTTCACAGAAGTTGTACTCGAGCACTTCTGGTACTGGAATTGAAGTCGCACTCAAAAAGCGCAGAGTTGAGACTTCGCTGCGCAGGATATAATCTCGCAACTCTGCTGGCGGAGAAGTGACATTGGATCTCCGAATTCGCCCTAACCAACTGTGTCCATCGACAAATACTAGTTCAATATGATAGTTCTTCCCCCTCCCCCCCCCCCAATAGCTGAATTCCGTGTTAATCTGTCATATTCAAGTTTTTGTGGTATAGAACAAGCGAGACCTGAGGCTTGAGAGATAAGCGCAGAGACATTTATTCTACTGATGAGGATGGTAATCTCATCGTGCTCAGCTTCCTTTTGCAGTGCACGAAGGTATCAGTACCGGTCCCTTATTTTCTTTTACTTTTCACTTGTCTCCCATCGCGGACAGGTGTGGTAGCTTAGTCCCAGGTGTTCCACACACCGATGACGATTGCACAAAATACATTCACCATGTGTGCGAACGGAGGCTTTATTGCAATCTTCAAAGTCACAGAGCCACAGAATCATTTGCTAATCTTGTCCGAGTTACAGAACAGTTTTGCTGGTGGGGCGATCCGGACTTCTATTTATGCGTCTGGCCTTGATGAATGCACCACGTATACTTTACTGGTGTTCACCGCCAGTTAACATATGACGACTGCGTCCACTTCCTTAGTGAAGTTGATAAATTTATGAGCTTGGTTAAAAACCCTCGTGGATTCTCACGGGCGTAGGTATACTGCTATTCATGTGGCAACTACCCTAGGGACCAGGATAGCACTAGTGAGCAGAGTGGGGAGTATATTAGCAAATAATCCTTGTTCTAGAATGTCTAGTGGATCTGCCGAGGTACTTCGTACTACTAACTATTAGTTACTTACGGAGTAGTACATAAAGTTGACTTAGAGTTCGATTACTAGTGGAACACCCAGGGCTTCTCTGGTTCGTGAATCGATAGGTACCTAAGTACGGAGTTCTCCGTGCCTAAGGGGGTACTTAGTGTGACACTGGCAGACCAAGAGTACACTAGTGCTAGTATCACTGAATAGCACACTCTACTACAACAGTTCTAATGCTTCAGATACCATTCGCATTAGCATTTCATAAAATATGCGAGGAATTGACTTGGATTGCATAACTGCATACTCCGTACATAATTCATAATCCAAGTCACATGCCGATCATTGCCATTCCCATCCAGAAGTCCGCACTTCGGATGGGATCGCCCTCAGTCAGATCACCACCTCGTTGGACTTTCGGGTCACTCGCGTTCAATCGCGCCGATCACTGCACCCATATCCGTCAATAGCGTGAGGATTAACTTGAATTATCTGACACTAGCTCGGCTTCCCCTCATCCGCCCACAATTGGCCAGTGCACGCCCGGAATAAGGATTTTCGGAAATCTTAATGCTCTATGTCCTCGGGAGAAACCTTTTTTGACTTCTACCTGCCTGCCACCCCTCAACGCGCCTTGACTCGCGAATCCTCTCTTTTACACCTCCTCGAGTCCCGATGCTTGGACGGCCTTGATAACTCATGTCCGACCCGATCCGACAAGATGCCGTTGACGGCCCCTCGCCGGCCTCCACCGAGGACCCTGTCTCGGCCAAGGAGACGTCACCGGTCGCAACATCACGAAAGTTGCCCGGATGGCTGGACCATTTCAATGCGCGCGATTTAAAAGTCCTATTCCGATGCACTGTGGCCGCTTGGGTTGCATCTCTACTGATCTTCATCACTTCGTCTCTGAAAACTATCGGGACCGCAACTTTTTTCGCTACGTGAGTGGCCCACGATGTAGCATGCCCGTGCGGCGATCGCGACACGGTCGACTGACTCAATTGTCCTTTATCATTAGACTCGTTCTTTTCATGGTTCCTCCGTCAGGAATCGTCTTCATCTTTATTTTGGGAGCTTTCACCCTCATTCTCGGCATGGCGCTCGGCTGGGCCTGGGGTGTCATCGCAATGAAAGCTGCTTTGGCTGCGCGTCCGGCTGCTGAGACTAATGCTCAGCTACAGGCCCTAGGCCAAGAGGCTTATTCTATATCTAATTCAACTGGTCAACCTCTTGCATCTGTACAGCAGGTCCTGGTTTACGAAGGCTGGATGTTGGACGTCCGCGTGTCGGTCATCTATTTTTTCTCTAATTTGTCTGATGGTCTACCTTCTTGTGAGTTGCCGTCTATCGTCATTTGAAACCGAATTAAATAAATGAATTTCACATTGCTGACCTTGTCTCACAGGCACGCCTGCGAGCTCAAAATCCCAAATTTGTCTTGCTCCAGATCTTTGGAACAATTAGCATGGATGTCTTCTTGACCGTCGGACCATTGCTTCCATCATTCACCGGTACTATTCCTAAAGTTCTGGTTGAGCCCGCTGCCATTGGAATTGGGATTGGCTTGGCTTCATCGATTCTGTTATTCCCCAAGTCCACTTCTGCTGCTGTCCTGGATGACATGGAAGGCATCGTGAGGTTACTCAAGGGCCCTACGGATGTTACTTATTCCAGTTTATTTGAGGGTGACCCCCTGGATTTGAAAGGCCTGCAAAAGCTAAAGATGAAAACCATAGGTGCTTATAAGAAGATGGAGCCCTCGCTGGGCTTCCTGCAACTTGACTTCTCTGTTGGCCGCTGGAACGCGGATGATGTGAAGAGCCTGAAGGAGCCATTGCGACAGGCCTTGTTATCTAGTCTCGCGCTATTGGAAATGCATATTGCTCGCTTGGGAGGGAAAGCAAAGGTTGAAAAGCTAAATTCCCTCACGCTAGACCGTCCATGGTCGGCGGAATCGGAGAAGAGCGACAAGCAGCGGCCTCGAGAGATCGGTATGCGCCAGCTCATGGAAAATGTGAATTTGATCAAGATCCTACGAAGCCCAGAGCACGAATCTCTGCGAATGGATATGCTCGACGCGGTTCGACCTCCAACCAAGAAGATTCTACCCATTTGCCAGGAAGCTAGCAATGTTATAGCGGATTGCATTCATGCCGTCAATTCTGCACGCTGGTTTGGAAAGCCTTCACAGCAACGCATGGACGAGCTCCGTGAGCGCAGCGCCTCCGTACTGGAGACATTGCAAGGACTCCGATCAACATTTGCCTCCGAGACTACTGAACGACTCCTGGATACATATGCGGAAATATTCGGCGAAGATGGCTGCCTGAAAGACACCAACGATGAAACTATGCGCAAAGGCCAGGGTATCATGATGGGGATGGGATTTGAAGAACAGATCCTAAGCATGATCGACGGCTGGGAAAAGGTGCTCGCGCAGCTCGTGGCGTTGATGAAAGAGCGCCAAAAGGTCCGTCTTTGGCTCCCACGCGGCCTGCGCTATGCAGTCAACTGGGTCTTCCACAAGAAAGCCGTCGCCCCTGTTCAAGCTGCGCAATCGCCTTTTCCCGATCCCGACGTCGTTGAAGCGCAGATCAATGCCGCCCAACAGAGTCTGCGTATCAGTCGAGGTTACAAGGTCAAACAACGCAGTGGACTTGGAAAGGCTATACTGGGAACCTACCATTGGCTTATTTGCCCTGAGGGTATGTACGCGCTGCGTATGGTGGTTGTAACTATCGCTTGTGGAGTCCCTGCCGTGATTCCCAGCAGCGCAGGCTTCTACTATCGTGAGAAGGGCCTATGGGCACTCATCATGGCTCAGACCAGTGTCGTGATTTACATGTCTGATTTCTCACTCTCGTTTGTGTCCCGTGCCATCGGAACTGTTGTTGGTGGTCTCGCGGGCTTGGTCGCATGGTATATCGGCTCGGGTATTGGAGATGGAAACCCCTACGGCCTAGCTGCGGTGATGGCTGTTGTGCTTACACTGCTAATGTGGGGACGTTTGTTTGCGCCGCTGGTCTTGTTGCAGGCGACCATGATGTGCGGAGCGACTTGCATCCTGGTCGTTGGCTACAGCTACGACGATACGTGAGTTACCTGCTCTGAAATAACCGAGAGCATGACTAACAAGATCCTAGACACATTCCTTCCTACGGTAATCCTGGCTGGGGATACAACGTTTTCTGGAGACGACTTGTACTCGTGTTGGTGGGAGCTACCGCCGCTCTGATCGTACAGATCTTCCCGCGGCCACCCTCTGCAGCACGTCACATCTGCAAGTCACTCTCCAATGCGCTCCGGTCCCTGTCCGATCATTATGCCTTGCTGCTCTCGTGCTGGGGCCAGCCCGACCGCGAAGAGGGACTCGTCGCCGAGCAAATGGCCCTGGACCTTGCCCAGACCCTCACATCTCTTGATGGGCCCGTTGCCCTGCTACGCTTGGAATTCTCTAGCTCGCACTTTGACAGCGAGTGCCTAGCTCAAGTCAAATCACTGTGTCAAGAAATGAATCAGCACATCGGTCGCTTATTATTCCTCTCATCATCTTTACCGGAGCAATTTCAAACACGACTTGCCCACCACGCTGGTCTCCTCGACCACCGCAATGTCGGCGATATTATGGCTGTTCTTGGTGTGGTCGAGCAAGCTCTGAAGACCGGAGATCCCCTTCCCGAAGTTCTTCCCACTCCATTGTTGAAGCGTTGCTTCGAGTTTTGGAAAGCTCATCAGGTTGAGATTGCATTGAGCAAGGATCTGATCCGGGATGAAAACTATCGCCGGTTCTGCGTGGCAGTCAGTTCTTACCTCAAGTTCCTGGGTGCGGTGGATGATCTGGTGCTGGTGATGAAGGGCACCCTTGGCGAGTCACACATCGTCAGTCGAGAGCTGCTGCATGATCTTGCTGTATAATGTATAATATAATCATTCTTTACTCCTTTCATACTACAATTGAGAATTTACTTGAGCCGAAAGAGGTACATCCCTAGGTATGTCGGTGGTATACGTAGTAATTAGTACAATGATTTGTACGCATCTGAAGATTTTTTTTTTCGATAATAAACAAAGGGTCTCTTAAGTCGCGTATCAGAGTCAAGCGCGAGGCCAAATTAGAGTGGAAATTACTCAAGTATCGACAGCAAAAAATGAAATTCTTGGCATACATTTCCATTAGTCAAGGTAACCCCGCACGGTCGAACGGAGCAACCTTGGAAACCGCCATGTCTACGATAAAAACAACCATAACAACCATAACATCGAGAACATTCATGATTACCTATTTAGATATATTTGAAATACATTTCAATCAACTAGATTTAACTAAATGACTACATTTCAACATCTATCTACGAATTCCCCCTACCAAAAGTGTATTCATCGGGATCCCCCGATGTCTCCAACTCTGCACGCATTTCCTTCTCCGCACGAACTTTTTTCTCCTCACCCCAAACCGCACTAGCGCAACGCCTTTTGCATTGCGGCATTCCGTGCATATAATTTCTCTTCTTTCGAGACTTCGCGAATGCGCCTGTTTTCCACCTCTTGGCCATCCCAGCGTATTAAAATATGTCTGCATCGCGTCTATCCCGCCTCCCGAATTGGGTTAGCCACTGGCTCGGCTACCGCGCCGAACCCGTGAAGCCACTCCCAACATACCAAGTCGCGGCCTGGTCTTTCATCGCGGCCTTTTGTGGTCTGTCGGTGGTACAGGGACTATTTAATTACTCAGAGTACTTCACATCGCGCCACGTACCTGGGATCATTGCCTCATATGTAAGTTAAACTCTCCCGCTACGGCCCTCTGTCCCTCGGTCTTTGTTAGGTACCCATCGCCACCTTGACGTATACTTCAACTTCAGCATGAACTTGTTTCAACCTTGGAATAAGTAGTATGAATATGAATACTAACGAAAACAATCAGGGTGCATCGGCAGTCCTCTGCTTCGGCGCAATCGAAAGCCCCCTCGCGCAACCTCGTGCCTTGATATTCGGCCATTTCTTTAGCGCCTTAGTCGGCATCTGCATAACAAAGCTTTTCAGCCTCATGCCCGACGAAGCCCGCTTCCAATCACTGCGCTGGCTCGCCGCATCCCTCTCAACCGCCACGGCTATAGTAGTCATGCAGCTGACCGGAACCACTCACCCCCCTGCCGGTGCAACCGCGCTACTCCCAGCAACCAACGACGAGGTCTGGAACCTATCTTGGTACTACCTGCCCGTGGTACTGCTCTCCTCGACTCTACTTATGGTTTGCGCGCTATTGCTCAATAACTTGCATCGTCGGTATCCTGTCTTTTGGATTGCGCCGGCGCCACCCAAAGCTGCGGCTCCTCCACCAGTGCCTGCGACAACCCTTTCCGTGAAGGGGGATGCAGAGTCTTCGCAGGAGAAGTTGCCGAAAGATTCTGTTTGAATTGGTTGGTCGGCCGTTGGTTGTTAAATTGTGCCAATGACCTGGAACCCATTTGATGGATTTTTGGGATGCCTAGAAGGGGTAGGACTGATATCGTGCTGCAAGTTGGCTGCACTCAGCATTTACCACGTTCCGTCGATCATAATGTGCAACATGCGGGACTTGGATTTAATTTTGATCATAATCTCGATATACCTACTACATATAGCGTGCATTATTGGTGTATACCAAAGGGGGTGAAAAGAGGAATCAATGAATTTCAACACGAAAGAAAGAAAACTCCTGAATACGCTCACAATCAGTCCTCCAACCCAAACTCTATAACTAAGATGCCCAAAAAAATTAACCCCAATATGCAAGAAAGCAACAATCATACATGATACCACCCATAGGGATGTAATATCTGCATCTCATTGATGATACAAAAAGGCCCAGGCTCCTTATTCTTCTCGGATAGAGCGACCCAACGAGAAATTCGCGATCGGACAATTCTCTCCTTAATCCACGTCAGACTCGTCCATCGACGGAGCCGGTTCTCCCACAGTCCCTGGAGGATCCTTCGCGGGGTGAGCCAGTTCACGACCGGATTCACGGCTACGTACGCCGGACCGGAATAGCCCACTCGCACGAGCGGGTTGAGATAAACGCCTTTTTGTTTCGAGAGGGGGTTATCCGCATGGATCAGGCAGCATTCAGAGCCTTCAAGATGGGATTCTGCGAGGGAGTCGGCGATTCCACGGAATTCGAGTGGCGGGGATGCGGTGAAGGGCGCGGCGGGCATTGCGACTTTGTCTCGTTAGATGGGATGGATGGATGGAAAGGCAGGGCTTGACTTGAATTGACTTACCGATACCATTCCAGCAACTTGTCACTGGGACCGGTGACATGCTTTTCATGGCGTAGCGAGACACTGGATCTTGGAAGAATGGCCAGGTTGACATGACAGCTTCATGGCCGCTCACGTCACGGAGAGCAAATGTATCGTAGTAATTGGGTGGTTTGGAGAAATCGAGCGAGCAAGCTGCAGCGTAGTTTCCATCGTTTGTGTCGAGTAACTCGAACACGTCGTTTGCCTGGACGAAAGTCAGTTTGCAGTGCTCGAGGAGGAGAGATAAGGTAGGTTGAAGGGATATCCTTGTCCTTACGGTGAAAACGACATCGTTGAGGAAGAGAACCTTGTCAAAGGTGATTCCCTGCGCTGCAAGTTCCTGGAGCGGCTCCAGGCTGAGATTCCGAATGCGCGATAGATATGGAATTCGTCGCAGCTCTTTCTTCCCCGCAGGTGTAACAATCCAACCATGATCCCCCGGTGGGGCGGCGATCTCATCTTGATGTGTGACGGGCGATAAAGTGATGTTGCGGGGGATCTGCATGCGAGCCAACTCTCGATCCAGTTCCATCAAGGCCCCCTTGGTATTATCCCAGCTGCCACTCTCGTAAATGCTGATGTATAAGTTCTCGGGGCCGAGTTTCCAGGCAAGATTGACCAATGCCTGGCTCCAATGGCTGCGCATGATGGGTTCATTATTCCAGTTGACGCTGGCGATGTAGATTCGTTCTTTTTGACGGGGTTGTTCACGATAGCTGTGGTCATGGTCGGCCTCGGAGATGTTACGGAGGATCAGATGGAGCTCGATTAGATTCCAGAGGGCGAAGATGATGAATAGGGATCGGATGAGGCGGTTGCGGACCAGCACTCGGCGAAAGGTACGAGGGTAAGGAGTGAGTTTGGACATAAGGAACGGACGCCAGGGGCAAGAGAAATAAAAGATTGGGCATTCTGGATAAAAAGCGACTCGGACTTGAACGTGGATTCGCGTCTAGATGGGAAGGATGCCAAGATCGATGTGGGCTTGGAACTGGAAAGGGTGATGAATCTAGGGGTGAAGTGTGTATGTTTTGGTCTCATTCATACTTGATAGCCGATCTTTGCCGATTGTTGACAGTCAACTTTCAATACTCCATAGTCTACTCCATAGTCAATATTGGTCCAACTCAGCCTCCCCGGCCTAACCAGGCAAATGGAATTGGTTCAGACTATTATTATACACAAAAAAAAGGGGAGGGGAGGGGATGGGAGAGGATACCACGGGCCACGTCACCCCAGTAGCAATGGAGAAGTCAACACAGCGACAATCCACCAGGCCATCCGTGGTCTACCGACTCGCTTCGTTGCACTTGACTTGCTCGTTTCACTGGAGCTACTCGAACTCGTGGTGCTTGCTCCACTTTGCACCCAAGGCTGGCTAGGCAGCGTGTCGCTGCTCTCGCTCTCCTCCGCCGCACTGAGTAACTTGTTCTCTAGCTGCGCGCACTCCGATCGATCCGAACTCCGAGAGATACTATTTGTCACGGAGATGGGCAAGTCAAACACGGTATAGTAGTCGGTCCCATTCCAGCGGAAGGACTGGTGCATCGAGATGTTATACGCGCCTCGGGCCGAGTCGCCATCCCCATCCCCGTTGCCAACCAAACACTCGGGCCACACCCAATTGACATGTTTGACTGTGGAAGATGATTCGAGCTCAAGCACAGGGCCAACATAGCTCGAGTTATTCGACGGCTTTGTACCATTCGAGATGGTGAAGTTATGCGACAGGGTCTCCGACGTTAGGAACAGAGTGATGTTGTGGAAGAGCGTGTCAGCATTGGGCTGTGTCGATGGTGGCCACGGTAGTTTGCCATTACCAGACACGTCAATTGCGATTTGAAGATTATCTGCGCTGGTCAGTCGCGTGGAGACTTTTTTTCCAGGGGGGGGTTTGGGTCGGCTTGCCTCCGCCGAGCGGCGTATTGGGCTGTGGGGCGTCCACAATGGCCAGGCCCGGAGTGTACACTTGCCCATTGAGGATTGTGAAGTTGCCCATGATGGAGGTGCGAGGCTGCAGACGAGGATGGTGAAGAACTCGATTTGTTGAGAACCAGGAATTCGAGAGAAACCATTGAAACTCGCAATTCTCCATCCTGTTTATCGGGGATGTCGGGTGGCGCCAAGGGTCTCATCTCCGACGCCTCCGTCTCTTCCTTAGCGTTTCGGGTTTAATCAATATCGTCCGCCATTCATTTCGCCTGCCATTAGCGTAGGGTCCAGCTCCATATTATGCAGGGACTAGTATGCAGAGTTGAATGGTCGAGGCCATGGTTGTAGAAAGATCACAAATCCCCCTAAGAACCATAATTACCAATAGAGAAAGAACGAAGAGCCTTGGAGTGAAATCTCGATTTGTAGGTAGAATTTTGGGGAGCAAATTGAGAAGCAAGCGCGGTAATATATACCTAGGTATATAAATGGAGAAAAACTATCAAAGGAAAGGTGCAGGAGGCCATTTCCCAGACCTGCCTTCGACGAGAAATTACTCCCCATTGTAGGCCTGACCGGGTGGCAGTATGTATTGGCCCATCCGGATGTCCTCTGCCTTGATACCCTGCTCCTTGATATGCCGTGCGGTCACCGCGAAACGGAGTCCTCCATCGGGCACCACCTTGTGCTAAGAGAGAGTCAGAACACGACAACTTCCAAAGAGAGGAATGAAAACTAACCTCATAGTATTTCTGTAGATTCTGACCGTTCATCACGACCATATGTCCATGATGGAGCTCCATTTTGATAATGGGCGGTGCATCCGTCATAGGTCTGAGTATCTTCCGCCGTTCTGCATCATATTGGTCCTCGGTGAAAAGGCCCTGGTCGTATTGATCTTTGAGAGCTTTTCGTCGCTCATAGTCATGGCAACCAATCAGAACTGGATCATATTTTGTCAAGCTTGTACTGCCCTTGTCGCTTTTCCGTAACCCGGCAAAATATTTAGCTTTCATTCGTAAGAACATTGTGGAGCTGGCACCGAGAGATAGAGTGGCCACAGTAGGGCCCAGAACATCTTCGCCATCATCGTGATACTGGATAGATAGAGATTAGTGAGTGATCAAACCAAGATAAAAGAAGTGGCATGTATGCTTACGCCCATGTCCATGTCTGCCACGTAACAGACAAGCAAGAGTTCGTTGGGCTTTTGAAACTCATGATTCGATTCCGCCACTGTCTGCCGAGTGGCCCAGACCAAGCGACTGTGAGCAAGGAGAACATCCTGATGAGTCTCGCTGAATGATTTGGACTGCGTAGTGACGACGAATTTGTATGGGAGACCCTGGTATATCGTTAGTGAAGAACGATACGAACCTCCAGGATGACTCACGCTGTTCACAAGAAAATGCCCTGTCATTAGGCCTTTGACTGCACATTTGGTTAGCGAGGAACTCCATTTCCAAAAAAAAAGAAAAAAAAGGACAGAAAATACCTGGAGCGTGGGTAAGACGCTCTCGTCGGAGACCGAGGTCGAGTTCCTGAAAGCGTTGGAAGAGATAGTTCGGGCCACGATCCTTGGCATTGATGGCCGTGTTTGACACAATATGATCAACTGTGCCAATATTGTCGCCCCCAACTGAGTACCTGAGCCTCACATACGGTGCCATTGTCACTCTATCAATATCAGGCCCACTGGTATTTGGGGCGAATCGAGGTTGGTCGTAGAACGACTCGAGACCGCCACGAGGCATGGCGGCGTTTTTGCCTGACCTTGGAGATGAATGGGGAAAAATTTCTGGCAGTGCAATGACATCGCACACAGAGACAACTGGTCCGTCAACAAGGAGACTCCACGGGCAATCCAACTCGTTTTTTCGAGGCTGGGGCGAAACAAAGTGCTTCGCTGTGCACTTCCACCCACTCAGGAAGACACGAGGGACACATTTACGGCAGTGTGGACAGACGATTCCTTGTCGAGCATTCTCACCATGCCGCCAGAGGTCCCGATTTCTGTCCGAAATGACTGGAGCCTGAGGGACAAGATCCAGGGTTTCGGGCAAGCTATTCTGGTCCCATAAGAACCGATGTGAGAGGAAAACCGGGTCATACTCCAGCTCTGCGTTTACCGGCCCATCAATAAATTCCCAGAAACGAGCGCAATCTCTGTTCAGGCATGTCCAGATCCCCTTGAAAGTGCGGCAAGACCCCTGGGTACACGCATTGCATGTAATAATCTCGGGCCGGGTTTCGAAGTCTCGAGTCTCGGAAGGATCAGGTGAGTCCTTCGCGGCCCACCAACTCTTCCTGGTGAGGTCTACCTTCTGAAGACGCATTTTGTAACCGGTGAAGGCCCCCATCTTTTCGGGCCAGATATGGGTGATGATGAAAAGGTCCATCACATTGTACCGGTGCGGAAGCGAGCGGCCGATATCTCCGTTGCGATCACCTAACTTATTTGTCAGAGAGATTTGAAGTATTTTACATTTTATATTTTGTTCCAAGGTTGTGAGCTCAGATTTGAACGTACCAATGATGACACCGATTGGTTGATGGTTGGTGAAACTCTTCTGCACGGCCGCGTTGGTTCCCGATAGCAGTGTCTGGCTTTGCTTCAAAACTAAATTTCCCTTTAAGTCCTTTTCGTATGAGCCAGATCTATCGAAAGATAGTGAATATTAGCTTGGTTCAGTGAAGATTGATTGTTAGCGTACAATCGTGTGATTATGATTTCCTCATCGACATAGCAGCGTCCCCCACAGCTGTCGTCAATCAACAATCCAATGCAGCCCTTCTCCTTGCTTGAATATACGCCTGACTGATAGTGCTTGAACCATGGGATTGTCTCGCAGAGATCGGGACGAGTCTGAGTTTCAGTTAGTCCTTCAATTTTCATATAAGAAGTCGATGACATGCCTGGGCCCATGCCGGTGGCTCCCCTGCACATTCAGAGTTGTTTTCTTCTTTAAGAAGTTCCGGCTTCTGCTTCTTCGTCATTTCGTCTAAAGAGAATTGAATTCAGAGTTCGGATATAGCATCAGTACCTAGGTGTGAGGGACAAGGAATACTAACTTTGGTCAACATCAGCCTCCTTCCTCTTGAGAGAGGCAGTTTTGAGATCTGCATCGAATTTCATGGTGGATGAAATAAATCGGAATGATGAGAAGACTGAAAAGAGAAGTTGAGATGTAAGTAGGTCAGAATCTTCAGATGAAAGATGGGGCAAGTAAGTGAGTTGAATCATCTGGGTAAGTGGGTGGTGAAAGGATTAAGGAAAGGTGGGGATGTGGTAACGAGCAACCTGGGGAACCAACTACTACTGGTATCTACCTAGATAGGTACTAGTAGTATGACCTCGTAAGTACTAGTACTACTGGACGTTTCTGAGCTCATTTGCGAGGTAATCTGGGAAGGCACATACATTAGTCTCAGGGAGAGGATTCCCGCGGCGGTGCACAAGATCAAATTAGGAGAGGTACAAGGTTAAATAAGAGAAAGTCCAAGTCGAGGAGCCCTGGAGCATACTCGCTAGGTAGTAAGCTGTAGATTATATCTATACCTATATGTATAGTATTCCAAGGTTTCCTGGGATTTGTTTTGCCACCCCATGGATCGATTCCGAGTCCAAGTTGTGACCACAGGCCCAGGCCCTAAGATCCATCTTGACATTCCTAAATCTTGGTATAATGAAATGTAGAATATGGTCAAAATGCAGCATGATAACCATCATGATGGCGAATGAACAAGACGGTAGAGTGGCCGATGGGGGTGTCTTGGATGAGAAGACATAATATGCTGAATAAGAGAAAGGGTGGAATTTAGTCTAGTGGTTACCTGATGCCCAAGGTGTTATCTCATGATCTCCGGGAGCTCGCTATTCCTACTAGTACTAGTAGTAGCAGCAAATTATACATCGCCGTTTTTTAACAGGGACAAGCAGTTTTTTTTTTTTTAAAAAAAAGAAGCTTCCACATTCACTGACTGGGCGGCGTTAAATTCGAATTGAATGCCGGCTTGGTAGATATCTGTACCTATATAAATTCTCTGTAAGTACCTGCCACCCGCGTACCATCCCATAGCATGAAATTCAAAGGACCGGGCGTCATTTATGCGCTCGAATAAACTGTTCGTGTTGTGCTGCTTGTAATATGAGTCTTTTGAAACCAAATGCGAGGCCGACTATGCTCATGAATGACTGAAAAATTGATCATCACTGGCTAAGGAGAAGTAGAGAGAAAGCCAGATGCATTGAGAAACGACGAAGCTATTTGAATTGAGGGAATGAGACCGGTGAGCAGCAAACTATTGCTTTTCAAAAAATATCAACCGCATATCTGTGACAGACAAGACACATATCTCCCGAACTATCTTTGGCTGCAAAAGTTTGCGAAGAAATCCAAGGTTGCAAGACAAAAGAAATTGAAGAGAAAGACTGTGGCCTTTCACATTCTGGAAATGACACCGGGAAGATTCTCCATATCCTCTAGAAACTCATCAAACTCAGTTCTAACCTTATCCATATCCTCATCGATGTCGTCAGTCCATCTTTGAATATAAACGGTTTTAAGCCCAACGCTTTGAGCACCGCGCAAATCATAAGCATGCGCCGCGACTAGGACAACCTCCTCCGGGTTCAGTTTGACCAGGTCCAGCGCTTTCTGATATGCCAGAGGGCTAGGCTTATAGACACCTAGTAGCTGGCTGGAGAACAGCATGTTGAAATTCAAGCCAGAAGAGCGCGTCAGATCAAGCTGCAGGCGGGTTGTACCATTGGCATGAACAAAGACTTCGAGGCCAAGATCATCCCGTAGGCTCCGAATTGCTTTTCCGACCTCCGGCCACGCAGGCTGGGAATGCCAGGCCTGGATAATTTTTCCTTTGATATCGGGGGATATGGCAGCGTTGGAAGTCGGGAAGTCGGGAAGTACAGCGTCGAGAACACGGGCAAGCGTGATGTCGATATCCTCAGGCGAAAGCTCTTGTTGGTGGCGCTGGCTATTTTCAAGGAAATATCTTCTGCGCCATTCAAGTGCAAGTTTTGATCGTTCCACCTCTGGAATTGAAGGAGGCAAAGATTTGACGACACTGGTATGCCAGTCAAGACAGGTGCCCATGAAGTCGAAGAAAACGGCTTTGATGTTTGTTTGAGACATTTCAACGAACCTGATGCAGCGATCTGAGTGATATGTAAGTCCAACAGAAAAAAAGAAAAAAAAAACACAGAAAGAGAAATGGAATAGATGAATTATAATATGACGGGGTATTTGATGGGTCTCGTGCCGTAAGCTGAGGGTGATTAGAAATCCATGGTGCGGGGCTCGATCTGAGAGCTGGAGTGGAGTTGATCAGAATACGACCAAGATAAATCCCCCCCATACGCACCTGTGCAGAGCGATCGTATTTATGGCTGGGGTTTCCCAATATCTTCAAATGGGACTGATGACAAAAGAACTACTGTGGTGTGGTTAGTCTTTATCATCGGGCCGGCGCCTCCCCCACAGTCCAGACCCCGCATTGTCGGCCACTTCCCGCTAGAACAAATCAACTAAACTGCCGGTCATCTTGCATCCCTCGTTGTTCACCATGCATGGAGCGGATCAAGGAAGATGACATCGGAACTGACCTGCTCAGTATGCTCAGCGACATTTAGTCGCTTGGAGCATCTCAAGCGTCACTCTGTTTCACGTTTGTCAACTCCCCCACAAGTGACTGTGGCTGCTAACTGGTGCATCAGATTATGACAATCGACCACATGCCTGTGAATTTTGTGGAACGGCATTCAATCGAAAGTGAGCTGGACTGTTGAAATGGCCGACACAGGGTGCATCACTGACACCTACCCTTAGAGATGTCCTCCGGCGCCACGAGAAGACCTGCAGAGCCCGGTGTCCGTCAGCATTTGATACTCACATGATATCGCAGATGAATCGAGAACCAAAGCGGCATAAAATTTCCATTGATCTAAACAAGATCCCGGCTATTGATACAGCTCCAGCGGCTGGAGTTGTGGGTTCCGAGATAACCAGTCACACTATGGAAACTCCCTTTCCGTTCCAACATTCCAACAGATCAAGCGAACAAGAAGACACGAATGAAGCTGCATTTCTTGCCGAAGGGGACACTGCCACATGGATCAATGACGAGTCAACACTCTTCAACATGGTTAGCGAATACAACGATGAGTCGGGGAACATGCTATTGCCACTGGAAATTTCAGCCATTGACACTATCCTCTTCCCTCAGAAGAGTCCTGATCTCTTCATGGCCGAGAGGCTAGAATTCATGGCATATTTTACGAGCACGCGAGGCATGAAAACTTTTGCCGATCGGGAATCCTTTCGGTATCGACAGGAAATGGCTCGTGAGGCATACGAGATGCAGGCCCAGCAAAACTACAAAGTCAACAAGATAAGAGACACAACATCAAATTTGAACCCGCTCCCAATTAAGCCTGAAGGATGTTCTCAGGACGCGAGTGGCCTAGACCTTCTGCACTCTAAATCCCGGGATCTGATCGACAATCTTCGAGATATCACATCTAACAGGACAAATGACGATGTTATTACCATTGAATGGACGCCGAGTATCGACAAACTTTGCAAAGAGTTCTTCCAACCATCAAATATGCGCCGCTTTTTGGCATACTTTTGGTCCCTATGGTACCCACATTGCCCTATTGTCCACAAGCCTCTGTTTGACCCATCATCGGCATCTCCAGGACTACTCTGTGTGATGATTATCATCGGAGCATGCCTTTCTCCAGATGAAAAAGAAAGCCAAGCTTCTAAGAGGTGGATCGATAGCGTAGAGGAGCTAATCTTCTGCCAGGTTTACTTCCGTAGCGACCGAGAACTTTTCATGGACCAGCCCGGCCAAAGAAAGGACATCGTGCAATGTATGCAGGCAGCCTACCTAGTCAGTTCCTTGCAAAAGCGTGAAGGATCGGTAGAGGCCCAGGCAAGAATAAGGAGACATCGGCATGCGTCTATGGTAACAGTAAGCTGAGTCCCTGGGTAGCACCTCCACAGGCCCGAGTTTGAAATAACATACAACAGCTGGCGAGACATATTGGGCTGGGGAAAGCCTCACATCGGTATCTCGATATGAGACATACATGTTCAAACGCTTGGTGGAAACAGTTTGCAGAGGAAGAAGAGTTTATCCGGTGCGTTTTCATAGTATTTGCTGCAGAATGGCCAAGTTGACGAGCTCAGTACAATAACATTCGTGTTCTTGATCGATGCTGCACTCACTATACTCCACAACTCTCCACCACGGATGGTAGTTCCCGAGCTGAAGATGGATGTCGCCTGCCCAGAGTCATGCTTCCAAGCTGAATCAGCATCAGAATGCATGAAAGAGCTGAATACATGGGCGACAACCCGATTCTGGACGAGTCGACTGTCCATTGTGTCTGTTGTGCGGCAGATCTGCCAAAGCCCCATCGAAGAGTCTATCATCGAGGACTTTGCAGGTTTCGGCACGCTGAACCTTTTCACCCTGGTACAAGGTAAGTTAAATGGAAATTTCGAAGCGAGGGTTTGAAGCTGATACAAAATTCTTTCTAAGCAATCCACTCCTTGATGTTTCAATTGCATAACTCCCTTGTCTTCGAATCAACACTAGCGCCTATCCAGACTGGCCTCGATAATTGGCGCCAGATATGGAACTCACGGGTTCCAGAAGATACCGGTTTGCCTGATACCCCCGAGAATCTTTGGAAACGAGTCGGATTCCTGCGACACGCCTCGGAGTTCTGGCAGTTAGCTCGGGTCCTCATGGGAAAGATAATGACGGCCAACCAGAATGATGGGGAAAATTTCGAGGAGATGACGCAGCTATCAAGATACGATCATACGGATATGGGGGAGGTCAATGATCTAATTATGGAATATAGACGGATGAATCTTGGTGTTACTTGATTGCATATCGTTAGAAGTATCCAGGTATGGCCTTGAAAATATTAGGAATTGTAAGACTATATACCAATTTGCCTATTCAAAGGAGGTGATCATCTCCGAGTCCATTCATGCAGGTGGATAGGGTCTTCTTAGAAGAAGAGCTCATTTGACAAAATTGTATGTATTTTTTTTCATAATACGGGTATCATTACATCCCGCGGTCCAAGGCTGTTGGATTTGACCTGATGCCAGATATAGATGGTGCATTTTGGAAAGTGCGGTAAAGCAGACGTCCAGTGTGAGTGAGCATTCATACTACTACTGTCGGCTTCATTCTTTTCTGTACATGGACTTCAAAATCTGTCGGCTTGACAAACCAGTAGTTTTCCGTTTTCCAGTCACTCCTGAGAGGTGTAAAGTCATAGTCACGAACAAGTCGTGGGATCAACTTCGACATTTCCAAGATTGAGATGTGCTTCCCAAGGCATGTTCGCGACCCCAAGCCGAACTATGAAAAGAGTAAGAATCCCAGCCAAACCTGCCAGAAAAATGCAGCCAGCATGAATTTGTCACTTACCGGCATATACATCTGGTTCATCTCCTTCAACTTATCGGGATTGCTCTCCGCCTCAAGCCACCTCTCTGGGCGGAACTTCTTCGCTTCGGGAAATACGCCATCATCATAGTGCGCTACCCAAGTATTGGCTCCTATGATCGTTCCAGCTGGGAAGTAGTGCCCATGAATCTCTGCACCGCCTGCAGGGACTTCTCGCCACATTGGCAGACCAGTTGCACTGTGTATTCGCATTGCTTCCTTCATGACAGCCTGAAAGTATGGCATCTCTTGGCTCTCCTTGAATGTAACCTCTTCACTGCACAGTCCTTGGGCTGTGAAGTCGTCGATCTCAGCCCTTAATTTTTGCAGTGTCTCGATGTTCTGAAGAAGATGCCACATAATACTAGAAAGACTGATCGCTGTTGTATCTGAACCAGCTGTAACGTTTGACTGAGCCATGATAAATAAGTGGTAATCAGTTACCTTTTCAGGGTTCTTGTTGCGCGCGATGAGTAACTTTTCCACAAAATCCTGTGTTTGAATATGCTCTGATTCACCCTTCTCGGTGTCCTTGGACTCCGCCTCGTGAAGACGAACCTTCTCTCTTACAAATTCGCTGATGTATGCTCGGCCGCTTGCACCAGACCATTTGAATTTACTCAGCAGTCCGAACAATCGGGGATGCCACTCTGGGTAGACTCCAATCATGGTGCTATAAACCATGACCTTATGGACGGCGGAAATCGCACCGTCAATGTCCTCACCCTTGTCAAGGAATCCTAGCCAAGTTAGTCCATTGTGTCATTGGTGCCAGTGTGTTTGTAAAGGGTCTTTACCAAATCGTTCGCCGAACGTGATATTTCCAATCACATCAAATGCATAGCATTGAAACCAGTGTCCAAGGTTGAATGATTTTCTGCTTTCGGTAAACTCAATCAATCGGCGATTGAAAATTTCCGCGCAATCATCTACAAATGGCTCATAGTGTACAAGCGAGCTCATGGAGTAAAGACTGGTAAACCGCTTGCGGGTATCCGCTAAGGAAAGGAGTCAATCATCCGATAATATCAAAGACAAGTAGTGCGGATACGTACAATGTCTTTTGATGTTTCGGTCGGTAAATACCGTCCATTGCGCTGGGTGTTTCCAACCATCATACCAGGCGGACTTAGGGAACTGCGAGCCAGTACCGTAAACAGTCTTGATTGTGGATATGTCACTGATACTGTATTGGTTTGGAGCAAGGCGCACAATGGGACCGTACTGCTGATGAAGTCGGATATTCTCATGCTCAAAGGTTCCATGGCGTACTCGGTTGAAGTACCAAAGGGATGTGAATCGAGCCCAGAATGGACCTGGAATATCCTTTAAAGACGAGAAGGTCGCTTGTCCGAGCCGGAGAAGGACGTGTAATGCGAAGAAAAGGGCCGAAGCTAGTAATAATGTAGAGAAATGCATGTTCAAGCGGGCTCGAAGTCCACAGGAGCAATAAAAGAGGGTGTCGAGTTTGCTTTTATATCGGCTCTCGATGATTTGGGGTTGGCGATCGACCGAAGTCTCCACCCCCACCCCCACCACCACCTCAACTTCTCCAGTTCTCAGTGCCACAAGAGCAACCTCGGAAAGGAACGGAGAGTGGTTGGGGGCCTGGGCAACATCGGGTGGTACGTAGATTGGAGCATAAATGCGGGCATGAAAGATTATTCTGTTTGACATCCCGGGGTCTTGGGCTTTGGAGCTAGGTTAATCGTGTGGCTCGCTCGTGATATGGAGTATTTTATTTTTGTTGTGATCACAATTCATCTTCTGACTATTTAAATATGCCCTCTTATCCAATGCATCGTGCGATTAAGGTAGTCATCGCCGCTATAGTGCACTTAAAATCTTCATCAATTCTACGTCAATGGGGCAGCAGCTCGATGACGAACTCAATATCTATAAATGCGTAAAAGTGTATCTCGAAATCACCCTGGTAATAGGATATTGACTAGCGAAGGCCATAGACATCAAACTTGAAGCCTGTATCCTCCTTATCAAAACTGACGATAATCCTGTTCATAAATTTGGAGATATTGAGCCTCAAGACCCCTGCTCGGGAAACAGCACAAGGCCAGAAAGAGGACACAATAACTAATTCATGTGAGCAGTGACGTAGAGCGCAGGGAAAAGTGTAGATAGAAAAGGTTGATTAAACCGAGTAGATTGCAGTACATGAGCCAAAATAAAGAAAAGGTATCAAATTACGCTGAATAGCCCCTCGAGAAGGTCTACTGTGCATCTTTTGCATCTTTCGCACTCCAACCTTCCAGAGGGGCGGAACCGGGAAAAGTAAAAAACATCCGTGTATCGCCGCTGCGCCAGAAATGATGAGGGTAAAATAGAACGACGTGCCGTGTTCAGGTTTGGCCCAGGTCGCTCACTTCTTATCTCCCCATAGACCGACGATTCCCACTGCAAAAGCAGTACCAAAAACCCAAGTCCGAACGAGGTGCATCCGACGCTCCCGGTCCATCTCACGCTGAACGCTTTCACCATTCACATCCTCCTCGGACTCAACAAGGACGATATCCTCTTCCCTCTTGTTGGATACTTTCCCTAGAGATAGTCCCGTTGTGTCATAAAGCACCTCGATGGCCCAGTTCTTCAGACCAAGGTGGCGGTTGAAGTAAAAGTCCAAGCCGTACGAGCTGACCGTGTTGAGGACGGACATCCAGAGCATGTAGGGATGTTGACGGTGCGGAGGAGAAACGAAGTACGCGAAATAGATACATGTGTTGGTCAGGCCGGATAAGTCGAGAGTATGTTTGCGATTGAGTCGCTTGACTTCATTGAGACAGCGGGAAGCAGTGGAAGAGGTTGGGAGAAGCTTGAGGGCGGGGATGGTGATGGAGGAAGTTGAGTAGGAGAGACCCTGTTGGTGCGACAGGAATTAGCATGAATTGTTGGCTGCGAAGCGATTGCTGGGGTGTCTGGATGCGATCGCGCAGAGATCAAAAGAGATGGGCTTACGGTCAGCAGACCAAGCGACACGGTCCCGACAAACTTGGAGACGGTGATGGGGCAAGCCATGGCGTAGGAATGGAGGGTAGGTAGTTTGCCCCCAGTTGGAATGGAGGGGTGTAAATGAGGAGACCGAGGCGTCAAGTTGGCAGGGAAGAAGAGAGGCGAGAGGATTGGAGCGGAAGCAAAGAAAGCGACCAGCGAAAATGCAAAGTCATCCAGTTCTTTGGCGCCGTGACGTAGGCCAATCAGCAACCCCACGTTCTTCAGCAGGAATCAGTATCATAGTAGATAATATAATCTATACTATAGTATACAATAGTATAGATAGTATATCTACCTAAGTAATTTGACTATACTAAGTAGTGAACTAGTTAGTTATACTATACTCTGTACATAATTAAATGAACCTCGGCCCCAGTTGTGCTTGTGGGGAAACCGCGACGGACCACTTCAACTCGAACTCCGACTCCGTTCTTTCCTTACGTTAAAGCTGACTTGAACCTTTAACACCTCGAGACCTTGCACGAACTTGAGTGCTTTCAACTTCTCTCCGTATTTCCTACCGATACTTAAGTATCCCTTTCTACCCCATCCTATCTCCACAATGACTCTGGCCAAGCATGAATACATGAGCGATGTCTGGAAGGATGGCATCTTCAGTGAGCCCCCACCGCTTAAAGCACTCCTCGATCCGTCTAACTCTTCCCATCAGATAACAAAGTTGTCTTCTGCACCGGTGGAGCTGGCACCATTTGCAGTGCCCAGGTTCGTGCTATGATTCACCTCGGTGCCAATGCCTGCATCATCGGCCGCAATGTCGAGAAGACCGAGCGTGTCGCCCAAGAAATGGCAACCATTCGGCCCGGAGCCAAGGTCATCGGTATCGGTGCTGTCGATGTTCGCAAATTCGATGACCTGAAGGCTGCCGCGGAACGCTGTGCTAAGGAGCTCGGCTCCATCGACTTCGTCATGTATGCCATTCTGCTTACTCGACGATGCGTTCTGCTTACTGACTCGCTCAATCTATAGTGCCGGAGCTGCCGGTAACTTCCTGGCCTCCATTGAACAACTGTCCATCAATGCATTCAAAACTGTGATGGATATTGACATCATGGGCTCTTACAATACCCTCAAGGCGACCCTACCTTATCTGGTTGAGTCCGGCGGCAACCACAGAGTGGATTCCGAGACACGTACGTGTTTTTCCCCGACCATATTTCACTAACCAGCCATACTGACTCGATTAAGTAAAACCTTCCCCAGCAGGTACTGGTGGAAGAATTATCTTCGTCAGCGCTACCTTACACTACCGCGGCATGCCCTTCCAGGCCCATGTGTCCGTCGCAAAGGCCGGCATTGACTCGCTATCCAACTCAGTAGCCATCGAGTACGGCCCCCGTGGAATGACCTCCAACATCATTTCTCCTGGTCCAATTGCGCAAACCGAGGTACGTTTCACTAGCCATAGTGGCGATTGAGCCCCAGCTGACAAAAGAAAAACCATAGGGCTTGGAGCGTTTGCTTCCATCTGACGCCAAGGCCGCCTACCTGAAATCGCAACCTCTCGGCCGTATTGGTCATGTTCGGGATATCGCCGATGCTACCGTCTATCTCTTCTCCGATTCCGGAAGCTATGTGACCGGCCAGACCCTCGTTGGTAAGTTCTTCCAAGCAAAGCACACCGTCATCCTTTACTAACCTCCTTCCTAGTTGATGGCTCGAACTGGCGAATGAGTGGAGGAATCTCCGCCAGCGACAACTTGAGATACCCCGACTTCCTTCTGTCTGGTCAGGATGTGCCCAATGTCACGGGCAAGAAGAAGTCCAAGCTTTGAATTCATAGTCATGAGAGATTTTATACATAAACTCTAATTTTTCAAGGTCAATAATTCAAGGCAGTCGAAAACTTTCTGCTTCTAAGTATTCCATATCTGCGCATATATACACTACATTTCGTACGCGAATGAATGGAGAGAACTTGAAGTGAGGCAACCGGCATAGTACAACAGAACAATAGAAATGTGCAGTTAGGTCGATTTCCACTGCCCCTTCATTCAATCTCGTCTCAGTACCTAGGCATCTAGAAACCTTCTACACCACCTACCTAATTACTAGTAGGCACTGGTACTATCTAATAGTAGGATTCTCATACCGGCAGGAACATACATAGTACTATACGGCTATGATCACCTTGATCTACAGGCAATAAAGTTCCAAGTATCCGAGTAGCTTTTAAGCCTCAGGTCTTAGATAATACTGGCTTGATTGGCAGTCACCTAGAAGAAAGCAGCAAGCAATTACAGTGACTCAAACTTGAATTGAGTTGCTGAAATTCGACGGGAAGTGGAGATCTATCAAAACCCGCAGACCCCGGGCCGAGCAGATCGCACGTTTTAGCTTGGGAGCTGTTGGATCTTAGCCCTTTTGTGAGTGGCTACTGGAAGTGTACATAATACGAGGTAACTACTGAGCCCCAAATTTTAAATATGGAGTCCCAACCAGATGGTGGGCCTCGCATTTTGCATTCTCTATTCGGACCCCGACGTGTGAGCTGTACATTTCTTTTCGTTGCCTATATTTCCACCTTGTGACTTCTCAAAGCATTCGACTCACTTCAAGTTCTATTCTAAATCCTTTTCAATTATAATATCGTTATTTATTCATACAAATCCAACATTATCCACCCTGCCGACCATCATGACTGCATCGGTGTCTGCAGCTGCCTTCACAGTCTTTCGGGGCTTCCCCGAAAAGGGTTGCTATACATGGTCGCCATTCGTCACCAAGCTCGAGGCTCGTTTGCGCTTCGATGGAATCTCTTACAGTGTCGATGCCGGGTCCCCACTGAAGGCACCAAGGGGAAAAGTGCCCTATGTCACATTTGAACACGATGGCCAATCCCAGTCCATCGGTGATTCTGGGTTGATAGCCAATTTATTAATTGAGATTGGATACCTCAATGACCTGAACTCCCGACTATCGCCTGTGGAAAAAGCTCACGACATCTCCACCAGAGCTCTGCTCGAGGACAAACTGTATTTTTACCAGGTACACGACACATCCTTAATACTTCTCTTCTCCTGTCAAACTGCAACCCCCTTCAGGTTGTCTAATCGCTTCAATGATAGGGACAAGAACGATGGATTGAAAATTACTATACCATGCGCGCCAAGATACTCGGGGGTTTACCCTGGCCTATTCAAATCATAGTTGGCAATCTAGCTTATAACAAACAAGTCCGCACCTTACGAGGCCAGGGCACAGGGACTTTCTCCTCCGAAGAAATCACTATTTTCCGTGCGAATATCTGGGAGACTCTCAATGCACTAGTCTCAGCTGCACAGGCACATCATCAGGACCGGGAGGGTCCATTCTGGCTATGGGGTGGCGATACACCCACCGAGGTTGATACAACTTTATTTGGTTTCATTGTTTCAGCCCTTATCTGTGACGCGTGAGTATTTCCTCCTCCTCAATCCGTCACATTCAATGCACTATATTAACCTCCAGAAGATCCCCGACTACCAAGGAGGTTGTGAACAGCTACCCAGCGCTTGTGAGCTACGCTGGGCGAATCCATGACACATATTTCCCGGACTACGAGCGATGGGAGTAAATAAAAATTACTAGGGGCAATGTGATCGGAGTATTACGTTCATGATATTGCGTACCTTACTCATCATTCTTGTGTTTTCATGATTAACCAAGCACCCTTCTTAATCGCATATCGTACTCCGTACTAGTAGTTGTCGTTGCCTAACGAAATGAAGCTTAGACGCGTGCCATGCGCCACGCGTCTTAACGGGTAAATTCTTTACCACCTTCAAATTACTCCATCGAAGACAAATGTACCCACTTCTTTTGAGCCCACTGCTCCTATCATTAGTGCAAATTTGGAGGGAGCAGCCGCGAGTCCCGCTGTTCATCCACTCGCCGTGTCTGCTGGTAAGTTGAAGCTCGAAGTCAAAGCTCCCCAACATGCCCCACTCAGTTTCCAGCAACCCGCGTCGATGACGACCTGGTCAGCTACCCCTATCTATAATCAGTGGTTGTTTAGAGATCAGTACTAGTAGTACATCCCAAAGCTTGGATTGGATGTTGGCGACGTGGTGGATAATTTATTCCTTGCGGAGCTGGGTTGATTCTTCGACCGCTTGTGTTGTTGGCGAAATTCAAAACTGTGTTAAACAATGAGCTGGGAGCTCTGTTTTCACCGAATGCCCGGTACATACGAACTTAAAGCAAATTGTTAATTATGGAAGAGATCTCAGTAATGACTACCAGCAAATATGCTGATGCATCCCCGGGCAGTGTTCAAATTTGGCCCGATCTTTGGCCCAGTGTAACTGTTTATAGCTACTACCTACTAGGTATAGTTAGTACTATTAGTACTAGTTACTGTTAAACAGCACTTACGCTTCAACTTGACGCTCAGACAATTTTATCAATTCAAGTTCCATTGACTAACTGAGTGCGGATGTCAGGCATGGCCTGGAATATCATTTTAAACTTTCCCTTTCACGCTTCCCCATATTTGACCACCCCGCTCCTACGTTGAAGAACTCATGTCTCGACCAAGAAGACTACTGCCTTCCAAACTTACCGTGTAAAAACGTACCTCCTGAATCTAATTCAATCTTACGTTTGAGGTTGATATGTTCTGCAAGACAAATGAAATTGTCGGTTCCCGTCTCCAGACTGGATAAAGAAATCAACAAAGAACTACAAAGAGCAGATTACGAAATGTCGCACTAATATAGAAACATAGCTCAAAGAATGCAGTAGTCCCGTGATGATTTGAGAAACATAATTGTGACAATAGGCTTTGAACCGGATTGATCAAAGAAACCAGGGTGCCTCGAGGCTTTTATTTATAAAAGTCACCCACCCAACATTAACCAACTTCCTTGGAACTTAAGCTTAAAACCTTTAAGTTGTTGGAATAACTTGAATAACACAATTTCAAGTTCAATTCGAGTTTCTCTCCGAAGTGATAGACTGGCGAATGTTTTTTTCTTTCTTTCATGGTATTTAACATTTTATTCAGTCTAGTTGAGCTGCGAGTCCTGGGCAGCATTCTTACTGGCAGAACTGACCGATTCGGGCCAAAGCACCAATATGGCGCATCCATACCAAAGAAGAGACGTGAAGCGAATAACAAAAGCCAAGAACCAGAGCATGGACGTGGTAATGGACTTTTCAGAAAGTGCATCATCAAAGAGCACGCAGCCTTCACCTCACCAGATCGAAGAGGCCGCGAAATTTCGCAAAGCTGAAAAGCTTAAGAAAGATGCACAGCAAGCCCTGGAGAAATATCAAATGGAAACAGGCCATGAACAAAGGTACGAAGCAGTAATTTTGACCCTAAAAAGTCGACTAAAACAATATGCGGAAAAGTTTGCCGAGGGGCAACACATTGGCTCGCAGCAGAGATTACATATCCAAACTCTTGAACAAGCACTCTTTGAGGCAACACAAAAAGAGCAGATACAGATTGCAGAAGCGGCTACTCAGTTAGTGGAGAGCCAATGTACAGTTCAAAATGTGGAAATGGAACGTTTAAATCGGCTTTTGACTGTCTACGAAGAACAGCTTGCAGCGGGCCAAGCTCTCGACGCAAAGCAGCAAGAACAGACCCGCAGCCTCAGAAGAGCACTTCACGATGAACTGAAAACAGCCGACATAAGAGAGAATTATATCTTTGACCTCGAGAGCGACCATGCTCAGATTCAGCAATTGGGTGAAGTTTTCAAGCAACGGGAGCGCAACCTTGAGTCTGAGCTTAAATTCATGAAGCAACGAGTGGATCTGCTAGAACGCGATCTAGACAGCATGATTGAAAAATCTTATATCACCAATAATCGCTACTACAACATCTTCTGCGAAGAAATATATCAATGGAAGAAACTGAGAGATCTGATATTATGTTCAGAGCCCAAGAAGTCCTTCTGGGAAAAAGTGAATTCATATGGTAATTTCATGGAGAAGACATTGATGTTGTCAGATGAGGCTGTCAGGATATCTCATGATCTCCTCCTGAGAACGGAGTATATTTGGTGTCGGCAGCTAGTCCAACAGCTCGAGTTAGCGCAGGGTGGATATTCATCATTCGGTGAAGTGATGAATTTCCAACCACTGTCCGTGAGCAGTCTCTATCAATTACCAACCAAGGATCCTGAGAGTAATTCTGACTCTGATGTCGAGCAAGACAACGATCTCAAGTTTTTCCTCTCACCCGGCGCGTCACCCGGCGCAAAAAGTGTCGAATTCACGAGTCTTAATACGTTTGTTGAGAATAATGTTAAACGAAAGTCTTCACAATACTGCAATGATACAGATGAAGAAGACTCCGGATACATGACCGACATGGCTACATTCGCTGGAACGAGCGTTTACCAATACACCAGTCCACCTAGCCAGCGCCCCGAGTCGAGCTATGTAGACCACCTCGGCCTCCAAGGCTTCCAACCTAGAGAAAGTATTCCTGAAGAGATCATTATATCCCGAAGTGACAATGCCGCACGTGCAGCCATTGCTTCTCGAAAGCGCCTGAACAAGGGGGGCTCCCAATCCCATACTCACAATGTGGAGGCAGATCAGCCTCTGATCCAGCTATCATTGGGCAAAAAGCGCATTGGGACATCTAACAGTCCCTATATGTATCCTGACATGGGCCCGAAGAACTCATTTATACACAACCACATGCGTAGAACAAACCAGCATGATGTTGTTATACCACGCACCCGAACTAGAGGACAGGTCCCAGAGCGAGTCTCAAAGGCAAACCCGGCACGATTCTCTCAGTCAAAACGTCGGGAGCGACATCGCTCACCAGTCAAGCCATCACCGGCGCTGGCCTCCTTATCAGAGAAGGAACTGTCACGCATCGTTTCTGTTCAGACGACGGCTGACTCCATGGAGACAACCACGAAGACGATGGGAGATGTCGGAGAGAGCGCCGCTAAGTATAGCCTGGCAGGGTGGGTCTGGATATATTTCAAGCGGCGGCCAAAATCATTGGTCCAGCCATTGATTGGTATTGCAGTCTGTGTTGCGGCCATGTACCTCATCGCGGATTGGCGGCTTTATCGGGAGTTTGTCGCAGCCAACACGGCGCCCGATCGGATGATGGCTCGCATGCGTCGAGCTCAAGCGGAATACCGAGTGTTAGATTCGCCTTATAGCAATGGACGGTGGAAAAACTGGCTAGATGTCGATCGGGTGGCATTGCAATGAAAGAAGTATAGAGATGATATCAAGTTCCTCACTATTGCATAGATTGTGTGAATTCTATATATACTACTTATTGTACTATTTTTACTATTTTTATTTATTGTTAAAAAAAGACAATGAAATAGAAAAGACAACGAATCTATAGATCATTACCCTAGCATACCAATGTCAGTATCAATACTCCGTAGATATCTACGGACTTGGCCTCCGCAGTGGCGCCGATCGCTTTGTCCGAACGGGGCTGGAACGATTGAAGGTGTTGTCACGGTAATACGGAGCATGAAAGTCAATGGGGCGATATTCATATGGGTGACGTATGGTATTATGGTAACGGACTGTTTCATAGTAACACGACAGCGATACGCCAGAGATGTGACCATCAACAGCCAATCATCGGCTTCAAATGGAAAGAAGCCACGGCAGCTGCGTGCGTCACCTGCTCCACTTTTTTGGTTTGCAGTCGCCGCCAAAGACTGATCAGTCTCCACTTAGCCTCCCCTCCTCCCTCTTATTCTTATTAACTTACCACTTACTTCTCGACTTCTCGACCTCTCGACTTCTTCCCCTTCTCTCTCGTACACTATTCAATTTCATTGTCTTCGACGTCCGTTCTTTACACCTATCCTCTCTTCGACCATGTTCGTTCGCTCCCTCTTGCTGGGTGGCACTGCCGCCTTGGGCGCCAGCGCTATGCTGGTTATCCCTGAGATGGAACCCAAGATGGAGGCTGTCGAGGACGGTTTTATGAACGTCCATCCTATGCTTTTTGAGGATATCCGCAACGCCGTGGTCGATGTTCCTTGCACTGAGTGCCCCTTCCGCGAGACTGACAAGAATGGCGTCGTCAGCTGGACTGACAACAAGCCCTCCACTCTGGTACGTCGTTGCTTTTGGTGCCCTGCATGGGTATCTCTCTCCTCCCCATGGCGCTTAGACTGATGAATATATAGATGCTGGATTTTTCCATCGAAGATAGCCGCCTCATGGCCAACGGCCGACAAATTTTCCCTCCTATCCCCCCTTCTCCCATCCACGCCGTCCAACAGTTGGAAGATGGTGAGGAATCCGATCCCATGACAGTAGGCTACGCCCTGGAGGTTATGCCCCTGCCCTCTCCAGCTGATACCCCCGAAACCGACTTCCTCGATGTTCGTTTCACCGTTCTCGACATCGAATCCCACCCTGTCCCCGTCGACACTGTCGCCATCACCCTGATTGTCGATCCCACTGGTGATCTATACATCGCCAAAACTTCAATCGAGACCACACCGGCCCCCGAGCGTTCATCATGGAAGAAGTGCCAGGGCAAGCCCAAGTGTCTACAGGAACTGCTGGTCGATCGCGTCCGTGGTCTTCTTGCCTCTGCTAAGGATCGTCTCACGAACCTGACCTCCCACAAGGGTGGTCGCAAGGGCTGCCATGGAAAGCACAAGGGCATGATGGAGATGGGTCCTCACGGTGAATTCAAGCCCGAGGACTTCAGTCCTGAGGGCCACCACGGCCACCATACCGGCCCTTACGTCCCCGAGAACGCGGGCCGCCCTCACCACGGTCACCACGGTCACCACCCGCCTCCTCCTCACGGCGCATTCGCCCACACCTTCTCCCGCGTTGTTCGTTTCATCGTTGTCCCCGCCATTCTCGGAGTTCTGGCTGGACTTACCGCCAGTGCTGTTGGCATGCTAGTGGGCCAGATCGTTGTCTTCTGCTGGCAACGCTACCGCGGCACCCAGCCCAAGGAGCACAAGGCTGCTTGGGAAGACGGAAACTCTTGCGAGAAGCAGGGCCTGATGGCCGACTCCGAAGATGTTCTTCCAGAGTACGTCGACGAGTCGCAGCGTGGTTCCATGGACAAGAACTAAATGAGTCCAACCGCTCATATACACACACCTGATCGACAATAAAGTTAAACTCCTATGCGATCAAAAGTATCCTATTCAACAGTCAAGCTTTATTGCAGTTTGAAACTTAACCATGACTTGACAGTGTTTGATTCACCTCCCATGACCATGTCGTTCTATCTTTCCTTTCCTTTCCTTTCTCCTCGTGATGTCCAGCTTGTACAGCGGTTTTCCTTCTCTCTCTACAATGATACTCCTTTGATTTTATTCGTACAATTCGAACTCGTGTAAACAATGAAACAAATTATCCAGTAATCTATCACATTGAAAACGTAGTTAGTAGTTGCGAGAGTTACTTGGATGATATGCTGACTGTAAGGCCGGGTATCGTCCACGTGACTGCGACACGATCGCCAGCATCGCCCCCTCCCGACAACAACAGCCCCCCATCCTTCCACGTTCTCTGAGCTACAGGCCCAGTGCTTGTTCAAGAATGATTCATACTGTACAATGATCGTTGGAACTCCATTCAAACCAAGAACGGGCCGTTTTGCGCAGCTTTCTGTCCCAATCAGTTCGTCATCTTAAACCGCAGCTGTAGCTCCGCGCCGTCATCACCTCCCCAAACGCCGGGTGCGACACAGATCGACTGTTGCCCAACATGATTCCGTGGTCGTCTTTCGTTCAGAAAGCTCAATCGCTAATCGATCCGGCTAATTTCAATATCCCCACCCTCTCCTCATCTGACGGCACTCCCTCCAAAGCTTCACTATTCCGCCAACAATTCCGCCTCCCCGATTCACAAAATCCACTTCAAGAGATCACCGCCGAGCTCGTCCTCCCTTTACCGAACTCAAACCCGGGCTCGGGTGATAGTGCTCGTCGCGTTGACCGCACGGGCAACCGATATACCGGCCGCCTGCATCTCAGTGAGCGATTTATCTGTTTCTCGACCCAACCGACAAGCTTCCTGCCCTCGGCTACACTCAGTGCATCCACCAATTTCACCGGTCAAACACATGGTACCGGTCCGTCTGGCAATGGTTTCACTCTTCCGCTCTCCTGCATCCGGCGAGTTGAGCGTCTACACAGTGCTAGTCATGTTTTCTCGCTCGCATTGACGACATGGAACGGCCTGCTGAACAAGCAACAAGAGCCCAACTTTACCCCACAGCGCTTAATCCTTCAGCTAGTCGGCAGCAGGCAAGCATGCGAGCGATTCTGTGACACCCTGAAGAAAGGGTTGCGAGAGGGCATGAAAGAGGTTGACAATTTAAGGCTTGTTGTTGGTGACTGCTACTCAGAATACCTACTCTCCGGGGCGAAAGGCAAGGCACAAGAAGGAGGCGAGGGAGATGGTCGACAGCCTCCTGATGCAGGGTTGGGTATGCTTTTCCGCTATCCTGGCGATGCGCGCAAGCTTCGAGACCGGAGTAAGATGAGACTCTGGGGTGAATATTTCCGAGGTATGTCCACTCTTTGATAGTTTCCCTTCTCCTGCCCCCCCCCCCCACCTCCAAGATAGGCACTGACTTCTCCTTTTACAGAGAACGGCCGGAATGCCACTCTTGTTCGACAACCAACATTCCACAAGTTGATCCGTGTGGGTTTGCCCAATCGACTCCGCGGTGAAGTATGGGAGCTTTCGTCAGGTTCTCTCTTCCTTCGCATCCGGTCTCCTAATTTGTATCAAGAGACTTTGGTAAAATTCCAGGGCCAAGAGTCTCTTGCAATTGATGAGATCGAAAAGGACTTGAACCGCAGTTTACCCGAATATCCTGGCTTCCAGAGCGAGGAAGGCATTGGTCGTCTACGGCGAGTCCTTACCGCGTATAGTTGGACAAACGCCGAGATTGGGTACTGTCAGGCTATGAATATCGTTGTCGCCGCTCTATTGATGTTCGTTCCCAAATTCTCACTCCCGATCTCAGCTGCTAATTCAAAACAGTTATATGTCCGAGGCGCAAGCATTTTTCCTTCTTTCCGTTCTATGCGATCGCCTTCTCCCAGGCTATTACTCGACAACAATGTACGGTACCCTTTTAGATCAAAAGGTGTTCGAATCCCTGGTGGAGAAGACAATGCCTGTTCTTTGGGAGCACCTCATCAAGACCGATGTACAGCTTTCCGTCGTTTCTCTTCCATGGTTCCTTTCATTGTATATCAACTCCATGCCTCTCGTTTTCGCCTTCCGCGTTCTCGACGTCTTCTTTCTTGAAGGTCCCAAGGTTCTCTTCCAAGTCGGCCTGGCCATTCTCCGCATCAATGGCGAGGAACTGCTTGATGTTCAGGATGACGGATCATTCGTCTCGGTTCTGAAAACCTATTTCTCCCGCCTCGATGAATCTGCCCATCCAAGATCCGAGAACCCAAAGCTACGCGCAATCACTCGATTCCAAGAGTTGATGGTCGTCGCCTTCAAGGAATTCTCTGGCATCACACACAGCACCATTGAAGAGCAACGCGAAAAGCACAAGGGTGCCGTTCTGGAGAATATTGAGAATTTCGCTAAGCGCACATCAATTCGCAACCTCGGCCCTGAAAGCAAACGCCTCAGTGTGGACGATCTTGGAACAATCTACGATCGCTTCTATGACACACTCTATCAATGGCAACAGCAGCAGAAGCTCCAAGACGAAGAGAGAAGACGGCAGGAGAAGAAGAAATCGGAACGCCTCTCAGTCCTTGGGCCCCCTGCAGACACAGAAATGGGCCGTGTTGGTCTTGGGCCCAGCCCAACTCACATGGACTATGGTGCTTTCCGTGAATTCCTAGCCGCAACCTCGAAATGGGCTGTTTCAGATAGCCCTTCTGGCTCAAGGTCAGATTCTAGCTCTGGCTTCGGCAGTTTCAGGGGCAACAGCAGCAAGTCACTGCTGTGGGCCAATCGTCGGCAACCGGCCGACCATGAGTTTATGCAGCGCCTGTACCGCAAGTGGGCCACGGATTCGGAGGAAGGGCTGAGCCTACAGAATGTCGTCAATGGACTGGCGAGACTGAAGGGGTCGCCGGATATCATGAACAACATCAACTATTTCTTCGACCTTTATGATGACAGTGGCAATGGCCAGGTTGATCGTGAGGGCATTCTGAAAATCTCCGAGGCATTCCTCTTCCTTTCCCGCCGAGGCTTCGAAGGCACAATCACCGCGACGCAATCCTTGGAGGATTTGAACAGTCCCCGTGATCGCGACCATGCGGAACAGAATACGCTAACAGTCGACGAGCGCTTCCTTGGGAGTGTCAGCGCATTTATTCGTCGCTGCTTTGAATACGCCGACCCGAGCCACCCGGAGAATCAGAAGGCATCTCAGCAGGACGCTACCACGGAGGTGACAGACAAACTAGACTCCTTTGCCATTGGAGATGACGAGGAAGATCTGATCGACGTCGACGACTCCAAATCTAACAAGCCGGCATCAGATGCTCCCTCCAAGCCAAGCCAATCTGGCGACAGCGAGCAAAACCGACCAAGGTCCGAGTCCGCAAACCCAGCTCTCGACCCGAACAACCCACTTCACATCACCCTTCCTACCTTCCGCATGGTCATTCTAGCAGACGAACTGCTCGAGCAATTTTTCGAATCCTACTTCCCACAATCATTCCATCTATCCGACCACCCCCACCCAGCCTCCCTCGCTGCATCATCATCTCTATCATCTAATCTCACAACATTCTCCAACATCGGTAGCGCCCGTCCTTCCAACCTGGCCACAGCCGGCAGCGTTTCCGTCGGTGCCTCTGGTGGCATCGTTCCACCCGGTAAAGGCCTTCGCGGTGTCCTCGACAACATCGTCACAGACGGTATTCGCATGGCTGCCGAAGTCAAGAAGCGCATGGACGAGGCTCAGCGTGATCTCGAACGCAATGCCCTCGGCCGTGACGACGACGACGATGAGGATGACGATGAAGATGAACTCCGCCGCGACAGCAACGCCGCTGCTGCAATGGCCGGCGGTATCTCCAGTTGGGGCGCAGGAGCATACGGCGCAGAAATGGAACGTCGCAGCGTCCGGGACGCAGATCGCGATCTCCTTGAAGGTGCCGAGGTCCTTAGTGTCCGCGAAAGGGGCGAGAGCTCTTCGCTCCTTGACAACAAGAACGAAGTTGATGCGAAGGGCCAGCATGGGGCTAAGGGGTCGCCTTCTTCCACCCACGATGCGGAGGTCGTTAGCAAAGTCGTTGAGTTTGAGTCTTGATGATATCCCCATCTTGCCATCTTGCCTTATTGTACTTGGGAGAATCCTTTTGTTCCAATGCATTCATCCCCTCGTTTTCTTCACTGGTTTCCTAACTATATCTATCGGTGTGCAATTATACCTTGTTTGATGTATGTTCCGCGTCTGGGGTGGTAGAAATCCATTGTTTAGAAACTTTTCAATCAAGTTCTTTTTTTTTCATGTGCTCTCCTCATCATTTGGGCATCTTATAAATTTGATTCATTCAACCATGTACTATATCTTCTAGAAATAGAGAAGCCTAGTAGTATCACTTAAAGCCCACTCAATCATCTTCTCGACAATATCTGGCTCTTTGACACGAGGAATAATCCCTTTGATCCATTCCATCTGGACCAACCTATGATCATAATCCTTTTGCAAGCCATCCACCTGACCCTCCAGCCCGTGCCAATTGCGACAATTGTGTTTCTTTCCCGCATTCTTCGTGCGGTTCAAAAATTTGATGGAGGCCTTGTAACAAGATAATATCCCCATGGATTTAAACTCTGGGCTATATCTACAGTAGCGAATATTATCAAATCCTTTGGTTATGTTGGTCACCTCATGGATCCATTTGGTGGGACACCAGTTCGTAAGGCCGCGCACCTTGACATATACGCCGTCCACAAGCCTGAGCTTCTGACGCTCAATGTGATATTCGAGCAAAGGCATATAGAATTTGTAAAGCTCTTGTCGACTATAAACTTGTACGAAGCAGTTGTTGCAGCGCAAATCATCATACATTTTTGGATCTTTCGGAGTGTGGGCCCACTGCTGAAACTCATGGTGAGTTGTTTCCTGTGGACCGGGTTCTTCAGCCATCATATCGGTGTGATGTAGAGATGTTTCAAGGAGGTACATAGGGGACCAGTCCTCCCCAGGCTGAAATTCATGTGACTTTTTCCATGTCGAGCACGCCGAGCATCGAATCATATAAGCTGTCAAATATTCGACATGATCATCGATATCAGCCGGCGAGATGGCAAAGCTTGGCTGGCCCAATGGACCGTGCTTCTTGACATACTAAATCAATTTTCTGGTCCGGTGATAATTGAAGGAAGTCTTCGAAAGCCATGTCCTCAAACGCGGCCATTCCGCTTTCTTGGAAACGGTCGAATCGCTCTCGTAGATTCCAGGACATCGGATTATTTAGCACAGTTATCGCAATTCTGTATCTCTTTTTGATTGCTTTGATCTCATTTTCAATGCCAGGGGAATGCCTTTGGCGCCAGGCTTCGTCTGCCGTGAGGTCTCTTCCTGTGCTGGCTGGCTCCCAGCTTGTAAAATTGGTGACCATAGGCGAGTCGGGGATAGGCTTTCGATAGCCCAGCCCAAAAATGTGGTGGTCGTCAAACGCAGTATGAGGCAGCATGTGAAGACAGTCGCTACAGGCCCATAACATCGATTTCCATTTGGCTTTATTAGAGCACTCGGGCTGGATTTTGTTTGTCCTCGAATCGTATACAGGTACGGTTTCCCCTCCTTGTTTTTTGGATTCGAAGAAAAGCAGCCGCTCGCAGAAATCAAGCTTCGTCGGTTGAATGACCCATCGCAAATGGACATTCGTTTGGCTGAGCGATATGAGGCTGGCTGGGTCCAAGAGTTGGAAAATGCGGATCAGAAGCTCGGGCGCTAGGTTGGATATTGATGCAAAATTATTAGATGCCATTTTTCTGTCGCTTCATTCAAGGGATTCTGACTTTTTCTATCGAAGCTTTGGGGGGGTTTTGCCACTTAAGACCGTGAGACCGCAAAGCTTAGCATCTGGTTAGTGACCATTTGGGGGCCATTGAGGTCCACTAGTTAACCAAGCCTCAAGCATGACTCATTTTACCATTTGTGAGGCTATGTAGTTGCATATCAGGGTTTTCACTACGCAAAAGGCTCCTCCAATCTGCTATATGAAATGGAATCGAGAACTATTTTGACGCTCAAGTTGACAGTCATGCATTGTACTAAGTATGTATGTTGGCTTACGCGCTTTTTTTCGGAAATTCGCGAGCTAGGGACAATACACTTCATAAGCTCTATCAGTAGCCCGACTGATCGATTGCTCGATACTAGTAGTGTCTTCGGAATTTGGTTCCAGATTTTCGACGAGTTCAACTGTTCTACTAGCACTACTACTAATACAGTACAACACAGGTATTTGTTTACTCGAGGTCAGATAACGATGGAAGTTTTTATATCCATGGATATGTTGAAAAGTTGGTGGGGGATAATGATGATTGGATCAATTTCTCTTATAGCAAAAGGATTTATTCAATCCAAGTATATCGACCTATTTATCAATGCATAGCATTGCTCAATGCTGACACTCCATATAAACGGCTCAAAAATCTAGGAAGACGAGACTCCAGAAGCCTGGATCAAGAAAGTAGCAGCCTCCTTCGCATCACTGCCGTAGGTAATATGAGCCATGACATTAAATCCATTCTCACAGACGGGGTCACCAGAGGCACAGTACTCCTTGACCTTGCTGCTGGCAAGCTTTCCAACAGCCTGGGTCTTGAATGGGTCACCGAAGAGAACCGCAGCGCTGATCTGGCCGGAGCTAAGGCTGCTGGCGGCATTGTGGACAACCATGGAGCCCTGGGAGTAACCGCCAACAACGACCTTGGTTTGGGGGCACTGGCTAAGAGCCTGCTTAACCAGCTTAGCCATGACGGGGCCGCCGTTGGCACCCATCTCGGCATTGCTTGCGATTCCGGCATCGTAGGTAACACCCTGCACGGTGACCTTGTTGTTCAGTTGGGACTTAAGTGCAGAGGCGACTTCGGGTCCGACGACGGAGCCCATGTTACCCATCTCAGTGCTACCACGGGCAAAGATGAAGGTCAACGGCTGGCAGCCCTGGTTGCTGGTGACTCCGTTCTCGGTGGTAGATGCGCCTAGTTGTCGCGTTCCCAGACTGGAGAGACCGCTAAGACCGCTGCTTCCAGAGCTGGGGATGAGAGAGGACAAGGCACCGATGCCAGAGCCGGTGGATGAACCGCTTCCCATGCTGGGGATGAGGGAAGACAGCGCACCAAGGCCACTAGATGAAGAAGAACCACCACCGAGCAGGCTGGATAGATCAGGCAGACCGCCGCTGCTGGAGGAATCCGAGCTACCGCTAGAGCCACCCATGCTGGGGATGAGTGATTCAAGGCTGGATAAGCCCCCAGTAGAGGAGCTATCACTTGAACCACCAATACCAGAGAAGATGGATGAAAGAGCACCCAGGCCGCTATCAGTGCTAGAGCCACCCAGGGCAGACAGCTGACGTTCCTCGATGGTACGGGTTGGAGCCGCGAGGGCGGTGCTAAGAACGTAGAAGAAAACGGCGGACTTCATTGTGATAATGCGTAATTCAGAGAAAGCGTTGAATACCGTTGGTAAAGATCGAATAGAGACCAGCTCTGTTAGAAAAGTAATGAAAGTGAAAGACTGGAGGAGTGATCGAGGATGGATTCAGGAACGGGTTGGAAAACATACAGTCCTTTATACTACAATCCATGATATACCGATCGCCGAGGTTCGGTAGTTCTCAGTTCTCTAAACTTCGGACGAGATATCTATATAGAGTAAGATGCATGGCTGATGAAACGGGGGGGCTCTGTTTCATCGTGGATCCCGGTCCCAGAAACGGTATATCTTTGCTTCTGGAACATGGTTTCCCGGTACACTTGATCTATATCCATCACCTTTTAATCAATTTGAAGACCAGGAAACTAGTATACAAATGATCAGTGAGCCTGAAGTACCCCAATACAAAGACTACCTAGACATCCATCCTGCATTCTTCTGAGGTAGCTATCCGAATAGAATTCCAACCCTATCTTCTCCTCTTCCTCCCATCTCCCACAATTATACTTTACCAGTTAAAGAGTTTCCCAAAATTCTGACAGTTCCTAGGGCAAGCTAGAGGGAACTAGCAAACCCGGGAAACAGCGGAAACCTGCAAATCCCCCATCAACATGAAACGGCTAAACCCAGCCGGGTCCCAACTCAAAATTCAGTTCGCCCCATATTGGGCAGTCACCCCGAAAAAAAATGAAAACGCCCAGGAGAACTCAGAAAGGGTCCTTCCTAATGCCATCATCGTCATCCAAGCAGTAGACCCTCAGATGTCATTTTCCTTGGCGATAGATATGCCCGCAAGTACGCAGTACGCCCCGGACCCCCAAATTCGAGATCGTGTTGTTTCAGGCACTACTCCGTCTCTCGGCTTTCACGACGAGATCTCACAGGGCGCTCTGAGTCTGGATCTATCAGATTCAATTAAATTAATTTGAAAGAAATCTCTTCACTGTGACCCAGCATTCGACAAGGAACATGAGATCATAGAACGAAATGCCAAATTTAGAATAAAATAATAGATGTAAGTTTCTTATTTAGACAGAGGTACATGATCAAAAGAAGTAGATAGGGAGAAGGGAATCCAAAGAAATGGAAAAAAAAAAATTCGTTGAGTCGTGTTGGCACACTGGCAGTTCTATGTACAACCATGTCATCGGAACAGCGCTCTGCGAAATCATGAAAAGTGCAATGCATACAAAAGGTGTGCCATTTCCATCCGTCCTAACTCAGAAGGTGGCTATTAGAAGGGGGTGAAAAGAAGGGGGATAGTGGTAGAGAAGAAGATTGACGAGGGTATAAGAAAAAAAATAGTCTCGGGATAAACAGCGCTGCTCGGGACATTGGTAAGGTGGAAAGGGAGTTAAAATGCAGATGAATATCGTGCCAAATCAAGAAAAGGGCTGATTATCGAATATAATGGGATGATTTTTGAGGCGGGCAAGGCGAGGAAAATGACAAGGGGTCAAGGTGGCTCCATTCGAACCAAACGCATGGAACGAGTCACATGGGAATAAACAAAAGGTAAGTTGAGCGATTGGATGTTTCTGGCCGGAACGCGACTAATCCTTTTGGCCTTGGTTCTCGACCAGCTCCAACACAATCTGACTGCCTGTATGTTCAGGGTGTTGCATGCAGATCTTGACTGTGTGCTGTGTTGAGCTAATTGACACTCCATTGCTAGATCCAGTGAACCCGCTCATGTTCGTGTTTGTGTTGGCCTGGCCAAATGATCCCGGCAATTTGCTGCCGTCGTCCAGGCAAGCAACATTGTGACCCGGAATGACCTGTCTCAGGCGACCATTCATGGCATTGCGGACCTCGACGAAGTCATCGTTGAACAGCATTAGGAATTTCCCATGTAGACAGGCCGTGTGCGCGCTACCCACAAACTCCATTACCACACTGCGTGAAACATCACCGTGCTTGTTGACGTAGACGGCGCATTCTTGGTAGGCAACAAGGAACTCGCTATCGCTAAGTCGGAACATTCCCAGTGGTCGGAGGTCTTTGATACGGTGGGCGATACTCATGAGAGTGTCGGAGGCATCAGGAGTCTCAGACCTAAAGTCTGGCACGGACCAGGATTGCTTCTTGTCCAGGGTGAGAACTTCGATACCACGTTGGGTAGAGATAGCGAGAGAAGAGTGGAACATATTGATGCCGTAACTTTCGGCGGGAATGTAAAACTCGTCATATTCGCGGAAGAATTCGGTCTGAGACCGCCGTGATTGGAAGAAGCGGCTCTTGCTTGAAGCTGACTTCTGCAGGATGGGTTCGAGAACCTAGGAAAAGATCGGGTCAGTATCCTGTCCATCTCAACATGAAACGACGGGCTGGGAAAGACATACCTTGAAAGTGGACGACAAGCCGTCCCGCTTCTTGTACAAGACCAAGTACCTATCCTTCATCCGGCCAGCTGCAAAGAAACCGACTTCACGGGTTCCAGACAGCTTTTGCGGAGCTCGACGGGCCGAGTCCTGTGATTGAGAAGCACCTCCGCTAGCAGGACAGACCACATCAAGATGATATGCAATGAGAGACCGATCCGAGATCAGCAAGAATAGATTGAATTCCTCGAATACGGCAATCTGAGTGACCCGCAGAATTGGAATCGCCTAAAAATTGTTAATCACTTAACAAGAAACAAGCAATGTTGTGGAGCTGCATAATCACTTACCCGATACCAGCCTCGCGGGTTGCTGAGATCAGACATGTACACTCCGTAATCTGTTCCCACGGCACACATTTGTCGCCCTGGGGGCTGCTGGAAAACAGTGGCACAGTTGACGCTTGTCCTGCAAACTGCAGTAGGTCTAGTCCCAGTCCCTTCATATTTCTTCTCGACCTCCTTGATTGCCCGATGCAATGGCGTGCCCTTGATGGTGATACTCTTCGTTCCAGACCCATGGTCCGAGTAACCGAACGCAGTGTCCGCTAGCACGCGCAGTCGGAATGGCTCCGCATTTTGAGAGAAAAGGGCAGCGGCATGTTTCGTCTTCGCCTCAATGATTTTCTGACACCAATCCATGCGGCCTTGGGCAGAGAAAGCATAAAGAGTGTAGGTGCCAGTCTTGCCGAGATGCTTAATTTTGAATGGGAACAGGATCTTATCATCCTTATTCTCAAGGAGTGTAGTGCCCCCATTTGTAGAAGTACTGGGCCCCATTGGGCTCGCGCCACCCTGGGGGGTCACGGTTGCGACACCTCGCACAGAGGATTTGACAACGGGGTCATCGTTAGTGCTTTCTAAAGCTAGCAGATCCATGGGGATAGGAAGCTTCGACACATCATAACGCTCGTACTTCGATGACCGCGTTTGGTCTCGCGTGGTGAATGTCTTGGCGAGGACGAAGTAGTGGTCGAACAAAATGGCATGCGTATCGACCAGGAATCTTGTGCGGGTTCCCGGCCTCTGAAGATCACCTCGGAAGATGATCTCGCGGCCGAGATGCTCAAGGTTAAGTTCGACTTCCTTCTTCATTTCGGGACGAAGTTGCAACTTGGCTGCAAGTTCCATCAAGTCCGTTTTCTTGCCCATCTCACCGACCTTGTTGTCACACTCCAACGCCACCACCTTGATCTCCTCGATTGCTTGTGCTAGATTTGTCTTCTCCTCCGAGTCTTTGGGCATGTTTCGATGAACGGTATTGAGCAAAAGTGTGTATCGCTGGATACGGGTGATCGGGGCCTTGAGGAACGTATCCCAGCTGAGTCGATTCGACAGTTTGTGCTCGCGCACTTGATTCAAGAACTGTCTGAAGTGGACATTTCGCTCGGCTTCCTTGCGAACGTAGTAATTTGCGCTTGGAAATGTCGCCGCATAGTCAATGTAGGTATTCTTGGCTTTGCGAATCCATTCTCTGAAGATATCACTAAAGCCGCCGATGAAAGGACCCTGTTCTTTTTGGCGGTACTTCAGCTGGGCTAGTAAAAAGTCTTCGTTCGCCTTCTTCACTGCATCGACTTTACCGAAGACATCGCTTAAGAATTTGTTCAATCGCTTCGCTGGGATGATTGGGGGGGTTCATGTTGGCCAGCTGGTCCCGATACAGCTCTCGCAGGACATCTAGCTGGGAAATAAACGAATCCTCTGTAGTAACGATCTCGTGCAGGGTGTTCTGACGTTCAATCTCTTTCTTTGGGTGAGACTCGAAAATTTCCTTAGAAATTTTGTAGAACGTGACCCAATCTTCAGCTTTTTTCTGCGGTGCCATCATCTGGGCCTTGAGATTGACCTTCTTCAATGTTCTCATACAGTGATGAGAATAGCATCGGCCATAAGAGTCAGTATCTTCAATGTGGATTTCTCTTTCGTGGAGCTTCGATGAGTAACACCCAGTGCCAGTGACCTGGAAGAGTACACCCGAGATGGTGCCGGAACTGAACTTGACCCATTCTTCCTCCTTGACCAATGCCTCCTCCTGGAGCATGCTGCTAACAACCCGAGCAGCCAAGGTCTCGGCATCGGCAATATTCATAGTCGGAACCTTGTGAGCAAGCAAAGCCACGATCGCTTCCACGATAGCGTGTTCCCGAAGATCAGTCTCATCCTCGCTAATATCTCGAATCCAGGACAGAATAGAACTCAAAGCCCACGGCTCGGTACACTTCTTGAACTGTTCAGAGGACAGTTTGGTCGGGATAAACTTCTTGCGGCGACCGGCGGGGATCGTAGGGAGATCCAGTGCCATGGTGGCAGCGGCTTCAGCCGGATCGATCTTAGGCAGTTCCTTCTCTTGGAGCTGCCACAAGAACTCCTGCTGTTGCTTGTACTTTGCTCGGTCCGCATCGGTCTTCGATCTGATAGGTGGATCAGTACGAGGTCCAATGGGAGTCGACAAGGACGACGACCGCGGAACTTGAGATGGACTGAGCAAAGCATCTTCATAGTAGTCCGCTGATGTCGGAGAGGAGGGGTGTCTATACTGTGTGTAACCCTGCATCTCATCTTGCTCCGGGGGTCGGTACGTGCCCGCAGGCATCAAATGCGAGTGGAGCTCGGTTTGATTCGCCGGCTCAACGGGAGCCGGCGGTAGCGGACGCATACCAGGGTGGAAGAAAAGATCTTCAGCTCCCCTATAGGGACTTTCATCACCAGAGTGTTCTTCTTCTGGTTGTTGCTCATATGGACTATCACCTTCCTCGCCGTAATCATAGCTCATCCGCCTGCCAAAATTACCAGGAGAGGAAAGTCCGCCTGTGCCTCCAGCATCCACTCGAGCATCTTTCGGAAGATGATGAAGTCGCTGCGCATATTCGTACGCGATCTGTGGGTGATCATAGTTGTCGGCATAGTCTCCATGTTCGTCGGACGAGATGTGAGAGCTCCTGAACGAGCCTGAGGTTCCTGGGAACCGACCATGAGAAGCAGGTTCGGAAGATTCCTCGGGTGTGTATGTCGGACCTTCACCATAATGCAAATTCCCCTGGTAGCCGCCTTCGTAAAGCGCCAGATCATGACCCATGAATTCATTATCCTCGGTAGTATCGGAACGCGGCGAGTGGCCCCTCGCAGACAAGTGATTTGGTGATGGGCCCCTCGGAGATAGATCTCTAGGAGATATTTGAGAGCGAGTGCTGCGGACCGAGGCGTTGGTTTGCGCACGAGGACGTCCTTGTAAAAAGCTGCGTTCTTCGCGAGCCTTTTCTTCCTCTTCTGCCATGCGCAGCATTGCGACTCCCGCTTCGGCTTCTGCATCACTCCCGTCATTAAAAGCGTCGTAAATCACATATTGACCAGTTCCCGTTGCCATGTTCCCATTCGTGTGTGTATGCTGCTCATCTGGCGATAGATGTAAATTTGATGCCGAACTAGCATGCGATGCTCGAGAACTGTGTCGACGGAAGCTAGCCTGTGTGCTCTCGATCTCCTTGAACAGATCATCATTGGCGTGATCGACAATGTTGTCTGCCTCAGGCGGTGGTCCGGGCAGGGGACGCGATTGAGGATGTCGAGTCAGGGTGTCAGTTCGCCTCGGCCCTAGGACAGGGAGATCTTGCTGTATTGGCGGGGTGGGCAAAGTTCGACTCGATGACGAATGAGTCAAGCTGGAACGTTTGCTATATATACCATTTCCTTGGGGTTGGTGAACAGGTGGCTCCGGGGGCTGGTCCTCGTAGACGCTGGAGACTGGAGGAATCGTGTGTGAGGGGTAGGGCGAGTCGGATCCGAATCCTTGGGGTGTAGAGTAATAAGTTCGTGGTGTCGACTGGGGCATATAGGCTCCCGAGGGGGAGTTTGAGGTGGCATAGGTACCCGAAGTAGGTGAGGAGATGGATTGGTAGGATGTCGATATAGGAGGCGCGGTCGGTGGGCCCGCAGAGACGGGAGAGGATCCGTACGGCGAGGGTCGTGAACCATAAGGATGATCGGGGCCACGAGGGGGAGGCATTGGAGGCTGTTGGGAGAACCCGTGGGACTGGGGGGTAGGAGGGGTATATCCATATGGCGAGGCCTCGCTGGGTCGCCGCGCGAGAGTAGGCGATGCTAGTCCTGCAACCGCTGCGGGCTGGTAGGCTGCCGGGTTATAGGGCTGGTGGCTCGACACAGAGGAGGCCCCATAGGAGCTGGTGGAATTGGTATAGGACAATGGGTTGTAGCTCAGGTTGGGTTGTGTTTGGGACTGTGGGAGGGCATATTGTTGCGGGTTATAGGCAGCTTGCCCGGACGATCCGGGGTAGCGGTACCCATAGCTAGACATGCTGGTGTGCGATGAAGCGCGGGTCGGCGACATGCGCGACCTATCCGAGGAGGAGCGCGAGAAGCCCGAGTCTGTGTCTTCGCTGTATCCCGCGGGCGTGACATTGTAGCCCCCTTGACCGGAATATCCACCTTGCACCGCGTATCGCGCACTCCCGTCGGTCCTTGTCGGCTGTAGTCGCGCTGTATTCAAAAGCTGCGAGTCATCTCCAGCGTTATAGCTTGGCATTCGTCGGGGCAGCTGCTGGGTCTGTGCGGGGTTGGGTTGCGAGGTGTAGCTCTCGTAGCGACCGGCGGCGGGTTGAGAGGTAGGTTGAGAAGTCGGTGGGTTGCCTGACTGGCCATAGTAGGCATGTTGGCCATTTGGGTTCGACATGGTGCGGATGCGACAAGAAATCCAGCGATGGATTTGAGGTCTCTAGGGACGTTGTGTCAGCCCGGTCGCTTTGAGCAACCGCACGAGCGGAAACAATTCGCCGAGAACACCAGTCGCGGAGGGGTTATGGTGGAAGCGAACGGAAGAAACGAGCGGAAGGTGTTCAGGTCATTCCCATTTGTGAGAGGGAGGGGGATGGGAGGCGGGAGGGAAAGGGGAGGTTGAGGAGGGAGGAAGTTGAAGGGTTTACCGTGGGCTTGGGACTTGGGAACTTTGGGAACTCTTTTAGGAACAACAGAAGGGTCCCGTACACACTAACTTAACTTACCCCGTAACTCTCCACCGCCAACACCTGTCACTGTCACAAAAATCCGAGAATTCCGGAGAAATCAACTTAGAAACGGAGGGAGGTATTTCCTCATGGGAGTTAAACTGCTCTGAGGGGGTGAGGAGGGACATGGAGCAGTGATGTGATGTGTGATGCGATGCACACAGTCTTGAGCCTCCCCCAGGACGTGTATTTGGGGGCCGATGAACAACTGTTCTCGCCCCACCGTCATTTCATCCTTAACAAGGCTGAGTCCACAAGCCCCTGAGCTGAGAAGGGTCTGAGTTTAATGCTACTTCTATACCTTGAACTTGAACAGTTTTAAGGTTGGAATGGCCATGGTCACGGCTACCATGGTAGTGCCTACCTAGGTACTGGGTACCTAAGGAGTAACTAATCTGACAAACCATAAAGAGGCGAGCAAGATGATTTCCAGTCGGATTTCGCCAGTCACCATGCCCGAAGTGGGCAAGCTGAGCTGATCCTCCATGATGGTGAAATCCGGCCAATCGGGGATTATTGAGGATTAGTGGGTGGTTCGAGCCCTCGAGGGTAATACAGGACACTCCAGGGCTGGCAATAGGCACACCTATACTAGCAGTAGTAGTATCCATGGATAATATTATAATACTAGTAGTACTAGTACTACTACTCCATTATGATCTTCCAAAGGTGATGCCAGCCCTGGAGGTATCGACGTCATCGACCTCCAGGGCCTCTGTAGTGTGAGTTACGGGAAATATATAGTTACCTAGTTAATTGGTTATAGCGTGGGTAGTACTAGTAGTAGGTAGACCTAGGTCATCCGAGTTGTTGAATATTTAGAGTATCTTTTAAGTTATACCTAGAAACTACTAGTACCTCTTGTAGCTGGGAGACAGCCCTTTTTCCGGAACCCCGTGGACGCGGAACATCCGAGGTGTCGGTAATTCTGTTGAGCCCGAGAAATTCACCGACAAGACTCGGTTATTCCAAATTCGGGTCGGTAGTAGCAGTATACTCCTAGTATTATATCACCAACTCGGTATACCGCCCTCGGCAATCTAATACTAGTTAGTGGATTAAAACTAGTAGATTAACTCGCATGTAGTGCATTCTAACTAGTATGCCAATGTATCGACTCCTAGTAGTGTGTAGAAAAGATGCCGAGGCTGAGCTTCCCCGCACCCGCGGTCTTCCCCCCGGACTTTCACAACTTCCTCCTTCCTTGGCCTTTCTAAGGGTTCAACTTGTCAACTTGAAAAAGTCCCCGTCCCCCCTCGAGGTGATTTCACTTCTAGACCTTGACCTACTCTTTTCTCCATTTCTCCGCCGATCTTCGTCCTGCCCCTCGGTCTGTCCAAAATTTGAAATTAGACCGTGCTTCTACTCCAGTTGCTCCACATTTCCACTCGGGCCGTTCGGTCTACCTTTTACCAACTACCCTACCCTCTCCCTCTTTTCCACATTCTCCCCCTTTTCCCATTCTCTCCTCATCGGCAATTACGCCAAAGGTCCATCGACACATAATCACAAACCACAATGGTCTTCTTACCCGACAAGAAGTTTGGCGAGTTGGAGCCAATCCCCGACAACATTCCCATCAGCGAATTCATGCTCAATGAGAAGTATGGCCGCGTCGCCCACCAACACTCTCGGGACCCCTATACCTGCGGCCTGACTGGCCAGACATACTCTTCGCGCCAAGTCGTCGACCGAGTCGATTGGATTGCGCGGGGTCTGGCGAAGGAGTTTGGCTGGAAGGCGAATCAAGGCTCGGAATGGGATAAGACTTTGGCGGTTTTCTGCGTTAACACGGTACGTTTGCCTATGGCGGTGCTTGGCGAATTGGGAAAACAGAACTGACCATGCCTGCGTATACTTGGTAGATCGACTCCCTGCCCTTTTTTTGGGCGGTTCACCGACTCGGAGGAATCGTCTCCCCTGCCAATGCCGCCTACTCGGCCGCCGAGTTGAAGCATCAGATCTTGGATTCTGGCGCAAAGGCTCTTTTCACCTGCGTCCCCCTGCTTCCAGTGGCTCTAGAGGCGGCCTCTATGGCCAATCTGCCCAAGAGTAAGATCTACTTGATTGATGTGCCGCAGGTGATACTTGGAAAGTCTCAGCCCCCGACAGAATACAAGACCATTGCGGATATTCTCGAGAGCGGAAAGTCACTACCTCCGGTAGATGAACTAAATTGGGGGCCTGGAGAAGGCGCACGCCGCACTGCATTCCTATGCTATTCGAGTGGAACTTCGGGCTTGCCGGTATGATTAACAGTCGAAAGACACCGCCTGAGGGTACTTTGCTAATGTATCGCCATGTATAGAAAGGTGTCATGATTTCCCACCGCAACGTGATTGCCAACACTTTGCAGATCAAGGCTTTCGAAAAGGAACATCGTGACGCAACTCCGCCCACGGATGGACGGGCTGTATACTCGGAGATTGGATTGGGTCTGCTGCCGCAAAACCACATCTACTCCCTAGTAGTTATCTGCCATGCAGGCGCCTACCGCGGCGATCAGACTATCATTCTTCCCAAATTCGAAATGAGCTCTTACCTAAACGCTATCCAAACCTTCAAGATCACAGGGCTATTCCTGGTGAGTTCTTTTGAATTAACCCAAAAAGTTAATCGATGGGCGACTAATTATGCCCAGGTTCCCCCTATCATCATTAATATGTTGCGACTTCACGATGAGTGCTCGAAATATGACCTAAGCTCCGTCAAGAGCCTCTTCACTGGCGCGGCGCCGCTCGGAATGGAGACAGCCACCGATTTCCAGAAAGCCTACCCTAATGTCGACATCCGACAAGGATATGGTAAGAATTTCAGTCCTAAAGTCCTGAAAATGCAAAACTAAATTTGAGATAGGCTTGACTGAGACATGCACTGTCGTCAGCTCGACCCACCCCTCGGATATTATCTTCGGCTCATCAGGATGCCTGATCCCTGGATTCGAGGCACGCATCATGTCCGCAGAGGGCAAAGAAATCACCAGCTACGACACACCCGGCGAATTGGTCGTCCGATCCCCAAGTGTGGTGCTAGGATATCTCAACAACGAGAAAGCGAACAAGGAAACTTTCGAAGATGGATGGATGCGTACGGGTGATGAGGCGGTTGTTCGTCGCGGGCCCAAGGGAAATGAACACGTCTTCATTGTGGACCGCATCAAGGAATTGATTAAGGTTAAGGTGGGTTTCAACTAATAAGGCGCAGTCAATCCGTGGTAGACATGACTAACTCGTGTACGATAGGGGCTCCAAGTTGCACCCGCCGAGCTCGAGGCTCACCTCCTTGCCCACCCCGATGTGGCCGACTGCACTGTCGTCGGTATTCCCGACGACGCCGCGGGCGAAGTCCCTAAGGCTATTGTTGTCAAGTCGCCCTCTGCGAGCTCCGACGATGCGGCCGTTACCAAATCTATCATGAAGCACGTCGAAGATCACAAGGCTCGCCATAAGTGGCTGAAGGGAGGAGTTCGATTTGTTGATGTCATTCCCAAGAGCCCAAGTGGTAAGATTCTGAGACGATTGATTCGTGACCAGGAGAAGGAGGCTCGTAGAAAGGCCGGTTCGAAACTGTGAGCCTCAGCTAAGAGGTTAGAGACCTGTTTGGCCGAGTATCATGTTATATACTACTGCTAGTACGATAAAGTAGGATTTCTACAACCAATAGAATATAAACATACTACATATTACTATTTAAATATCTTTCTTGAATACATTAGCTTCCTAATAAACCTTGGAATGCTGATCATGCTTGTACTCACTGTATAGTTAACTGCGGTACTACTATGTAGTAGTTATTTAACTAGTAGTTATGCAAAGGTAGATGTTGATAGGGTGGACTCGGACCATTTAAACGTCGATCTTGATACTTTTACCTGCATGAACCTTGGAATCTACGTCATTTTCGAGATAGATATCGGGTCTGCCTCAGAATCTTATCTTTTTCTATTCAAATTCAATGCTGGGGCACTTGTTCCCTCCGTTTCACCACGTAAATACGGAGTATGTCGACAAACCTGAAGGCATAGTTATGGTATCGGAGATAAGTGGCTGATAAATCGAGTTTGCAGTGTTTGCCTGCCGCGGGGGATGCGGATTTCTAAGCGGGGGAGACTGACAGAAAAAAAAAGATCCATCTCGAGCTCGCTGACCTTCCACGCTATACGATCAACGAGAGGAAGTTGCTTGAATATCTTTATCTTTTTATAAAAGGTCAGCTCCTACGAGGGTTGATTCTCAATTTATCGCCATACCCCGGTCTTTCTATCTCGACATCCTCCTTGTATAGAAAACCATCGAGCTATAACTAGCACTCTTCAAAGATGTCGGCGCAAGACCTCAACCAGCAGAACGAGCAGGACGAATTCCTGGGTGCCGGTGAGGGAGAGGAAGTCTTCACTCAGGATGACGACCACCCCATGGAGTCCGATGGCGAAGAAGAGGATCAAAACATGGACTACGAGGAGCACGTCTTCCAGAACGACTCGGCCGCACACTTCGACTCGCACTCAGACTCTGTCTTCTGCATCGCACAACATCCAATTCATAACAACATCGTCATCACCGGCGCCGGCGATGACACAGCTTACATCTTCGACTCAACACCCGCCGAGCGGCCCGTTCTCCCCTCAAGCTATGAATCAAACCCCCAGCCCCGCGAGCGCTCATCGCTGAACCCCCCTCGCAAAACTGGATGGACACACCGACACCGTCAACGCGGTCGCTTTCTTAGAGCCTGCGGGCGAGTACGTCATGACGGCAGGTTTGGACGGCAAGCTCCGCGCATGGCGGGACTCGACACCCCAGAAGACGGGCCTTGCGTGGGAATTCGTGGCCGAGGCCCAGGAAGTGGAGGAAATCAACTGGGTGTCTGTCTGTCCTTACCAGCAAGGCAGGGATGAGACACGCAATGTCATCGCCATGGGCGCCAACGATGGTAGCGCTTGGGTCTTCCGTATCGATCATACCGATTCCCAGCCCATTTCCATCATCCAGACTTTCTTCCAGCACACTGCTTCATGCACGGCTGGTGCCTGGACGGCGGATGGAAATCTGCTGGCGACTGTCTCCGAGGACGGAAGCTTCTATGTCTACGATGTGTTCGGTGCTGCTGCCGCGGCTGGCATCGCCCCCTCGCCCGGCACCAACTGCGTTGTCGCGTTGACTGCGGAGGATCAGCGATTCGCTGTTGAGGGCGGTCTCTATTCCATTGCTATCTCACCGGGTGGTGGTATTGCTGCTGTTGGTGGTGCTGAGGGTCATATCAAGGTTGTCGGTCTGCCTCGCATTGCCGGTGCCCCACAGGCTGCGAAGGGCAAGGCGTCTCAATCAGCGACTGCCTCTGCTGCGGGCACAATCATTGCCGGTCTTCAGGCCCAATCTGATGGCATTGAGACTCTGTCTTTCTCCCAGCCCCCGCTGACTCTTCTGGCTGCGGGTTCGGTCGATGGCTCTATTGCTCTGTATGATGCTGCTCACCGATTTGCCGTTCGTCGTCACGTCCGGGAGGCTCATGAGGGCAGCGCTGTCGTCAAGGTTGAGTTCCTGCAAAGCCGGGCCCCTGCTGCCCCTCGCGCTGGTACTGCCCAGGGTCGGCCCTGGTTGCTCACCACCGTTGGACTAGATGGAGTTGTCCGCCGGTGGGACGCCCGGGGTGGAACCACTGCTGCCGGCCAGGGTTTGTTGAAGGAGTGGAAGGGACACTTGGGTCTCTCCGAGACTGAGGAGGGTGAGCAGGCAGGAGGCATCATGGGCTTTGTCCAGGGCTTCGACGGCAAGCGTATTGTCACTGCGGGCGATGATGGTGTCACTCTCGTGTTTGAGGATGAGTAGATTCGGGTTTCTCACTCGGCGAGAGAAACAAAAAAAAACAAACCGTCTCGTCCGTTATTGCGGGGGAGATCGGATGCGATTTATGATATCATGTTATACCTATAGACGAGGCATTCCCCAAAATCCACGGTTGTAATAGCAATCCCTGTTATGAATAAGTAAAAGACCTACACCGAAATCAAGTAAAAGTGATTCGCCGATGCTGAGCAATTGCAGCACAGCCATTGGTTGAAACGGTAAAAAGAAACATCTTGGTAATTGAACATAGTCTATGTACATCCGACAAATCCACCCAACACGCTTCTCGCGGACTACTTTCTGCAAGCTATGTCTCTAGAGAAGAGAAAGTGATGTAACCACGAGGACCCAGGGTTGCCCTCTCTTCCCAATGATGGAAGTCGTGGCTGCCACCATCGAAACGTTTTCGAGTTTTTGTCATTCGCCGGGATGAGACGGGCGCATCTCATCTTCTGGGGTATTTGTCCTCCAAACAATCGCCGGTCCGTTGACGACCCTTCCATGCATTCGCTTGAGGTGATATCATTTAGTGGTGGGCCTCGCCGTGGTGGGCGTCACCGTGGTGGTCATCCTTCAAGAAGAAGTGCTCGTATGCGCAGTAGGCAGTGAAGGCGACAGTGGCGATACCGAGACCGGGGAAAAGACCCTTGAATCGGTTCCAGCGGCTGAAGGGACCGGAATAGCGCCAGGCCTCACTGTTCAATGGTCAGTATCGGGGTTTCAGAAGCGGGTGTAGTCGTCACGGGGAAGGTCGTACTTGCGAGCCCAGGGGTCGCGCTTGGCCCAAATGGAGTTGGGGTGGGCCGCAGCCTTGAGCTGAGTGATATCGAAGCCGGTAACGTTCCGGGCAGGCATTGTGGGTGAATTGAAGGGGGACTGAAACGAGAGGGAGTCTACCATTTAGAGGGAGGGAATTGAATGAGGTGCACCTCAGTGAACTGCTGGGCTTGGCACGCTAGTCCCGATACGGCGGGGCCGTAGCTCCCACGTCCGAACGGTCGAGGGCCGCCGAAACTGACCTGGACACTCCCTCTATGCGCCTCATCTTCCAACAATGCCACCCCCCGTCGGCAGATACGGGCCTTCTGGTCTAGCCGCCCCATATTCCCTCCAACAAGCTCAACTTCAGTCCCAACATCACCCACAATCAGCAAACGCCCTCCCGCCCCCTTCACTCGGTGGCCACCCCGGTTTCGCTGGGAATCCCAACACCAATATGAACCCCTTCACTCTCTCTGGTGCTGGTATGGCCAACGGTATGTCAGCTGCTGGCTTTGCTGGTGTTGGAGGTGATGGTGGTGGCACCGGTCTTGCTAGCCATGCCGCTCAGATGGGCTTCGCGCGTGGAGCTCAGATGCAACAACAGCAACTACACCAGGGACACGATGGACGGTTAGCTCTCGACTCGAAGACCGGTGCGGTAAAATCGCGTATACGAGATGTGTGGAAGCACAACCTGGCCCACGAGATGGCCGTGTTGAGGTCGTTGGTGGATAAATACCCTTACATCAGCATGGTAAGAATGGGCGATTTGCGCGACGCGGGGCGAGACTGTTGCTTCAGCAGTACTTCCTCGTCAGTTTGGAGCCACGAAAATCCATGGTGCTAACAACCGCCAAGGATACCGAGTTTCCAGGAATCGTCGCACGACCGATCGGCCAGTTCACGAATAAGGCAGACTACCACTACCAGACCCTCCGATGCAACGTCGACTTGTTAAAGATGATCCAGTTGGGTATTACACTGTTCAATGAGGATGGGGAAGTGCCCCCGCTATCTGGGACAGACGCAAATGGCCAACCTTACGGCATGCCCGCACCTTGCACATGGCAATTCAACTTCCGCTTCTCATTGGAAAACGATATGTACGCCCAAGATTCGACCACTATGCTTGCTAAATCTGGAATCGATTTCAACATGCACGATAAGAATGGAATTGATCCCTTTGAGTTTGGCTCCTTGCTGATCAGTTCTGGCCTGGTTCTGCTGGATGACGTTCACTGGGTCTCCTTCCACTCCGGCTACGATTTCGGATACTTGATGAAGATTATGCTTTGCACAGCCCTGCCCGAGAACGAAGAGGAGTTTCACAAGCTTCTTACCATCTTTTTCCCCTCCCTCTACGATATCAAGTACCTCATGAAACACGCTGGCCGCAACCAGGCCGTTAATGACTCTCCCCTCACTCAAGCTGCTGCGCAGATTCTCACAAATCTTGGCCAAAAGTCTGGTTTGCAGGATATCGCGGATGAGCTGGGCGTCAAGCGCGTTGGGATCGCCCACCAAGCTGGCTCCGATTCCCTCGTCACTGGCGAAATTTACTGGAAGATGCGCCAGTTGGTCTTCAACGGCTTAATTGACGACAGCAAATACTCTGGGCAGATCTGGGGATTGAATGGACAAATGCCTGCAATGAGCTACCATATGGCTCAGCAAACACCGAACTTGAACGGAGCATCTATTTATTCAGCTTCTGGTACCCCCAGCACCCCCAACACAGGGCATATCGGGACCGGTGCCCACACGCCGCAACATGGCTTCCCGACACCGACCGGGTTCGCCGCCGGTAAATCATGAAATAGAGGACGGACGGAAACATAGCCTGTCTTAGACAAGATAGGCTGGAGGTGGAAGTCTGATACGATATGATGATGTACATAGGCACGAGGACATCGTGCTGGTTTTTCTCGATCTTCGGCATTGTCTTCTCTCGCCTGTCGTTTGCATGAATCCCACTTTTCGGGATCTCTCTTGCGCCTGGGGGGTGTTGGGTGGGCAAAGGGGGTGTATGGTGTTTTCTCTTTTATTTGGCTGTGCTATCTGAATTCCATCTGCAAGGCGTTCAGGCTATGGCCTTTGCCTGTTTTCGCTGTGGTCTCGTTCTATACTGTCAAATTTATAGGTAGACCTGGAGTTTGCTTACAATGGGTCTGCTCATACGTCTTATGTTTTTTTTTCTTCTCGTCGGTAGCGCCTCGTAAATTCTACCCAACAAAACTTTATTTACTAGAGGTAAATAACATTCTATTCATTCAAGTTTGGTGAGCACTGGATGTGCCATAACTGTAATAACTGTGCTACTAGTTTTCAGAAATAAAGTGGATGTAACCCAACATGAAGACCTCAATCGACGCCGCAGTTGCCTCGCCTCGATTCACGTCAACACTCCCGCGTCAACACTTGTAAATATTCAGGGCTCCCGCGCCAACAGCCCTCATTTCAAGTTCATTGCTTACTTCATGGCGGTCATTCTCATTCTTTTCTGCTGTCGGATTCGAAGTTCTCCTCTTCCAAATCTCGCCCCCCAGGAACTCAGGTCACAAGTCTCCAGGGGTTTCTCGCGGCTTACTATCAAACCTAGGGTTGTTAGATGGTCCCATTGCTCCTAGTGGCGTGGCTCTTACTACACACTTCGAGTGGGCAAAGCCTCTACCTTTTAGTGAGCTATTGACCCTATTACTCAAAAAATTCTGATATTATGAAAAAGGTCAGTCTACTAGTTATACTTTGAAGTTTGGAGCGGTACCAACAAAGATCGAAGTCAAATTTGCAGTCAACACTCCGCTGGACACCTTCCTCATCGACATCGAGAATTTCATCTCACCTTCCTCTCACTTCATCCCCTCGACAGTCACGCCTTCCACAGAATGGCGCTTTCTAACGGAGAACTTACAAGAGACCGTCTTGAGGAGTGGTTACAAGAGCTCTGCGACCGGACTGATGATTCCCACTTGATTTCCAGTTTCTTTACCCATGAGGGGCCTGAAAATATGTCGGGGACTCCGAAAACGGTTGCTTTTGCAGGCACGGAGCCATCTTCATACATCGAGTCTAAAACAAAAACCCTTGAAACGCTCTCCCCGTTGGACTCCCTCTCGAATCACCCCACTCCACAATGGTCCATACCACGCTCCGGTCAAAGCTCCCGGGGTCGCTACGGTTCGGAATTCACGAAATCTGCCATAGCGCGCATGGCTGGAGACAATCCCGGAGATGAGTGTTGGATGTGCAATATCGACCGTGCTATTCAACATTGCCATGTCATCGGAATAGCAGATAGACAGGTATGGAATTCTCGCTGCAAACTGTATCCAGCTGGTAATATACTAATTCTGGCTCGTTTAGTCCAAGAGATGGATTGCCGCTAATGCATTTCCTCCGAACTTCCAGCACAGGGATTCCTCCAATGGAATAATCATGTGCGCAAACTGCCACGGTTCCTTCGACGACGGTTTCGACCCCGGGCTTGCGTTTTTCCCAGCTGATCTCAACTACTTCATCGAATACGAAAAGCGTGATGCAGAGGAGCGCAATGCATCAGAGAGAGCTCGTCAAGTCCCCACGGCAGAAGAATACCGCCAATATCAAGTGGATCAACAGAAAGTCCCGCCTAGTGCGAAAGGTGGGCTTTATCGTAAAGTTTACTTCAGTTTGAAGTCGAATGGAGACCCAAATCCCAATGCCCTGAAGACTTGGCACGGGGAACCGATGTACGCGATACGCCGTGCGATCCATGTACTCGGCACTGTTCAGTCCAACATGCTCCCCCGAGAGATCCGCGAGCAGCTTGTTGAGCTTCAACAACTTTACTTTTTCAATGACAAGATGCAAGGTCCTGATGCGAGAATTGCAGCCCCCAATCGAGAGATGACGGAACTTGAACCACCCAGAAATACCTTAGTCGATGACTTTCCGGACTTCGGTAATTCAGGGATGAAACCTCCATTCAAGAGACACATGGCGAATGATTTCGGAGAGAAAAGTGTGGACGATAATCCGAGCCCAACAAAGCGATCAAGGCACGGTTGAGAATATCTGCACAAGTTAGCGATACAGCACAGGAGTCTTCTTCTATTTCTTGCAAAGCCTAAGGTGTGTCTCTCATATTGTCAATTAAGTTGAAATATCCATGGAAATACTTACTTACGTTTACACAGGGGTTCGGAATGCGGTTTCTCCTATTATTATAGCTCGGTTCTTTGAGATATCGTTCGGCGTGAAGTATTCATTCAGTGCATTAGCTACCATCCAGTTATACATGTCACTAGGGTCATTTGAGCGCTGCTAGCTGGGTAATCCACGATTGCTGCCCAGGCATGATTATTATTTTTATTCTTGCTTGTATGACGTCTGGCACCCAATACAATACTTTAGTTGCTTCTTTTTTTCGGTTCGTCCACAACTCCTAACGACGTATAAATACTAGTCTAGGCTACGCAAGACTATGGTCCAAGTAGCAAAAGTGCGACAGGGGGGGGATGGTCCAACTAAAAAAGGGTGGTCCAATTAGCACTCCTCCTGGGAGGCAAGGGCTTTACTAGTATGTTCCCACATTGAGCAGCGGAATGCGAACACTGCACAGTTACCCACAGTTAATCCGAGTGGTGAGCAGAAGCGATGAATAATGGGAAAACATACAATCTTCATGTCCACGGATCTTCGTCTATCGGTGACAAGCATCGAGCTTCCCTTTTGAACGGTGGGATATATACCCCACCATTCCTAATCGGGAGAAGGGATCCGGCCTCCACATTTGCACTGTTCCACACGTCTCGCACTCGGATAACGGATGCGTGTATCTAATGACGCTGCAGCAGGTAGAAGCGGTCTATGGGTCTATGAGGGGCTGCTGCAGATGCATTTAAATACTAAATTCCCTGTGCTCATTGCCCAGAAATTATCCTCAATCGTATTCGTCTTTGGATTCAACATTTGTTACATCTTTCACCGGAATACTTCTATTCTTAGATCCAGACTATACTACACAAAAACACTGCTTCGTTCGATCTAGTCAAAAACAGCAAACAACCCGGCATGGTTCTCGACCGACTCCAGCAGTTGACCCACCAGGTCACTGCGACTGCACCTCCTCCTCATCCGTTGGATCCCTTGTCCACGTCGGAGATTGATGCTGCTGTCAGTCTGATCCGGAGAGAGCATGGAAAACTCAACTTTAATGCGGTCACATTATACGAGCCTCGAAAGGCTGAGATGATGGCCTGGGTCGCTAGCCCAGAGACGACAAAGCGCCCAGCTCGTATGGCCGATGTGGTGGCTATTGCGCCTGGCGGCAAGCTGTACGATGGCGTGGTGGACTTGGACCAGAACAAGATCATAAGCTGGAGCCACACACCCGACGCTCAGCCATTGATTACAATGGAGGATCTTCAGGAGGTCGAGCATGTTGTGCGAAAGGACCCCAAGGTCATTGAGCAATGCGGTATTATCGGTATTCCGCCCCAGGATATGGACAAGGTGTACTGTGATCGTGAGTCAACCCGTTTGAAAGATTCCGATAATCAAGGCATTGGTTGCTGACTATCATTTCTAGCCTGGACAATTGGATACGATGAGCGCTTTGGCACGGGAGTTCGACTGCAGCAGGCTCTCATGTACTACCGCCCACATGTCGACGACTCTCAGTACAATTACCCCTTGGACTTCTGTCCCATTTATAATTCAGAGGAGAAGAGGATCATACACATTGATGTTCCTCCAGTACGGAGACCTGTGAACAAGGCAGCTCCCAATAACTATCACCCCGAGTCCATTGAGAAGCAGGGCGGCTACCGCACCGATATCAAGCCTATCCACATTACCCAACCAGAGGGAGTTTCCTTCCAGGTAAATGGCCGAAGTATTGACTGGCAAAACTGGAATATCCACGTTGGATTTAATTACCGCGAGGGTATCGTACTGAACAATATCACATTCAACGACAAGGGCAATGTCCGCCCGGTCTTCTGGCGACTCTCCCTTGCGGAGATGGTTGTTCCTTATGGTAACCCCGAGCACCCTCACCAGCGAAAGCACGCTTTTGATCTCGGTGAGTATGGTGGTGGGTATATGACCAACAGTCTCGCCCTGGGCTGCGACTGCAAGGGTGCCATTCATTATATGGATGCCGCCTTTGTGAACCGCGCCGGTGCCTCGACAATTATCAAGAACGCAATTTGCATTCATGAGGAGGATGCTGGAATTCTCTTCAAGCACACCGACTTCCGTGACGAGTCAACTATTGTTACCCGCGGCCGGAAGCTAATTATTTCGCACATCTTCACCGCGGCCAACTATGAATACTGCGTATACTGGATTTTCCACCAGGACGGTACTGTCCAGTTGGAGATCAAGTTGACCGGTATCTTGAACACATACGCGATGAACCCTGGCGAGGACACCAAGGGCTGGGGAACCGAAGTCTACCCCGGTGTCAACGCACACAATCACCAGCATCTGTTCTGCCTCCGCGTCGATCCCAACATCGATGGTCCGGACAACACAGTCTTCCAGGTCGACGCCGTCCGCGGATCTGGCGAGGTCGGAAGCGCAGAGAACCCATACGGTAACGCCTTCTACGCTAAGAAGACCAAGTTCAACACGCCGCTTGAGGCGATGTCCGACTATGATGGTTCCACTAGCCGAACTTGGGAAATGGCCAATACCAACAAGCTTAACCCCTACAGCAAGAAGCCCGTCTGCTATAAGCTGGTTAGCCGTGAGGTGCCGCCACTCCTACCTAAGGAAGGCAGTCTTGTCTGGAAGCGAGCTGGCTTTGCTCGTCATGCCGTTCACGTCACCAAATGTAAGCACCGTTCCAAATTCTACAAACAGATCTCCCTTCATTTGCTAACAAAGTCCTCACAGACTCCGACGATGAAATCCACCCCGCTGGTCGCCACGTCCCACAGACATCTGGCGAGCCATCCCAAGGTATTCCGGCATGGATCGAAGCCTCCGGACCCAACACTTCCATCGACAATACCGATGTCGTCTTGTGGCACACTTTCGGTCTGACCCATTTCCCTGCACCAGAGGACTACCCAATCATGCCGGCTGAGCCTATGACATTGCTCCTGCGTCCTCGTCACTTCTTTGACCGAAACCCTGTGCTCGATGTACCTCCCAGTTTCGCACAAACGCCGTCGCAGGTGGCGGCTGGTGCGAACGCTTGTGGGTGCAAGAAGAATAATGGCTCGAGTGTGCTTGTTTGACGAGAAATGAAAATGTAATGTGTTACGAAGAATTCTGCTCGCTAGTCTGGCAGTTTGTATAGTCATTCATGTTTGTTTTCAAGGCGAATCACATTTTACTTTACTTTTTTGAGATATACCGCATTCAGACTACTAGTAAATGGATTATCTGGCAGGCACTACGAAGTGGACACCCCCTTTGGCTATCTGAACACTCTATCCTGCCTACTAGTATTTAGAAAAAGGTGCTTTGTGTGTATAACCACTTGGGCACGAGGGGGGGTTACAGTAGGAGGAGGTCATAATTCTACTTTCTCACCTCCAGGTAGGTAACTGAGTATGTACCAGTACTATCTCAGTAACCAAAAATATGTAACCCGAAATGTGCGTCTCAGCAATAACGAATTAACTACTGTGGACGATTCAAGTGGTAACCTGGGAAGATACGGATATCTACTCCGGCTCCAATAATTACTTCTCCCCGTCAGGGCTGAGGCCCGCTTTCGCCCCGCAGTGCGCCAAAATCATCAGGATTCATGATGAGTCAAGCTGACACCTGAGGCTATGCAAGATATTGTTGCATCGCATACTGTTGATGTACATGATATAAATTGGTGTTCAATCCCTGAATTCATTTCAACATCCAATCTGCCTTTTTAATCTATCAACATCATCATGGATTCCAGTTTATATCCGCGTCCGACGGGACTGCACACTCTATCTTCCGATCAAGTTGACCTACGCCCTGATTCGGAGGTCGACATCGATATCCACCACCCTCGGCCCATTTCAGACGATAAAAATGCATGGTTCTTCTGGCATTCTGGTTATGAGACCATGCACCCTTACACGAAACGCAATATCCGAGCATGGCATCGACGCTTCTCAAAGCAAGGATGGGTAATCCGTGTGCTCAATCTTTGCCCGGGCTCGGAGCTTAACGTCTCCAACTTCCTCGATACCAGTGATCCCGAAACATTTCCTCGAGCCTTCACAGAGGGCACAATCGCCGGTCATCACGCAGCCCAACACACCTCTGATCTTGTCCGATTCCCATTGTTGGTCAAGTATGGTGGCATCTACGCTGATGTGGGTCTGATCATGATCGGGGATCTCGATCGCCTTTGGAATGCGACCGTTGGAAACCAGGCTTCACCTTACGAAGTTGTTTCATTTAAATTTGATGGGGTAGCCCTGACCAACTACTTCCTGGGATCAAGTCGCAATAACCCATTTTTCCGACGCTGCCACCAGCTTTTCTTGAAATTATGGGAGGGCAAAACTTCGACAGAGGGAATGTGGAACTCCCCTTTGCTGAAAGGTGTCCCTATTCTACGATCGCCCAAGGGATTCAACGAGAATGGCAGAGACATCGACATCGAAGAAGCCAGCAAGATCCTCACGGACTACATCATTCAAGGGCAAGTGATTTCGTTGGTCATGAGTCTTGTTGATATTGAAGGGAAGTGGAATGGACCCGAATATTCCGCCAAAAATATCTACGCAATGGACTACATGGTCGGATCGCAATTAATCAATGATATGACTTCCTGGGATGGACCGCGGGCCTTCGAGTTACTTTCACTCTCGCTGCCACTGAATGGGGAAAAGGAGTCCGAAGACCAGAGAAAAGCCAGAGAAATTGTGGAAGCGTGCCTAGCCAAGAGTTTTGCATTCAAGCTTGCGCATGGTCTAATTCTGAGAGTACTTGGAGATACACTGGGTTCTCTATGGAGAGGGCACGAGGGATCGGACGATGTTCCGCATACATACGCCCATTGGCTCCGATCGGGTGTTCTCAGATGGACACAAAACGAACTACCCCCTGCAGAGGAGTTTGGAAAGTTCGAGCCTTGTAAGATTGGGTCACTACTGGAGGAATAGATTGAAATATGGATTTAATTTGAATTAGACTTCGTGGTATATGCTAAACGAATCAAATCGGACTGTGGGTATCACACATCGCCTTTCTTTAATTTGTAATCAGAGACTGTGGATTTTCGGTGGATGCTAAATAGTTGCAGCTGTAGCGGTCGTAGGGCTCTGACGGGGAAAGAAGTGCCATGTCAACGGAGAGGTTGGTCAGATGTTCTAACAGCCGATGGCGGAGGATTGGTAGTATCCATGTGAATGGAGTAGATGATCAGAATTCCACCCCGGAGTAGTACCGAACAGGGCTATCTGTTTAGTTGATGTTCAAGGCCTCAGCAATCCGAGGGAAAATATTCAAGGCATTTTGATATCGGATTTCCCCCATCTCGCTATCTGTAAAGTTGCCATTGGTTTGTATACCGACTAGCCCCGGCTGTGCCTGTGAAAGAGGGACATAGGGATCTGATCAAGTTAGCAAGGCCATTTCTTTGCATAAACTGACTCGATTGATCTCATAACCTACAGTCAATTCCAGTCACGAGCCTTTTGGCGCCGATGAAACTCTTTAGGGCTGCAAGTTGGATAGCAGAGGTCGCGCTTGCGAGGTCGAAATAGTATCCAGCAAGCTGGGCAAGAGATTCGGGAAACGCTATTCCACCTCCATAGGGAAGTGTTGCAACACCAGCAATGCGAGTAGCAAGATATGGTATCGCACCGCCGCCATGTGAGAAAATTATATTCAGATCCGGGTATCTCGCACGCTGACCAGTAAGAAGTAGATTCTCAATAGCACGCACTGTATCAAACGGGTACTCAATCATAGGCATAGGATGGCCCAGACCGACAGAGGTACATGTTGGAGAAGCTGGATGAACAAAAACACCGGCGCCGCGCTTATCGAGGGCTTTGAAAATCGGCTCTAGGGTTGAGTCTCCAAGATAAAGGCCATTGGCATTAGTATATAACCCAACGCCAGCAAATTTGAGGGTATCCAGGCAAAACTGTGACCAGAAATTAGAATGTGCTCCAAGCAAAATTGATGGAATTGCATCATACCTCAAGCTCTTTGACTGCCTCGTTGATATGAGGAAGAGGAAGAAGGCACAGTGCTCCCAATCGAGTTGGATGAGCCTGCGTGTAATCGTAAAGGAGCAAGTTGATTTTCCGAGCCAAGGACTTGGCCTTTTTAGCGTCTCTGATGAAAGAAACTCCGGGCGCAGTGATGCTAAGAGTCGAATAATTTACTCCAAGGGTGTCCATAGAGCTAATATGTGTGTCCAACGACCAATCGGGAACCGGGGCGCCATCATTGTACAAAGTACCATTCTCGATCGGGAAACCTGCTGATATCATTGCCTGCTTCCAAATATCTGGGATCGCGTGGGAGTGAACATCGATTCGGTAGTTAGAGTCAATGGAATGGGCGGTGGCATGACAAGCGACTGAACATGTCAGCAGGAGGGCCCGCGATAGAGAGATCATCATAGTTCAAGGCTCGCAGAGTTTATGTCAAATCTGCTAATTTATGCGATAGATATGCACCAGAAAGAGAGACGCTAGATGATAAAGAAAAAGAAAAAAAAGTGAATGACGGAAAACAAACGATGGCCCAGGTTGCGTTTTAAAGGCATGCAACTGTCAGAAGCCTCAGATGTGGGGTTGAATTTAAGCCGCTCTCCAAGAATTGCATGATTGAGGGGGATAAAAGCCGACCGGAAGTCAAATCACAGCTTGAAGAAACAGCCATTCAGAGCTAAGAGTAATTTATGAAGACCGGTGCCTCCTAACTAATGCAGCGCCTGTTTAAATTAACCCGGCTTGGCACACACCGATTAACTCGAATAGGCCAGTGTACTTTAGATGCCATTTTCTTCTAACCGAGACCCAGCAGTCCATGGGCCAGTATCAAAACAAATCTTGAATATACAAAGACAAAAAGCTAGTCTGGATTTAATTGTAATTTGACTCCCACATGAAATCGTCAGAAACATCCAAGTTACCGTCATTGCTCCCAGGTGGGAAAATAGTGTCCCAAAGATTCTTCGTATTCTATTAGTATACCACCCCGAAGAAGTTTGAAGGTATTTGGGATGAATGAACTAACCCAGTCAATTTCGAGCATCTGTGGGTCTATAGCTGCAACCTCGCTCTGTATTTCACCATTATCGGAGTATGTTGAGCGTTCGTTCGACGTCCAGCCTGAGCTGGGAGCAAGGTAGTCCGGATGTAAGGTTTGGGGATACATAGTATCGGTTGCTCCATTGAATTGGGATTCGTAATTTTGAGGCAAAGATGGAAGATGGTCGTATGAAGAGGTCCATTCACGTCTTGTATTACCTAGGTTCTGTGGAATATGGAAAGCTTCAGCTCCGGTGTTCTCGATGTAGAAAGAAGGGATATTTTCCGATTCTGTGGTCATTTGGTGAGGAAACTGCGGGTTTTGAGAGATAGAGGGATGCTGTTGAGGAGGATCTCTTATGTCCGGCTCCCCATGGGCGTAATTAAGAGGCATCCGAGGATCAGAAGTGTCTCCATGCTTCTGCGGAGTGAGTATAATCATCGAATCCTGGAAGTGACTCGGATCCTTTAATCCCCTTGACTTCTGGTAAGCTCGCATATTGTCACAGATCATGGTCAGTAGAAACCGAGCCTTGACATCTCGTTGCGTGATCAAATCTTGCGGCGTTGAGGCCTTTCTATTTGTGTCCAGCGCGGGCATATCTCTTAGCACATCGGCGAAGATGAAATCCAAACATCTCCAAATGCGATTTGCCTCTCTGCGTAGTGGAAATGTGAAAACCTCCACCAGCAACAAGAATGCGGAATGATACTGCTGATAGGCACTCGAATACCAAGACCATTGCTTGAGATCGTCGGAGACTTCGAGCTCCATCGCAGCCTCCAATGCCTCGGTTCCCTTGCTCAAAACAATTTGTCGCAGCCGATCAGGAACCCTGTATGTCACACTATTCATATAACGGTGCAATGAGATCAGATAAAGGAGGTTGGTGAATAGCTTCATCACCTGTCGAGCCATTTTTTGCATTGGACTTGGGGTTGCTGTGTCTAGTAAAGGGCCATATTTTGCATCCATACGAACCCGAAAAGCCTCAATTTTGGCGATTGCCTTCGTAAGACTAATCTTTTTTGATCAACCCGGGTGCGTAAAACAAGACATTTTCGCTGCATTTCCTGGCATTCAAATCGGATCATGGAGAAAACCATATCATTCCACGTTGATGTTATTGCGGGAGTTGGTATTTGTGTTGTGTATCCATCATGATGGATATATGGCCGGGGCCCCTGTACCTCACTTGTCTTGAGATCCAAATAACAGATTTGATACCATATGAGACGTCGGACTTGGCATTCTAGAGGTGAGAACCCAAACTCCGAGGGATCACGATGAAATCCCATGCACTCTGCTAAGCGAATTGCCATACTTGTCAATAGCGAATGAGCACGGCAAATTTCATCTGAACACATTGATAGCTAGAGATAATCCCAGTCAGTCTTCCAGTGGTCAAACAAAGGAAAGAGGTCCTGTCAATGCCAAACTTACCAGGTACGCGACAAATGCCTGCAAGTTCTCGACCTTTGAAGAATGTAACAACTGAGCTCTGCTAAGCGAAGTCTCGGTTCCATGCTTCAATTTGTTTCTCAAGTCCTCTCGAGACTGTTGACACAAATCCCACACTTGTGCTTCAGACATGCTCACCACAGCCGAGAGGAGAACCGAAAATACAATTGCTACTAGCGAAGGCGCAAGATTTTCTTGATACCCATCCTCGACAGCTTCCCAGAGCGTTTCATATCGTTGCGCAAACGAAGGACGATGCAGAATACGGGCTACCGGGTGAACAGAGTCCCAATAACGCTCAAGAAGCCTGTCTGCGGTACTCCGAGAAACAATATTCTCCACTCGAGATGTGCTAGGGGAGGCTAGGCTGAAGATAAAGTCGACTGGGGATGCTGACGAAGATTGCTTAAGCTTTGTTGATGCCTTAGTCGAGCCTGGGCTCGGACTTGGGGGTATCACTGAAGAACCTCGCTTTGGAATGTTCTCAAGAGAAGACAGAATCTGGAGCGAATTAGCCAGTGTAAACTAATCATCACCATTATAATAACCATACCTCATCTGCTATTCGTGGGCGGTACAAACCCCCAATCCTCTCACTTAGTCGCATTCGCCCAATTTTGAAGCCTAAATCGTCCACAGCCCCATCTAAGTCGTCTTCGTACGCAGCATCATTGACAGCTAGGGGCGTGGGTTCCAGAAATGCATCATCCGTGGAACTGTCTGAGTCACCATCCCGGACTTCGTCAAGGAGTCTTGATCGTTTGCGATGCGGTACTTTTCCACCTGGTTGCAAGCTTTGACTTTCTATATTGTCCTGAAAGGAGGTTTCGATAGCATCCTTCGCTTCTTTCATTTGAACCAATCTCTCACGTAATTGGGTATCGTCGCTATTAGCTGAATTCACAAACACGCATTGCCTGCCGGATTTGCTGCAATTATCACAAGGCTCCTAGTTGCGCTGTTAGATAATCTTTCCCGGTTCATTTAAGAAATAGATTGAAGTTACCCCTCTATCACATTTCATTTTTCGCCGACGACATTCCAGGCACGAGTGAATGATTCGATTGCGGCGACGAGCTTTCTCACGGGCCTTGGACTCTCTATCGACATTCCCGGAGCCACTTTCCGGCGATATTCTCGGAGTCGATTGAATACTGGTTGAATGAGACATTATCTTTGGAGTCTGTCCTCTAGCAAAAGATGGAGGCTGAACAAGGAGGAAAACCACGAGGAGAAGGTGGGGTTTTTGAGGCTGGGTTTTCCCCTAATGCAACTTGCCAACGCTTATCCCCAATAAGCCCTTGACCTGAAAGAGACATTCCTGGTGGGCCCGTGCAGAAACCCTGAATACCCCAACCATCATTGTCATTGGCTTGAATTCTGGGTGGGGCAACTTTTTGGCAAATTGAAATGAACCCTGTGGTGGCTTAGTTGCCACATAAGGCTGTGGGGGATATTAATATCTTCAAGTTGGGGGCGCATATTCATTGGGATGGCGCTATCACTTTTCGTTGCAGGACATTTTCTTACGTTTAATTTACCTAGTAGGTAATGGTGTGTGGTCTAACAAAAAATTGATGTTTCCCATCTGAGGAACTCTAGGTTGGGTTTAGGTGGGAGCTCTGTCGACGGTCCACTAAATTAATACATACTAGCTTCTCCTACCCGCCAGACACAACCACATCAATAATGTCATTAGTTATCAGCATGCGCGTGGTTGGATAAAGTGCAGTTTTCCGATTAAAATTATGTTAGACTGCTGGAATGTTGCAATTTTTTACGACATCACCTATCAGGTCGGTATCTGCCCTTCAAATTCACAATCCCCTCAATGAAACCGGCAGTTCCACCAAAAAAATCATTTCATGAAATCCAAAAAAGGCTAAAAAAAAGTGTACGCGGAATACACACGCCACGAAGATCTCGAGTAGAACCCCGAGCGTTAACCCGATCTTGCTGTCATCGTCTTATAATTATCACTGAACTGTGTTAACTAGCATATCCTATCGTATGGCCATATTAAGCTTACTTGAAGCTAAGGTATGTTACTTACGCACACAGTAATAATTATAGCGTCTCTGTGCCTAATTCTCATTAATATTGTTCAGATCGCATATGCTTTGTTTCCTCAGTTTGAAACCCCCGGATAATACATCTGGGGAAGTGGTCGGGGATGGCTATTTCCGGTCACCCATCAAGAGCTTTGATAGCACCCTCTCTGCAAACTAAATACTCAAGTCAAGAAATCCTGGGCACTCAAGTCAGATTATACTTATATTTAATGGCTGGCTCTGTTGTCGCTTATTTTTCCGGAAAGTGTCGCTGAAAGATTCCGGCATACCTGACTTCGGTATTTTTATCTGCTAGTAATAAACGCACTGCCATCAACAGGACGAAAGACTCATTCTAGGAATGGTGAGTCAATTATTAATCACCAGCTCTATCATACATAATTTGAACGAACACCATGCAGCTATTAAATGTAAGGATCAAATGCATCCTTGGTTGTTCCGAGTTGCTTTTTTTCTATCATAGTACCTCGAGGGTCATAAAATGGATTTTCCCCGCCCTCGTATAAAAAATCGTTCACTGCCTTCCCGAACCACGAAGCACCTCCATGGAGACGAAAAGACCGCTCAGTACCGATAAAATTGTTAATACCAGAAAACTCAATTTCAGAGTGGAGTGTTTCGGGTAATTTTGAAAGGAGTTTGACTAGATCAGCCTGGCTGACTATAAAGCGCGATAGTGCAAACCTTGGAAATGGCGAAGCTTAAACCATCTTTCCACAGGGAATATACGTTCCGGAGACACTGTGTTGCTGTCAATCGGTGGGGTTTTACCCTCATAACAATTTTCCAGCCCCGCCGTGTAGAAGGTGAACTCCTCCAGGTCTATCATTTCGCTCAGTGTTTTGCGAAGCCTTCCATCGCGGAATGTTTTCCAGTTCTCAATGGCTGATCGTCTTCCGCCAAACATGAGAGAAAGATCTAGGCGACGAAAGCCTAGTTCCTCAAAACTGTCAACAGATTATCGTGTTCCGCGCAAGGTTCTTCGAGTATCGTACAGTTGGTCCCTGTGTCGATTTGTCGAGCATCCAGAACCAGTTCCACTACATTGTTCTTCTGTTGTGCAAGGGCGCGTGTTACAATGCGGAATCCGGGGTACTTTCCTCTGTGCCTCTCGTCGACACTTTTCCAAGGGAATGTGATCACATCTCTTGGCTCTTCCGCACTTGAGACTGGCCATCCGCGCGGGATAGGATAGTTGAATCCTTGCGGAAAAGCTCGAACCATGGGGCTTTGATATAACAGGGCAAATAGGACACCATGAGCTGCGGGGGTAACAGCCACTCTTTTTAGTGCAGAGAACCGTTCAAGCCCATAGAGGAACGCCTCCTCGTCATAGATTCTAGCTAAAACGTCGGCTTGTTACAGATCAAGCTCTGGTATATTGCCCAAGACTTGCCCCGAGGGAGTGCAGCCTTGCCTAGCTTCTTCTCATTTTTGAATTTCTGATGCCAAGCCTCGGTCATATAAAGCCTGCGTCGTCGGATGAAGGTAATTTCAATGTTGTTGGCACATACGGCCTTAGGCTAAAGTGGACAATGTTCGCCCCTGGATTTCCATCATTGTTTGGTTGAGAGACAGGGTATGCTCTCTTCTCGTCTTCCCCATCTTCATAGTCGAAGTCTCTCTCGTAAAATTCCCAGTCTGGTGGCCCTTGAAGTCCTCTCGATTCAAACGACTCCTCTGTCTCTTCATCACTTGCATGCGTGATTGCCAAGTATAATCCACGCTCGGGATGAATAATCTCTGTATTAGGCCCCCCTGGCAAATCGGGCGTCATCCCAAACGATCTCTGAGATCTTATGTCGGAATTCCTCATGATCTGCGATCGCGCAAAAGATCTTTATGTTCAAGGGGTTTGCCGACAAAAACACTTGCTACAGTCTGAGCTCCACTGAATTGCAAAATCCTCTCAAAACAAGGCGGAGACTTTTGAGTTCGCGATTGGGTAAATATGATAAAATTGCACACCAGAGCTCCGGCAGGAGGTCATAGAATCCATGAGAGTTCGTCATCATGTGGGTTCAGTGCACGAGGGCCAGTGGGCGACCAGAGACTGCCAGTGGAGGTGAAAAGTGGGTTGACAACAAAATGCATTAGATGATCAGGGGTAAGTGAACCCATTCAAGACTAAACCCTCCAGGGCTGATCGGCATTACACTGCTACGCCCCGCCCTAATTACTAGATAACCTAGCACCCCGCTAACACTTAACCGGGATAATCCTTACGTATATTTATATTTCAACAAAAAGAACAAAGGAACTTGCATGCTCCAGGAATCCAAAATGCTAAAATTAAAATGCTAAAATTCATCAGCACGCCAACTTGAAGAATCCATCCTTAAAGAAATACAATTTCGTCTCCTCTGCCTGCTTGCCACTTTCTAGGTTTTGCATAGTACTACTAGTTATTACGCATATGTTACAAAATTCCACGTTAAGTAACAAAACCTTGGAAAGTCCTACTACTATCTAGTAGTAGTACTCTATCCAAACCAGCCAAGCTTCATTGTCAAGTTACACAGTCACCCATCTTCCCATCCAGGTCCTTGTAATTTCCTTTGCTTCGTCGACCAGTCCCATTTCTGTTCAGTATGATTGCATTAGTCACATATTAAGTGAAGCATTTCAGAGTTGATACATACCCAGGAGAAGCTGGACGGTACCCCGGACAGAACTTTCCAAGGCGGAGGCAACTGGAATGGCAAATTAGATTCGTCCAAAATTTAATACAAAAATTGGAAAACTTTAGCGAGCACTTACTCCATGAATGAGTATACGAAGTATGCTCACCAATAAAAATGATCTAAAAAAAATTAGTATCGGGCACTTCGAGATTTCCAGGAAGCATACTTACGTTCTTTTCGGTATTGAAGTAAGAAGGAATAAAAAGCTGATGCTGGCCAAGGCTTGGGAAAGCCCAAGATCCACCAGCATTGGACTCCTCTTCTAGCCAACAAAGGCGCTTGAAGTTTCCAGTGTATTGCTCGTAGACTATATCACCATGGAGCTGGGCAAATGCATCAAGCACGTATTGAGCATGTTCTTTTTCCGGGGTGGAAACCCAGCGCTCACCATAATCATCCAGATTATAGCTTCCGAGTATAACTGCAGGGCCACTGCTGTTCATGTTGAATCCAGGGTAGCAAACATTCCCAATGCCGGGAATATCAGTAACGGTGTTACAGCTTCCAAAAATGGGGCGAGACAAGTGCTCCCAGAACCGTGTCTTAAACTCCAGGGCAACCTAAAATTGTTAGCTTCTCCCACTAGGACTGTACGTTCGAACATACCTTGCAGGCGGATGTGTATCCAAGAGAGGCAACAGCATGGCTTAATGTCGTAGAGAAATCTGTCGTTCAAGATTAGTTTCGAAATTTAGAAATAATGGCGTGGTCAAAATACCTGGAAGTTCCCATTTCCGGACGACGGTGAAAGGAACAGCAACGAATGTATAGTCATATTTGGCATTTTGAAATCCCCGATCAGTATAGTTTTTTTTTCCAGGAGACCTGGACCTTTTTCTCATCTTCGAGATATTGAATCTTCTGAATTTTTCGATGATATTTGAGGTCATCTCCAACTAGCGGCTTAAAGGCATTAGGAAGCCGACTCATTCCTAAGATGTATTAGTCCCAAGTAATTTCAACCTTATTAGGATTCAGAATTTCTGTCTAACCTTTGTCCACCGTCTTCCATTCTGTAGAGGAGAAGAAGAGATTGTCGTATCTGCATTTATAAAGTATGAGTTTCCAGTTCATGGTCTAGATATCCATTCAGGAATCTCACAGGTTAACCCAAAAAGGGGCATCGACATTGGAGAGGTCGCCAGCTATCTCGGTATTGTTGAGGTCAAAGCCTAGAAGATTATGAAGGTAAGCCACCTGAGACCACTGGTCTCCTCCTCTGCCGTTAAGTCCCACGTCTAAAAGCATGTCAGTAATCAATTCCAAAGGTCTGAAAATAGGTAACGATACCAAGAAATTTCTTATGCGCCTCATATACGTTGCTTGCGATGAGTTTCATCATTGAGGGATCATACATAATCTTTCCTAGCTCGGCATTCAGTTTGTCCAAAACAGCAGTGTGAATTTTAGATGCACCGAGCGAGCTATCTTTAGCGACGTCGCCAATTGTTGGGATCGAGCCATCTCGGTTTCGCTTATCTCCGTTGAGAGACAGTGCGTTGTCGCTGTTTTGAATAAATGGAATCCAATCAACTTTAAATGACTCATGGTGCTTATTCAATTGATTGAGTGTCTCGGAAAGCTGGAAGACGATGCGATGGGTGGTAAAGTTCAATGTCAAAGTCTCATTACCCAGAGGAATGGGTGCCGTCAATGGAATTCGCATGGCTCCCATTTCTTGATATTGGTAATTTGATTCGTCTGAGTCAAAATATTCGGTCCGAATTCGACTAAATAATTTTAGTCCTGCCATTTCGAAAATTCAAAGAAAAAAAACCTACCCTCCAACGCGATCCGTAGACTCCGAAATTTCGATGTTCTGAAACCCCACGCTTCGAAGAAGAAACTATGCAACTGGTTAACTAGCTTCCGTTTGAATGAGTGGCAAAAGAAGCCTACATGGGTCATCAAGCCCGATATTCCAGCGCCTAGAATTCCAATGGCTAGAATAAAACTGTGAGTCATTGCCAGTGTGTTTCGTGAGGATCTGGACTGAATACATTTTTCTTTGATTTTCTTTGCATCCACAGCGCCAAAGTCCTTGCTTTTGAGTAGAGTCACGCCATTGAACCAGGGGCCTTCTGAATCGATACCGGATTCGTTTGTCATAGGGATTCGATCTCGCTTGGTGAAGCTGTCATGTAGAATACCATCCAGCGATAGAGGCTCACCTTGACCGATCCGGTTGCTTTCCATATCCCACGCTGCGATACAGCCTCCCGAGGAGGCATCGTCCGGCACAACCCAAACCAATCGACTGTCATGGCCAGAAGAAGGGCCACTAGGTACAGTTGCGACATGATGGATTGAACCAACAGGACTGACGATATCACAACTACCATATGTGAAAATATGCTTTCCAAGGTCAGACTCCGGATAGAAGAGGTGCACATTGACAATATTTGGCGCAGTAACATCATTCACTGAGATCTCGATGTTCCTGGACAAGGCAGCTGCCAGGGTCACAGGAAGTATACTGAGCCCAGCAAGAATCCACCTCATTTTGTTGTAGTACCTAGGTAATTTGGTCTATTTCAAGTTGATAGAAGTTCTTGAATTCTAAATAATCTTCAAGTTCTGTACATGTCCCAGCTCTTAAATCAATGCTTCAAAGGTTTGAATATCATTCCACTCCACGATTTAGATTTCTCGGCCGTACCTAAGTTGGAATCAGCTTACATATTATTGAATACTAGTAATATTGTGGGTTTGCGAAATGTTTAGACTGGGGTCAGATAATACAGATTAATCCGTGAACGCTTGTTGACTAGTAGCAGCCAGTTTGTTTGGAAAAGGGGTACGGCCGTAATAATATCGCATTTGGTATATGCTTGTTAATCATGCATGCTGATCATGCAGTTCGGTTAGGATGGCGCTCCACTTTTGCCCGTACCAAGGTTTTAATCTGTCGGGCGAGGACCATATTCCTAATACAGGTTTCTCTCCTAGTCGCAGACTGTCTCTGTTTCCTAAATTGGTTGGAAACTTTCAGGAGAAGGTTTAGGAAGTCAAGTGACCGTATTGTGCAATTGATGAGGCAGAATTTGCGGTCTAATTCACTTAGTTGACCAAGGAATTCGGCTCACTAATGAAATAGTATCGCAAGCTTTTGGATGCACGTTGCGCGTCCGGGGCCAAGGACACACGTCAGAGCGTTTGACCTGATGCTTGCAGAGTCGCGAAGCTGGCATACTACAAAGTCAGAACGTTTAACCCATTACACAGGCCTTGCCGGCCCACCCTCCTATATCTAGGTCATTTTAGTTCAGATACCGGTAGTTTCTCATCTATACACACATTCCTCTGCGATCACCTCTCTTGCCAATAGCTATTATATAAGCCAGTCATGTATTATCTACTTTCTCAAATATAACCAGAGGAGCTAAATAATTAAATTAAGTCAAACTCTTTAACAATGATAAATTAAGGGCTTAGGATAATGACAAAACGAAATACGTGAATCGTAACATGAAGCCTCGAAGAGGTCTATAGGCATCAAAATCCAAAAGTTCGCACTCTATTGCACAAAAGAAAAATTTGCAAACAAACAAAGTAGATCTCCTGATGTTCTGCTATCACACTGCATTGTTGTACTCTGTCTTTTCCTCCAGCAGTTTCGCGGTTTCAGCAACTGCCTTCGTATAATTTCCGCGCATCTGTTCAAAGCAGAATCCTGGATGCGCGACGCAAAGAGCTACCACAGACAGAACACACATTCTAAAGTAAGCAGATTTTATCAGCATAATCTTCCAGTTTTGCCTCACGGGTAAACATTTCGGCGCAGATATTCGATCAGTAACTTACATCGACTCGCAAACAATGAACCCGGACTCATCCTGCATAATAGAATTTCTCCAACCACCAGCCATTTCTGCGATACTGCAAAGAAAAAGTAGACAATTAGCTTCCCAATATCCTTCTTCTTGTCTTTCATGGAAAGCTTACCGGTAGACACAACGGATATAAGTGGTAGTGAAAGCGACTACAATACCACAGCAGAAGAACCAGAATTTGCGACTTTTCCACAGCTTCTGGGCATCCACAGACAATTGATACTTGGGTGCTCCCTTAACTCGGAGAAAAAACTGGACAGAAAGAATTCCAAACACTGTCAAGGTAGCAACTTGCCAGACAATTCCGGCCAGCATGATATCGCTCCCAACTGCGCTCCCCTGGGCGGTAGTTGCTGTAGCAGCAAGTCCGCCACCAGCACCTTGCAATGACAGCGAGATTAAATCACACGTCACAAAAATAAATGGATACCACTTGGCCCTCAGAATGGAGAACTTAGGGCCCAGAATGTTCACTTCGTGCTTCAAGGTCAAGTAAATAGCAGCCGACCAAAATGCTGGAGCCATGGTGAGAGTGCAAATCTGGGTCTCAAATCCCATAGAGGAGTAAGCATCATTGTGCAAGAGGATGCGACCAACATATCCTATTAAAACTATAAGTCTCTCCGAATCCCTTTTGGAAATCCACCCGAGCACCCGTGCCCAGGTGGCAGATACTAGTAGGAATTAACTTACCAGCAACCTCAGAGATAGCCCCCAGAAACACGGCCACGCCAAAGGACCAGGTCCGCCACTTTATCATCTGAACCACCTGTATCAAGGCGCAAATCCCAAATATTATGCAAAAAGCATAGCTTGCCGCGGCATTGGGGGCATAGCCGTAGATGGTCTCCTCCACCGGACAGTCAGGCGTGACCTCCGTGCACTCGGAAGGGGATGCTCTGCTTGCAATCATATCTTGAAATATGAAAAGAATAAAATAATAAATGAGCAGCTTTAGTTAACGTGAATTGATAGAGTTCAAGAGTGCTGATCTTTCATTGTACAAATCAAATTATGGGATCAAGCACCTTTATACTTTCCACGAGGTCCGGACTCGACCCGCAACTGGGAGTGCTCCCAAGATTTTCTGACTTCAGCTGAGGGCTCAAGGCTCTAGAAACTCACTAAAGTATATCTAAATTTACGTCCTATCATGTTATCTAGATCGGTGACCTATCAAATTGCGTTGAGAAATGCCGAGGGGCGTCCTACCGGCCGTAGATCTCATCCCCTGCGAAGGCTGTTTCCTGTGAAATATAGTTAGATGAACAAATTTTTGGGGTATAACCTAAGAAGTGGGGAAAATATCTATTTCCAGGTGATTCTTCTATTCGTTGTCCGTCTCCCGGGTCTTTGTCTGAGATGGTCGTGTTGGACGGAGCGCCAAGACATCACGGCCCCGGGGCCTTACGGCCGTAATTCTCGCCCGGGGAGTCTGACGGGTGTGTTGGGTTCTTTCTTAATGTGTTGACATGTGGTTTCTTACGGCCGAAAGGGAATCTCAAAATCTCGATGTTGTAATAAGCATATGCGTTTGTTTCTTTATATATGCCATCGGTCTAGCAAAGTTGAGCTCAATCCTATTTTATACATAGTGGCTCTCATTCAAGATTCTTTTTCGATCATCTCTTTCCAAAAGAAAGTCCCGGCCCTATCGACTGTCAGTTACCATTTGAAACAAAATGTCGAATCGTGAATACTATGGAAGTAGTACGCCTGGGTATACATTCCAAGCGAATGGGTCTGAAGAACCTCAATATCTAACAAACGCAGATTCCTCTTCCAGTCAAGTAAGACAATTAAAGCCCGGTATTAATAGCTCAATACTGACTCTACTTCTCATTTTTAAAGGGAGAGCCTTTGGGAGCTGTTTCAAATCACCAAAATTTGCCATTTAATCAACAACGCCAATGGGGAAACTTTGATTCAGCTGAACAAGGACATAACGGAGCTTCTGGTCAGGAAAGGGGTCTCGGTGCAACGGTAATTGGAGGCGCGGGGGTATGTATAGAACAGCTCTAAGATTTTGAACAATTTTCCCCTGACTTTTCTTCTGTTTCATAGGGCGCTTTTGTTGGGCACAAAGTTGGGAAAAAGTCAGACCACGGTACCCTTGGGACAATTGGTGGCGCTCTGGCAGGAGCAGTCGTGGCAAATGTGGCTAGCAATGCTATTAAGGGACACCATGGAGGCCATGGGTCTGCGCGTGATCGTCGCCGTGAAAGATTAGAAAGAAAGATTGACCGACTCGGCTAGTTGTTGAAATCTTGGAAATATCCAAACTGCTCTTCATCCTCGCCTCGCTTTTAGGACGATATTTATTAATTTGATGTACTTTATATATGATTCTTCTCGAATTCAAGCCCTTATCTTTATCGCTATATAATGAGCCCAATCTTCATGGTACTTCGCCAACTCTACGCGGGGTCTAATAGCTAGCTATGGGTTGGGTTGTATACCTCCGAGTCGAGAGCTACTCTATTTTGTGCAGGCCCTTTCAGGACTGGTTATAAAACTCGAAGTAAAAGCTAGCAATGTTTTACAAGCCTAAAAAACTCTATATAATCTAGGGAGTTTATCAAATTTTCGTGGTTCTTTTCCAAATCCACGAAGTCCCTTCGCCCATTCAACCCATTCTCAAATCAATCCTCGGACAATCTTAATAACTCCTAAAGCAGGGCACCCTCGAATCCAATCTTTGAAGAGTAGAGATATTTCAACTCGAACAGCTCACAGTTCTTAAATCGAATAAACTTTCGAATTTTGATTGAGAAATTGCAAATATTGTTCTGTTATCAGCGTAAGTTTCAGACTTCGGATCCCATTGGGCTGAGCTTACGGCCGTAGGCACTCCGGCCGTAGGCAATGTGGGGCAGCTGAGATCCGGTCGCAAAAAGAATAAGCCATTGGAATGCTTAGCACTTACGAGCAATTTCCCAAAAGGCTTGGGTTCAATTAGTTTATAGAGGCATGTATAAGTACCATAAATTCTTTGAAAGGACAGCCAAATCCCACTTTACTACATTGGATAACGAAAGCAGTCCCAGATACGCGGCAACTTGAAATACCCGACCTTCTAGCCATGCGACCGCACGAACTTCTTGCCTGTGTCGAGCTCGCGCTCTATGTGGGTATTTTGGGCCCTGTGACTTTTTGTACATTTTACTATCTCTTCAAGAGGCAGACTGCCTGGCTTTACCTCCAGGCATTCGCAACTGGTAAGAATTCTCTTATCCTCTTAAACCAGACCAAACAAAGCCTGACAATGATTAGCAAAAATTGCCGGTCCTGCACTCCTAATATACCTGTATCAAAATTCATCGACATCCGCAGGCGTTCAGATAGCTGCCCAGATTCTATATCAGATTGCTCTAGGTCCCCTTATGTCCGCTACACTCTCGTTCATCAACATTTCTTCAACAACAAACGACAGAAAGACAGAGCCTGCATACTCTCCGCTTGCCCCCTCAAATGGCTTGAGTGTTTCATCACTTATACTTCGTCTTGTCCACCCTATCATTATGGTTGGCCTAGTGATGGGCATTATTGGTGGCATTGACCGCATGCCCGACAGCTCAACCGGGAAGATCAATCCCGACAAGTACGACCGTGGTGCAACACTCTCAAAGGTTTCAGGTGCAATGTTTCTCATAGCCTTTGCGGCCATCATGTTTGGTGTGATCAGATTATGGAAGTACCGAAAGTCACTGGCGACCGTCTCATATTATATTGTGACTGGGATGCCAGTCATTCTACCCCTTCTGTTTCTACGGATTCTGTATTCCCTTTTGAATGCAGCTAATCTCGACATCTCAGGCCACACGGGCCACACCACCAAGTTCAATATCATGACGGGCAGCTGGGCGATATACTTTATCATGGGATTTATTCCACAGGCTACAATCATTATAATTTATGCCAGTAGTGGAGTCTTGGCCTACATGAAAGGCAGGAATGGCAGGAGACTGTGAGAAGAGTCAAGACTGACCATGCCTTCCAAGTTTAATGGCTCAATCTCGCTTGTTCGTTGTCTTTTATGGCTTCAGGCTTCAAGCCGCCACTGTCTCGATATTTCTAAGTTATTTTTTGACTCTTTTGTTTATCCTTTTTGCCCTACATAATACGAAGATACTAGATTTATAAATATTTCTTGCCGTCTCTTCAGCCTTTGTCTGTGTGGCTACAAACCTATTTTTAGGCTCATAAGCACATCAAAAACGACTCATCGTGTCCTGCGATTTTAGGCTCAGGAAGGGGAAAGTAATGAATTAGAAGTAATTGTATTTTGTTTCTGAAGCGTGCCGAGGTGAAACGATCCGATCGTTTAGGTTCCAAAAAAGCGCGATTGGTGCTTATCTAGTTCGCTTACTATTTAGGTTAGTGCGTCTTTGCCGGAGTGACTCAACCACTAACTACTTCGTCGGACAGTGAAACAATTATCTGGTGTTACTACGCCGTATTATTTCGGTTTCGATGCAAAAGTAGTTTCCAAGCCACTAACAAGCATATTCAAATGGCTTTATCGACCTTCTGAACTTCGAGTTCTTTTGGTCGGGGCAAGAAAATTGACCAAATTCAGAATTCAAAAACTATCTTGTAACAGAAAATAACAGGACACTAAACTCGCTGCAGCGAAGCGGTCATGACGGTTATGAAGACCTGACTAGAGCAGACTTGTAATTCTCAATTAAGAACTCGCAACCAGCACCGCAGGCTCACCATTAGAGATAGAGACGCATATTTGTCCGCCTTCATCGGCGGTGATCGTCCCCTCTCCAAAAGAGTTCTTCCACATCCCACCGGGCTTCCTAGAGTCGAAGCAGGGTTTAGCATCAGACCCAGATCCACCGTTGGATGTGACCACAATGAGGTCTCCGCCTGCCCTGCTCCACGCATATACCGACTCTGCGACGTACAGATGGACATGGTCGTTATCAGCAAGGCCACCAGCTGCCGTTCTCGCGGCTGAGAGCAGGGATATGGCCTTGTACAAGTCCGTATCGGTGTTGAATTTGCTGCGCCATAGATCCTCGCGGTTTGCGGGGTCATTGCCGCCCGTGTAGCCCTGTTCGGTGCCGTAGTAGATAATTGGGATGCCCCGGGCGAGAATAACGTAAGCGAGTGCGTTTTTAAAAAGCGACTTGTCGTTTTTTACGCTCAGCCATCGCGCATTATCGTGATTGTCTCAGGAACGTGCCCAGGGCGCTGGGATCAGGGAAAGCGGTATCGATTTGACCATGCATGTCAACTATGTCCTGGGCAGAGCCCTTTTGCTGGTAGAACCTGTTCATAGGATAGTAGACTGCGTAGTTAAGCAGGCCATCCATGCTGTTTGCATATCCGGCAAGGTAGTCTGGGTCACCATCCCAGACTTCGCCGATGGTGTAAACCCCGGCAGCTGAGGAGAAGGCCGACCAGAATTCCTTTTCAACGTGCTTCACGGTATCAATGCGTAAGCCGTCAAAACCGTATTCCGTGACGAGCCATTTGACCCATTTCTGGAAGAGAGCCTGGATTTCGGAACTCTGTGTATTCACATCAGGTAGGTCTGATGCGATACGGCAGTTTTCAATACTTTCCTGGCTTGAGTAGTCGATTGTGCAGGCAGAATGATAGGAGCTCTCCTGGTTCAATGGTTCCGGCTTGTTATCGCTGATTGGCCCTCCCATGTGGTTGGCAACTACGTCTGCCATGACATAGATTCCCTATTTTCGAAGCTAGTCAGTACCTTCCAACTTGGCCCGGAGAAAAAGCCGCAAATTGTACTTACCTTCTCATGAGCAGCATCAACTAGGCTTTTGAGATCATCAGCGGTGCCATAGTTCTCATTGATGCTATAGAGATCCTGCGCCCAATATCCATGATATCCGCCTGGCGCATCTGTACAATGTTAACGCAATTAGCCAAGTTGTGTCGTCGACGATAGAACAGTCTGAGGAACTATACAAACTCACTAGCAATAACAGGGGTGATCCAGATTGCATCAAAGCCCATCCCCTTAATATAGTCAAGCTTGGACTCCAATCCTGAGAAAGTGCCACCGCAGTAGTTTCCAAGGTTGCCGCAAGCATCTCCACCTGTATCATCGCTTCCACGGGCAATTCGATCAGTCAGGGCAAAGTAGATATTGCGAGACTTCCATGCTTTCACATCCGCTGCTGATACAGTGCATATCAAAGGGGATAGAAAGACTGCCAGAATGCGAGACAGCTTCATGATTCTGGCAAAAGTGATGCCTCAACTTCTTGAGGACGGTAGTGGGTTCGTGGTGGATGACCTGAGTGCAATACCGATCGGAGAAATTCGCCCCTTTTTATATCTGGGTCTCGAAAGGGATTCCTTCTACGCAGCCGGTCTCCAAGACCTTGAAATTACTTGCCATAACCCCTGTCGCGGGTTACAAATACTTCATAGATGTAGTCTTCTACAATATACAGCATTTGTCCTGAAAATATCTCCTCATACAGTCAGCTCTCCGATAAAATGCCGGCAATAGGCCGACAGCCCCAAAGGAAAGCCAGGGAATTGTGGAGAACCCCCGCCCCTGAGACTCAAGAATGCGGGATCTGCGCTCAGTTAGAATTTGAAACAGTTAGTCAAACATCAATCATACTCCAAATACTCCGTACAGCATATAGTGATTATATCAGATAAAGCTATATCCGTATGGCTCAGTAACGATGCAGGAAGAATGAGATCAAGCGGAATCAAAACGGACTGAATTCATGTCACTATTCTGGAGGAGGATAAAAGAGCGGGGTGAGTTGAGGGCAATTTGAAGGTGAGCTGAGGTGAGAATGAGACTGAACGAATAATTGTAATGAATACTGTACACTGTATTAAGGACTAGATGCATGGATTTCTTGACGTCGTTGCAACATTGGACGGCCGAAGCGTCTTCCCTTCATGCAGCTTTATATAACACGGAGCTATTGGACAGATTGTATCTGGTAGCCATGTGATTTTGGCGAACCTCAGCAACCTCGGATATCTTTTTCGTGTCCGTTAGCAGGGAAGATTACGAAGCCTACGCAGGCAGAACGCAGACAAGATGCACGCAAGAACCAGTCCTTGGATGTCAATTTGCCTCTCTGCCATTGAACTGGAAGATGGATTAAGAAAGAAGAGTTATTTGATCAATGGGAGCCAAAATCAACGCAGTGGGACCAAAGTGATGGTATTTCGTTTAATTGACGCACCAAATGTGGAGTCTTCGTGACAAGGGGCCCTAACGAACGGAGCGCATCAACTAATTTGTTCGCGGTGGGAACTAGCCTCCATCGGTGCTTTTTCATGGAGATCGCAATAAATCAATATCTCAGAGTACTGGCATCGCTGCAGTCAACGCGATCCGTGTTCCTAGCATTAATGGGGCAAATCAAGGAATTGAGTACCACATGAGAGTCAACCAAGTTACTGACCAGTCGCATGTCACGCTCGTCCTCGGAAACTGGGGCCTGGTTTACGATACTATAGGGATCGTAGAAAGAAAATAAGATATGCTCTTGAATAAAAAGAAGTTAAGCTATCTAGCTATTTTAAGATTATAGTATAATATTAAAGTTCTAGAGGCACTTAAGTACTATTATATGCTATATAGAATGGCTTAGAAGGTGTAACAGACTGCACCATGCACATAGGGGGGCGGGGGCGAAGTAGAATGACACACCACACGATACGTATTACCACGTAGGTTCAGCGGTTGATATCTACCCCAAACGACATTCAATTCAAAAGATAAATGTACCACCTTGTAGCTCAGCTTTGCTTCTATATAATGCTTTAATTTTCATTCCGAAAATCTCTACGGGAAAGCTGTTTTGTCTCCCGAAATCAAAATCACCCCTGGAGCAAGCTATCAAACTGGCAGTGGGGACAAGTTATCGTCACGAGCCCATGATCGGATCAGTTCACCGACGCCGAATCTAGTCTCAGTGAAGACGTGCTGTAGTCTAAACACCTCTAGGTTGTCTGGACCGGCTCCGAGCTCATTGATGGCTTCGCGGTTCATCTCCCACATTTGCCTGAACTCTGCCATTTCAAAGTGGGAGCCCAGGTTGGACAGAATTATTTCTCTTTCCTGCTTTTCGTCCCAGTCAACTTTTCGTGGGATGCAATAAGATTTGTGCGCGCCAAAACTAGCTAGAAGGATTTTGTCCAAATCAGCAGCACCCAGTTTGGAAGAATGGCGTTTGAAGTCATCACAATCCTGATCATCGTGGTGCCTGACATTTTTGAGAGAATTGTTTTTCTCTGTGTCCAAAACACGTCCAATATACTCTTCATTATTACCATTGATGCTGTTTCCTACAAGAACAAGGCATGGAGAGGCTTCGCTTTTCTCGCGAGCTAGTGTGGCGGTGTCCGTTTCAGTGAGCTTCCATTGAATTGTCAATGGCATTCCGCGCTGCCTACTTGGTGTGATCGCATCTATCTCGAAGATCAAAAGGCGGTAATGGGAGCCTTTCCACGGTCATGTCAGCTTCTGTCAATTCAGTTAGATTTCATATGGTTTATGTCCCCGCATACCGTGTGAACAGAAAAATCGATCTACCAAAAACATAGTGGGCCTTGATTTCGCCCATAGATCCCGCAGTAACAAAAATGCAGGGAAGCAGGCAGCTGCATGTTGTCCCCTAACAGACTTTCGGAAAGACGACCGAGCGAGTCTTGGTATCAGAAGTTAGCTGGACTGTGAATGAAAGTTTAACCACAATATTGCATAACGACAAAATCAGATAACAGGAGCAGGTCGTAAAATTAACTAGAAAGAATGAGAAAGAAAAAGAATAATTGCACATTGGAATGGGGACGATCAAAAGGAAAATCACAATAGTTAATTACCTGGCATGTAGTAATCCCCCGAGATTAGCAGTGGACAGAGACCTGAGCCAGGTGCATCCAAACTGAGACAGCCATGCCTGGAGGGCATTGAATTCCTCCACGATTGGTTTCGGTGTGGCATCCCGGTAATCTTTGTTCTGGATATTCCAGTACGGCTTTATTAAGCGTAGGCCCTCTTCACAGGCGAGTTTAGGATCCAAGCGACATCCTAACCCGCTCTTCGTCATGATGAACCGCTTGTACTTTGACAAAACGTATGAGTAGATGATAAAACGGATCAGATGACTTGGTTCGCTTGGAAGGACCGAAGTTACCGGCTGTTCAAGCGAGTCGAAGAAGCGAAGTGGGTGGAGAAAACTTCTGTTGAAGGTAGGGCCTGTAGAGATTGATTTAGTTTTATCGACGTCGGCGCCTGCGAGAGTAAGTTAGAATGAGTTCTCACATTAATCAATGAAGAATGGAGGGGCAACGATTGTAGATACCGTCCAATTTTAGGCTGCAGAGAGCATTAATGATATTGTCAAGAGTGTCTTGCTTTGCACTGAAACCCACAACTACAGGGTTCGCACGATGTTGTGTCAACTGAAAGCAAGTTATCTCGGCAGCTTTGCGGATACGTCTAAAATGCACCGCCATCGCTGAAAGCAACGATGCATAGCCTTCGGCGTCCTCCTTCTTGCACGACATGTATAATTCTCGCACGAGGCTTGCCCGAATATGGCAAGCTGTGTCGCCAACATGGGCATCAAATTTCGAAAATCCCGATTGATGAGTTCCAAGGAGCAGAGAGGCGAAGATATGGACGGCTTCCTCGGCATCAAGGGACGCGCGGACGATATGGGTGAGAAGAGAGCCATAAGAGCCGCGTTTTCTAGGCTCTGTTGATAAAATGTCCGTGGGAAGAATAATTGTTGTCATTATGAGTAAGTTAGCAATTTCATCGGGATATTCCTCATTTCTATGATCTTTTTTCGCATTTTTTGGATTATGAAGCTGCATCTATGTTAGACTTGGACATATGTCACCGTCCAGAAAGCAAGGGCGAAGCCTCCTCCGTGATTGACATAACAAGCTGATACCTCAGAAACTCTAATTTTACTATCTGTAAGTTTTGAGCAATTTGCTTTTTAGTTATAAATTATTTGTTTATTTCCTTTGACCGCCATTTGAACACCACACACTGTGGAGTCATGTCTCATCGTCCCATCATTTCTAACGCTTCAGCAGTGCACAGGCCAATAAGAAGCCAATTGATGGAAACTTAAGTCGCAGGGATTAGATTTCCTCCATATAATTAGCAGGCTGATAAAGTTTCGCAAGAGGGCAGGCGTTTTCTCTCTCCACGGTGCAATTGAACCGGCGGTGTATAGTGGCAAGAGTCTGAGTTCTCACAATAAAGGTCGATTGGCCTCGTCACCCGTCATTTGACTTGCATCTTTTCAATACGTGAATTCATCATATTAACACATAGATGCGACTGGAAAATACTATAACTGAAATTTCCAACATGTTGTCCGAGATTTTCACGGCGACGAGTATTGTCCTCGGCCTATCAGTTGCGTTTTCACTCATCTTTCGAGCATTTTCTGTGTCGGTTCGTGATGTGAGCTCACTGAAATTCGACTGATTGAACCTAATAGCCTACTCCAAACAGTATGTTCCAAGAGACGATAATGGGCTCAAAATGGCGGAGGTGAGAGGCGACACACGTGTGCGCCGATTTACCCATGGGTTGGTAGAGTGAGACCATACCACTGATATCCATGATCTAACGTCTTGATCACTTTCATATTGAAGGAGACAAATATCGGATGAAGGGAATGCCCTTGGGCAAGGGAAGCCATACATCATCCAAAATGGCGGGCAGAAGGAGGTGGTTCTGTCTAAGCCGGAGCACCTTCATAGTTTCTTCAGCGGGGATGCTCGAGGTAATGCCCAAAAACCAAGATATGCGAAACTGTAACTGCAAATTTTGACCAAAATCCTTCTTCAAGAACATCGGAAGGTACCCGACGGAAATATGGGTTATTTCGTACATCGGCAAGTATTCCTCGCCTTGAAGTTGTAGAAAAATGCTGAGATATTTTGCAGCCTCCTCGGCCACTGCGTGGCTTTACAAAATGGCCAGAAGTGGCGAGATATTCGCTCTCTCTTCGAACCTATCATTTCCCATGCTGCCACCACAAAGCTCATGCCCGCCTTCCACGATGACATTCATGATTTGCTGAGGTCTCTACAATGTTCTACCTCCCCGGAATCTCAGTCTTTCGGAGCAGAAGTGTCAGGATATTTCCCTAAGCTTCAGCTTCGATTTGTTGCTAGAGCTTTCTACGGGGAGATTCTTACAGAAGAGGTGGGTTAATTATTCCTTCCGTCTTATTTCACCCGATAATGCCATCTCGTAATGCTAAAAAATTATCTTTTGCTAGGCACTTGGGCAACTCATCAAATTGTTCCAAGTTCGCAGCATGCTAGGTTCAAAAGCATTCTTGAGTGCGCACTTAGTGTACAGAATATATGCCTATTTACCAACCGCGACGAATAAACAGCTGAATGAGTATATCCGGGAATTTGAGGAATTCAACCTGCGAGCAGTAGAGCTGGCCAAGGCGGTTCGTGTTTCTAGCGAAAACCTATATATTAGACTGAGCTACGAGACTGACATTAAGGCTACAGAAGAACCTTCACTGCCCATTAGTGCCTGTTTTCGACGCTGTTAAGAACGACAACAAAGTAACTTTGCAAGAGGTGAGTAAAAATATTCTCAAGAAGAGTGGAAGTACTCGACTGCTTACTATCAGCCTTTAAGTGTTTGCAAACTATCGACGAGATCCTCTTTGAGAATATTGATGTTGGCGCCTCGGGCCTGTCTTTTCTTCTCCTCAATATGGCCAGCAGCCGTGAGGCCCAGCATGATCTCAGGTCCGAAGCAATGGCCACATCAAATGCCAATGGTCCGGTCGTACTCGGAACAGATGCATCCGCCTACGTAGCGAAAGGCAATACCTTCTTGGACCTTTGTTGTAGAGAGTCTCGCAGGCTTTGTCCAGCTTTACGCAAGTGCCTCTTCTAGTCAGCTAAAGGTGTAAAGTTGCGGTATTTCTGACATATAGCCCAGGCTTTCTCTTATGCGAATACGCATCTTCGAACAAAACGATTGACGGATTCCACATACCGGCTGGGACTCATGTCACGATCGATTGGCCCCGTCTCAACATTCATTCTCCAGTGTGGTCGCGTTTATCTGATGGCAAAAAAGAACTTAGCGGATTTGACTTTCACCCTTGGCGCTTCAACGACTTGTCTAGGGCAGACTATCGTCACGCCCTCGTGGAATACGGCTGTGGGGCGCGGCAGTGCATTGGTCTCAATTTCGCAAATTTGACTATGAAACTCTTCATATATAAAATATGCACCGAGTATCGCTTATCAACAGAAAAGGGCGTCTGGGAGCTGGGATTTCGTGAAGACAAGTCGATTATGACGCCTAAACCGCACGTCATAACATTCGAACCTATCATATAGAGTTGGATATGATCTCGTTATATTACATGCTGCTAAAGATATCTCACGCATTCCAAGGCTATCATTTCCACTTCACGAACGCGCAATACAATTCATGTCTAAAAAGTGATGAAAATTTCAAATCTATGATCTAGTGATAGGCTGTTCGTCCTTGATGCTGCTGAGCATATACAACATTCAGTTGCGCACAGAACACCTGGGTAAAAATAAGGTTATGTCGAACCTTGGAAGGTGGGTCTAGTTATGGCGAATTTGGATTATTAAACATAGTTCGCATTCTCTTATCATATCTTATTATCTTTTATTAACGTAATCCACGGCTGACCTGATAACCCCAAAACACCATACTAAATGCGATTTTTTAGGTCATAGTATATCAACAACCAGAAGCATTTTAACTTTGATTCTTAGTAGCATCTGAGTTCTAAGCACTGGAAACGGTGTAGCATGACTCAAATATTTTGAAAAGGATTATTTACCTATATTACCAAAAATACACTCCGATCGAGTGATGTAGATGAATACATCAACATTACACCACTTGGAAATATTTCTCAACCTAATGATAATATTAAACATGCTATATCAAACACTTTGGTATCCTAAGAATACAGTCTTGACCTTTGGGGTTGAAATATGAAGTTATGAAAAATAGCATTTAGTATGATGTTTTGAAGTTATCAGGTCGGCCGTGGACTACGTTATGTTTTATTATGTTTTATTATCTTTGGAACACGTCCCGATCGACGCTTATTTAACTTGGGTCTTAAATTTTAAGTTTTGCAGCTTTTTTCTTCATAACTGCGCCCATGTATGTGAGTAGGTTGTAACGTCGCAGAGAGTGACGACACCTAGCCAGATTTTAGCAAATGAAAGACTCAGAACGCACTTGACAGAACTGACTTGACAGAACTGACTCGACAGAACTGCGATAAAGACATCAAGATGGAGCTACTGCATTAGTGCGTCATGCGCCTTCGAATCATGTTCTAAACCGGTCACTAGAATCCTGTCGGAAGCTATGCGGTCTGCATAAAGATAGCAGATAGAAGGGGATTATGCACACAAGCCAATATCTCACAAAGAGAAAAGGTGAAGAAATAATAGCAATTTGACATGCGACCGTCAATATCAAAGTTGAGCAATTTGACTAAGTGCATACAATATTCAATCTCGGATCAGAAAAGAATTCAGTCTTGTTCGTTTTTAACTAGCAACTACAGTGATATTTATAATATGACAGGCAATTTGGAAGATCAACCGAAAAGTCAAGGGAGAACATGAGAGAATTAGAGAGTTAGGAGACTCTTGCCATGGAGGGCAATTAGATTCGATCGTTGAGGATGCAGCATCAGCTGAAAGAAGAGATGCAGCAAGTATGCAGATCAGTCGTATAGATCAGATTGCCCCGCATTAGGTAATCCTGCATGCATATATGCTGCCAATCCCTTACCTTCACTCCTTCACATGAACGAACGCACCAAGTTTAGTATTATAACATGCCCGTGCACTGTCGCGTCCCGTGATCTATTTCGTAAGTCATATCCCCTACCCATCCTCATTTATCTGTTTCTATTTTCATGCTCCTCAAAGTGAGAAATAAAAACAATCATCTACACAACATATCCCGGCTAGCTACGTTGCTACAATTGGAATGAATGGATCTATGGACTCTCTTGAGTCACTGCGAAGTTTAATCAACTCGTCTATTGACATAGTTCAAAAGGATCTCAGGGACCATGATGATCCGCCACTTGAGTTGATGACCCCTGTTCGTCACCCCCAGCGTGATCGTTACAACGCGAAAGTAAATCGAGCGTTGAAGTGTATTTCCAGCGCTAGCTTCATGCTGAAAGCGCTTTGTGACCCGGAGGGACTTATGCATGACATTATGTTCAACGTACGTAACAGATCCGTTGCCTCCTTTCTATTGAAAAATGGCGGTCCAAAAACTCATGTCGACTTTGAGAATAGTTTCATGATTTAACTGCACTTTTCGTTATTTCCCAGGCCAATATAGTCAACATACTCGACGGACACAAATGCCACGTTGAGCAACTGGCGCGCGAAACGTGTATTGATCAGGATAGACTATCCAGTTGCATGCAGGCCCTATGTAACTTGCACATATTCCAGGAGGTAGCGCCGGATGTATATGCCAATAATGAGTTGTCTCTGTTGTTTCAATCAGAGTCACGACGAGCCCTCATAGGCTTATGGTCAGTGTTTTACATCTCCCTACGCTCTACTCTCGACTACGGCTCTACAAGAACTCAATCTGAATTATCTGTGAAATACTACTAGTGCCGACGAGAGTCGATTGTCCTCTTGCAAAGTATGGGAAGCACTCAACTCGAGTCAAGTGGAAAAAGGCTCCCCGAGGAAGTCAGGGTTTCAGTTAGCCTACGACACCGATCTAAATATCTACGAATGGTGGCAAAAGGTGCGACCGGATCTCGGCGCTCGAGGGGCTATCGCGTTTACCGGCAAGGGACTCAACATGGAGCAGTACCTATCTCGTAAGTGCATTTCACAGGTTGGCGCTATGCAATACATGTACTCACCTCACTCCTCTGAAAGTATATCCTTGGGCACAAGAACGTGTGAATGCCCTGGTAGTGGATGTGGGAGGGGGAGCCGGTGGTGCAACGTTGCCATTCCTGAGGCAGTATGGCCATTTGAATCTCCAAGTACAAGACCTTCCTGAGACTGAGAAGAATTTTGACGCGGTGGGTTTATTCGTTTTTATTGGTCCAAAATAATATCACCATCCGCATTGTCTGTAGATGGGAGGCCTATCACCCAGCTACTGACCCCGATCTTTTCTAGTTTTTGCACGCGGATTATTCGGACATTGCTGAGTCTGGTCGAGCAACATTTCTCGCTCAAGACTTTTTCGAGCCACAAGCCACGCAAGGTGCCGATGTTTACTTTTTGCGTCATATTTTGCACAATTGGAACGACTCCATGGTTGGCAAGATTTTGAACAACTTGACAGCTGCAATGTCGCTGGAAAGCAAGTTACTGATTTGCGAGCACATCCTCCTGCCCGTCTACGCAAGCCAGCAAGCTCGGGACCGAGTCGAGGATAACGATACATTTTTTGCTCCACATCCACTTCTCGCTAACTGGGGGGCAAGTTTTACCAGCAGGTTAGATCTGCAGGTGCTGTCAATTCTCGATGCGCGGCAGCGCACGGCGGGGGATTTTGAACGATTATTTATTGCGGCTGGGCTTCGTGTTTCCCACACGTGGAGAAACATGGGCGATGACACAATATTGGAATGCAGGCTTATGTCCTAGTAGCAGTTAGCAGCAGACTTACTACCCACACTGTTTTTTTGGTAATTTTTCAATCGTAAGCAGAAAAATATCTATTCCTGGCTGGAGCGGACGCCAAAGCACAGGACAGCAGCTGCAGCAACGCTCTCCGGGCCACGTTGGAGAGTAGCTATCAAGAATATATTAAACTGTTCTTAGGCAAGGGAGCGGATGCCAACGCAGAAAATGGCGATTATGGGAACTCTCTCCAGGCCACCTCAGTGGGAGGCTATCAAGAGATTGTCAAACCGCTCTTAGACAAGCGAGCGGATGTTGACGCGCAGAGCGCGAACACTGGAACCGGGAGCGTAACAATTGTCCCGACGCTCTCAGGCCGCGTCAAAGGACAGCCATCAAGAGATTTTCAAGCTTCTCTTAGACAAGGGAGCGGACGTTAATGCGCTGGGCGGCTGCTACGGATGCGCTCTCCAGAGACCATCGCGATATTCCTAAGCTACTCTAGAGAAAGGGAGCTATTACATCGTCTTCAAGAAGTCTAGCTCCGAGCAATTTGGCAAAGGAACTCCGTCTCGCAGATTATGAACCTCCTAGTCAAGCTCAATAATCCGTTCAGTAGCCTCTATCACTCTTACTACTTTCTAGATTCTAGGTGTGGCCCGGTAATCCTGAAGGTAGCTAATGTTTATAAGGCAAAGATAAATCATATTCATGAAATATTCAATGGACTACTGATGGTTCCAAGGCTCACTCAGGGCCATTATGACTAGAGCTACTCATATCGCCAGTGTCTACGTGTCGTAGCCTGTTTTCAACGCAATCCCAGACAGCCGATTGCATATTAGTGTGCCTCGACATCCAGTCGAGGAACTCTAGGAATGCTGGTTTTCAATTATTCAGCCGCCCAGAAGAGTGAGGCAGAGAGCTAGCTCCCCAAATTAGACATCAAATGATGTGACAAAACTCTATCTCCAGGTATCTGCCAATCAATCCCAAGAATGCAACCCGTACTCAGGCATGATCGTGTCTTAGGGACGCATGCAAACCCATCTTATCGTCTCTGTCAGTAGATCGTGCAGCCAGCAAGCTTCTGGGCCCGGGGCATGTGTGGTGATGACGATCGGAACAGTACGGGTCTTAGAACCGAGTGGTCTCAGAATCGAGTCGCGAACAGCGGCTGGGGGTGGAGGAGAATGGATGTTTGGTCGACGTTCGATGCCACTGCTTAGCCCTCAAATAAGCCGAGCTGAAATTACAGTCAAAACGGTCGCAGTCGCTCTGGCGGTGAGCGCAAGATTCAATGTCACAAAGGGCTAGCTCATTTTGCGTGCCGCTTTTGAAGCTAGCAGAGGGAGTCCATCCGAGAGCGTGATAGATTGATGTCACGAGAAGCGATGAGAAGCCGACAACAACGAGGGCTAGAGAAAAGGGAGTGGCGAAGTCCCGGAGCTCTGCGACCCGGATCAATAGCAAAAAATGCCTCAGCTACAGAGGCCGGAGCAGAGGGGCAAAAAACAAAATTGAGGGGAGTGTCGGTCAGGAAGGGGGAGGTCGAGTCTTATATACTACCACGCAAAGCGACTCACTAGACTAAACCAGATTCATAAAGCCAAAAGTTGATTAGATTTCATCAATTAATCCGATATGGTGTAGTGGCTAACATCGCCGTCTCTCACACGGCAGCCGGGGGTTCGATTCCCCCTATCGGAGTTGCTTTTTTGCTCAGAATAGGATGGTTCGTGTGTGGGTGGGTGGAGTAGGTGGGGAGGGGGGGGTGATCTATAGGCGAAGTGGAAACAAAGCTAACGTGAACCGAGCCTAGATGTAAATTTGACAGCAACTTGAAGGTTCATACATCTTCCAACTACTATCCCAAATCTCTTCTAGAGAGCACTATATAACATGTAATATCTAATCAAATAATTTATCAGGATGTGACGCAGTGAATGCTGTATCGGAAGGTTCAAACCGAGCGATGGGTGATCCTCGATGAGTTGGTAGCGACTCGGCACTCGGTGCATCAAATAACATGCCAGGTGGAAGACCAGGGTAGTATAGTAATCTTGAACGCTAATTAGAACCTTTATTAGATCATGATACTTAGGTTTATTGTAAACTTGAAATGAATCAATATCATTTTATACCTAAGTACTAGTATTAGTTTAGTACGTTAGAATCAGAGTTTCAGGTCAAATTATTTTATGCCAAGCTACTATCAGATTCTTCTGGAATCTTCAAGTTCCAATTGGCATGATCCGACTATTAATGATATCATGATCCACTAGTAGTAGCCTGGAGGTAGTACGATAAGATTCTGTTTCTAGCAATTATAAAATGATTCAATTCTCACAAATAACACAATATGTATCTTGATAACAATTAAGGATAGACTAGATTAAATTCGGAATCCCCGGCCCCGGGAAGACCCCAGAAGTCTTCTATTAAATAGTTCAATAGGTCGTTTAAGCTCGGCAGTTGATGACACCGTGGTCAAGGTTGACAACAATGGCCTTGGCGGGGTTGCCACCGAGAGCGGCGTAGGTCTTTTGGGAAGTGAAAGTAGCAAGGACAGCGCCATTGTTCTTAAGAGTACAGCTGATCGTACCCGGGAATTGAGTCAACTGGGCGGACGAGGCAAGGACGTGGCCAGAAGAGCCAACAGAGGCGGAGCCGAAGAGGGATGGAATGGTCCTGTCGGCACCATCCGCGGGGAAAGTCACGCCGGAATATGCGCCACTCTGATCATTCGAGAGAGCAAAACCGACGGTTGCGGCTGTGCGGGCCTCGAGGGGGACTGCAATGGCAGTGGCGACGAACAGGAGGGAGGTGGCAATTGCGGACTTCATTTTGATGAAATAGAATAACTTATAGAAGTTGTTTTTGGAATGAGTTGAGGATGTTTCAGGTTGATTATGATGAGAGTGTTGAAGAATATTTTTCAAGAGTATGGGGGAGGGAGAAGCGATCTTTTATAACTACCAAAGGCAATGTATTAGAAGGAATTTAGAGCCTTTCTCGTATTCTAGTCTTTGTGAGATTACCCATCTATCAATCTAGGCCCCCTTCTTCCCTAATTTTAGGCCCTATCGGCTTGATCTCATGATACATTCCTAAGAAAGGTGTCTTAGAAGAGCACCGACGCTGTTCGTGCCTACAAAAGCGCCTCGTTAGGCTCTCTGGTAGCCTCGCGTATTATGTGAAGAAGTGGGTCTGTTGATCAGATCTTACCATCCAGAAAGAGTAATTTTTGATGCTGACTATAATCGGCCTTTAATTGAGTCAAAGTTGGAATCTACCAGTAGTGAAATGAATCTGACAGGCAAGCAATACAGAGCGAAAGACCTGTTGATGCAATACTATATTCAAAGGTATTGAAAACCAGTAGACGCAATTCCAGTACTAGGCGAGACCCTGAAAATTAGATCTGGAATTACCGAGCTTGCTAAGCCCGCCCAGAAGCTCAGTGGACCATTTTGGCTCTCTTACATTGCATAGTGGCGTCATTTCGTGTCTCAATAAATACCCTCAGCATTCAAAGCCACCATGCATTGCAATACGGCTGAACTGCACCCAATCTTCAAAAAACCAGTTTTCTTTGAACTTGAATGTCGAACCACTGCGCCTCTTTATGGGGGTTGAAATCTTGTATACAATAACTCGAAGTATATACTACTAGTAGTACTATATACTATTAACAACTTGAATGACTCCAAGAAAATTACTCTCGTAGGTGGCAATCATCCAGGGATGGTAAGCTGTCCCGGTGGACGAGCAGAAGAAAAGTCGGTTAGAAAGTAACTTGAATAATGTACTCGAGCAAATCCAATCAGTTTAACAAGACATTGCATTTTACAAGCGAATAGAAGTAGAATAGAAACGAGAAGAATTATGCACGGCACTAGACAATCGCTGAGAGATCCACATGATCCAGGTTAGGACCTATCCGAGGCAGCCGAACACGAGAAAACCTGGGGAGCCATACTGAGACATAAGGCTTCTTATTCGAGGACCTGCGGCTGAGTCCTCGTATTCAAAACGTATGTCTTACAATTTCTCGGTTCTCAGAGCCCGCATTGCGGGGCTGGATGGCCTGAAGTAATACTTGGCTGCTAGGTGGCATTTACTACGAGGCACCAACCATTCGAGTGAGTTTGTCTTAGGCCCTACAAAGATTATTCATTAAATACTAATATTATAGCAAAGATCTTTTTCTCGGCAAACTATTCTTCCTATGGAAAGACCGGGCATCGATATTGTCAAATTAGTCATTGCATAAGGCAAAAGAAATCCTAGACCAGCACATCGAGACGGCTCAAATGCGAAAGCTGGAGGATAATTAAAAACCAATCCTAGAAACGTGCCACGGAGACCGCTATTTTGACTTGGGTTCCCTGCTGAGATCTCAAATCTCGAATTTTCTATTCTGGGGTTCCCGGGGATTCGGTCGGGGTGGCTTAGCCTTTATGAGGTGTGTGAATCACTCCTTCTATTTGTGTAGTCTAAGACATTACATCGCCCACCTTCGAAGTACAATCATCAAGCGTCAGCAATATCCTGCCTCTTCATCTTTCTCCCTCTCCAGATTTCGACCTCGCCTCCGCCTCGAATCACGCCAACACGCATACTAGACAGAAGATTATGCGCGGCATTGGAATGGTTATAAACACCTCCATTAAATAGAGCCGTGGCATCCTTGCCAATTCCAGAGCTGATCAAGGCCTTACCACCAGGGTGATCCTTAATAAAGCCAGTCACATCATGGATCACGCCCGCAATAGCGACGAGCGCTTTGCCAGATTGAGCGTCGGCGACGAAATCATCCCAGGAAATGACGGGAAGCTGTTCTAGAGGAGTGCCCCAATCTAGAAGAGCTCGCTTTTGGTCGACCTTCTTTTGTAGTTGCTGCACGCGTCCTTTCTCAATTTCGTTGGCCCGGAACTGCTTGAGGTTGGAGGCCAGGCCTAGTTGTTTCCACATCCAGATCGACCATTTTGTTGGATCATACTGCCACCACTGAATGGCGTTGCGATAGTCGGAGGGAAACTGCACATATATTAGCCTTGAAATGTTGCACTTCAATAGCAAAGCGAGGACTAGAATATCATTACCTCATGGTGGAAGTTATGATAGCCCTCACCCAAAGTGACAAGGGCAGTAATAACATGATCACGGGGCGAATTTCTGTCGTCAAAAGGCTAAGAAGTGTTAGTGCGTAAAAGAAATTAGATTCGGTTGCAACTGACCTGATCTCCAAGCCAATGTGCCAGAGAGTTAACACAGAATGTTGCTTGTTGTACGAAGAAAAATCTCAGAACGCCCGAATACAACAGGCCGCCCTTCCAATCACCCCATCCAAAACCGGCAACGAACATCGGGAACAAGATCCCAAATATCAAGATAAAAGAAACATAGTTCTTGTGCTGCCATACGACAACTGGATCGTGGTTTAAATCCGAGATATCTGTTCGGCCTTTCTCTTTCGGGTTTTGCTTTAGAACCATCCACATGAGATGGGAGTAAACCAATCCCTTCCGAACACTATAGGGATCTTTAACAGTATCCGTCCATCGATGATGAGCTCGGTGTTTGGCACTCCAGAATCGAATGGAGCCTTGTACGGAGCCACCACCAACACAGGCAAGGAAGACACGGAGGGGTAAACCACTTGGTCGAATAAATGGATTAGTTCAATTAAGAAATGCGCGGGGAAGACACAAACGGAACAAATAATCTTACGCCTCGTATGATCGATGTGACCAAAGTCTATGATATCCAGCAGTAATGCCCAATCCTGTCCAGAAATAGTAAACGATGGCCCAAATAGCCGTAGGTAGCTTTAATGGGGTAAAAGGTGCGGCGATGCACCCAAAGATGGGTACAATTAGGATGAGCGTCGTGCTAAGCCAGTTGACATGGCGATGCCAATTGTCAAGAGTAATTGGCTGCTCTGTAATATGTCCTTTTCTAGAGGCGGGTTCATTTTCTACCATTTTCGAGAAAGAATATGAATAAGAATGTACGCTCGGCGATAAAAAGGCCGCGGCAAATAGAATGAAAGACTCGGAGGGAAAGCGATATGGAATATACTACAAAACAGGAGAATAGCTTTATTATATCAAATCCATGGAATTTACTTCATTGATTACTCTGATCAAAATCCTGGATCCTCGGTCTCATGTGCAAGTGACGTGTTGTGACTCCTTGAGTGTAGTTGAATTTGTTGGGTTGTTGGGCCCGAAGGATGTCTGCACTTTTTCTCACCAAACCTACCCGTGGGTCATGATCACTAGTTACTAGTACCATGGTACATGACTGGAGCCGCACGGAAAGTCCTTTTAGGCTATAGCCTATCCATAGGCTATTCAATTTGACGGGGTAGAATATCGACAAAATTATTTGAAGCATTTTGTTGATTTCTAGCCCCCAATTTATCCATTGGGGTCTTGAATAGAGCTTCGGCTGGCCTGGTTCATGACTCAATCTGTTCAAACAAGGTGCGAATCTGCTACAGATGGGCCAATCATGCAGCGATGGGGCCAGTGGACCAAAATATTCATTAATATGTTGAATGGTTTAACTGTTAGAATACTCTAGAATGACATGGTGTGCATAATAAAGTGCAAAAAGAAATGATTAATTGGTCAATGCTGGGCTGTCCAAGGAAACATGAAATATGGGGACTTTGAGACCTTTTGTCTTACTCAACCAAAATACATTCGTTTCTCACGAATGATGTCAAATTGGGCGTGGGTTACTCACGAAAGAGGATGATCGTATCATTGTGCATTGCCATCTAAGCTGAGTGGAAGGGTGTGCAAGATCGATCTTTCACTCGAGAAAACGCTCTTTCAGGACCTTTGGAATTCCAGTTTTACCAACAAATTTCAGTGAATTATTACTGCAAAAGCAATATGATTAAGCTCGTCTGGCTACGGATTGGGGTGATCTTGTGCCGTATGCTCCGCAAAGTAGGGAATAGTAACACTCCATATAGCTCATCCTCAATTTGATTGAAAGGGGTAAAAATCGGTCCGACCATCGGGGAAGAATCGTAACTTGATCTAAACTCAATTTCCTAAAATTTCAGTCCAGTGATAGAGCAATGGCCCCATTATTGAAGATCAGAAATCTGAAGTATACTTCAAGAAATGGCGGTGGGGTTCTGCCGGTCCCTGGTATGAGATTGGAATGATGCCTAGGCATTCCGAAGTTGTTCTCCATACATCTGGCCAAGATTATCTGGTTTGAAGCCGGTGGCTTGAAATGGCCACTGCGGAAGCCCTTAGCTCGATTTAGAGCCATGAGACTTGATCCGATCAACCAGCCATGTTTATCTGGCCTCCAAGTGATTGGATTCCGTGGAAGCCCTCGCCCCGCTACCCTGAGATTTTCTAGGACATGAGATGGGATCAAGATTGGATTCCCAGTTGCCCCCACTCTTATCGGCATATCAGAGTCGCCAACGCTAGCATGTGAAACTGCAATCCGCATGCAAGAAAAATTGCCGCAGGGCCGTTATCTGTCAGATCACCTCATCGCTGGGATTTTCAGATTCTTCCAATTTCCGACGAAGTTTCGTGGTAATTTAGTCCACCCTTCGCTCGCAGTTGCAAGCGCCAGAGCCTCGAAATGGAGTACTCCAGGCTCCCCCTGATGTCCATTCCAGCATCAATCCGACGCCGGCTGCTGCGGCTGTACCCGTCTCATAGGGCTGGACCTGATACCAAAGAGATAACGAGCGAAGCCCTGCGTCATGCACTGGCATCATCGTCAGAGCCATATCTCCCTTACTGTAGCCAAATTTCTGGCAATCTCGCGACAGAAACACAACGGCCCCCGACAGCAAGCGATGACTTGGATTCCTTGAACTCTGGATCTGGATCATCTGGCCCGAGCAGCCCTCCGACAGAAGAGAGCGGACACCCCACAAAGTACGAAACCGAGTCAGGCCTGCGGTGGAACCGTGTTGTGCCAGGTGAGATCGAACCTTGACTGAGCTTCAGCCGAATTCATTTGACTCATGTCCATTATTCCCAAGCGTTCAATCTTCTCCGAAATGCAGGATATGAAGCACAACAACCAAGAGCTGATGGCCGACTGGCTCGGTCGCTTTACATAAATGCGTTGATGTATCTGCTAGATGCCCTCCCGGAAGACCTGAGTGCTGAAGAGTCGAATATGCTACAACATCGTTTACCAGAACCCATAAAAACATCACTAGCAACCTGCCCATCGTCACATCTAGCTCGACTAGAAAGTCCTACGGAGAGCAGACAACCACCACCCGCCAGGTCATACTTACATAGACTTCTTGCATCGACTATTGTGCAAATATTTCTGCTGGCGCGATTCGTTCTACCTTATTTCAAAGTATTCCTCCGGCAGGTCTATGAGTACGAACGATCCCACCGCATCACCGAGCGTATCGTGACAACCACGCTAGATGCTACGGATGGCCTTGGAAAGAGTGGAGTGAATATCGGCTCGGCAGTCTGCAAATTCAATGAAGGGCGTGTCGGAGCAGCAGTTGGGAACCTGGCGGCGTGGTGGATTGAAGGAGTTGCGGGTGGTGTCTATGAAGGAGTGGGCGAAGGTATGATTCATTTGGGATTGTTGAAGCCAGGACTAGAATTGGATAGATTGTCATATTGAGTAGATCACGATTATTAGATTAGCCGAATCATGAATAACGACCTTTCCCATGCTATACTTGCTATACTTCATGTGCGGTAGCCCACTTGTCCCCAAGGACTGGGAGTCGATAAGGTGATAAGCCGAGTTGTTTTGGACTCCAATTCATCAACTCTCTCCTCCGCACCACCTCGAACAATGTCAACTACAGCACTACCTTGCATTCCCTCCGTTCGGAGGCAGCAATTGCATTTGGAATTGTGAGAGTCGCCCATTCCTCAAGCCTTCAAGTTCCACTCTGACCTTACTCTCTACAGTGCCAGCCTGCGGCATGCCGCACCGCCAGGGGTTTACGTGAGCCTCGCGCCTGGAGACCCCACGCTTTGGAATGGTGTCATCTTCGTACGCTCCGGTGAGTTGAATCCTTCAAAGAATCACTGGTCCTTACTGACCGGAAAAATTCCCACCATAGGCCCTTATGCCTCCGCTGTTCTCCGCCTACAAATCCGCTTCCCCGACATCTACCCCGATCTACCTCCACTTGTCACCTTCGCGACCGATGTTTTCCACCCATTGATCGTTCCCCTTACAACATATACCTTCAGCACTAGCTCGGCAAGTGATAACCCCGTCAGTGCAACCGACGAGGAACGTCTACCCCCGGGTGGCTTCAGTCTTCGCCATGGTTTCCCACACTGGTTCGGTAGAGCGACACGAAAGGACGTTGCATCTGGAGCTTCGTCGCGCAATGTGAGCGGGAATAGTGCGAAGGTTGCTTCTCCTTCCGAGGCAAGGCAGAGCGATATTGGATTGGAGGGCGAAGAACCATCGGACACGCCACATACTTCAGACGCTGTCTCAGATCTACCGATTGGCAACGAGGACAATACCGAGGCTCAAGAAGAACCAGCTCGGGTCGCACAGGTGCCTAATTTGGACCAATTCGTTCAACCCAGGACGGTCGTTCCTGTTTACGAGCTGCTGGAGTATATCCGATCGACATTTGACGATGAGGAAGTGCTGGACTCGTTACCTGTCGAGGCAGCGGGAAATCCGGGCGCGTGGCACGCATGGAAAGCCCATCGTCGGGGTGGACATACTCCAGGTGATTTGAAACGGGGAAGTCCGCAGGCTCGGCTCCCCGGTGACTGGCATTGGGATGGAATTTGGGCTCGCCGAGTCGAGACTGAAATCGAGACTAGTAATTCCGATCCGATGCTATTTGGAAATGCCAATCGTGCAGGCGATGAGATGGTAAGGAAAACCCCAATGTAGTGATTTCTGACACGGAAATTGACATTCTTAACAGATAAGATTCTCGCGATTGGACGAGGCGACTTTGGAATCGGTGAAGGAGATGATGGCTTCAGTGGCGCACGTACATAAAGAGTGAAGAGGAGAAAGAAAAGATGCCTTCAAATATACCCAGCCAATGCTACTACTTGAACAGTTCCTCGTTCCTTCCCACTTCAATATGGTCATGGCCACTGCTGCCACTGCCATGCTTGCGCCGGCTTAGATCGCCTTCCACGGCCCAAAGGTCACTTTGACCGCACATACACCTTCTCATCCCAAGATGTCCAATATTATATCTCTTGATTTCAAGAGTTCTGCATTGATTATTGCCCTGGTATTGGTTCCTATCGTCATTCTATTCTGTGCGGTCGCTGTGGCCCTGGCCTGCTCTGAGCACTGCAGCTGTCGGTTCAACACTCCTCCCTGGCTCTCTTGCCGAACTCGCTACCGTCACAAAAGGCGCCTTCGCTCTGATCTCGAGAGTGGTACCGGTCAAGGCACCGAGACTTCTGAAGTGCCCTTGAATTACGCATCTCCCGTTCACACTAGCGAGCATGTCTAGACCGGATCGATCAGCGATGGATGACGATACCCCAAGGCCCGACACTTCCAAGAAAGCCAGACTCACACTCTCTCGAAGCACTATATCGTCGACGTCCTATCCTCGTATCCCGCGGCGATCTTCATCCCTATACAGTTCAGGAAATAGCACTGATGACCCACCTACATCGACAAGAACCCCGTCTTACAGCAGCAGTTCATATCAGATTGAAGTCACGAAAAGAAGAACAAACTATCAACGATTTCCCGAAGGCACAAGAGAGTCTCTTTGGAGCCTATTAGAAGATCCATTTTCCGACTCAATGGTTGTCTGTGCCTTGAAACCGAGATGTCTGGCTCTTTACTGACATAGTCTGCAGATCCCAGAGACCCCTACCAAATCACCGAAGCTAGATCAACGTGCCCGACGTCGAAATTCTCCCCATGGTTTGCAGATTCGCTGGAGCTCTGGATCCTACAGCGATTCGCTGCCAGGTCTGCCAGATTCCTCCAATGGAAAAAATCTATCGAATTGTTGGGAAAAGTCACAGTTTCTCTGTCCGATGGATCTGCCAATTGGTTTTGTTGGAGTCAAAACAACCACCAATCCTCCACAAATCGGCTTTGGCAAAGAAAGCGTGACAACCACAATAGATGTCTCTGCCGATGTCAGTTTTGTTCCACTGCCAGAGCCGTCGAACCTTGCGCCACTCGATATCGTTATTCTCCTCGATAGCTTGTATGTTGAAGTGTTGCTATGATTGGCTTGTCACTGTACTTATCATATACCTAGGCCTGCGGCACCTGGCAACTCCCTGACACAGTTCATCCTAGGATCAACAATTCTGGCTTCGCATACAATTCAAGGCCAGGATCGCATTTCGATTGGCTATGTGAATGAAGCTTTCACGAATCACTTCCAGCTATTGCTTCCGTTGGGATTTCACTCCGTGGACAACATTCAGGCCGCCCTCAACATATTTTCCCATCGCTCACGGGCTGGCAACCCGAAAAAGCGTAACCTCGAACTCGCCATTCGTGAATCTTCCAGGATTTTCAGCGCTTCGCCAAGAGTTGCTTACTGCAACCTATTTTTCCTTTCTTCGGTTTCGCCCGCAAACTACCAAGTACCTTGGATCGATAAAGCCATTGGATTCCACACAATCACGCCTGAGAGTTATTTCCCTTTGATTCACATGAATCGCCAACCTGGGTGGCATATATTTTATGATCCTGAAGAAATTGGCAGCAAAAGGATTCATTTTGCCCAGAGGGTTGCCAAGGCCATTCGACACATTCGCCTTGGTATACGTCCCGGGTCCCTTAATCAGATCAAAATTGTTTTGACACCAGGGCCGGGGTGCCAAATAGAGCCGATCGCTAAATTCTATCAAATCACATCACTTCGCCCCGGAGAAGTATGGAGTGTCCCAATAAACATCATCATTCCGATCGCATTTCAAGAAACCGATAGAGAGGAACTCCAAAAACTACCCCAAGTCGCCATGGAGACAATTGCTGGGATCAACAAATTCTTGATGGGCTGGGTCAGAGATCTACCCGAACAAATCCTCACTGTTCAAGTCGAATATCAACATTCACTTCTTCCAACAAATTGCATTGTCAACCAGGAAACTTTCGTGACCAGTCTACGCAGTCGACATGCCAGTGGTTTCAAAACATCCTTGGAGAAACCCGGCACTACCTTTGTACAGCCCGGCGAAAAGTTTACATTCAGCTTGGCATAGATCGCCGCAACGTTTTATCACTGCTTGGTTGTATCCATTTTTACCCCGTTCCCATTACCCCAATAGCTACAACCTTTATGGTATTTTGTACACTACTAGTTAAGTTCAAAATCAAAGGCGTTCTCTGCAGCGCTCTATCCAAAATCAACATTGGAATAGTGTTCCCCAAAGCTATACCATCCACTTAGCCACTCGATGAAGCTACTAGTATTCTACCACCTGCCTAGGTATTAAGATTTCTCTAGGGCTTGATCTTAGCAGTTCAGGGTACTGGGTACCTAGTACTATTAGCATACGAAGTAGTAGTATAGTAATGGTTATATCCCTAATACTGACCAAGTCGCTATCTATACTAACAGTACTAACATACAGTACCCATAAACGTCAAGGCAGTTTGCCATCCTCAAATTCGACTATAAACATTTCCACTCATTCGCCATGTCTCTTTAATGAGATCAGCACACTTCTCTCCAAGACCGTACGCCGGCATTTGAGTGTGTCCTCCATGCAAAGTAGGCATGGCACTACAATCAGCAACCCGCAAACCGGAAACACCGCGAACCTGCATCTTCTCATCCAGAACAGCCATAGGGTTATCCTTCTTACCCATGGCACATGTACCTGCTGCGTGATAGCCTAGAACAATTATCAGTATTACGACCAAAATCAAATTGTGCATATCGAGAACTCACAAGTAGTAGCATGTTCCTTGACGTAGGGCACCCACTCCTCTCTTGTCTTGTAGGTATGATGGTTCAAGTTAGGCGGCCAGGAACCCTTAACAATATCCTTGGTTCCAGCACCCTTCATAACAACTTCATTTCCAAATCGACAAGCCTCACTTAGGACCAGCAGATCCATCGGGTCAGCCAGATAGTTACAGTCAACGATAGGGTTCTCCATGGGGTTAGTCGAGTTCAAAGTCACCGAGCCACGAGACTTGGGCGCGAACAATTCCGCGATCATCGAGAAAGCATGCTTCTGGTCGATGGGGAACTGGTCATATTGCTTCGGGCCACCATAGCACTCTGTCGTGAAAAATTCGATGTTGGGTTGAGAGGGCGTGAGACCCATGGGATCACGGCCTGGTAGACGAGGGGCATTCTTCCATAGCGGGTCGTCCTTGAGTCGATCGTCGATTCTGGCGAAGGCGAAGGCGCCGAAGGGGAATGTGGAAAGGAATCCCGTTTTCTTCTCCTTATATTCTGCGTAGGTTTTGTCGAAGTTATCGCCGTGGTAGACGTGATAGTCGTTAGTTATTCCCGCTTTCTCGGTTTCGTAGAACATGAACACAATCTATTGTCATCAGTCAGTGAATTCAACGAAACGGACTCGGGTATGGAGCTAACCAGATGATCCATAAGATTTTTTCCAACGCCTGGAGAATCCACGATGCATTCTATTTGATGCTTCTTCAGCTCCTCCTTGGACCCAATACCAGATCGGAGCAGGATTGCAGGGCTGCAGTACGCCCCGCCGGAAATGATGATCTCTTTGCGCGCAAAGAACGTCTTGGAGCTGCCATCGGCTGCTTTGGTCACAACGCCGGTCGCACGGGCTTGGCCTCCTTGCTTGTCAAAAATGACCTTGTCCACGGTGGTATCTGTCTGGATCGTAATATTGCCTCGGTGGTTCTTGTTGGTCACAAAGTCTGCACCTGTTGTCCGAATGCCCTCATAAACAGTGCGAGGGACATGGCCACATCCTTGTGCGACATCTCCGGTACTAAACATGTCATGGTTGAGTAGCATTCCCTCCGACACAAAAGAATCCAGAAGAAGCTTTGAAATCGGCGCTAGATCGTGAGGCTCAGTATGTAATGGTCCGGAGTAGCCATGGCTGGTCTTATCGGCGTGAAACCAAGGCTTGGGATGGAATGTTTCCGCCTATTATAATTTGTAAGAAACGAGCTCCTATGAATTTCGCAGAGGTTGGATATCACCTTTCTCATGTACTTGAAGAAATCCTCACCGCTCCATCCGTCAAGTCCCCAGTCATCGTAGTCCTGCTTATTTCCACGGATACAAAGTGTACCATTACAGCCACTGGAGCCACCCAAGAAACGTCCACGACTCAATTTCACCTGACGATTGGCCACACCAGCCATCGGAGGAGTGACAACATTCCAATCGGTCTCTGAATCGAAATTATTTGACCATCTATCTTATTAGTAGCTGGAAGCTCTTCCGGCAAGTGGAGACAGCTTACCCGCCCGCCATGTGTACATTCTCCAGATCCTTATTATGCTGGCCAGCTTCGATGAGAAGGACCCTGATTTCCGGATTCTCAGCTAGACGACCGGCGACTACACAGCCAGATGTGCCACCCCTGTTGCGTTGGTCAGTGATAATTTCAGACCGAAGTCACCAGAACCAATCAATCTAACCCGCAGACGATATAATCATAGCTGTCGTTTTGGGCAGCCATGTTGTGATAGACACACAGAACAATTTCAACGAAGGATCAGAAAGAGATTCAAAGTTCTTCACAAAAAGTATCAGCGATCACAATTCCCTTAAATACTCGCCCTAAAACACACCGAGGGAGGCGGCGCGGAATTCCGCCTAACGCATCGAGGCGGGGCGGCGGAGGGCGAAGCTGGCCTCAGCACAAGAGTCCATTAGCCTATCGGGGGAATCCCACTGGGTCACCTTTCGTATCGCGCCTTAGTGCATTCAACGACTCCGTTCTGCTGAACCATGCTGTAAAAGGTGAGACTTTACATCCGAGGTGTTTCTGGGGCATCCAAGGCGGAGGACGGAATGAAGTGGCTTGATTCCGCCCGCAAGAGGGGGATAACCCCGCATCAACTCTATTTGGCGCGAATAATCATCCTCTGATCTCCAATCGATCTCGATTCCCCGTTCAACCTTTTGCCTTTTGCTGGTTTTGGGGTTCCCCCGTGGGGCAGATAAAAGCTGAAGGTGGGGGCAAAAAAACGAATGGATCCAATTGTGGGCCTCAATTTGTTGCAGACCGATGGGAACTAGCGAACTTGGCCGACTTGTCGTACAAAATGGGGGAAGTCTAGGAAATTCTGGGGAAATGGGAGTTTGGATTGGCTATGATCTACTGCGATGCAGAAAAATTGGACAGCCCCGGTGCCACATCCTTGCTTTGCTTATGATGCCACACCGGATCGCCGTCGTCGTCGAACTCGGCCCATTGGAAGAACGAACATCCCTCTTTCCCTGGTGTATATCCGGCATAGCACATCCACATGTAGCGGCCGCGATTTTCTTGCTTGCGTTGCGCACATCGAAGAATCGCAGGTGCACCGCATCGACATCGCGGTGTGTTGCGTGGATGTAGAGTGTCACGATACCAGCGATAAGTAACATTAATTCGACAGTTCCCCGAGACTGGATGGGGAGAAACCGTCTGGGCGGGAGTGATTGCATGCTTCCATTCCTCCTGCATCTCTGCATGCATTACAAGAAGAGAGTTGTGGGGAAGGTGAATAGAAATCTGCCCCTGAGCATCAGCGCGGGCTGCCGCCGCTCTCTCATCTTTAGTGGATCGCGAGGACGAGTCGGCACGATCTTGATTGATCTCCGTATCGTCATCTTCATCCGCATCATCTTGGGGGATGATCCGGCGGACTCGGAATTCTCGTTCCACGCCCAGGCTCAAACTTCCTATTATTGGGTGTGGTCCGAGGTAGGTCAAGTCATCTGAATGATACCCCACATTCTCCGCAGGTCCGTTATAGCAGTTGACAAAAGCCGCGTTAGGTCGCCATTCCTTCGGGGATTGGAATTTAAGTTTCTTTCCTTCTGGATACACTTTATTGATGCGTTTTTTTATCTCGTCGTTCACCAGGCTTTGAACCTTCCGCGATGCGGAGCGCAGATGCGGCGTTGCTTGCCGCACATTTGCTCGATAGGTTCCACCATAAGTGTACTCAGATGTCTGTTGTCTGAATTCTTCAGGCGTAGAGACGTATACACACGCGCTATGTGGACTTTGGACGGTCCGGTTGAAAAGTTGGAACTCGTATCTGGAGAAGTGCTCAGATTCATCAAGCAGCTCACCAAGTAGATTTTTGGCTTCTTCGGGGGGAAGAAAATTGTGTATGATCGTGCAAGGCGTGTAAGCCGCAATGTCCTCTGGTGCGTAGAGGTGTAGTGTCTTCCCCTTCTTGATAGCTGGAGGTTTTCGACTCTGCATGCTTTCGCTGAGAGATGTGAGCAGTCCATCCTTGGATTTGGTCATGACGTGGGATGAGAGTGATGTTTGAATGCCCAGAAACGAGCTGGGAATCGTTCGCTTTTTTCCTGACGTTTGTTTTGCGGGTGGTTGTGACTTGAGCAGTGAAGAAGCGGCCTCAACAGACCCGTCGCAAGAAATAAGAATATCGAGGATATCATCTTGTCCGAAATCTGGAAACAGGGAAATCAGAATGGCTAGCTTGACGTCTGTCGAATCATCGCCCGCGAGATCTGGATTCGATGAAGGATTAAGAGTCTCATGTCTTGCTGGACTGGGTTGCTCTTTGGGTGCAGAGACCCTTCGTTTCTTTCTCGTTATGAATGCATCCATGGATGCTCAGCACCATCGCCATATTCGACTGGGATACAGAAAAAGCCTAAGAGGGTAGGTTGGATTTGAAATCAACCTGGAATTTTCCAATTTGGGATGATGCAGCACGATAAAGACCTTATCGGCACATGATTGCTTCCAAAGTGACCAATCAGAAAGCATCCCCTACTTTTTATAACAGGTTATGGCCTTCAATTATAAGTTATAATTAATTGTATCCTGGATTTTATTTCGTAGCACTCCATTTACCTTGCCCTAGGTAAATACGCCCTTCATGATGATATTCCACTAGGGACCTCATTTGTCGAAGCCCATCAAATACTTCCAACAACGCAGACAATGATACCATAGTCCACCCATGATATTTCCCCTGGCTCTCTCTTATTCCATCGTTATTTTTACTCCGTTCTGGTCTGGTCACGTACGACTTGTCGCCGAATCTTGGATCCGGGAAGTTG